CGCTGCGGGATGAGTGATCCGCACATCAAAGTAAGCGTCCTGTTGCCACGACCAAAAGCCGCGAGCCCGCACATCCAGACGAGCTTCTGCGCATCGGTTGAGGGAACGACCACCAGGCAAATGCTCACTGCTGCAGGGCAATAGCCGGGGCTCCGTCTCTACGTCCACCACTCCAGCCTCCCTCAGTAGTCCAGCAACCAAGTCCCGCACCTCATTGTGACGGGCAATGGTATAGCCGCCAGTGGCACAGGTAAGTGCATGAGCGGGGCTGAGAGGCACACCACAAACACATGAATCGGGTAGCCCACTCAACCTTCGCCCATAGCGGATGCACAGGGCATCACGGAAGTCGGATTTCTTCAGGATGGTTCCATCTTGCCACCGCGGGGCAACAGTCAACCATGACGATACTCCCTTTTCGGACGCGATTTCAACAAGAAATCATCATCATCATCATCATCATCATCATCATCATCATCATCATGTGACCAAGCCGCTTTTACGGGCAACAATATTATGAATATAAAACGCAAGGTATTGTAAGAGCAATTTTCTGAAAATAATGTTAAAACACGAAATAATTTATAGAAATGCATTATCACACCGTAGCCACTTTTATGGGCAAATTCCAATACAAGGCAATAGGAACACGAGGATGAAGTTAACCTTTTAACCCAAAGAAAAGACAAAAGATGTCAACAATAGAACTACAAATATAAAAAACAAACATCAGGTCATAAAAACTACTTTAAAACATAACCAAATGACAGCAAAGCGTGGAGAATGAGATTGACTTACAAAACAAAAGTAGTCCTACTATGCTTACAAAACAGAATCTACCTACACCACTAAGGAAGAAACATTAAATGATTGCAGTCTCACAAACACCGGCCTCTATCTAAGGGGTCGTCCGCAATTACCGAAAGTTTTTTCCAATCCGTAGTAGCTTCAAATTTTTCCTCACCCACCCACCCACCCCCGGCCCCCCAGTCCGTAATAAAATATTATTGATGGACACACAACCCAACACATATGGAACAAACTCGTCCATTCCTTTTTCGCTTCGGCAAAGAATACATCCTTGTTCGTCGTCTTGGACAACTGCCACAAGCAATTTATTGTTCTGTAATAATCAGAGTCACCAGCGGTTTTGAAAAAGGGATGCTTCTTCACCGCCTTTCCAAACAACGTCGCCTGTCTGGACATAGTCAATAACAGTCGTCAGCGCCAGCGCTAGACGGAAGGACTTCAAAGGAGTGCATGGAAGACGGTACTCTGGACGAAGGAGACAGTGAAACTCAAAAATAGAAAGTGTCGACTCGCCGTCGAATGCGCCGAACTTTATGATCCCCGGCCCAGCTAGGAGCAGCCAAGGAAGCGCGCGCGTGGGCGCAGAAACTGCCAGAACTACAAAAATATTTGTACCGTACTGGCAATATATGTTGCCGCAGTGAGGCCATGAAGCGTTACATTGGCACATGTTTGCCGCACGCAGGGCGTTACATGCAAAGTCGCACAGGAGCCGTTACACAGGTTTCTATATTGCCGCAGTCCTTTTTTTGCTATTGCCGCATCACTTTTTTTGCTATTGCCGCATCATTTTTTTGCTTTTGCCGCATCATTTTTCTTGTGCAGTGCAAACTGCAATGAAAAGATCGCCGCACCCCGCCGGACGCGCGTTACGAACTCAACGAAAATTTGTCGCACTAGCCTGGTCGCGCGTTACGCCGCACCCCCCTGCGTTACGCGTTACGCGGCAACATATATTGCCAGTACGGTAGTAGACAGTTCGCGCGCAGCTAGCCGCGCGTGGAAAACAGGGGCTACACGTAGACGTACACGTGGCACGCGCACGCGCACGTGTCATTTCGGAAGTTTTTCAATCCGTAACTGTCCTTGACCCACCCACCCACTTTCGAAGCTACTACGGATTGGAAAAAACTTTCGATAATTGCGGACGACCCCTAACGACCCATCAAACAATAACTCCTGAAATTCTTCACTGACTTTTTCTGGTAGGAGCTACGGCAGCCGCGAAAACAGGTCACTGCCCAACGGAGTAAAGTGAACGAGAGCAGGCACCGCAATCGACCCATAACCAGCGAGCCAGCGATAATCATCATCATGAGAAAAGCCTCTTTTACGGGCAAAGCAAATGTATATCATTACAATATGTAAAGTGAACAGGGGAAATCAACACAAAACCAACCGGAAAATGATGAAACACAAAAGCAGTCAAGGAAGTAAATCAATACAAAAACAAGCAATGAACACAGAGTAATAATCATCATCATCATCATCATCATCATCATCATCATCATCATCATTTGAACAGCCTCTTCTACGGGCAAGCAAAAACGCAATACATCAAAATTCAAATAGAATGAAAAAAGAGAGGAAAATGAACACAAAGTGCACTGGAACTCAATATAAAAAGGAACGCAAAGTGCAGTTGAACACAATGAGCATGGGGCATGGGGCCACCAATCTGAGAAGACCGGCTCATAATGGAAAATAAAAGAACAAACATAAGACACCCGTACACATCAACGTGCTCTAAGGGTATGGCAGCTTGTTAAAAAGCTGTGGCGCTGGCGCTTGTATGATGCCCGCGAACCACGTATGCAGGTAATACACCAGCGGAGCAAACACAGCGACAATACAGATCGAAGTTGTCCCATGACTACAGAATAATGTAACTCAGGATTTTTCTCAACAACAAGCGATACCAAATTTTTCAAAAAACGAGACCCCTCTGGCCCACACATGCCTGAAGTTGAAAAAACTAACGGTGTAAATGATGCTCTCTCTACAATATTTACACGGGCACAATATTCTCTCTTTTTGGCCTGTTCATGGGTCTTCAGCTGACGCAGGACGTCTGTACGCGACAGCAGGCTTGCCTTCGGGTGTGTTACCCGTACATCAAAAAAGGCATCCTGCTGCCGGGTCCAGAAGCCCCGCGCCCTGATATCCAGACGCGCCTCCAAAGACCGGTTCGCAGTTCGATGTGGTAGTGTTTCTCCTTCGAACGGCTTGAGAAGAGGCTCCTTCTCCACATCTGGTAGTATTTCCCGAATAGCTTCTGACAGAATGTCCCGGATCTCGTTATGTCTTGCAATTGGGTAACCACCCGCCGGGCAACTCATGGCATGATCTATTGTCATGTCTTGCCCACAAATACAGGAACTGGACACTCCCTCCAATGACAAACCATATCGAATACAAACAGCATCACGAAATTCCGATTTGTTCAGGATTGAACTGGGCGTTATGAAAGACGGCATGGAGGATAACCAATTTCATGTGGCCAAGCCGCTTTTACGGGCAACAATATTATGAATATGAAACGCAAGGTATTGTAAGAGCAATTTTCTGAAAATAATGTTAAAACACGAAATAATTTATAGAAATGCATTATCACACCGTAGCCACTTTTATGGGCAAATTCCAATACAAGGCAATAGGAACACGAGGATGAAGTTAACCTTTTAAAACCCAAAGAAAAGACAAAAGATGTCAACAATAGAACTACAAATATAAAAAACAAACATCAGGTCATAAAAACTACTTTAAAACATAACCAAAAGACAGCAAAGCGTGGAGAATGAGATTGACTTACAAAACAAAAGTAGTCCTACTATGCTTACAAAACAGAATCTACCTACACCACTAAGGAAGAAACATTAAATGATTGCAGTCTCACAAACACCGGCCTCTATCTAACGACCCATCAAACAATAGCTCCTGAAATTCTTGACTGACTTTTTCTGGTAGGAGCTACGGCAGCCGCGAAAACAGGTCACCAATTTCATCATCATGAGAAAAGCCTCTTTTACGGGCAAAGCAAATGTATATCATTACAATATTATGTAAAGTGAACAGGGGAAATCAACACAAAACCAACCGGAAAATGATGAAACACAAAAGCAGTCAAGGAAGTAAATCAATACAAAAACAAGCAATGAACACAGAGCATCATCATCATCATCATCATCATCATCATCATCAGTTCCGGAATTAATTCCGTGTTCGATATTGTTGGGTTTTTTTACGTATTTTATTTTATTTTATTCGTGTTTGATATTGAATTTTTATTTATTTATATTTTTACAATTGGCAAAAAATAAGATAAATTGTGCACTCATGATCATAACAACAGCAAAAATGAAGAAAGTCAAGTTCCATAACTGAAACCATATTAGCTACATGTATATAAGTGTGTGTTTTAGTTATTACATTTTTATGTGACGGTGTTCCACTGGTGACACTTGACAGTCACAAGAAAACGTTATGGAACTTGACTTTCTTCATTTTTGCTGTTATGAGTGCACAATTTATCTTATTTATTGCCATTTTACGACTATTGTCTCCTCGTCGATTGTTTAAATTTTTACAATTATTGTTTTTATTCCATTTCACATTTTTCATTCGTGTTGGGTTTAACTACTCACTGTACTGATACATGGTGATGATTGTGCTTTGCTTTGCCCGTAAAAGAGGCCTTCCCATCATCATCATTATCCTCATCATCATCATCAGCGGAAGTATCTGATATATCATAACCTTCCAAATTGAGAGGAACGTCCCTGACTGCCAAGTCTCTTTCATTACCTCGTGATTCCAAGCTGTGTATTTCCTATTGGTTTTGGTGGTGTTAGGGTGATGGTCCTTCTGTAGCTAATCATAATGTTCCGGATAGTGAGTGTAGTTCTTGTTACTCTTGCGGTCTTTTTCGGTTCGGTCTAAACTCTAGTAAAATATTAATGATAATAATTATGATCGACTGTATTTGTATGTGTTGAACTGCATTCATATTTATATGAACTTGCCCTGTATTTGTTGCACCAAGACCACTTGAATTCCAAACATGAAGTGCAATTTTGCAGCAAACAGAAGGAGCATACAGACATGAACCGTGGCAGTGGTGGTGAAGTCTGGAGAGCTCCGCCGACTCTATTCCTCGACTCTATAGCCAACCAGACATCCCATGGAAAGAGGCTCTTTGAAAGTAGTACTTCAGTGATTCATATTGAAGTAACAAAACTATTGAAATTGAAAAGTACAATTGTGTCAAGTGTTCCAAGCGCGGAAAAGATTAGCTGGACCTCCTAGAGATAATTTACTTTGAAGACCAAATGCCAAAGTGAAAACAAATGGCTCAAGGAAAGTTGATGAAACCTCAATCTCAATATAAATGATCTACAATGGCTTGGTAAAATCAGTACATTGCTTGCAACCTTTGGTAATGTTGAATTGATCAACATGAAAACTTGGCCAATCAATCCATTAACATGAAGATACTTTCACCCAAACACTGTATGTCAAAGTAGGTTTTGAAGAGCTATTTGTTTTGCGGCTGATAGTGTTAGCACTGCATGGGCGATACCAGGTCTGGGATAATTACCCTGACCACTAGATTACCAGACTGGTAAACAAGGCTGTGGATCGGTGGTGGCAGTGAGGATCATCAAGTACTAATATTAGTACTACCTTCGGAGAATGCACTCCACACTTTCATTGTGCGTGGCTTGTTGTTACGGTGAGTTCTGCTGAACAGCAAGCCAGTATGAAGCATGGCACTATCAGGCTACAGCCACAAGTCGGTATCTAACACATTACTCTGCAAAATCGCTTTTAAAAACATCACAGATAAAGTCAAGCAGTTCTTGTCTGTAGCGTAGTCATGTAGAAATAGTGCAAAGCACCTCAAGGTTGACTGAATAAGGTTCTGCTCGTCAAACCGAAGATGTGGTTGGCGGCGGTCGCACGTGGACGTGGGTAAGCCGGTGTCCTGAACCAGGCAGTGTGTCGTGATCCTCTTCAGCCTCCACTTCAGCTTCACTGACATCCAGGTCATCAGAGTCAGCGTCACTGTCGACGGTGAGATAATCGACACCCTGTGATCAACAGAGAGGCAGAATACATAGCACACACAATGCACAAGAAAAATACAACATTACAGATTCGCGTATAGAGTGACGTCATAGAGTGACTTCACATCATATCACATGACCGTAGAGACCAGCAGCCATGTTGGTTCCAACTCCAGTCAACCCCTGCATCTATGGGTCACATGACGTCGGCCATGTTGGTTCCACTGTCCACATGCAATGATCACTTTCTACACACATTAAGACACATGACAAAGTTGTGAAACCAATCTCCAGGAGTACTTCAAAAAGATAATACGGGAATTCTCCGAATCTAAACCCATCAAATACGGTACTGTGAAACCGGAAGATTTTGGTGGCGATTTTTTCGGTAACTTCGGTACAGGTAATTTGTACCTAAAATAGAATGGGACCTAAAATTCAACCAAGCCATGTCACACCGTGTGCAAAATGCATTTTTGGATCTGGAAAACCGGTTTATCGAAATTCTCGCGCTACCAAACCGTTGAGTTTGGGAAATACCGAAAAGATTACACCACCGAAAATTTTAATATGGCAATAAGGAGGACGAGCTGAAGTGACAGTTGGATTACTTTATTACACAATGTGAAGTGATCGAAACTTCCCAGTTTTACAATAAGTGACAACTTTTCAAACTCCCTTTAAAACACATTCATTGTCAGCAGTCTATCGTAGACTCCCCAGTTGCACTGTCGATAACGATAAGCTGTCAATGTAATTGTCACTTGTTGGGAGTTTATTGCACCATAATCTATTCAGTGCTTCTGAGAGCATGCGGCAGAGTGCCTAGGTAGGAGGTGATGTCACTGGTTTTGAAGGGTAAAAACGATACATTGGATGGAGTTGAAGAGTTTTGAATAAACGGTTTTCCATAATGAAAACAAGGAAAGGAGAAAACATGGACAAGTATGACCTTACTCTGGACATTTTAGCTGCCTTCTCTAAGAGATCATCCAAGGTTTCCGCAAGCTCTTGAAATGATGGTCGCTGTTCAGGATTATGATTCCAGCACTCTTGCATCATTTTATACCTAGTCACGGAATGAGAAGACATTTGACAATTACGGTCAAGGGTTTGTGTTAACTGAAATAATATAAATTATGAGAAAATTAAATTGAAAACATTAAAAACAGTGGGGCGCAGGTTATGCATTTTTATGTTTTTTTATTTTTAATATTTCCTTGGCTCACGAACTAAATGTAACAAATGTGTTGTGTTCACTACTAACACCTCAAAAGTTTCAGGATCGCACAGACGCCACAAGACAAAGGGTCACGTAATTCTTTACGGACTATAATGAATGAACAGTAGAATACATTGAGAAGAAGAGACTGGAAAAATACGAACTACATCGGAAAGAGAACTCTAGAACACTAAAGAAAACAAACCACAGCATCAAGGAAAAGAACAACGCATGAGGGGTAAAGCGCTGGCCAGCCACAACGTGCGTCCAACTTTGGCATGAGCGTACAGAAGAGCGTACAGCGCTCGGAAAGCGGAAGCTAAATTTGGCAGCAAAGTGACAGCAATAGTACGGCGCGCGGCACATAAGCAGTACGAGGCGAGGCACGTATACGCGTGTGCGGCAAACATTACACACCATGTACCATATGCATGAACAGCGCGGGGCGCATACTAACTCATTCAACATCAGTGCGCGGCGCAGGCATCTAGCTAGCTGGCGCAAGCATGATCATAATTGCATGCCATCACGCAATCAGCGCACATAAATCGCGCATCAAATAAATAAGTAATCAAACACAAATCAACACATCAACTAAATAAATCAACGAGCTAGCAAGAACACAATTCAAAAATGCAACGAAGAAATAATTACTATTCTAGTCGGTTATTCGCATGGGACCAAGCGCAATGTCCAAGCTGATGAACTGTGATTGCACAAGGTAAGCCCAAGCTCCTGAGCTAACCGTTCTGGTGTGCAGTCTTCTTCGTGCTGCAAACACACACTACACAATGTGTCGTATCTCGTAACAAGTACTGTACCAAATCACAACGAACACTAACAATACGCAATAGTAAACAATAATCAAAAACACTACGCAAAAAAGCAAAGCAAGCAGCACCTAGCCAGGGAGACAAGCAGGAGTCACGGTCGCAACGAGATCTCGACGACACCCCAGAAGACCTTTCTCCGACACGATACACAACATTCTCCCCACCAAAGGGCTTCAACCACACTGATCACAAATCAAGACGAGGTGGTGGTCGAACGGTACGACGAGATCGACGCGTAACTTGCGGTTCAACGGTCGTCGAAGGTATTTCAACATCATCGACGACGTTGACTGGATCAGCGCTCGCGGGTGTCTGCGGCTGCGGCTCAGCGTCCACAGCAGGCGGCTCAACATGCTCCTTCGCTACTTCCAACGGAACCAAGCGTTGAATGGGCCGTAGCATGGACGATTGGCCAACTTGGACTTTGGCCACCCTGCACTTGCCATCTCTTCCAGGATACAGCTCTGCGACCCTACCCAAGCGCCATGATTGCCGCTTCCGGTTGTCGTCGGCAATAAACACAACGTCGTTCACGACAATCGGAGTTGACTTCGACCGATGATACTCACTGAGACGAACGAGATACTCAGACGACCAACGCTGGTTGAGGTGCTCGTAGACGGTGTGGACATACTTGACTCGAGCGGACAACTGCCGTGGATCGAGTGGTCTGTCAGACGAGGCAATACCGGTTGCAAAGATGTCTCCCAACATCATGGCTGGAGTCAGCGGCGACTCGTCAGCTACATCCGTAGAAACCGGAGTGAGGGGTCGAGAGTTGACGACTCTCTCGATCTCCGTCAAGACAGTGAACAGCTCGTCTCGACTCAATGACGCTCGACCGAGAACCTTCTTCAAGGGAGCTTTCACATATGCCACCAGACGCTCATAGAACCCTCCATGCCACGGGGCAGATGGCGGATTGAAGAACCACGGGATTGCCACCTTGTCTGCGGCGGACTTGAACGTCGTAGCATTATCTGAACGTATACGCAGCGGCTTCCCACGACGGGCGATGAAACGACGCAATGCTAGCAGGAACACCTCTGTCGACAGGCTATCCACGAGCTCTAGGTGCACTGCGCGAGTAGTACCGCACACGAAGAGTGCGACCCACACTTTCTGAACATTTGATGAACTGCGCACGTACAACGGACCTGCATAATCAATACCTGTGAGACCGAATGGCTGGTGGTGCTTCACCCTGTCTGAGGGCAACGGCGGCATCTCCTCAGCAGCAGTCTGTGCGCGAAATCTGCGGCAAACAATGCACTTCTCCGACACGCTACGAAGAAACCGACGAACTCCGAGAATCCAGAACTGCTGTTGTAGAAACGCAAGCACGCTCTCTACACCCTGGTGCATTCGCTGAAGGTGAGCATCACGCAGAAACAACTCACTTAGATGACATCTGCCCAGGATGATCGGATGCTGAACCTCGTAGGACAGATCGCTCTCCTGCAGACGACCACGAACTCTGAGCAAACCAGCTTCATCCAGAAACGGAGACAACTTGAACAGCTTCGAACCCTTCTTCAGTGGCTCCTTGCTCCGCAACTGGGACAACTCCTTGGGGAAGCATTGCTCTTGGATGGCGCGAAACATCACAGACTCAGCAGATGGAATCAATTCTGCACGCGAAACACCCTTGTGTCGCCATGACAGCATACTTGCGACCAAACCGCGAGCTCGTTGCCACTTGGAGAACTTCTCCCACGGCCAAACAACTGGAGTGTCAACCTCCACAGCCGACACGCGTGCTTCGGTGACGGACTCATTGGTGCTCTGAAACGAGATGACTGGTGGCCACTGAGACTCATCGCTCAACCATGACGGACCATGCAGCCACATCTCCTTCTGCAAGTCACACACTGGGACACCACGCGAGACAAGATCTGCAGGGTTGCTAACTCCTGGACAGTGACGCCATTCTACTTGCAGCTTCTGCGAAACTTCTTGCACTGCAGCAACTCGATTAGCAACATACGTCTTCCAGTGATACGACGGCTTTGAGATCCAGTGCCATGTGGTTAGGCTGTCTGTCCACCCCACAATCCTTTCAATTGGCACTCTCAATTCATTGACGACAAAGGACAACATCTTCACGCCAAGACACACAGCCGACAATTCCAGACGCGCAAGAGTGGGACGTACAACAGGTGCAACCTTCGCCTTCGCACACAACAAAGAAGACGTCAAACCGGACACAACATAGAAACAACAGCCATAGCCCTTCTCGGATGCATCGGAGAATACATGCAACGTGACTGGAGCATCTGGAGTACACCCGATCCATCTGGGGATTTTAACGGAAGAAAGCGCTGCGAGCTCTCCCCACCATGAAGCACATCGGACAGCCAAATCAATAGGGAATGGGTCATCCCAACCACCGCCGAGCTTCCAACTCTCTTGCAACATCATCTTGCCTGGCACAACTGCGGGTGACGCCCAACCTAGCGGATCGAACACAGCGGCAACACAACGCAACAACGCACGACGAGACCAACCAGACACTTCCTTGGGACACTCAACATCACCGAGCGCAGCCACCGAAATACAATCTGACTCGGTGTTCCACACAATACCCAGTGCCTTGGAACCAGCCTCGGGGTCTGAGGTCATCGTGTTCCCTCGCCACTTCCGCAACTCCATGCCTGCTCCCTGCAAAACATTAACGCTATACTCCTGCAGCTTTTCAGCATCCGCACAGCATGGCAAGCTAGAAACGCAATCATCAACATAAAAACTACGCAGCAGCAGCTCTATGATATCACGCTCAGCAGCAGAAGCAGACTCGAATGCACTATCGAGATGAAAGCGCAGCACAGCACTAAGTATGAAAGGAGAACAATTCACTCCAAAAGGCAGCTTCTTTAAACGCCAGATACACATTTCTTCGCTACCTATCTCAGGCCAAACAAAACGCAGATATGGCCTATCTTCTTCACGCATTCCGATCATAAAAAAAGCCTTGCGAATATCGGCTTGTACAGCACATTCATACTCACGGAACCTGAGGAGGATACCAGTGAGATCCGGTAGGAGTGATGGCCCGGGATCGACCATGTCGTTTAGGGATGGTGCTCCGGTGCAGGCGGCGGATGCATTGAAGACGACCCGTGTCTTCGTCGTTGAGGCGTCGCTACGGAATACGGCATGATGCGGCATGTAATAGCCGGCTTCCTCCGGATGCGGTTCCTTTTCAATGGCATCCAGCTTCAAGTACTCAGTGATGAGGACGTCATCATACGCTGGACGTTGACCTCGTCTCTGTAGCTGCTTCAGCAGTGAGTGTGCCGCTGCCATCGCTTGGTTGAGGTTGGCTGGCGGACGCTTCTCAGATCGCCATAGCAATCCCACTTGGTAATGAGGGCCTTGCCGCTCTATCGGGAAGTCCGGTAACGTCTCAGCTATTTCCGGCACCTCTTCCATCTTCCACAGTCGGTCAAGTTCAATACAACTCACACTGACGGTCGCTGTCTTGGTTTCACTATTAGCCGGTCCTGACAGCACCCAGCCTATTTCAGTGTGCCAGGCCGTCTCTCCATTGATTTGCTCCTTGCGGAGAAGGAACTCATTGCAGTAGTCAGCTCCAATCAGCATGTGCACTTCGCTTGATCCGGCCTTTGTCGAGTCATCAGACAGCTGCAATCCCTGTGACTGCCAACGTGCAATTGTGCTGTCTGCTAGCGGATCGAATCGGAGACCTAGCGACTTCTTTTGCCAGGCATTGACGGAAATGGACTTCGTTGCACCCTTGATGGTGACACGGTACCTGTCCATCTTTTCAAACTTCGGCTCAACGTCAAACGCCTTCAGCCTGACAGTTTGCGATCCAAGGTGTGCCGGTTGCAGCGAGTTCACCAGTGGCGCGGTGATGAACGATGCCTGCGCACCTGGGTCGATGAATATGCGTACACTGGCCTTTCGGCTAGGTCCTTGTACCTCAGCCACGCCGGTCATCAAGTGCACGCTGTTTGCACTACATTCATACGTACCGACTTTCGATTCGGCTATCGGTTCGGATGTTACCTGTTTGTCCCCTCTGTGCAGTAGACTGTGGTGTCGCTTGTTGCAGTGCTTGCAACGACCCTTGTTCTGACAATTCATCACTCGATGTCCTGGTCTCAGGCAGTTGAAACACAGTCCCTCTGCCTTGACGTACGCGTTTCGGTGCTCAGACGCCATAGCTGACAATTTCTTGTTAGCCTCATCAACGCTGACCGTCAAACACTCTGCCGACGCAAACGGTATACGTTTGTCGCTGGTGCTAGACTGGGCAGGCTTCAGCTTGCTACGTCCGTGGGCTGTTTGGTAAGCCATACCATCCTCCGCAAACGCCTTCAAGTCCTTCGTGTAACATCTCTTCTCGATCAAGAAGGCCTTAGTTTCTGCCGACACAGCTTCTAGCAGGACTTGACGTACGACACATCCGAACAATTCAGTGTCGTCCAGCTCACCGATTTGTCCGCGGCTAGAGGTACGGCTAGGCCTGGCGAGTTTTGCCCACTTCTCCGTCTCGCGCGTCACTCGTACCACAAACTGGTAGAAACTCTCCTCACTTTTCTGCTGTATGGCCATCAGGGCTTGCCACGCTTTGTCGGCGGTCTTCCCATGCGCCATCAGCAGCTCGCGCTTCGCTTCGGCAAAGGTGTTGCAGCCATAGCATGCACCTTCCAACTTGCTGCCAGCAACAGCCACGCGCAAGCGGATCAGGTACTCGTCGTCGCTGAACTCATTTTGCTTTGCCACATCCTCGAACAGTTCGAGATAGGTCTCAACAGTCTGCTTACCGTCGAACTTCGGCATCTTGATGGCAGCCCTCTTGCTCGCTAAACTGCCATTCGTCGTATTCAACAAAGTGCTCTCATCACTCTGAGTCTCTCGTGCGTGCTGGACTTGCAACTCCAAATCTGCAATCCTCGCAAGCAGCTGCTCGTCATCTTTCCTTTCCAATCTACTTCCTGCTCGTTCTTCGCGCTCTCTGTCTGCACGCACTTTCTCCTCGTGCTTCTCGATACGCTCCTCTACGTAAGTACGCAATGCCTCTCCAGTGTAGCCATAAGCTTGACCATTTGCGATCAGCTTCGCTTCTACCTCATCCATGTTCACGCGTCTCGATCCTGGCGTGGTCGCCAAAATGTTGTGTTCACTACTAACACCTCAAAAGTTTCAGGATCGCACAGACGCCACAAGACAAAGGGTCACGTAATTCTTTACGGACTATAATGAATGAACAGTAGAATACATTGAGAAGAAGAGACTGGAAAAATACGAACTACATCGGAAAGAGAACTCTAGAACACTAAAGAAAACAAACCACAGCATCAAGGAAAAGAACAACGCATGAGGGGTAAAGCGCTGGCCAGCCACAACGTGCGTCCAACTTTGGCATGAGCGTACAGAAGAGCGTACAGCGCTCGGAAAGCGGAAGCTAAATTTGGCAGCAAAGTGACAGCAATAGTACGGCGCGCGGCACATAAGCAGTACGAGGCGAGGCACGTATACGCGTGTGCGGCAAACATTACACACCATGTACCATATGCATGAACAGCGCGGGGCGCATACTAACTCATTCAACATCAGTGCGCGGCGCAGGCATCTAGCTAGCTGGCGCAAGCATGATCATAATTGCATGCCATCACGCAATCAGCGCACATAAATCGCGCATCAAATAAATAAGTAATCAAACACAAATCAACACATCAACTAAATAAATCAACGAGCTAGCAAGAACACAATTCAAAAATGCAACGAAGAAATAATTACTATTCTAGTCGGTTATTCGCATGGGACCAAGCGCAATGTCCAAGCTGATGAACTGTGATTGCACAAGGTAAGCCCAAGCTCCTGAGCTAACCGTTCTGGTGTGCAGTCTTCTTCGTGCTGCAAACACACACTACACAATGTGTCGTATCTCGTAACAAGTACTGTACCAAATCACAACGAACACTAACAATACGCAATAGTAAACAATAATCAAAAACACTACGCAAAAAAGCAAAGCAAGCAGCACCTAGCCAGGGAGACAAGCAGGAGTCACGGTCGCAACGAGATCTCGACGACACCCCAGAAGACCTTTCTCCGACACGATACACAACAAAATGTTTGAGTTAACAGCGTGCAAGTCACCCTTATAGTAATGCCAAGACTGGGTAGACGCCTCTGGTTACCCCCAGGTACACTTACAAATGTTGTGGACACGCTGGTGGTTCTTCCATGCGGTGTCCGGCCTTCAGCAGAGCTAGCATGTTGTGCGTGGCCACCTCCGGGTACGGCACACAGCCTGTAGCAGGATAGCAGAAGTACACCCATGACGCTATCATGCTATCATGCTATGAGTCTATGAGTCCATCATGCTATGATTCTATGAGTCTATGATGGTATCATCGGATTGTATGATTTCGTGATTTATGAGCCTGTTCTCCTGCTAAGTATTTTTGCATTTTCGCCTCCAAAGAAACATTTTTAAAGTTTCTTAAAATTGTACGATCTCTGTAGACGTACACTTCAAAAGGCAGGAGTGAGTTGAAAAGGAAAAGGCAGAACTGGATATGGATACCACTGAGTATGGCTTTCAACGACACGATAATCCATCAATTTTCAACACTTTCTTTTCTCCATACACTGTCACACATGCTGTATCCAAATTTCAACTAAAGAGCTTGAGCTAGCACCCTGGCACCAGTGATGGATGCAACAACCTGCCCACTGCACATGGATACATTCATAATCCTACCTACATGCATGTGGCAACCCAGAACGTCACTGACTCATTATCACACCTGCCTGTGATTCCTACTTCAGAAAAACATATTGACATCACCAAGACAGCTTACCCAGTGTCGTAATCTCCCAGAGCACAACTCCAAAAGACCACCTGCGCATGAAGGTCACAGAACACAATGTCACAGAACACAATGTCACAGAACACAATGTCACAATATACAATGTCACAATCCAATGCAACAACACTGCATACTGTATGTCTACACAAATTCGGTGCATATTTATTTTCAGCTATTTCCGACCTGGTCATGTTTGGCCGAAAATTTGTTGCCGCCGAAATTTGGTTTTGCAAGGTTCAGTGTGAGAGTGTATACAGGCGGCAGCAGTACAGGCTGAAAATTTGATGCGGCCGAAATGGGTTTTAGCCCTGGGAGGCCGAAATTTGAATGGGCCGAAAATTTTTCGACTAACAGTACACATGATACATAGATCTTACCAGGATAACAGGCAAATGGATAGTTCATGATTACAAGTTATCGCCGACACATGGAGAACAAGTAGAGACAAAGACGAGGTCTGACTAATGCACACATGTATTCTAAAACCATGCACCATGATAAGAGCGCATTCAGGGAACACTCACACATCACTGCTGACAGTATAGGAGCCCTTTCTCAGTGACTCGATGGCATGCCACTTGACCGGAATGTGCTTGTTGCTAGAGCGTTGGTAGATGCCGCCGGTATCCTCCACTGTGCGAGAGTGTCCGAAATCGGAAATCTTCAGAACGTAGTTATTGGTGACCAGTATGTTCCTGGCTGCGAGATCGCGATGAATATACTACATACAGAAGAACAGCAACAAGAGCACATGATATTGTCACACCATCAACATAGCTAGATTATTGGAGGAAAAGGCCCTGTCAAACGATATAGGTACTGCTTGCTATAACACAAGATGACTTGTCATGCTTTGGTACAAAGCTGGTTTCTTTGAGGCAGCCTCTATTTTTGCATGACAACCCTATAGTCTGTTTCAAAAAGATTTACAATCAGGTTTGGGTCTTAAAAAGTATGAAGATAAGGGAAAATTGGACAACAAAGTACATAGAATGGCTTGTTAGGACACGACAAATTGTTCTGTGAAGGTTTCGGAACAATTGGACCAGCCGTTAAGGAGTAAGAATTTCGTTCAGGTTTCCGGCCTTTTCCCATGGTTTACAATTTGCCCAGGAAGCCAGTATCGATTTTTATCAAAACCCACGATGTATCCTTTCCTTCTTGGCCTTGTGGTTAGGAATGCTGTCTGCTGACCATGAAGTTGTGAGTTCAAATCCCAACCTATCCTCAAGTCAAACCTTTTCTCTTTATTGTTTTGGTGATCAAGCTGGTACATGGTACATGGTACAAGACAAAGAAGATGGCTGCACCAAACGACTTGTTGTTGGAGCTCGCGCTTCCTGCCGAACTGACTGACACTTGACTGGCTCACGCCATGTGAACACACCCACAACACTGCAATGGTGTGAGTGAATATGGAAGTCATCCCGCTGTAGCTTTTTGAGATTTATTTTAGTATTTCAAGATCACCAATTTATTTGAATTTAGCAGTCAACGCCGTCTTCTATCGATATCAGAGTTCACAAGCGTCTGCTTTTCTCAAAATGTCGTCGAAGTCACACGGATAGCTTTGCCAAGTCATGGCCTTGGGAATGAGTCCGTGTCGATGTCGTTTTCGTCACACGGTGAGTAAATATTAATTGCATCGCAGCTCAAAGAAACTACTTTGGTCCCAAAACCAATTGGGACCCATGCCGCTCGTCAACATTTACAACACTTTCGTTTCGAAATGTCCTCTCTGACTCCATTTATCGATACGAGGAAGAACTCGTTTGTTGTAAACATGACTGTATCAACGTGAGTGAGTTGTCATTTTTCCTGATTTCGCGCGGAATATTTCTTCGAGTTCACAGTGAGTTTTTCCAGGCAGCGCTCGAGTGCTCCTACGGTAAGACGCCAAACTCCGCGGGCGATCGCCAGGATTGCAAATCTTTTTGAAACGGACTGTAGAGGAACTCTTTTTCAAGGTTCATGCGAGTCTTCCACGCTGATGCTTTCAAACTTCAAATCCACAACAACAGCACCACTTTTCAAGGATCAAGGTGCAGATACTGAACGTAAAGTGCCGTCAAGTGCCCAGATCAGACCATGCAACACTGAGAGACATTGCACTCCATAAACGTTTCAACACTGCATGCATTTCAACACTACATGCATTTCAACACTGCATGCATTTCAACACTGCATGCATTTCAACACTGCATGCATTTCAACACTGCATGCATTTCAACACTGCATGCATTTCAACACTGCATGCATTTCAACACTGCATGCATTTCAACACTGCATGCATTTCAACACTGCATGCATTTCAACACTGCATGCATTTCAACACTGCATGCATTTCAACACTGCATGCATTTCAACACTGCATGCATTTCAACACTGCATGCATTTCAACACTGCATGCATTTCAACACTGCATGCATTTCAACACTGCATGCATTTCAACACTGCATGCATTTCAACACTGCATGCATTTCAACACTGCATGCATTTCAACACTGCATGCATTTCAACACTGCATGCATTTCAACACTGCATGCATTTCAACACTGCATGCATTTCAACACTGCATGCATTTCAACACTGCATGCATTTCAACACTGCATGCATTTCAACACTGCATGCATTTCAACACTGCATGCATTTCAACACTGCATGCATTTCAACACTGCATGCATTTCAACACTGCATGCATTTCAACACTGCATGCATTTCAACACTGCATGCATTTCAACACTGCATGCATTTCAACACTGCATGCATTTCAACACTGCATGCATTTCACAATCATGACCTACCGTAAGTGTACAACTGTTCGGCCCATTCAAATTTCAGCCTCCCAGGGCTAAAACCCATTTCGGCCGCATCACACTTTCGGTCTGTACTGCTGCCGCCTGTATACACTGTCACACTGAACCTTGCTGGTCATAATTTCGGCCGCAACAAATTTTCAGCCAAACATGATCAGGCCGAAAATAGCCGAAATATACGTCAAATCTTTGTTGACTTACAGTAACCGTGAGTAACCGTTAGTAACCGTTAGTAACCGTTAGTAACCGTTAGTAACCGTTGTATAACTTACATGTTTTGAGGTGAGAAACTCCATTCCTCTTGCTATCTGGCGACCAAACGCAAACACATTATCCGCTCTCAGCAGGTCATCCTTATTCGGCATGGTCCTGAATGCTCCGGGTGTTTTGGTGCTGAAAACCTTTGCTAGATCTTTTATGTTTTCTTCGCCATCGCACACGATGCTATCCAGCTTCAGTAGCTGTCGCTTAACTCGGTCAGACGCACCACGCCGCTTGCGCAACACACCCAAGAGATCTCCAAGAGCTGCGTACTCCAATAGCAAAACTGGGCTACCTGAAAATAGCGCAAGACACGAACACAGCAACGAAGACAGACAGTACACAAATATACACTGTGGACCTAGAGACGACAGCAAGCAGACATGCAGACAGCCATGCACAAGGTCCTATCTCTTACATGTCACACTCATATCTCTCCTATCCGGACCTCAAAGTTATGGACACCTCGGTCTACCGGGCACTCTGTGGATAAGCCCAGTGGAAATAATGATTATTACTACTGTTTGGGCAATGTTGTGGAAGTACCGGTAATGATGTCGTATGCCAGATCTCTGGCCCTTCTTCATGAAATTTGCGGAATTCATAGTTAGGTACATAGGTACATTTCAGTGTTATGGGCAATGCCAGGTCGCAGATCACCCAGATTACAGAGATACATGTGTACTATGGCTAGCACCAGCTGACAGTACATTATAGGTACGATCGGTGCATGAGACATACTACCACCTCATATCACCTACTACTAGTGCTTTACACTGCTTGTGAATTTTAAAGTGTTATGTTGTGTTGGAATTGCTTCTTTTTCGAAATCAAATAAAAAAAAGTACTGTCTCTCATCCACTAAAAGTTACTTCACGTGACTATCCGGATTCTTACCGTCTGAGAAGCCCACGCCGAGCATTGAGAGAACATTGGGGTGAGCTTTCCGTCCAAGCTCCCATAATGCCAATATCTCCTTGCCGATCTCTACCAGCGACGAAACTTGCGACTCATCTGCAACATGGGGAAAACACGAATGCAGAACGTTGCAGAAACAACAAGCAAAACACACACACACACACACACACACACACACACACACAAACACACACACACACACACACAGAAAAACATATACATGGCCAATAGGGATATTAGTATCACTCAATTGAGACTTTCTCAATTAGACCTTAAAGAATGCTCAGAAAGGTAAACAAAGGCCAGGAAAACAAATAACATCCACACCTCTACACCTGCAAATACACTAAAAGAATATACGACACTTGCCTTTTGCCCACTTGAGCGCAACTTCCGTATGGGGATCCAAGCCGTCAACATTCATAGCAACGCCATGATGAATGATGCCAAAAGCGCCCCGACCGATCTCCTCGCCAATTTTGATCTGCTCCATTTTCACCACGTAGCCCTGCATGGTGTCTTCGTTGATGTAGAACGGCTGACCTTTCCATCTGAGCACATCCTAGAAAAGAACAGCCGCATACACAGAATGTCGGTCCAGGCAAGATCACACACATACACACATACACACATACATACACACACATACACACACATGTACACACACACATACACACATACACACACATATACCTCAGACCTCAGACATACCCATCGCGGAAGCGATGATAGCGAACAGCTATGTTAGACATAGCAACTTGTGCTGGGATTACACCATTCAACAGCTTGCAAGGCTGATGAATACACACACACACATGTACACACACACACCACCATGCACCCTAAGAGACCACAGATAAAGAATACCGACAGAAGAAAGAGGAGAGGTTGGCGGGTTTACAGATTCTCAGAACTGATGGTTCTTAAAAATAATCAAGCCAACAGGAAGGTACCTGTTGTCAACGCCATGGCTTCAGCTGTGCGTGGATTCTTTTGGATTGCAGATCTGTGCAAGGCTCGTAAAACACACGAAGTATGCCTACACCCAGTCTAAACCCATCCTGCATGCGTTGGCGAAATTCTGGTCCTGAAAACGTAAACATATTCCTCTAACCCTAATTGGGAAGAGGCCAGAAGAACAGAACGTACCTGGATAGCATCAAACTTGTGTGGTCCCGAGGGTGCTATGGATTTGTAGCGAGATCCGTCTTCAGTACTGGAGGACCCAACATCCGTTGCAGAATCTTTCTCCTCCTCTCCAACATGACTTCTCCGCCGTTTGGGCCCTAGCACAAGCCAAGAACGTTTCTGTTTCCGATAAAGGTAGAACATGACAATTGCGGCCGCAGCTATTACTGTTATGATGATTGATCCCACGACAAAAGCTGCCACTTGGCCTGGCTCAAGTTCAGTTGCCGGGGCTTCCCCCAGTGGTGGAATGGACTCAGAGGTGACATTTGGCGCGCTACTTGTCTGTGTCGCTTCGGTAGATATGCCAGTGGCGTCTGACCTTGTGTTTATATTCGTGGAGGATTCTCGGTCTGGCTCTGGCAAGATAGTCTCCATTACTCTTGTTGATATTGGAGATGTGGTGATAACCTCAGGACCTGTACGTTTGTGGACAACAAAGAAATGGAATGAAAACAGGTCAGATATGTATCTTACCACCTGAATATTAACAAAAATGTACATCTCGAGTTAAGTAGAGCAATGGAGGTTAAACGCAAATGGGAAAGTGGTAAAAATGGTGCAAACTACACACCTACCAGACAACGCTCTCTGCCAGAGCTTTCCAGCCTGTATAGTATAGATAGTATAGTTTGAATAGGTATTTGATACGGTGGGAGTAGGTATTTGATACGGTGGGAGTCAAGCCAATGCCCCAGTTCACATCCCAGTGTTTGCAGGTCTAGGTCAGCACAGCGCCTGGCCTGGCATTGACTTGCTTCATACTATACAAGGTGTGTAGGTCAGCACAGCGCCTGGCCTGGCATTGACTTGCTTGATACTATACAAGGTGATAGGATGATTTCATTCAGCAGCACTATAGCTTTAGTCAATAGCAGTATGCTCCTCGTCTGAGTGGCAGTGTTACCAACAGCCCGTACTTGTCCGTATTTTTTTTACGGAAAACGAAGCTTGGTCCGCAGTACGGATTTCAATGGAATTATCCCGCAAACGATCATCTATGATCGATTACTAAAACCTTTGTAACTCCATTGTATCTTGTGCAAATTCAACAAACGAAGGGTCTACGCGGTAGCGAAAACTCCAAGCTGTCCAATGCAACAATCGCGGAAGAGTGACGATGTCGGACTCCAGAGATACCGCCCGCCGTATTCTCACCTTTGTAAATACTAGTACCGGTAATATCCAAATTTGTGATCGACCTCTTCGCCATTTGAGGGAAAATTACACTAATAATCAGTCAAAATGTTGACCTGAAAAAAGACTGGAGTACGGAAAACACTGAAACATTCTGCAAAATTGCACTGGGCAGTACGCATGGTGGTAGAGGGCACTTGGTAGCACTGGAGTGGACCAGACACAAGCTGTGTTCCTTCTATTTAAGTTTCCTTCAGACTTTCATCTCCATCAAAGCAAAGAAGTCAATATATTTATAAGAAAAACACACTGTGTAACTGCATGAATAGCAGCTTCTTACCTATGATTTCAAACTCTGTGCTGCTGCTGTTGTCTCCGGTGGTATTACAACGATACGTGCCCACGTCCGACGGTGAGATATTGCTGAACAGGAAGCTGCGCTGTTCGGAATTCCCTCCGGCGACATGGCCCGCGCAATAGTACTTCTTTCCGGTGTCAAGGTTTTGCGTTTCACAGGAAACATATTGCCTGAAGCACGTCGATACGCAGAATATTTCAATCTTCTGGCCGTACGTAACGTTGTATACGCTCTGCGGATTGTTGGTAGCGAAGTATGGATCTGCACGGGACGGCACACATGACAGACACGTTCCAGTATGGCAAGACAATCAGCAATGGTTCACTCTAGCAATGTCTGTCCGCACTGGGGCGACGTGCAAAGCAGTGGTTTTGTTCTGTTCCTCTTTGTTTCCGACTTTAAACAAGATTCACACTCTGCAGATAAGTACACGCCACAGTGGTCGGTATGGTGATGAGCTTTAGTAGCTATGGCAAAAGTATTACCTCACCTTCTCCACCCGACACCGGGTGTGAGAGCTAGCAGTGCAGTCTCGGTACTCTGAGCATTTCCAGTAAAGCAATTGACTTTCAGTTAAGGCCCTCGTCTGCTGCAGATCAATAGCCTGAATAGGTGTTGGGTGTGCTTTCTAATACATTGGTAATCCAATATTGGATGTGATCGAAGTCACCAGTATAATAATTATAATGGTGACGTCTGGCCACTAAAACTGACAATAATCCTCTGTAGATTTGTCCAGATCTCGATAGCTAGGAAGAGAGTCACCCAAAAGTAATAGGACCCATTCCGCTTTCAAAGCTTCCATGTGTGTAGGAGACAGCACCTACGTACATGTATGAGGTACAGGCCCGCCGGAACCGGTCCAGTTGGTTCGGTGATAACCTGATAACCTGATAACCGGACCAACTCTGCGGCCACCGACGCATGTTTACTGCTGAGGAGGGCATATCTCCCCGCCATAGGGGCATATCTCCCCGCCATAGGGGCATATCTCCCCGCCATAGGGGCATATCTCCCCGCCATAGGGGCATATCTCCCCGCCATAGGGGCATATCTCCCCGCCATAGGGGCATATCTCCCCGCCATATCACACATAACATAATATGAAAGACTATGGTGTAACCGCACCATTTGATAACTGCCTCCGGCGGTCCTGAGTTACACACGAACACATCAAGCACACACATCCACACACATGCATAGACATGTGTACACACACATACACACACACACACACACACACACACACACACACACACACACACACATACACACACACACACACACACACACACACATACACACACACACACACACGCACACACATACACACACACACACACACACACACACACACGCACATACACACACACACACACACATTTTCTCTCTGTTCTACTTTTAGACTTACTTCTGTCAGAGGGAATTGCAATGTCCGCTTCTCTGGGATCCACTAGACACAGGGCGGCAGAGTGTGAGCCCACCACACAGAGCAACAACCCGACCACGACCAGCAGAGATCTCCACACCCTCACAGTCCTTGCCATTCTAGATCCACGGCATCCAGCAAGCGTTGTCTCTGCCGCAGCCACAGAGTAAACTACTAGTGCCGCAGCCTCGGTATTGCCAGTATTGCCTATTGGTAGCTGTCACAGGTAGATCTACTATTGCCGGTCGAGTTTTCTTGCACCAAAATAATTTCAGACTCGGTCGAGCATTGCACAATGGAAAGGCCGCTATGCGGTGCTATTTGGGATGCAGGCGACGAGTGTAGGTCCCAACCGGACGAGATATGCTGTCAGGTCATTCAAAGCAGCGAATCGTGAACACAATCCCGGACCCCCGCTCAGCACGGGCAGAACCTCACCACGTAAAGCTGTTCACCATTGAATGAGTCGAGTCAGCCCAGGGGATCTCTCGCTATCACCCTGTCACAGCCTGCTACGGCCGGGAAACGCTTTGAATGCTTTTATCCTTGCTCTCACTTCCTCTAGCGTTATGGAGCTCAAGTGACCCTTGATGGACACAAATAATTACGGGCCAGATCATTGGACTAGTAAGCGAGCAGTGCTTTCAACATCCGCGTTCTCGAGACACTAATGTAAAAAGAAGTACTGTAATTTCACAAATAATTAATTTTCGTGGAAGAGAAAAGACATATGGATACGAGTTAAGAGTAACTCTCCATCACTGTAACATGATACTATATACATTTATTTATGGTTCAAATTAATTTTCGGTGTACTTTTATTTTCGGTACTTTCGGTGCGTCTGTTTCATACCTAAAATTTCAATACACCGAACAAACACTAACACACATAATCCAATAGGGAACTGCTTCTCTGTACCGAAAAATTTCTGTTCACCTAACCTGGCATGTTGCCCTCATACCGAAAATATTGAGCACCGAAAATTTCTGAAATTAGAGTATTTGATTCTTATACAAGACTGTACTACTCGACTGTAGTAGTACTGTAGTAGGCGGTCAACTGTTACTTCAACAAAAGAACAGGAATTCCGAAGGAGCAGAGCGGCTTATCTAAAAAAATTGTCTGCTGTGCGACTGGAAATCGTCAAAGTGGGTAGGTAGCCTTGCCGCTCGATTCCTCGCTGACAAGACAGCCAGTGCGGCAGTGGCTTCTGTCAGTACAGTCAGTAGGGAGACTACATGTAGATCTACATGTACATTACTACCAAGATAAGAGTAGATAAACGTTTATCTCTACGCTTGCCTTGGTACTTTAGTTGTTATGGAGTTATGCGATTACTAGTACTGACTCTCTTCTCTGTAGTACAGTCTCCTACTACGCACATCAATCATGATTGTCCTGTATGTGCGAAGCGCAAAACCCATTGATTTCGGACACCAACGCCGCTGTGTATGTCTAGACTAGAGGACGTGACTCGACCTCGTCAGCTGTCAACGCACCAGAAAGATACGCTTCATTCCCCCTGACAATCTACATGATCTACAACAGGCTGCATGCTGCGTGCATGTGTACCCGTAATACTAATACTAGTAATAGTAGAGAGGTTTTGCAGAGCGAACGTTCGCGCGAATTTTCGTTTGACGTCACGAAAAGCGAAACTTCGTGCGAACGTTCGCAGTTTTGAACGCGAAAGTTGCAGGAAACGCGAAACAAACTTTCGCAGTAATTTTCGCTCTTTGTGGACCGCTGGTCAGCCTGGTGCACGGTGATCTTCATGTTTGTGCTTTATCTCTACTCTTCAAAGTCTCTTGGCTTGGTCCGCGAGTGCTAGCTTTCCTATACTTGTGGCAACCCGTGTTGCTTCATCTCCAGAACCATCTCCGATCTCCTGCTTGCTCGTCTTCTCACTGCTCAGAGTCGGTTACATCAATGATGCCTTTTGAATCTCACGTGTTGATGCACAAGATTACGACACAAGCCAACCCGACCCGTTTGTCTGTGGGTCTCTGGCCATGGACAACGTAGTCAAAGAGCTCTCGTCTCAGGCCGTGACTCACGGTACCTGGTGCGCGTGCCGCCACTCGCAACAAACAAATAATCGGATGGAGACGACTTCTCAAAAACAAGCGAATACTTTCTTGGAGCGAGATATATACATGCAAACTTTCGCAGTAATTTTCGTCTTTGTGGACTGTTCGTGCACGGTGAGCCACCCTCAGTCCTCATGTTTGTGCTTGATCTCTACTCTTGGCTTGGTCCGCGGGTGCTAGCTAGGCTATACTTGTGGCGGTCCGTGTTGCTTCATCTCCGGGACCATCTCCTGCCTGCTCGTCTTCTCACTGCTCAGAGTCGGTTACACCAACGATGCATCGATGCCTCTTTGAATTTCAGGTGTTGATGCGCCAGATTACGGCACAAGCCAACCCGTTTGTGACTGTGGGTGTCCGGCCATGGACAAGGTAGTCAAGGAGCTCTCGTCTCAGGCCGTAACTCTAGGTGCCACCACTCGCAACAACAAAAATAATCGGATGAAGACCACTCACTGTCACTGTACTTCTCAAACAAGCGAGTGCACGCGAAAATTTCTTGGAGCGAAAAACATGCAAAACACAAATTTCGCACGAACGTTCGCAATAGTTTTCGCAACCCGGAACGCGAAAATCATTGCGAACGTTCGCTCTGCAAAACCTCTCTAGTGTGTTGGTTGGTTCGCTGTTTGGACTTAGCTAATGAAAATAGTGGCAGACTAGTGCCCTGTGCATGTGACAGCCTTGTGACATCGATTTCCCTCGCCTGCCACCGCAGTTTGAGCTGATGTCGTCTGTCGACATGTCCTTCTGAAATATTTTAAAATAAACTTCCTGGCAAACCGTTCGCCTTCGGCAGAATGATAACGACCGGGAAAACAAGCGAAAATACGGCACGAGTACAATCGTGTTGTGATGCAGGACCAGGGAGACAGTCTACTAGTACTACATGTAGTAGTAAAAGAAACTGTTGTAACATACTGGCGGTATTTTAGGACTCCCTGGTCCTGGTCTTGTCAACTGATCAGGATGCTAAAACTAAAACTAATGCATGTTGTAGGGTAGGCCATAGCCTTATAGAGGACCATTCTGCGTGGGATCACACTTAGAGTAGAGTGCAGCAAGGTCGTGCGTAGGGACAGCAGCATTTTTCATAAATCACTGGGATCTGTAGATATTCCGCTACTTTCTACTGCAGAACAACCGAACATGATCAAGTATTGAAGTAAGTGATCCCACGTGCAGAACATGCAACTATGCACACGTAGAATCTCTGGTGTGAAGTGACTCATGCTGGTGATCATGGTGATGGCCCTGGCCTTGGCGGATAATGCCCGCAGAAAGATGGGCAGGATTTGGTACTTAGTCCGGTATGTTTCATGCATGTTTGGCATGTGGATAAAGAATAAGAGTCAGAGTTCAAGGAAGTGCATGCCATGTGGTTTGTATGGTTCTGCCAGCAGAATCTGCCAAGGGCTAACTGGTGAAGTCACCCATACAATGTAGACCCACAGACACTGTAATTTAAAATGGCAACAGCACTGTGTGAGACTAGTTCAATGATGCAGACTACAATTAGTGCAGTACATGTATAAATACCTCTCCACTCACGACTCGATAGTAACGAAGCAGCCAACGGCTCACATGCAGTATTATTTTTAATTCAAGGCATTGTCATTGTCTCGAATTTCAAAATTCAAAGCACTACTTGTACTGGTAAGGTAGTAGTTCAAAAGGATAAAAATAATTGAGCTCATTCCATCAAGTTTGACCAGCTAAATACTGGGGTGAAGTAGACGCATGCAAATGACTGAATATTCCGCCTGAGTTCCTCCATTCTAATACAATCTTATGGTCATGCCAAAAGGCATACTCTTCAAACACTCAGTTAGAAGCAATGCATACATATTCTGGGATACATCAGCTTGATAAGAAACATTATGGCGGAATGTGGTGCATGAAGACCAAGAGTAAAATTGATAAAGATTAGGCCACCTAGAATTAATTCGTTGTTTCGGGTCACTTCACTCATCCGTACCAGGGTCGGTCGGTCGGGTTTATTTTTTATTTTATTTTATTTTTTATTTTGGTTACGTCCATGTGCATACATGTACATCGAATAGCTTTTGTCCATCTAGCCAGTCGATCAAATCTGACTGTAGTGTAGACAATCCAGCGCAGTCATCTGGTCATGGTCCCATCAGATCCAGGTCCCCTCGATGATCCAGGACCAGATCTTGGCCTCGCTGGCAAACGAGTCTGACGAGCAGCTCTCACCTTGAAAACTTCTGTAAATAGCGACAAGGTGGCGGAGCTGATGCTGTTTCAGGACCGATTGTGGATCGGAGATAGAAGACAACGTCATCACCAAGCACCTGTCATTTGGCTAGCCATGACCATTGATGACTGCTTCTGAGGGCGATATCTGGACTGCTATTATTAGGGTCGCGTGTGTACATAGTCTAGTCTGTACATTTGCATCCACTATAAAAAAAAACATTTTGCGGTCGGGTGAAAAAAGACGGTCGGTCGGGTGACCCGAAACAACGAATTAATTCTGGATGGCCTTATTTAGAACTGTACATTGGAGTTGTATCAAGTTGTCGTTCTATAAACTGCGTTCAACATTTGGAAATTAGTTCGGCTGTTCTGCTTCAGAGGAATGCAGCTACTGCCTGCACGGTGTTTTTACCTCAATGCGCATACTAGTACTGTTACACATCAGACCCATCCGCTGTCTCCTGTGCTGGTGCTGGTACTTGGCTAGTAGCTTCTGGCAGTGACGGAGATGATGCCGGGCGCAAGGACAATGATGACGGTGACGGGACGGTTGGTAATGCTCCTGCTGAACATGATAGTGAAGGCTGAGGTGTTAAGGACCGTTCTGCTGGCTCTGAAGACGGTGGTGAAGATGGTGTCGCCGGCTCAGGTGGATGTAAAACATCCGTACAGGGCCGCTGGGAAATCACTGCTGGAGCGCTGACACTTCGGTCTGCATGCTCCAACGTCGCGTCAACCTCTGTTGACACTGGCACGGCTGATGCAAGTGGTGAGCCATGACTGGTCCGTGGACTACAATTGGACATAATGCCAGGCACAGACCTAGCAGAACGAGAGAGCTCTGGACTGTGTTTAATGTGCTCGGACAGTGGACTAAGGGCTAACTGAACCACAGCTGGATTGGGTGCAGATAGAGCGTCCGTGACCTTCGCAAGGTCCAGTTCTTCCTCTTCATTGTCGTCGTCAATGTCCACACTCATATACTCAACACCCTGCATAGACATAACGCACAGTAGACCATACTTTTGATGACATCACAACATTATAAATAATGTATGGATGCTGCATATGCGAAGTGTTTGAAACACTAGTCAATCAAATTGCTGCCAATGCATTACATCATGGTCTGTGGAAATACACTCATATGGGAGAAATGTGAGCAGGTAGAATGTTATAAATTATTTCACGAAGCACAATGTTAATCACCATTGTATTCGACTTGAAAGGTAATGGTACAAAAGGCCTAGTCGAAACTATAACTATGGCTTCTTTGCTTCGTTTGCTGATTCGCTTTCCTCCAGCCAATAATCTATATATTATTTAGAAATGGAAGAGCCCTGACACTGGGTGTGTGCAAAGAACAGGGTTCAAGATACCACTCTTACCCGAGACTGCTTGGCAGCTTCTAGTAGCAGCTCATCAAGGCTTTCACCAAGCTCCTGAAACGTTGGTCGATCCTCTGGGTGCGAGGACCAACATTCCAGCATCATGTCATACCTGTGGAAATGAGACAATACGAAAATGTCATACTCAATAAGCTCTGGTATGAAGGTATGAACATTTTCGAAGAAAGTTTCCTAAAGGCAGGAATATCCACCGCACAGTTTGTGTATTTTACCGGGTACAAGTCAGTGGTAGCAACCTCACGGGGATACTAGCAATAAAATTGGGTTGCTCGATACATTCAAGCAGGGCACAATTATTATTATAAAAAAACATTTCTTGAAGTACGTCCTACAACTATACAAAATTGTCATCTGCAATATACAGTAAACCCTGTAACTAAAGACCACCCCTTGCAGCCAGAGAAAGCGGTCTTTAGTGGCAGGTGGTCCTTAGTTAGAGGTTTGCACAGCACAACCACATATGAATGTGAGACCGTCCGTGCCTGGCGAAGTGGTCTGTAGTACCAGGCTGGTCGCTAGTCACGGTGGTCTGTAGTACCAGGCTGGTCACTAGTCACGGTGGTCTGTAGTACCAGGCTGGTCGCTAGTCACGGTGGTCTGTAGTACCAGGCTGGTCGCTAGTCACGGTGGTCTGTAGTACCAGGCTGGTCGCAAGTCACGGTGGTCTGTAGTACCAGGCTGGTCGCTAGTCACGGTGGTCTGTAGTACCAGGCTGGTCGCTAGTCACGGTGGTCTGCAGTACCAGGCTGGTCGCTAGTCACGGTGGTCTGTAGTACCAGGCTGGTCGCTAGTCACGGTGGTCTGTAGTACCAGGCTGGTCGCTAGTCACGGTGGTCTGCAGTACCAGGCTGGTCGCTAGTCACGGTGGTCTGTAGTACCAGGCTGGTCGCTAGTCACGGTGGTCTGTAGTACCAGGCTGGTCGCAAGTCACGGTGGTCTGTAGTACCAGGCTGGTCGCTAGTCACGGTGGTCTGTAGTACCAGGCTGGTCGCGCACGGTGGTCTGTAGTACCAGGCTGGTCGCTAGTCATGGTGGTCTGTAGTACCAGGCTGGTCGCTAGTCACGGTGGTCTGTAGTACCAGGCTGGTCGCTAGTCACGGTGGTCTGTAGTACCAGGCTGGTCGCTAGTCACGGTGGTCTTTAATTACAGGTTTTACTGTATTGCCCAAACTGAGCAGCTGCATTGAACAACTTACAAATGTGCAGGACATGCTACGGGCTCCTCCATACGATGGCCGGCTAGCAGTATAGCCAGAACGTTCTTGGTGGGTACGCCAGGGTACGGAATACAGGCTGGGTACAGAATCCAGGAACAGAATGGAATAATTTGTTTGTTTGAAGTTCTATATTACATCGCAAACCAAACGGGCATTGATGCCCAATATTATGATATTTTACATTCTACTGCTGTGAAACCAGTAGCGTGAGTTAAGCTATCATGCACAACTGTTCTTTAGTGATGTGTACATCAGTAACACTGAATCTGAGAAGGAGTTTGCTGCAGTAGAGCCTCCATGCATATGCACTGGAGAAGTATGACATCCTTGCAGTGCCCAGCTGATGCCAAAAGTCTATCACATTCCGACATGCAAACAAACAATCGTGACCTTTCGGCTTATCAGCTCATTACAGTCTCGCCCTATACCGCAGCTGAATTTATTCCGAAAGTGTTTCTGCAGCTGACCCGATGTGCGAGTGTGATTGGACAGAATAATATAGAGAATATTGATGTCAGCACTACATGTACTAGTTTGTACAAAGGTAGACGACCTTTGTCCATGCTAGTAAGTTGATAAGACTTCTTCTGCCTTACCTAATGTTGCAATTTCCCAGAGAACCACACCAAACGACCACCTGAGCAGATTAACAAGGAGAAAAAGCACACATTAAAGCGTTAATAAAGATACATGTGTTGAAGGGTGTATAAATCCAGTGCAGCCACTTGCACACTACTCATAAGTCAATCCAGTGCAGCCACTTGCACACTACTCATAAGTCAATCCAGTGCAGCCACTTGCACACTACTCATAAGTCAATCCAGTGCAGCCACTTGCACACTACTCATAAGTCAATCCAGTGCAGCCACTTGCACACTACTCATAAGTCAATCCAGTGCAGCCACTTGCACACTACTCATAAGTCTCTCTCTTTCTCTCCAAATGGTGAACTTACTGTGAACAGCGGATTTAATATTTCACCCAAGTTTTGTCCTCAGCAAAACGACACTTCAGTTGGTACTCTGCTCCTTCAGACAGCAGCTGTTTCGATCATCAGGATCTCGTCAGTGAAGGTTAATAATGTAGAATGGCTGACAGATAGTGAACTTCATCCTTTTGTAGCAAAAAGGGGAAGGATGAAGTTCACTATCTGTCAGCCATTCTACATTATCAACCTTCACTGACGAGATCCTGATGATCGAAACAGCTGCTGTCTGAAGGAGCAGAGTACCAACTGAAGTGTTGTTTTGCTGATGGTGTGCTGTGGCAACGTGTTGAGGTCGGCCGGAGAGCGCAGCGGTGTGGTGTGGTGGTTGATGAGAATCTGGACAAGGCCGAATGCTGCTGCTTACCCCTCTTGATCATACGTTTTGTCCGGGCTCATCATCAGGGTAAAAGAAAACTATCATAGTGACAAATAGCTTGCACAAAGGTATGTGTATGTGTAGTAATATGGTGACAGGCAAGCACTGTGAAGATAGATATTCGTTCTGGATGTTCCTTTCTGGATAAGTTGGGAAACAAGGTGATTGCCGTCGATGGCCCTGTGTAGCCAAGATACTCTCAAAGCATACACATAGAAAAAATAGAGAGAGACCTGAGAGGACGGGAGAGAGAGAGAGAGAGAGAGAGAGAGAGAGAGAGAGAGAGAGAGAGAGAGAGAGAGAGAGAGAGAGAGAGAGAGAGAGAGAGAGAGAGAGAGAGAGAGAGAGAGAGAGAGAGAGAGAGAGAGAGAGAGAGAGAGAGAGAGAGATAGAGAGAGAGAGAGAGAGAGAGAGAGATTGGAGAGAGACACCAGGTAAAGATCAGCTTTTTCATGACCGGCTAAAGCTTACACATCACTTTGAACAGTATAGGAGCCTTTCTGAAGTGCTTCCACTGCATGCCACTTGACGGGGATGTGCTTGCTGCTGGACCGTTGATAGATGCCCTCGGTATCAGCTACAATCCGTGAATGACCATAATCGGATATCTTCAAGGTGAAATTTTCTGTTACAAGAACATTCCTTGCCGCCAGGTCACGGTGAATAAACTGTGCAGGTAAATACAGACCAGATAAAGGATAAAAAATAAAATAAATTATCGTGTCCGTTCCCAAAGGAAACTCACGACAGCCGCTAACACCCGGTAATCCCTAGCGGCAGATGCAGCGCCTAACGGTGCGGGTGAGTGGATAAGTCTCACAACCACTGGCACAAGTGCCGGGAAAGCCCATTAGCCGCAGCAGCAGATAAAGGATAGGCGTGAGCGAGTTTGAATTCACATGCATGGAATGCGTACTGCCTTGTAGCTGCTGTGTAGAACTACTTTCCGATGTCCATTGCAACTACATCCGCATCACAAGACAACAAACCCACCCCCACCAGCTGGAGACAACCCACCACCCATGCTTCTGCCTAGAAAGGACGACTTACCTGTCTAGACGTGAGAAACTCCATTCCTTTAGCAATTTGCCGTCCGAAGGCAAACACGTTGTCCGGCTTGAGCAGGTCGTCTGCATTCGGCATGGACTTGATGTCCAGGAATGAAGGGTGGTCTGTGCTACTGCGAGACCGACTGGAGCTGCTGTAACCGTCATCGCTGGTGATGCTGTCAAGCCGTCGCAGCTGCTTCTTGATACGCGCCGCAGCCCCGCGTCGCCTGCGCAGCATGCTCAGCAGGTTACCACGAGCGGCGTACTCCAGGATCAATATGGGAGTCCCTGTGCATTCCCAACAAAGAGTATGCAGTCCCGTCAGACTGAGTGCAACATAGAATCTATCTTGATAGCATTGCTCTTGCAGCCGTTTTTGTTGTTGTTGTTGTTGTTTGAAATCTTTTATTCTCACGATGGCCTGTGGCCAATAAGAGAGTTTTTGTTGTTGTTGTTGTTGTTGTTTTTGTTGTTGTTGCTGCTGCTGCTGCAGTTTTAGAAGATAAATATGGACTCGGATGGTGAGCCAATATAATTAGGGTAAAAAAAGGTATTGCGTCATTTTGTCGCAATTGCTGACTGTATATGATTTGGTCACGTTGGTGGACAGTTAGTCATAACTCGTAACATTTTGTCCTTTTACGAAGTAGTGGTTGCGACTTCGGCGATGATTTGTAAGAAAGGGTATTGAGCATTGTGTATTGAGCAGGGAGTGGTGCTTTCTTGCAGGTTTGCCGAGTCGAAGGTTCGATGGACTTCTCGTGTGCTCTGGATGGCAGTCGTGAGTCAGTCAAGTGTCAAGTAAAGTCGGCGGAATAGCGCGAGCTCCGGTGTGGGGAGCAAACCCTTTCTTATTTTGTCCTTTTCTCCTTTTTTTACCAGAAGATAAATTGTCAATGTATATCAGGGTTAGCAGCTCTTAGAGAAGGGTCAGCGCCAGCAACAGTTGTGAAAGCTTAGTGGGTCAAAAGTGGGCCAGTGTAGCCAGAAGAGTGGAGAAATGTCATTATGAGTACCGTAATTTCCATCAGCTTGAACATAATTATGTAAACATTATACATACTTGTATGCCTACACACTTAGATGCTAATGCTGATTGATTGAGCAATGAGAGCTTGATGCAAATGAACAAACACCAATCATCGTGCCACAATAGGAATTGACTGCTGCATGAGGCCTCTTGGTCATTAATTCCCATGACTGACCTTCGGTGAAGCAGATTCCAAGCATCGACATAACGTTTGCATGAGGCCTCTGCCCTAGCTGCCATAATGCCAGAATCTCCTTTCCGGTTTCCATGATGGATGATATCTGTGATTCATCTGCATGCCGAAATACACGTAGATGACATAATAATTATGGAGTATAGGTGACATCATTACTGACTTCGCCAACCCTACTTATACACTACACTGAATAAGCCCGTGAGCAGACATTAGCCACAACATGACACTGGTCCTTCTCATTGCCGCATTTTGAATGCATGTACTGGATAGTAGAAGAAAACTGAGTCATAATTTTTGGATTCAGGAAGCATTTCTCATGCGGACATTGAGCAGCAGATATTGGACATTCAAGCACGACTAAGGAAAAGTACACCTCGTTAACACCACATGCTCAAAGACAGTAATCAAAACCTCCCGGCTAACAAAGAAGGACAACCCTTCCAAAGTGTTCTAACCTTTTGACCATTTTAGGGCAACTTCAGTTTGAAGCTGTCCTGCCTCAAGGTTGTGTACTATTCCACGATGAACAACACCAAATGCTCCCCGTCCGATCTCCTCCGCAATTCTGATCTGCTCGACATCCACGACAAGACCTTCCATGGAATTCTCATCAATCAAGAATGCTTCGCCTTTCCATGTCAAGTTTGCCTTGTGAAGAGAAAGAGAGAGAGAGAGAGAGAGAGAGAGAGAGAGAGAGAGAGAGAGAGAGAGAGAGAGAGAGAGAGAGAGAGAGAGAGCTTGTTCTAATCACGGCCGCAAATTGTGGCAACTATCAAACCGGCGATATCATTATGACAATTCTATGATGGAGAGTCATACCACGCATCCTTCCCCAAGTCAGTACTCTCACCACCAAGGCATGATTATTATGCCGAACACAATCTTAGCAGGGGCTTACTCATAATTAATAACAATGGTGGATGACCATAGGATCAATAGGGTGAGTATTACCTGTGTCATGGATGATGTCATCCTAGTCTTACCTGTGTTAGGGATGATGTCATCCTGGCCGCCAGCACCATATCATTGCTGGAGCTGTAGCGCAGTGCAGTTCCCGACCTGCTGTAATCGGAGTCGGAGTCGGGCATACCTGCGCTGCTAGCTTTCCGGCTGGAAGCACTGGCCCTACGCTTGGTGCCGCTGGACGACCGTCTCCGTGGCTTGCTGAGTGCCTTGTGCGTGTTGGCACGGTAACGTACAAACATGATGATCCCGGCAAGCAGGATGAGCAGGACTAGGGCCGATGAGCCTGCCACCAAACCGTACACTGTCCCCATGTTGCCCAGCAGTGGACTTTGTGTGCCATCGCCCACAGTCAAGGAATCATTGCCAGGCAATATACTGCGGTCCGTAGGCTGTGTACTATCACCCACACTATGGACATCATTGTCCTTAGTTAGTACTGAAGACCATGACGAGGGTTGAGATCGCATGGGCGTGTCCACATCTACATGTGTATCACTGTGCTGGTCAGCTGTTGCCAAGGTTACGTTGTCGCCACTGGTCATGTTACTGGCGTAGGCTGGTGATGTTGCCATGGGTACCAGGGTTGCGGTTGCTGTGGATAGAGTGGATACAGTAGCAGAATGACACAGCGGTCGTGCTTCATCGCCATGACTTGGTGACACACCACCCACAACATTATCACTGCCACCATCACCGCCAGCAGTGGGTATACTGTACTTGAGCTCTGCGGGAAGGGTGCTGTGCCATGGCGACACCACCTTAAGCTTCAGATTATGTAGCTTGGTGTCAAGAGGCGCACCGTGACTCGTCACCCTCCAGTGCAGCGAGGCATGACAGTGCGCTGAGGAGCTGCGCCACCATACTGCTATGTTGATGTCATCATTGTCCAGAAGGGTTGCGTGCGAGTCTTCATAAACATTTCTGAACACCGTGCATTTCTTGCAGTTCACACACTTCGCCGACTTCTTCAACTTTGGCAGTAGATAGCAAGCCTTGACGATGGCCAGAGGGTTTCCAGCCACGATCATAGTAACATTTAACTCTGTACTGTCGGTACTTTCATTGGTGTGTGTGGTTACGTTTGCTTCCCAGAGGCTGATGTTCTCTGCAGCAAGGGACAGATTCCACGCATAATCACAACACATATACTTAGTAGTAATATCATACTTTTAAAAAGGCGACTTGGAGACAATAATCTTAATAATGCAATGAATAAATCTATATGCGCACATCCATACAATGGCTTTTAGCATGTCCTGCTGAAAGCCTGCATGGCGACTGGCCAATTTCAAGGCTAATCTCGGCTAGCACATACCAGTTCTGGCTATTCTCAGACGTGTGCTCACCGCACCGAGGAAATTCATCACTTTGCACTGGTACTCCGGCTCATAGTCGGTCGGCGATATCTGTAGAAGGTCTTTGCCTGCCGTCAAGCCGTTCGCGTCAATCCAAGACGCCTATACATGTACATGGATATAGAATGTACAGTAGATCAGTGTAGTACACCAATGTCAGTATAGTCATGCCAGAGGAAACTCTTCGTGTTTTTTGTTTCGCCCAGACAAGACAGTGGATAGGGAATGTAGCAAAGGTGCTACTCCGTCAATCCAGTCCCAAGTACATCTCAGCATCAGATGCAATCACCCAGCATTCCATAGTAATACAGGCTAGGGAATTGTCCTAAAGTAAAACTAACTTCGGCATACTGGTAACATGCTTTCCAAAGATACTTCGGAGGTAACATACTATGACTTACAATCACATGTATTCAATCTGCGGACAGAGCTGTTTCATGCTATGACTTATACCCGTATTATCTCTAATATATGCACGGTCCTTTATTTTTTCAATGTACCTCCGCCCCGTGCTATTAATGGAGACGTTCCTTTATTGGAGACTGTTCCATTATTATTTCAACCTCATTTCAGAGGCATGTTGCCATGCCAAATTCATGTCAGACACACACATTTCAGGGGTTTTTCGCCGGTACAGATTATGAATTTCCACAGTGTGCTTATAATGGAGACTGAGCACTTTATTTTTTGAATGCTGCCCCAAGGTGTTCTATTATTGGAGACTGTGCTTATATTAGAGATAATACGGTATTACGAGTAGTACTGAAGTGCTATATAATCTGAATCATGACCATGCAAGTTACACATCCAGCTGTTGGATCTTGGATATACAATACCCCAGCTATCAAATACACGTACATATTCAGGTAGCTATGGCCCTTGAAGGCTTGGTATACCCCAGTTGCACTATAGTTACATCCAATGGGTCAAACAACAAAAATGGCAAGTCTTACTTACATTGCCTTCCGGTAACAGGCCTTTTTCAGTTAAGCAGGACACATTGAACACCTGGGTCTCATTGGTATGGTAAGTTTCTTGTATGTAGGCCAGCGTTGTGTCATTTGTTGCTTGTCGGAAGTACAGACGGTTGCTTGTAGAACGGAATATTGCCGTCTTGGGTTTGTTCCCTGAAACGAAACATCGACAAATAGGCATTCACTGAGAATCTATGAAAGTAGCGACAGTTATTTCTGCCGCTCTACATCTCATCTGATCATCACAGGCTGTCGGAGTATGAACCCACAGATTGGTATCCACACCATGTTCATAAATCTGGCCTGCAGAAAATTGTCATTTTAGAATAATGGATATCTTACGAACAGCAATTTTTCAAATTGTTGCTATGCCATTGCTATGCTGTGACATAGTACTTTCAAGCCCTATTGTCTGTGCTGTGGTTGACTTCACTCTTTACTGCTATCGACTGGCTTTTCATACAATACCTATTGATGTGTAGAGACATACTGCCTAGCCTTCCCCTCGTGCGCTTATTGATACCCTATCCAGCTGTCCAGTGGCTCTCCTTCCACCGCTCCCTATCTCGCTATACTCTTCTTCACACTCTATCAGTTTGCATCTTCTTTACAATAAAATTAGTTCAGTGACTGACGAGTTCCAGATCATGGCAACCACCACCACCACTACTACTACTACTATCTCCTTGGCATGTGTAGGCCATGCAACACGTCTCCACTTTATCACCATCAGTACAACATACATGCATGCACACAGAGGAGCAAAGTGCACAATGACCAGTCGGTGTCCTCTTGTCACTGACATGCCCTTGTTTTCACTGACCTATGCCTGTGATGTTGAAGGTGATACCGGTGTTGTCCCTGACCACATCCTTATCCGTCCAGCATCGGTACATCCCGCTGTCCGCCTCCGTGAACTGGGAGAACTCGAACACACGTTCACGCTGCTTGATGAAAAATATGAGGTACGTTGACTTGCACTTGACTATCTCGCCGGTATCGACGCGCACTAGATCGCAGGCAACATTGTTAGCCAGTCTGTACGACGCACAGGGCACCTGCAATGTGTTGCCATACACCACCGTGTACGTCTGCCGCGGGTAGTTCTCCGCAAAGTCCGCATCTATAACACGGAAGAAACATTGAGAAGGCACTTGGTCACGTAGCTGGGCTTGTAGCTCACCGACTGCGGGCACTCGAAATAGAATCTTGTGCGTGTATTACGTTGAAAAACAACAGTCTCTCGCTGCCACATCAAAGCTAAAGAAAAGGGGGCTACCTTTTAGTCACATCAAAGCAAAAATTAATAATGCTCAATGTTCGTGGGCTAGTCTCCTGTTTGGTTTCTACATTAAAAGCTTATAATTATTTTACAACAAACCGTGACCATCCAGTTTAATCCGGTCACCGCCGACTTTCCGTAGGAGTCAATCGCAAAACAAGTCTGAATGAAATCTATTGCCATGTGCCTACGTATATAGATACTTTTCCCAGAATACATGCATTCTCCAGTGTTGCAAACGAAAACTCCGTAGGTTCTCATTGAAGTGATAAAGCAAAATGTAGTGTGCTCGAGAGAAATCACCAGGGTCCGCGTAGCTGTGCGAAATCACTTGTGCTACGGATAAAGCTAACCACCCTGTAACTCGCAGGCTACTGAGTACTGTTCGTGTGTGGGTACAGTACATGCACCGGTACGGTATGACCACAGTGTGTCGACTCTCAACTTACTTCGGGAGGATCTGGTGAAGTAGGCCTTGTACAGCGGAATTGCCACACTGCAACGGACGATCGCCAACGCCAAGATCAACAACGTCTCGACAAGAAACACGCATCGGAGGGGACCCATCCTCTGCCTTTTCGTGTCAGTTTAGAAACTGCTCGCTTCAACTTTGAGCAAGCGAAGTGAAGCGAACTTTGGGTTTGTAGGCGGTTTCAAAAGCACAAGGCAACAACTGGTGCCGTCGAGGTGCCTTCGGTTCCCGCTCCGCTATTGCTTGGCGAATGTTGTCGTGTTGCCTGTCAGGTAAACACGGTGTAGCGTTGTCACTCCAGAGCACATCACGGTTGGTACTCTACGACACATTCTAACCGGCTTTGTCATCCATACCCAGCTGCTCGAACCGAGCGAAGACCTTCCGAAAATGATCGATCTCCAAGAGAGGTGTTCCTGTTTTAGTCATTCATCAATGTGCTCGCACGCCGGCTGCTGAGCAGTCTGTTCGAAACTTCCTCGGCCCACAAAGACCAGGAGGTGGGTTTCTTTCAGTGAATGGCTTTTTCGGAATTCCTATTTCCACCACCAGCAGATTGTCGTCCTCTGTATCGTCGTATTCTCCCCCGCAAACATACCGATAAACTACGGAGAGGGGATACCAGCCGACCAAATGGACAAACTAACTATTTACGTGAAAGCTTCCATGATTGCGCTTCACTGCTTCCAACACGGTCTTTGCATTTTCTCCTTGACACACGCCCAGGGTGATAGATGCGACCAGGTGCCCACACATTTCAATGTAGGCTAGATCTACTGGGCACCCTTTCACATTTTTCAGACAACCGTACCGGTTCCACAGCACAGCTGATTCGAAATGCGTGTGCCCAGCATCCAAGGGACCAAGCAATCATGACATGAGTCTCGTGAACGGTTTGCGAACTGGAGAGATAGCAAGTATGACGTGTGCCCATGCTCAGCCTCGAAGCCTCCGATCCGAGCTAGCTCGAGCCTCACAAATAGACTTGCCACGTGCTGAATGGCAGTAAGCAGTCAAATCAGCGGAGCTCCGGAGGTCATACGCGCTGGAGACGGATGACAACCACACAGCAGGCAGACAGTGGCCTGCAGCCTTGTCAAAAATACTCCTCGACCCGAGACCTGGATACAGTCAGTATTCGCCCTAAGAGCCCTGCACAACAGCCATCGGGCGTCTGAAACCACAGAGCTGTCACTCCGCGTTATGATCAACGACAGTAGACAGAATGGGAAAACGCAGGCCGTGTCCTCCAACGGAGCAACTCTGACACATGTAACACGGAAAGAACGACGGTCTGTAACACACCGGTCGCGTACCGACTGTGCCGAGTGTGCGTATTGCTACACGAACATGTTCTAGAACATACCGGTAGCTGCTGCGAGACTACATTGTAGTCGATACGATACTGAGTGAGTGCATGATGGTAGGACAACTGACCGCGCAAATAAAACTGTAAAACCACTATTGGCAGTATTGCCAGCGCTGGTGTGAAGACCACTGCGACAGTAGACCCTGGTAGACTGATGTCACCACGTCACATAGGCAATACGTCGTATGCGGTGTGTGGCAAACACAGCTTCACACGCACGCCGTGTCGAAGAGCACAGAACGAGTTACTTGACATCACGTGCGCTCCCCCTACCTGTGGCGCGTTTCCTTGGTATACCAACCCACAACGGATAACATACAGAACAGAGAGTTACTTCAGAAGAAGAGTAAGCAAATGACAGTCAGTTACGTAACAATTCGACCTAAGAGTAAGAAGCCATAGCGGATCCACCGTCAAAGACTAGATTTCCTGACTCCACATTTGGCATTCGCATCTTGGAAATAGAAACAGCCCCGGGAGTGCTATTCCCTGATAATAGGGCTATTTCCATTTCCAAGTTAAGCATTATCGTCAGGTCTATACATGCCGGTGGAGGTTCACATATGAAACATGGTGCAAACACTAATACAAAGCTGTAAGAACCTTACACAAAGTTACACCATGAAATACTCGCAACATACAGGGTGACAAAATAATGCCGTTTGAGCACATGCAATGGCTGATATTCTAACCCCTAGGGAAAGGCACGAAAAATGTCCGCAGCCAACTCTGTCCACAACTCCTACACATGCCCTGGCAAGGCAAAGTCGCTTTACACAAATATTTTTCAACCAAACACGAACTCCTCCTACTGATGTTCCTTATCTCCTACACCGCGGCTCGTGCGCGTCACAGTGAGTGACAAGAGAGAAAGGGCATGCGCATGAGATGGCAGCCTACCCACGCATGCATGACCAAGAGCTAGAGTAGAGGCCCAGTAGAGACTGTCCCATTCATCCCAGCCAATAGACCGATCCCCTTATTATACTGGGTTCGAGCACGGGGGCAACCTCTCTCGCGATCGAGCTAGTTTTTGAACGTGACAGCATCTTTGACAGTGTGTTTTCAAATTTGTTTTGGAATGTCTTCTGATTAGTTCAAGTGGTTTGCTGGTGCTGAACCTCCTGCTGGTAGGAGCAGAGTCTCCGAGAGAGATATGGACTGTGATGCAGCTGCAGGATTTTTTGAAGGCGCGGGAGGGAGAGATCTCGGGCCACAAACAGGAGTTACTCTAGAGGTGAGTTTTTTGTTGTTCAAATCGCGAATCGTGTTTTGAGATTTATTGTTGTGCCTGGGCTTCAAGTACGCTACACCGTATTCCTTTCTCCTTGAGATCGGTGCTGAAGACTATACTAGTAACCTTTTCTGGTCTGCCTTTTCCTCTCCAGAGCCATCTTCTAGGAAGGTAACCGTGGTGCTGCCAAGTCACGATCGCGATCTGCAGCCCTGAAGTTGAAAAATCGATTTTCCAACGGTCTGCGGGTTGGACATCAGCTACTAAAGTACTTCTGATTTGTCTGTAGTGACAACAGCAGCCATCCTTGGACACCTTGCAAAGACAGGAAAAGCCACTGGTGGAAGCGACTGCTATGAGGTGACGATATCAGTGGCGATCGCTGTTTTGTCAAGTCGAAGGGCTAGCCCACCCAGAGGGAGCATTCAAAAAAAAATGATGAGCAGTATGTGGTATTTGTTGAGCGTGAAGAGCTAGAGGAGGACAGTGCTAACACATCATGTGTGACATGGAAGGAGTGCATGGTGCTTGAAGAACAGTGTGCTGTGTGCAGGCTGGTGGTGATGGCGGTCTTTGTCAGCATGTATTCGTGCTGCTTCTTGTGCTGGAACACTTCTCGCCCAGGAAGGCAGATTGCGTGCTCCCTGGCCCTCAGTCGGCAATGGGGCATTTGTTCCAGGAACATTACCGCAGAGCCAGTGACGAGTCGGACCTTTGAAAAGTCAAAGCTTGCCGTTGATCGGAAGCGTAGCGCAGTGGACTGCTCCCTCGTCGAAGCACGAGGGCCAAAGCTTGCCGCTGTCTGCAGCAAAGTATGTGTGCGGTTCTTTCAAACCTATGAATATACCCCCCCCCCCTCTTAGGGAGACTGCGCATGTTCAGAGTGAACTATTTTCTAGTATATTTAATGTGAGACGGGCTGCCTATGCCCAAGATGAAGATTCAGTTTTATTTTCCGTTTCTATACCTTCCTAATAAAATGACAGAGCTTTCAGCCATACTCCACTTTACTACATCCTCAACCCGTCACCACAATGCGCTCTTGGCCGAACTAATGCACGAAGCATAAACACACCAGCACAGCAAGGACACTTCCATTGACAGATACTGTTTATGCCTCTAGACAGCTGTTTCGTTCCTTCGAGCTCATCGTTAGAGGAGGATACTAATGATGATATAAGATAATAATATAGTTTATGGTCCGATATTGATGATTGGAGATCTAAGAAAGCAATGACAGTGATTGCGAAATGTATAATATTATCATGATTATATGCCAGTCTGGTAATGCGTTGTACTGGTGGACAGTATTGAAATCATCACTGCATTCAATGCAAATAATGGTATACCTTTAGTTTCAGCATTGAAAAAAAGAGTAAGAGGACTTGGTTGATTTGGTTGCATCTAAGACTGGCTACCGGGTGTTGTAACCAGCAATGTTACCATGGGAGAAAATAAGAGCACAAGGATCTGTTGGGTCTTGCCGTGCCGGTGCTTACCCTAAGTGCATGGCAAAATAGAACAGTTTCATCCACAATGCAGAATGTCTTGCGGTACATGGCATTGATGACTGAACATCTGGCCAGCTCGCCCAGATGGGGATGATGCCCAAACGGAGGAACAAGAAATCTCTCTAGCTCAGCTAGTTATATACCATGAAACGGATGATTTACTTGTGCCAAATATGAATGCGAGCTTCTGTTCCATTCGGCCCAGGCGTAGACACATCAATGCCAATAGCAGCTGATCCTCCATTACATGCTCATTGGCGATTTACGGCTCTCCAACTGTATCTGCCGTCCCTCAGCTTCCGTCTTCGCAGATCTGGCGCGGCGCAGTACATTTTCTGGGCTAGGCTCAAGGAAGCCCCACAGAGCGGTCCAAACACCTGAAGGCAAACCAGTCAGAAACTGGAGCGGCTCAGAGTCTTCCTTTATGTTATCGTACGTAAGCAGCTGTATTCGGCTTTCTTCACCCCAGTCCTCACATCGTCCAACTGCTCCTCGAGACTCAGTACACAAGCTCTACTTGCTGCCATCTACTGATGCAGATGCTGCACTTCCATTACAGGACCAAACTGCACTAAGCCAGGCTCCTTTCCAACTCAAAGTGCCGTTGCCTCTCAGCAAAATACTAGTTTGCGAGCATGGGGAGCTCGTGATGCAGATGCTGCACTTCCATTATAGGACCGAACTGCACTAGGCTCAGCAAATACTGTTTAGCGAGCCTGGGGAGCAGGGCGTCCAGACTCCACTATCTTGCGAAAAGCAAACCTGGTAGGACAGCTGTTTGGTTTCCTGGACTCATCCTGCCCTAGTAGAGCTGGGCAAAACGATTTCCATGTCGGGATCGAAATGGTCGCTGCAACTCGAATCATGATTCAGAGTGACCCTAAAACTACGTCCTTCCTCACGGGGAATAGCCTGGATCCGCTTGTTCCAGGCCGCTCTGGCTCCACACGAGGAAAAGAGTGAAATGACTTGTTTGCTTCGTCCTCCTGCTCTGACAGTGAGGAACGCAACAATGATCCTGAGAAGGCATCCTGAAGTCGTAAAAAGGAAGACGTCTGAACAAAAACAAACAGCTCAAATCAAAAGTCCTTGTGACATTTTTGTAGACAGGCTTGCACTGCATGTAGATTTCACGTGCTCTGCACTTCGCATGCAAGAAGTCACGCACAGCCGAGGTGAGTTGGGTCGCGTGTGTGAAGTCGGATGCCCACGCGACTGCGGAGTTGCCCCCTTGCTCGAACCCAGACAATAATAAGGGGATCGGTCTATACCAGCTGCTACTACGGCTATCAGCCTCAAGCAACACGAGAGCAATGACCTCACCATCAAACTACTACTTCCAAAATAGTGCAGAGAGCAAGGCTCAAGGAACAGAATCATCTTGCAAACTTGGTCTCAATTGAAATCAGCCTCAGAAAAGAATAAAGAAATTGACATACATGCTTGATTTCTGAATAATATATTTTGTTCTCAAGATAGCAGTGCATATCTCAACAGTAGTGCAGCAGTGTTGGGTAGAATTGATATATCTATGTGGCCAGTGGATTGTGGCACCATTATCTTGGTGAAGGACAGCCGGTCTGAATCAAGCCATGCCATACTTGGCATGGAGGTGTTTCAACGGAATTATGCCATATATAATAGCTCAACGAGGGACTCGCCTTGCGGCTTTTGAGATATAACAGAAAATAGTCGTTGATGCACAAAAGTCAGCACATTCACAACAAGAGTAACTAAGCTACAGAGCTTGGTCTGCTGCAATCAAGAAATTCTCTACCTAGGCTGATGCGTCGGCAGAGGATGTGAACTGCGACGACTCGTCAAAGTTCAAACTCACTGGCAAGAAATCGGCCAGACTGAGCTTTCTAGGGTGTTCTTCCTGTTCCTCTTCGACTTCAGTCTCTCTTGTCTGTAGAGCAGTTTGATCCAGACTCAGGTACTCCACACCCTAGAAACAAAAGAATAATGACACGAAACAAGTCACAGATAAGACGAGGAGAGAAAGCCATCTATTCGTGTATTCAATCCACATCCCATAGCCTGCAATGGCCAATCAAGGGGGGGGGGGGCAACCACACCTGAGAAGCAAAAAGAAATAGACAGGAGTGGAGAAGAATAGATTATCAGAAAAGTAATACAAACTCCTTCCAGCTGGTTTCCTGCATTGACACTTTACAGAAGCTGTTACTTCCTCAATCCTGTTTCACACCGTGATAGTTCTCACAAAATAGAACCTGACATGGCCCCATTTAGCATCGGTGTGATCTGCACTTTCGAAAACTGCTTCTCCAAACATTACATGACAGGCTCTTGTCTCATCACCATATTTTCAGCTCAATGGCTTCATTCCTCATCCCTTATCTACTGCTGGGGTGGGGGAGTGGTACAGCCCACTATAGATCCATTTGTTTCATTTTTCAATTGCCGAACGCTGGCAGACATTTCCTTTTAAGACCACCAATGAAGTGTTTTGTATGCCAATCATATGCACTGATGCTAGTGAGAAAATTAATGGCATTTTGGTACCTATTTATGCACTCGCACTGGACATATGATGTGAAATTGCCGCCAACCAAAGATAGGAGCAATTTCTTGGAAAGTCAGTGTTGAATGCCGTGAAAAGGCAGCAAAGCAAAGAGCTCTGAATCATGCTGCATTCCCTGTGTTATCTGTAGTGCATGATTGATCAAATGTACCATATCGCGGCAGGAGATGGAGGATTGCCCAGCGCCTGAAACTTGCAGTCACAGCAGAAGCAGCCTGTAATCTACTGTGTGTGTCTGCACATAGCGCTCAACTCTGGCTAGGGGTATATACATAGCGCTCAACCTGGCTAGGGGTATATAAGACCAGCTCAAACAATCTTGGCCAGTTCAGCTAGAGCAGCTCAAATATATTATACTTGAGCTGCTCAAGCTGAACTGGCACCTGATTGTTGATCTTGGTAAGTGTGCTACGAAGTAAGTCTTACCCTTGCTGTTCTCGCCACATTCTGAAGCTCATTGTCAAGTGTGTCCACAAGCTCACTGAAGCCAGGCCGCTTCTCCGGTTCAACCTGCCAGCAGGTCTCCATCACCGAATATCTAAAGAGTGAGAGAGAGAGAGAGTGAGTGAGTGAGTGAGTGAGTGAGTGAGAAAGAGAGAGAGAGAGAGAGAGAGAGAGAGAGAGATAGAGAGAGAGAGTGAGTGAGAGAGAGAGAGAGAGTGAGAGTGAGAGAGAGAGAGAGAGTGTGAGAGAGAGAGAGAGAGTGAGAGTGAGAGAGAGAGAGAGTGTGTGTGTGTGAGAGAGAGAGAGAGAGAGAGTGAGAGTGAGAGAGAGAGAGTGTGTGTGTGAGAGAGAGAGAGAGAGAGAGAGAGAGAGAGAGAGAGAGAGAGAGAGAGAGAGAGAGAGAGAGAGAGAGAGAGAGAGAGAGAGAGAGAAGAGAGAGAGAGAGAGAGAGAGAGAGAGAGAGTGAGTGAGTGAGAGAGAGAGAGACATTGTAATAATGTACACAGTTCTTGTATGTACTTGTGTAAACGAATTCGGGATCCCGGCAGATGTCTGGAGTGAAGAGCTCACAGCATTGACCCTCCAGAGAAGGTCATTGTCTAGTGGATTTCAGTCACGCAGTCTTGGAGAGGAAACCGCCACTACTTCAATGATGTACAATCCAGCCATCTTCACTTGTGGCTTTCCAATTACATACATTTTTGGTGGCTCTTAAGGGAATAAATGGAACTAGACTTTAGATTTTTTTAAAGCAAAACAATTTCCAGAGCTCATCGAGTCTTGCCATGTATTTGTTGGTTTGTTTTAGACATCACACCACCCCCTGATCAAACAGCAGTAGATACTTCACCATAGAAAAGCCGTTCACTTGGAAATCATTCTGACACGTGTATTTTCTGAATCCCTGCGGGGCCTCATTTATAATCACAAATATAGGCCACTTACAAATTTGGCGGACAATCGCCAGGCTCTTCCATGCGATGGCCAGCGGATATGGAAGCCAGCAAGTCTTTGGTTGCTATCGTCGGGTATGGCGTACAGCCTGGGGGAACATTGGAAAACCCACAACAAGAATTCATTATCATACATGCCCTCGCAGGTACAACATGTAGTGCAAGCCATTAGCAGCTGTGAACTAGAATAGATCCATCTGATGAAACATCTGTCTCTGGGATTTGATGAAGTAAAAATGAACTCACCCAGTGTGGCAATCTCCCACAGAACAACACCGAATGACCACCTGTCAGAACACAAACAGAAAAAGCATAGTAACACCCTCAAGGAATGCTTGCTTTCCGGGGGTGACAACTCGAACTGCTCGGTATGAAATTCCTGTATGTGTGTGTCTGTGTGTGTGTGGACAACAGGCTATGTGGGGGTCCACTACAAGTAATGAGCTTAATGTCAACTCCACTGGTGTCCTTTGCTGATGCCGCTTTGAGATGTCGACTCACAGAATACTTCTCACACGGTACTGACATGGCATTCATCCGAAATGGACGTCTAACTGTGGAGATCTGAACTCGGATCAGCTGCAGGCAGCATTGAGTAAACATAAGTCTTGCAGCATCTTACTGCCATGCCAGAGGGAATATTCACTGAACAACTGAGTCAACAGCAATGCCTATGCAATGGCCATGGTAATATGACAAGACTAAGGCCATAGAGGCAAACAAGCCGCCAGTCACCAGGACGGTATCGGATAACACGGAAATGTCACTCGCATGACATCTGCATGATAACATGGCATGTTAATTCATGTCATATGCTCAAGCTATCCGGGCCAGTTGACCTCTCTATGCCAGGTAACTGTCAGGAGACATTTGATTTCCCTTTTTAAATCCCTCCAACTGAGATGATCATTTTTAACTGTTCTATTTTTATCTGCAAACCGAATACGGGAAGTGAAGGAAGGGGATCATTTTCTCGTGATGATCACTAACTACAAGTTGTACTTATGGCAGGAGTGAGAAATGACATTATTGGAAAAGTGACAGGGAACAAGAAAAAAAGAGAGGAGAGGTGGGGTGTAAATCAAACATCATTCGAGGAGAGTAAGTACACTTAAAAAGAATTCTTGGTCTAATAAGAAGCGGGGGGGGGGGGGGGGGGGGTTCAAATGCGCCACCATTGTGCACTTGAAATAGGCGACAAAAGCAGGCTTTAACATGCATATCAAGAACAGCAGTTTTTTGCTTCCAAGAAAGTACATCTGTGTATAAAGCTGCCTTCATGCGTGCTTCTTATGCAATTTCTGAACAAAGCAGACGGTGGCTACTGAAAGAGGGGAGCAGTTATTCTAGAACTCAGTGTCAGATGCTACGGCTACTTACACGTCGCTTCTTGTAGTGTACGAGCCATTCTGCAGTGCCTCTATGGCATGCCACTTGACTGGAATGTGCTTGTTGTGAGAGCGCTGGTAGATGCCCTCGGTGTCGCCCACTGACCGAGAGTGACCGAAGTCGCAGATCTTCAGCGTGTAATCAGTCGTGACGAGGATGTTGCGCGATGCCAGGTCACGGTGAATGAACTATGCACGAAGAAAAAAACACATAATACGTTCTGAGTACTACTAGAATAGTTTGTGGGACTAACAAAGACTACACTTCACTCATTCCCTACTTGTATGGCTATACACTCTCATTGCACACATGCCTTCTTACCTACACAATTAGGGGATTAAAATAATAATAGATCCACCCTTTTTGAAAATGTCCAAGTACTGACTTTCCACATGTACAGATCTATCCAGATGGATTTCACAACAGCAGACTTCATTTGTGTAATTTACGCTGTGATGTCCTGGCTATGGGGAATGCAAGAAATAATTTGTTCACTTACATTGCGTGACGCTAGAAACTCCATTCCCCTGGCAATCTGCCGTCCAAAGCCAAAGACGTTCACAGGCCGCAGCAGATCTTCCGCTTTTGGCAGCGAGCTAAAGGACGTGTAGCGATGGTAGTTCTGTGAGTGAGTCGTTGCTTTAGCACTGCTCCCGTAGCCGTCATCACTGGTGATGCTGTCCAGTCTCCTGAGCTGCTGCTTCACTCGATCCGATGCGCCGCGTCGCTTGCGCAGCAAACTGAGGAGATTGCCACGTGATGCGTACTCCAGAATGATGATTGGCGTGCCTGAAACAAAAGAAGGGTCCGGTGAATACATAATGATGTGTGCAGATGGAACGGTGAAGTGCACCCGCCATGATATCTTTGCATGTGCTCACACAGTGATTTGCCAGGGTCTGTTAGGGGCTACATGTACCTACTAGTTATGTTGAGAAAAACACAGCGTGAGTGGAATAGATAGAGTCTTACTTTCTGTGAAGACAACGCCAAGCATGCTCATGACGTTGGGATGCGGTTTACGGCCGAGTTCCTTCAGGGCGGTGATCTCCATGGACATCTCAAGGTTCGTAGAGAACTGCGATTCATCTGTGATGCAAATCACCAAATGCACGCAACCTCAACTCAGATAACTTAGTGCCAGCTTCAAAGCTCTAATCACACAGGCAAGGCTGGATAATGAGTGCTATAATCTACTGACTAATGAGCAGGGAGTGGGGCTTTCTTGCAGGTGTGCCGACTCGAAGGTTCAATGGACTTCTCGTGTACTCTGGATGGCATCTGTGAGTCAGTCAAGTGTTGAGTGCAATCGGCGGGAAAAGGACGAGCTCATGTGTTGAGAGTAACCAACCTTCTACTGACTAATGTGCCTAGAAAAACATACCCTTGCACAAAATTAATACTTTACTCAAAGTCACCAAGATTGAACAATATTGGTAGCAGATGGGTATTGCAAAGCTACCCAGATTGAACAATATTGGTAGCAGATGGGTATTGCATTGGAAAGCCGGCTAAACAGTTAGGTATGTACACTGATTTGTCTCTCTGGACTTACAAAACTTACCTCTTGACCACTTCAGTGCCACCTCAGTGCGTAGTTCGCCTTGCTCGAGGTTGTTTACGACTCCGCGGTGCACCACACCAAACGCCCCTCTGCCAATCTCCTCTGCTATTCGAACATCATTGATGTCCACAGCAAAGTCGCCCACATCAGCGACAGTGACAAGTTGACGGTGATCCTTCCTTACTGACACTGACACCTGAAAACCGAAAAGAACATCAATCAAAGCAGAAATTTCTTACATTGACCAGCTGCAACTTGAAGATAGCTACCCAGGGATGATCACAAGAACTTTTTTTGTTGCATGCCAGCATATATCCATGTCGTATTTCTTGAAGTGGGTTCTGCTGGACAGGAATAATGCATACGTACTACTTCCAGTGTACACACACACACACACACACACACACACACACACACACACACATACACACACACACAAATACACACACACACACACAAATACACACACACACACACACATACACACACACACACACACATACACACACACATACACACACACACACACACACACACACATACACACACAGATATAATATTCTATGGTTGAAAGCCAGGTAAGGGCACAATTATATTGAATATTGGCCAGTGCATTAAGGCTGGTACGTACCTAAGCATATCTACTGGACGTGGGAGTTCACATACACTCAACTCACCTTCTGAGCGCCATGTTTGGGTGTGTTTGGTGAGCTGGGACAGCTGAGATAGGACTGACCATGGGGGGTAATGGTAATGTGGCAATCACAGCCATCGCTGGACGAGACCGACGGTGATATTCGCGGATAGTCCGTCTCCATCTCCGTGGTAGCTCTGTCATCGCTTGGCAGCTTCTGCTCGGCGTCCTGCTTTTTGTTGCGCATCTGCATCTGCTTGGATTTGTGCATGCTGAAGAGGGTGAGGAAGGCCATAAGGGTAACGGCTATAGTGATACTCAAGCCAACGACCAAGCCTACACTGACAGCTGCCTGAGGTGTGGCCTCTGACCGTTCATCATCGTCGATGCTTACTCGATCACTGACAGACACGACAACCACTGCTAGTATGCTCGGTGTTGGTTCGATCTCCTTTGTTGTTCCCCTGATGTTCACGACTGGCGTGCTCGAGTTAGCGGCAGTCGATGCCTTGCCTGTGGATGGTACGCCTGTGTATGCCGTGTTGGGTGTAACAAAAGTACTCGGAGTAGATGAGGTGATTGGTTTACAAGGCAGCCTTGTCATGCTGCGGGGCTCAGGGCTTGGGAACTTCCTGATCAGCTTCTTTTCCAGAGAGGCATTGAGCGCAGCCCAGGGATTCACCATCACTATCCGATATCTATAGCTAGAGTTGGAGTAGGACTCGTTGCCATGGACAGTCAATCTCAACCTGGCTGGGCATCCACGCAGTGCAGACTCATTCCAAGAGAGGTCAATTGACTTTCCCAGCAGAGAAACGGTCCGAGAATCGTGATTCCTCATGTAGCGAGTGCAGTCCTTCCGGTTGCCGCGATGAACGCAAACCCTGTACCTGGCCCGCGGCTCTCCCAGTGTCTCAGCCTCGATGATAGTGTTGACTGCAGCCTGCGAGTGTGATTCGTTGCGCGTGCCCAAGATCTGCAACTCTGGTTGTCCTATAGCATAGAGAAAGAAAGTGGAACATCCACACCAAAGAGACGATGGTTCAGAGATCCAATATTTCCAAATTGGAACCGTTTGTTCGAATTAACACTGCTCGCGTCAGAGCCGCTCACCGCCTGCCCTTAATTAGACTGAAACATCGTCAGCCATGTCTATGCCAATAATGCATACATGACAAAGCCATCCAATACCAGTGCGAGGCATCACGAAAGTAACCTCTCAAAGCCAATCACTAGGCTGTTAGCTGTTAGTTATACACAAGGTAAATCCGTATCTACTTGCAACAAGTGCTGAATAGTATCTCGACTGCTCCCCCTCACTCCACGTTCTGATATTTGATGGAGTATCAAAATCATCATAAAGAGCCTTGTGACCCCTAACTTACGTCCTGTCCGCATGGTCAGGGTGAAGTTTGCCGTGCCGAGAAAGTTGGTAACTCGGCAGATAAACATCCGACCATCTGATACTTGCGACATCTTCACAGAGCTCAACACTTGAGCAGTTGTGCTTACACTGATGACCACTGCGTTCCCACTGGAATTCACCAATAGAAGTTCAACCTGGGCAAAGACGTTGAAGAACAAAATGTACATGAAGATTCATGGCCACAGCACTGGAAATACCAGGTGTTGATATTTGCTTCCGCACAGCTACAGGCAAAGACGTAAGAGGTGAAAGTTGGGAGAGATGGGGAAAGAGATTGATAGAGAGACGGATGGATGGATGGATGGATGGAGAGAGAGAGAGAGAGACAATGAGAAAGAAGGAAGGTGTGTGAGAGAGACTGAGACAGAGGATGTATGAGAGAGAGAGAGAGAGAGAGAGAGAGAGAGAGAGAGAGAGATAGAGAGAGAGAGAGAGAGAGAGAGAGAGAGAGAGAGAGAGAGAGAGCAGGAGAGAGAGGCAGGGATAGGGAAAGAGATAAATGGAAAACATAAGGGAGAGCACAAAAATTGGGCATAAGAAGTTCTGAACAGTCTCTTACATTGAGCATGTCATCTCCGACTCTGAGAACATCACTCACCTTTCTAGCTCGTGGGACAGCTCCATGAGCTGAGCAGGCTATGTCCACTGTATCATTTTCACTGACTCCCATTGCTTGTGCAACGTAGCCGATGGTGGTGTTATCTTCACCTGGTTTGAACAGTAATGACCGATTGCTGCTGCTGAAATCTACAGATTCCGCAACCTCGCCTGCAAAAGAGGGAAATGGCATAAATGTAATACCAGCTGGTAAAGTTGGGCGCACGTACACACCTGCCATGCATGAAGGTAACTTATCCAGGGTTATTCACTAGGATTTCCATTGTCATTGATCCATCCCTGGAAACTTGAACCGGACATTCAAAACCTAACATTAAAGCTCCACTAACGAGATCGAAAAAGGTAGAAACAGCTAGCTGAGCAGAGATGGAGTAACATCAAAAAGGTAAAGCAACTTCCTATCCGCTTCTTCAACTGTGAAGACAGGCGTGCAATTCGTGCCCACTCAGAAAGCAGGTGGAACTGCTAAGAAATCAGAACCTTACCATATCCTTCGATTGTGAAGTTTGCAGCAGCAGCGCTGTACCAGTCGCTAGCCTCGCCAATACACTGGTATGTACCCAGGTCCTCGCGTGATACCTCGTCAAAGATATACCGCCGTGTAAACTCCGGCCAGCCTTTGGTGGCCGGGTTATCGATATGGCACTCCTTGTAGCGGTTCTGTTCAAAATGCCGCAGCCTGCAGGTGACGTATTGTATGTGAGTCGGCACACACTTCACGACAAGACGCTCACCAAAAGGCACTCGATTTACTAGCCTGGGAGAGCCCCTCTCCCAACCAGGAGCTGTGAACAAGATAAGAAAATTCACAGCAAACACACCCTAATCAAAGCAAGCTTAAAATTAAGTTGTGTTTTGAACTTTCGATGCAAGCAGAGAGAGGTACGGGTATGCGAATTTCTTTTTCCATGTGGCCACATATTAAAAACCTCTGTATTATTGTTAGGTACCTCCTCCCGTACATTATCTTATCTACAACCTTTCCCAAGCTGGCCTGCATGCACCCCGCATAAACTCGTACTCACCTTTTGTTCAATAAGAACTACTATACTCTATATGACTACTAGTTGCGCCTTTGTCAATCAGATTTTCATCATAATTATGATCATGGTTATCATGATAATAATATTATAGATCATCAGGACTGGTCAAAAATGGTACTGCTCCTATTGTATGCGCACAGCCATTATGTAGTTTAAAGCCATGGGTCGGGTTGTAATTGACAACATGAAATCAGACTAAGGAATGAAACTAGCTTGAGGCTGTTTACAATCGACATTTTTAGGTTTAAATAAAAATAGCGCAAAGGTGATGCAAGCAAGAGTAGGTGGATAAACGAGAACAAACACGGAACAAGGCCGGGTAAAGTGGTGATTCCCAAGCACATACAAACATAACACATCTCAGTTAGTCACAGTCATGCATTAGTAAGTGTGAAGAGGTGTGATCAGCGTGATGTGCATTGTGCAGTTCGACACGAAAAGATGGCAACTGAACCAAACTAATGTCAGTAATGATGTCTGAATGTCTTATGTAAGCACAAACAGGACATACTCATGCTTAGCCTGTTAGGTAAAACATTCACACTTAGTGACTGTTCAGTTCATTTGTCAGCTCTTGTCATCATAATGCATAGCTGCTGGTTTCGGTTTGTTTCTATGTGCGTGAGAATCATCACTTTACCCCTTGTTTTGGGGATTTTCTTCTTCCTTATCTACCTACTGCCGCTTATATCATACTTATGCTGTCTAATTAAAGAGCATTGTGCTGTCTAATTTCTTCTTCTGCCTGTATCCACCCGAGGAGAAGGCAATTGACATGCTATTGGAAACTTCAACATGTCGATTGTAAAACAGAATAAGCTGGTTTCATTCCTTGGTCTGATTTCATGTTTTCAATTACAACCCTGCCCATGGCAAAAGTTTGATTGCTGGTTTCTTCTTCTGCCTGTAGCCACCAAAGAGGAGACTGTGATTGTACCAGTGGACACTTTGGATAACTGGCACACTCTTTGTATGTTCTAGTCACTAAAGGCAAGCGGTTCTAAAGTTTACTGGCCATGCCTGATAGTATTCTTCAACGAACACTTTCCCCAGCTCAAAAGGAACTCGTCATTTCAAACTCGGAGCAGCAGCAAATTTCTATCTCTTGCTCTTGCTGTGCAATTTCTCTGATTGGCATTATCATTGCACATGTGAAACAATCTGCAGAGAATCTCAACCATACTACTGATGATAACAAGGTAGTGTTGATAAAGAGGTCGCATGTTCATCTCCATCCCGGCCGTGAAGGCACTCATGGCGGACCGCCACCAGCAGAAATAATCCAGCCACAAATAGATGACCTAACCTTGACTGGGTGAAGCCGAAGGGCGCCCCTTATTGAGTATTATACGTACTGGTACTAGTTAGTTCCGAAAAGCCCCATGGGCCACACCTATGCACCCTGTGTGTCTTGCCACAAGTTCTGTATTGCCCGTGAGAAGTTGCCAGCTGACTGGAAACCCTATTGCTGGCGTGGCATGGCCGTTACTTCACAACAGTATATTGTTGGTACTGGATTGCTTTATGATCTGCATGTATATCAAAACTGACCGTCCATGCATACCTGTTATGTGGCTGTTGCTAGTGTGTAATCAGCTCTGCACATTGTGCGGCATCCAGAAACATGCAGCAACACAGTGGGCCATTGCCTGCAGATGTAACCGTAATGACAGAATGAACTTGTCTCACTGTGCGTCTGACCCAGTCATCTATCAAGTTTATACTATAGACTTCTACTAATGCATCTCCCATTCATCCACCAACGTCCACCACCATTGTGGAGACTGGGAGAGCAGGTGATCGAGAACACTGCAAAGTAACGGGGGCACCCAGGCTCGGGGAGCGATTGCTGAACACGCCAAACTACAAGAAATCACAGCATCAGTTCAGTCGGAGCTGCGACTCCTAGAATAAATGGACACGTGTGATTGTGCTAGTACAAACCCATAGACGATGTGCAATTACCTATATTCTATAGCAGAGTCAGTGACAATGAGTTTTGAAGAGCACAGACCACTCACCGGAGGTCAGTTCCGTCGACAACGCACTGCCACAAAGCTCTAAAAGGAAGCTGACCAGACAAGATATGCCTAGAAGCCGATGCAGCACTCCACGTTGACGGCGTCCGCAGCTACACATTCTTGCGCGTCTCTTCCAACCAAGCAACCAAGCTCCGTCGGTATTGCCCTAACAGCTGAATCGCAGGTCTGATGCACGCACGAACCTTTCATTTGTGCGCCTGAAGCAACACTTTGGTCGCCTCAATGGACTAGAAACGAACTAGATTCGTAGATACTCGGTCCTCGCATCAACGTGGAATTTATCGTCGTCCGACACGACGATTTCGTATCTCTTTCAATCTAGGGCACGGCAGAGGGTGTTGGACATGACCGCGCCGACGACCAAGCCTATTCAACTGCGCTTGACGTCCTGTTTCCTAGCTACGGCTTTGGTTCAACATACGCGCACTTTGCGTTTATCCAAAGCACAATGGATGCTGCTGATCACAATGTGAACGGCCGCGCTGGTAGATCGCAACGTAGACTCTATCAGTCTATGCAACAGGTCAGAGGGTTACTCTCGAACTACAGCTTCTACTGCAGTGACACTATGATAATGCATTCAATGTCACGTTCTGAATAGCACAATCCATTGGCCTGCATAGACTCAGTAGGGTGCGGAATAATTGCGGAAAATCAGACCCAGACATGCCCGGCTTGGCAGGGTTGGGGATTCACACACGAGCTCGGAATTTGCACATGTCAACAACTCCTTTCTTATCACGCGAAGTCGATCTATTCTTGGCTAGTGAAATGTCCCAGTTGACAGACCGTCCAAGGCAGAGTTCGCCTTCATTGCTCCTTTCCATTTCCCACTCAGCCCCTACAAGCAGTCCCCTGCGAATTTGTCATGGTAACTCTCCAGTTGATCCCTGAGGCCAGGCCCGTCAATCATGGTCAATCCGAGACTTGCATTGTTTTGGCGGCCATTTTTGAAGAGCGATCACACAGTCACTGAGTCAGGGCAACAGGTAGATCTACCATCACCAGTATCATCTCGCTATAGCATGTGCGTGAGAATACATCACCTGCTTATGCATGTCAGTAAGTCATTACCTGTGATCATACAGTCATGTCTCCTGAGACAGTGAGAGGTGTGCTTGACTGCCAAGACAAAGGCATGCTTTAACTTAATGTGGAGACACCTGCCTAGGCTCTGGCTAGCTACATGTATGCAGTACGTGACATTATGCTTGCAGATCAGAAATTTATTGCACTTTACAATATGCATACACGTGCTGTAGCCAGGGAGTCGTCAAAATACCGGTGCTTGACGACTCCCTGGCTGTAGCCATCTAATCATGTTGGTCAGTGTCACTCATAGTCATAGTCTACCACACTCAGTCTACACAGGCTTCACTCTCTGCATGTGTACTACTCTTACCGTAGGTACCACCCAGCAGCCCGATGATGCTTTGGAAATGGAACCACCTCTTGGATTCCCCTGGCCCTGTGTCGCCTGGCCATAGCTGTATGCCTTGCAAACCGACACAGTGACTGTAAAAAATCTTCGTGACTGATGCTGCTACCGCAGGTTTGTGTTGATGACCCTGAGCCTGGGCCACCGGGGATAGCCGGTGTGCAGGCATCTGTCATTTTGACTTGGCCCCTGTCAATTCGTGCGCCAAACACTTGGACCCGTGATCACAGAGCCCAGCGATCAGGCGATGAGGGTGGTCGCTCATCCTGCGCAAGGGCCGCACAGATACCCAAGATGTCCAAATTGACCAATAGGAGATCGTTCAGAGTTGAAAACCGTGCGTCCAAAAAAACGTATCATCAAAGTTACACGAAATGCGTTGATGGCAGCAGTACACATGGTACAATGAGTGGCCATTACTATGCCTTTTACCGGTAGGTAAAACGGTCAAGTAACACGTGTGGAGAGAAAGGTGTTGGCATACTGGTGACCTCTGCGGCTACTCGATGCATCACAGTTTCCTCATAAACTTTGCCGCGTGCTCATCCGTGAAAACATGATTGTAATTGTACACCCTGCACCCGCGTAGTCTGCCTCATCTCAGTGCAGTGGTCTACTCAAGTAGACGTCTAGACATGGCAGAATCACAGCAGCTACATACACGTTATGCACTGGGTAGATCTACACATCCCGCACAACAGTCAATACATGACATTCGTGATAATGCAGTGACGTAGGAACATTGAACCAAACACTGAGCGCCCAAAACCATTAAAACGGCCAGTCCAAACATGGTGCAGGGGCGTGAAGAGCTGCGCGAGGCGAGACGCCATTGGTCCACTGAGCTGGTCGCAGTTATACTGTAAACCATTGATCTCAAGACAGCACTTCAGTAGTGGATCTGAACAATACAAATTGATACGTAAGCACCTGGTGCCGTCGTCAGAAGCCACCAATGGCCAACAACTTTTAAACAAGTTCCGTACCAGAACATGCCCAAATTCAGTTCGAACTTAGCTACGTATATCTTGAGGTGGTTCGTCGTGGGAGGGTGAGATCGATGAAGTAAAAGCTACTAAGCGTAGTCACTCTGGAAGCAGACGATCTAGTATTGTTCTACCCTGGGCGATACGGTCTGTGCAGCTGCCGCATCGGTGTCCCTCAACACACCTACCTCCCGCCAATATTGCCGCCATTGGAATACTCAGGAGTCAGGATTGACGTTGATCGATTCCAGGGATATCCAGGACAGTAGTTTTCCCAGTAGTGGATTCTGTTAGTCTTCAGTCATGATAATTATATGTTCATGTGAACGATCACTTCGGCCCTCGCCTAGGGTGTCAGTCTATTTAGTCTCTGGCCAACGTACATTCTGGCCAACGTACATTCTGGCCAACGTACATTCCCTGTTATTGTTCGTGTTTTATAGTTACTGCGCAGTACTGTGCACATGTGTACATGCTAGCTACAATAATCATAATATTAAACTATTTTTGGTTTTTATTGCTATAATCATCAATGCAGGCCAGCTTTACACCCGGCTTTTTGGGGGGGGGGGTTCCCGCCTCCCCGTTTTAGCAGAATAGATCACGTGCTTCGGGCGGAACAGGCACATTCCCTGTGTTGACGGAATACGTGTATTGTACGTGTACATGTAGATGAACTAGCGTTACTAGCCCAAATTACTCTCCTCTACTCGTTTGCATCGCAGTGGCTAATACTAATACTCTCTTTCATAAGTAACTAACTTATTCTAGTTGGAGACGAGATATCTATTATTGATAGAAACACAACCAATCCACAGCCAACGGACACCGATTCGTTTTGACAGAAACGTTTTTCTTCTGATCATCATTTGAAGTACTAGAATCTGGAGGTATCTGGATATATTCAAACCCAGCAGCTCAACCTCTGCAGGCAGAAGCAGAACATTGCCACGCTGTATTTGTTCAAGTCACACCTTGCTTCTCTTCCTGGTGGGTGTGAATCTATACTGGTGTTCTGTGTGTGTTTCGTTTGGCTACGTACTGTTTTTCGCATCATTTTGCCGGCTCCCGCCTTGCTGCTTTGCTTTCACTGACACCTGCAGTAAATGTATTTCCTACTGTACCATAAGCTGCTTCTTTCATTCTCACGTCATCTACCAGAAGTAATCACTGACGAATTCTGGAGAAAAGCGTTTTTGTCAAACGAATCGGTTGCGTTTCAAACAATAGTTTGTTTTACTTCAATAAGTTACAATAACACTGCCCGACCTGAAAAGGGAAACCGGGAGAACATGAAAAGGGTAATAGAGAACAATGGGAAGGTGTGTGCTACAGGGTAGCCGTGTTGGTGAGTCTGGAGGCACTCCACTGACCATTGGTCTCAGCATGAGCGTGCCACGAGAGCACCAGAAAAAGGAGACGCATGGAGAAAAGAAAACAGACGGATCCTTCCGCATCAGACGATGCACATGTAGACGGAGAAAGAAGAAGAGGGAAGAAGAGATAAGAGAAGCAAGATCCAAGAGAGGTAAGGTTATATAAGAGAGGGGAAGAAAATGTGTGATCAGAAATAATCAGTTTCCCAATCCAGCGAGTTCGCCGAAGGTGTTGGTGTGCCAGCCTTGGTTTTGAATGTCTGCAAGGACTTCAGGGACTTCAGGGTGCGTCACCAGTGGAGCGTGTAACATGTCACAGGGCAGACCATTCCAAGCTTCAAGAGATTTCTAATCGCCTGAAGTTGCACTCTCGCTTTACTGGCTTCCTTGGATACAGTGCAACTCCGATAATAGTATTATTGGTTTGGTTGGGTTGGGTTTTATAATTTCATTTCCTTGCCTCAACATTGCACAGTACAAATACTAAGCGGCCAACGAAACGAAAAGTAAAACAGAGCAGAAAGAAAGGTGTGATTGGAATTAGGGAAAAAAACGAAGAGGATGGGTGGACGGGGAGGATCCCTGGACCAACACGCCCGCCAAGACAGAATCAGAAGGGTGATCGTGCCGGTAGACAGGTCCGTACAAGAGTAAAAATTAATAAGCTCCCGGGCCGCTTATTCACTCTTGGTAGATCCACATGCTTTCAACACAAAGCCAATACGTCTCCCATGGCGTGCAAGAAATCTTGTTAAGTGTCCGACGTACTGCTACCTCTCACACAGAACACTTCAATATTATGGTGCAGTATCATACAGTGGTGTACCGGTACATATACCAGTACTACATCCATGCAGCTGACAGAGTTAGTACGTACTATCCAAGTGTATTTCTTCATAACCTAGCCACGTCCAATCAGGGTGCGTACTCTGCGTGTTGCGCCGCAGTATTAAACAGGCGATACCGGCACACTGGCCAACCTTGCCACCATTAAAAAGGAGGACACCCACAATATAATGTATACAAAGGCAATTATTGTCTCCCATGTAAATGTATACAAATGTTTTGGTCCAAAGCAGGACACGGTCCTGCTGAAAGCAGGAAGGTTGGACAGCCTGTACCCGTTACCAGTGAAAAGAGACGTTTCGCACTTTGCTACGAAACATAACTGCACTGATATGAGACTCACACTCATAGCTCAGAACAGTCGATGAGTGAAGAGACAAGCATGCAGGGAGCCCTACATAAACCGGTACAGGGCCTATTAAGTGTAGGGCCCACTGCATGCAAATATTCGTGTAGAGACCTCGTACAAATTCTAGAATAGGTAACAAACGAGCAGTCAACTCGTGTTGATCACGAACTCCTGTGAAAGGGATAAAGGATTCTTCTACCTCAACCCCTACGTTGTTCTCGGAGATGTGCGTGTGCATGTACATCAAGAGGTAGCAACTGGTACATTCCCGCAGGTGCAATAGACCATAGAACGTGCAGTACTATTATGGCAGCGGCTTCAGTCTGACAAGCGTACTTCCTCCTTTCAATTCACGACGCTAGGAGTTAAGTGCAATTCCATATGGCGAGCGGAAAATCTAAAGTGAAATGGTTTTGACCTAATTCGACCGACTATTGATTTGCAGTGGTGGCATCCTTTCCTTTTGAACGATAACCAATCGACGTTAAACAGCAACTGATAATAACAGGATCCATGGTGAAGGCTACACCACACAGATCTCGAGACCAAAATATCTGATATTTGGCATCACCAGTACAGTGAATGTAGGAGACTCAGTAAAGCTGCCAATAAAGCGACGAAATCGAGAATGGGACCAATGGCAATGGGCCTGAGTTTGCAAAACCTCAGAAAAGTGGACAGCGTTCAGTGATTCAAAGTCTCACCGCATGTGTAGCTCGCATACTAGTAATTCTGATACTGAATTCCGTATATCATTTGAGGTTGTACGTACATGGTAAAAACGGAGCAAGAGCACACTCGGAGTGGTAAGAGACTGCTCACGGTCTTCGAGGTAAGAGACTGCTCACGTCCTCGAGTTTGACACTAACTGTAATCACCTGGTGAATGGCTCTCTCGAAACGTTCCGCGAGTAGCATCCCTTGGAGCTTCCAACCCACACGGCGTTGATGTCAATACCTTGTCAACAAGAGCAAGGTTACGGATGGGCGTGAGCTCCCGATATCTGGGAAAGGTGACCACGATGGTGACATACTAAAAAATGTTCGTGTGTTCTTCTCCCAACGAGACCGGCTTACATGTACATGTATACGCATTGCAGTCTGACACGTCCTAACAGGTACGGAACTTAAGTTGTCTCGATATCACAGCTTCAAGATCTGCGCTTGTATTTTTAGCCCTTCACCCTCACGCATTGCCAATACCCTACAGTACAGAAGCTACAAGTACAACATACACATCCTTCTACGACTAGCATTTACCTTGCTAACTTAGCTCTTGTCCTTGGATCTATTGTTCTACATGATTGTACACAATGTGATAGGGGATATACTTTAGGTGATGTATGGGGCTTCTTGGCAGCGCGAGAGAGGTGTCGGCGAGCGGAAGTCGCTCGTAGTATTAACCCAACAATGCAGACGGCGAGAAGTACAGCCAGCAAGAGATCCCTTTGTTTCACACATTTCTACCCTTCCGGCAGTTCGACGCAGCGCGGCCGTCACTCAACACAGCAGCGATACCCATCCAGGTGGATATTAACCTCATACTTGGAGTAGTTGCACCACCGTAGAGTCCGCTATCGACGTGTGTACTCATCGTCGGTCATGTTCTAGCCAGAGGAAACGGGCCCGATAGCCCGATGATGCATGATGACCCCCTCGGCCTCATCTCCCAATGCTTCCCACACACTACGTCACTGCGTCTGACATACATGTTCGTACTAGTATACTATGTCCGCCTCTAGTCACGTGCATGTATATGTAGCAATAACATGAGTGTGAACTTCTTGCGATACCAAGAATTGTGATGAGGTCATGCTTGATGTCATTTCATAATTATCGTGTGGCGTTCCTAAAATGATATCCTGGGGTGAGAGTGCCCGATCGGCGAGTGCCCCAAAGCATTCCTTGAGGAGTATTTGCTTTCGGAGAACAGTGTCATGACAAGGAGCTTACAGGGATGAAGAATCTCAATTCAGTCTAGAACGAAGCGCCCAAGGCTCTCATAATCATTCAAATGATAGCATTCAAGCTGAAAATAGCTGCCAGCATTAGCTCTCTTGCCATATACCGACCATGGGTGAGATATTTACGGCATTCTTCACTGCTTGTTGTCTTGTTTGGAACGGTCAGAAAAGGCTATCGTTGTTCAACTGCAGGTGTGTTGGCTACAAGGAACACTGGCGTAACGTCGCAGTCTTCCTAGCCCAGCTGTGTGCGTTTTCTCTTTCCGTTGTGCACATACCCGAAGTCTAGCCCAAGTCTCTGATAACATTGCTTCCTAACAAGAGCCCTGTACGATTGGTACACGAACAGCTATTCGCCCCAGGCCCTCGACGAACGTGAGATAATGCCTTTTGATGCAAGCGGATTGTTAGAGTCGTCGTCCACACATTACGGGTATTGCCTATTGGATATGCCGATAAGGTAGCACTGTTTCTTTCTTACTGTGTTCTGTGCCTGGAAGCGAAAAGAAAGCATGGACTTTGCATATTCTTCCTGAAGCACGAATATACGTAATTTCCTTTCGCCGACCTTTGTGGCAGCGTGTTCTGCCTCCCTGGGTGTACGTTGACAGCTCTGGCTCAACAACGATGGAGCAGCTGTAGACGTTGGTGATCCCTCCTAGAACATGTGTTCATAACTACATACATCGAACGCTCTCAACATGTCGCATTCCACAGACCACGGCCCTGATCTTGAGCCACGGTGTTCGCCTGTGTGCGTGCATGTGTCTGAGCCGTTCTAACACCAAACTGCACAACGTCCCCAATGGCGTAAGAATGAACGCACATGCCCAGCCACAAGTACGACAAAGTGCCGCCGTTACTAACTACAACGGTTGGTGGGCTGGCTGGCCACTTTCGCTTCCGCGTCCCAGCGTTCTGTCAACTTCAATGCCAACCAGACTTACCATCGCCTTCTGGTCAAAGGCGATTGCTCCTATCGTTGGGAGCAAGAAGTATTCTAATGCAAAAGATCCACACAAGTCACGACTCGCACCACTTTCCGCCGCCGCGTGGGACGAAAAGCAATTACGTCGTCTGCATCCATGGATAAGGGTCGCGGAATTGAGACACAGACGCACACACAATGCATGTACGCAGACACACAAACTACACGCCTGCATGACATACACGATGAGATGTACTAGTAGTAGTAGGAACGACACGTCGCGTCAGCGTCATAATTATAGGCAAGCCTCTGTATGTACGGTCCTACTCAGCTATTGTTGTTGTCAGACATTTAACACAACAAGGCGAGCACCAAACTTAACCAGGAACATAGAACAAGGCGGCGGTACAGTCTTTCTTGGCTGGACCGCGCTCCCAGGTCACGCCGCACACGGTTAGACTTCACAAATTCGCGCTCACACACATGATCCCAAACACTCATCCCGCATCGGGCCGCGGGAGCGCGTTGCTACTCAATCCCTCATGAAGAGAGCTTGTGAAAAAGCTGGCGTGCGGCGCGCCTATACCTGCGTGCCGCAACGCATACAGCATGATATCGATGGCCCCGAATATAGTGCATAGCATAGTACGCGTAATAGCAGATGCCTCTCCAAGGGCCAGCTGAAGACAAGGGGATGAACAGTTTGTCTGCTTCGTCTCAGTTGTTCTTAGCGCGGCGCGACAGTTGCACCCCATGGCACGGTGTAGGCCTTACCTCAACCGGCATCGGGACTGGCATTTTTGCTCGCAGAGACACAGATATGTAGGGCCACCATGAAATCATGGTACACGGCACGGACAGCATATAAAGACCTGCAGATGGCTCGCTCCCCTTAGAGCACCATCTCCAGCTGGAAGTAAAAGGTTGAAACCTTCTTGGGCAAGCTAGCCGTAACTCAATCAGGATTGTGAAACCGTCTTGCTTGTACATTGCTGACATCGAGTAGCTGCAAAGTGGCCAACTTTACTTGTTGAGTACGTTTGCTAGGGCAGTTCAAAGTCAGTTTCATCACACTTCCGCCGGTCTCACTCGGTACAGTTGTAAGGGGGGAGAGAGTAAAGTGTGTGTGCCTCAATTGAAACATACACAGGCTTAGAATACAATGGTCATCATGATGGCGCTGTTTGAAGGACCCCTACTGTCATGGCACTTCGTCCCGCTTTGCCTCCTATGCACAATCCTGGTCGGAAGTCAAGCGACGCGCACAGGTATGCTGGCAATGCAGGCTGCTTTCACTTTATGTTATGCGTGATTATTCTCGATGTAAGAAAATACAGGGCTGCGATTGTTCGGCAACAGCGATGGGCTGGGTAGAATCACGTGATTCTCTCTTCAACGTATCTCGAACCCCATCAATCTTTGATTCTCTTTTCGGCTCATGTTTGCAAAAATGGGAATTTTATAGGCAGGGAGGCTCTTCCTATGACTGCTGCTGCTGCTTACCACAATGCCAAAGCATTGACCATGCATTTATCGCTGTGCATTTGTGTGTATCATGTATGTATGTATGTACATGTGTGTGTGTGTGCGCGTGTGTGGGTATGTGTGTGTGTGTCTGTTTGTTTGTATTGTGTTCTACTCGTCCAGTACCAGAGCGATGCTGTCGCCGTGCGTCCAATGTCATTTCCCTGGGATTCGGTACGTACATGTACATGTAGTTAATGCTGTAATTCTAGGATCACAGATTGGACTCTGGAGTAGATTTAGAGCACGAAAATGAGTCTCATCAAATGTATGACATACTTGGTGCAAGTTTCGCAATGATGCATTCTACACAGTGTCAGGAATACCATCACAAACATGGCTCAGCCCTAGGCTCGTCTACTCCCTGCTATTATATTTTTCGTTTCTGCTGCTGCTGTTGTTGTTGTTGTTGCTGCTGCTGCTGCTGTTGCTGCTGCTGTTGCTGCTGCTGCTGCAAGCCATCCTAAATACCAGGCGCTTCATACTCATGATTATTGACCGCTCCTGTCACTCTTGATCCACAAATCGGAATTGAATGTTGATGGCATTCCCTAACTGATATTTGTCCTATGTGCTCTTGTACCATGCAGATGTTACGGGGAAAACCGAAGTCACACGGGACGTAGGCAAGTGCGTTCGGAACTGCGCAGGATTGCGAGGACTCAACCACAACAAGGTTAGCTAGCCCCCCTGGTCACTTTTCTCAACCACAACAAGGTTAGCTAGCCCCCCTGGTCACCTTTGGCCACATACAGTAAAACCTCGTTAGGAAGAACACTGATAAGACAAATGTTTGCCTAAGAAGAACTAGTATTCGTAACTGTATTGGATAAAACCCTGTGTATTCACTGGGAAAAACATATGGATAAGAAGAACTCCCGTTATTGCGAACAAGAATATCATCGGTCCCTTGATGTTCGTCCTAAAGAGGTTTGACTGTAATTGCTTTGTTGTCCGTGGTTTTTTCCCTGGCCCGATATTCAAGATGCGGAACTCGACGCAGAATTTTATATTACAGTCGAATTTGTGTCGATATTCTTTCCCGACGAGATGGATGTTCACGCGCGTCTCTTCTCCCTGAAGACTGATACCCCAGGGTCACTCCGATGGCAGCTGTCTGCCCCAAGAGCACCTACCCACTGCAACTCAGCTTAGAACTGTACCTCTGACGCCATTCTATGTTGTCCTGTCTACTTCGTGTCTGCAGGGCTGCGACAAGCCAAACAAATGCTACCCGAACAGGCTGATCCAGGAGACGGTCTTCCTGGAGAATGGAACAGTGGACGTTTCCATCATTGATAGCTGCCTGTGCCAAAGCGTGCAGGACACGCCGTGCTCCGTGCATCGCCAGGAAGTGCTCTACTATGCAGGCACGTCTTTCCAGAGGTCCATCAACCGAGGTGTATGTCTTGGACAAGATTGCTCCGGTAGGTACTATTAGTATTACGCTGAGTTGTTTTTAGAATAGAGTGTAGTAATAATACGACTAATTTTGCAGCAGGATATGATTCACCGCGTCGATGTTAGGATTATTATCATCGCAGACGGTCATTCACATTGACGTTTGATGTACATGTACAGCTGCTGGTCACGCCATGCAGTCAAGCGGAACTTTGCTAGCATGCCAGCATGTACAGACATCCTCCGCTAGCTTTGTACTGTAGGGCATTTCAACGTCACGCCTCATGAATCGGACAGGATGGCTGCAAGATGCGCATCGGAATTGAGTATTGAGCCACGAAACATCTTGCGGTCACTCAAGGGCGTGATTTTCGATTTCTTCGTTATACAAAGGCACACAATGAAAACCTTGGCAAATTAATTCCGTTGTGACTCAGAGTTTCTTGGCTGAACCAATCATCAGTTCGTTGTCTGATGATTGGTTCAGCCATGAAACTCTGAGTCACAACGGAATTAATTTGCCAAGGTTTTCATTGTGTGCCTTTGTGTACGCCGCTCTGCCTCTGTGATTTCTTCGTTATAGTAATTCCTATGCTTGCATGTATGTACGTTCAAAGCTAGACGCAACCTCAGCACGGCATACGCTCGATTCCGTATAAATACGAAGTTTGGAGGTGATGGAGCTGACGCGCTCCAAGCCTATCTCTACAGGATGTGGTTGAGGTACACGCTCCGTGGAATCTGTAAATCACTAAATGGAGCCTCAACACCGAAACATTCATCTCTTCTTGATCATGAAGCTGTCACACAGCTCCTTCCTAGCACGTCCTTTTTTTGCTGGCATGCTAAAAGGTTCCGCGTGGGCTGGGGGTGGCGCTATTCTCATTCACAATTAACCGTGACATGCGAACAGTTCACGCAGGATGCCAAGATGCTAATGGGGCAGAGCACGTGTGCATGGGATGGGATTGTACTCAGTGGTACTAAGCCAATGTTTGTGTCTGTATGCATACGTGTACATCTTGGCATCGTGAATAACTATCCTGTGTTCTGCGTTATATTCGTGTTCGGATGTCCAGGGAACAGTGGCAAATGCCAGGCGTCCGCCTTCAAGACCGTCTCCATTCGCGGTCCAAACGGCAAGCGCTGCGTGAGCGTGACGGACAACTGCAGCTGCGCGCAGAGCGGCTGCGTTCGCCAGCGCCACAAGGTAGCGGTGCTGGCGTCCGTAAAGCGTCGCGACTCTGTGACGGGTGTGATGCACCTGAGCAACACCACCAAGGTGAGACTGCACTGAGAGTGAGAGAAGGGCTAATACTGTCCAGCTGCTATGGTGACAGGCTTACCCTAAATGAGACACCTGAAACGTCCATCATCCATCATACAGGGAAGTTAGTTAGGGGCGGGGGGGGGGGTTAGTTAGGGGGGGGGGGGAGTTAGTTATATCAAACTGGATCAACACTCATACAAGTCACAGAGAAAGACGCGCATCGTCCCTGTAACTAATAGCTGCATGCCCATAATGCAATAATATTATTATCAAACAACTCAAATAATGTAATTATCAAACAACCCAAATAAGGCTATTATCATAAGGCAATTATCAAATTAATTATCAAATCATCAAACAACTCAAATGAAAATGAAAACTCAAATGGCATCTATAGAATCTTGAATGAGTGTGTTCTGTGTGGCACGATACGTTACTTCTTACATACATGTACAATCATGTAATAATTATGTTGCATTGACGACAGACGCTGTGTGCAATTTGCTATGGTCGTCTACAGCTTATCGACTTGGGAGTTTGTGGTGGACAGTGCCCTGTGCGAACCGGTCGGAGATGCTTCGGCGGGTAAGAGCCAGGAACGTAGCTGCCCTTTTATTGGGGTGCACAGCCGCATACATGTATATGTATGTAGTATGCATTCTGGCTGGTGCATGTTATTTTGTACATGCTGAACCTCGATCGAACTTTTTAGGGGGTGCACGTGCCCCCCCCCCCCCCCCCCTTTGCCACATGCGGGCTACGCGCCTGAGAGCGTACTTCAGAAGTATACTGAACGAATCCCCATAATGAAGAACACTGGCTGGCACATCCGCCTTCTACTAAGTTCTAGTGTCACGCAGCTACTTTGCATCTCGAAAATATTGATCTCGAGATGCTATACAGTAAGATCGGGCGCCGAAGAACGCAGGGGCTCGAGCGCAGCCTAGGAAAGTTCTTAAATTTTTGATTCTAGCCAGACCGTTCTTATTCACGCGCGCGCGGCGAGTCGAGTGACGTCATGACGTTTGTCATGTACATGTTGTACATGTAGTGCAAACTGACTGCAATGTAGTACTTCTAAACTAGTGGGTGTCGTAAATGGGAATGACTGTACATGTAGCAGTTACTGTTTACACGTGTACATGACATGTACTCACCTCCCATACATGTAGAATGTTCCAAATTTTAAAAGTGTTCTTAAATCTGATAATTCTAGCCTGGACTGTTCTTAAATTTTGCCGGTTTTCCAGCCTGGGTGTTCTTCGGCGAGGTGTTCTTCGGCGCCCGATCTTACTGTAGCGATTGCGCACGTGTGCTCATAGGTCATGGAACAGTGAAGGATAGGGATAACGGAACGGAATATTCTGATGTGACACACACACGCGCGAGCGCGCGCACGCACACACACACAATGTATGTACATACTAGTAGTGTATCCACGGTGGACTGGGTCCTGCGTCACGGATATGATGCAGACATCGGACAGACGATCATGAAAGCGACAATGCTGTCTGTGTCACTGTGTGGGTTTGGTCCCCAAATTGTGGTGAGGCCCGGCCATTAATGGTTGAGACTTCTAGTCCTCTGTTCTAAATCCGTGTCTGCTTCTATCCTGCTGCTTCCTGTTTTCTAGGCCGACGAGATGTCTGTACTATCAGACGAATCCCAGAGCTTGCTATCCATCCCGAACAGATTCAGTCACCTACACGGACGCCAGCACGGGGAAGCTGACTCACTTAGCGCGAGTCGTCGAGTGCGCATGCGGCACTGCACCGCCCAGTCTGCTGACGGACTTCAGAGCGAAGCTACTGGAGAACTCGCAACCTCCAACCCTTCCCTGAATCGATGCAATTGCCCGGTTTAACGTTACCCATCAACATGATTGAAATATTTTGTTCATAATCCGATATTTTCAACCCAATTGTGACCTCGAATTGCTGGCAGACACGTCTAGTCTAAGTAGCACTATTCACATACGTCAGGAGTGTGCATCAGAGTTCTAACGCTCATGTGAAGACTTATCTGGTCAGGTACAGACACTGGGCTCGCTACTGAGTGCACCAGCTCTATTTCATCACTCCATTCCACAACGGACTGCCAGGTGAACCCTCCAAGATCTCTTGCGACTTCGGCGTGGAAGCTGACTGGCGTGCGAAGGTCTGCAAAGTAGTCATCCTGCATCATCGTCGTGATTTCACCGTTCGGCCTTGGCTCCTGCCTGGGCAATTCGGATTCGCAATTCGGATGTGCTCAGTTCGAACTTGATTGTGTTCTTGATTGAGATATTTTAAAAGTAAATAGCCTCCAATCCACCATTCACCAAGATTGCTCATTTCAATATTGCAAATATAAGTATATGATCACGGGATTCTGTGCGAGTAACGGTGGTAACACAGTCATGTACATGTACCACCGAATACGTACAACACAGAACCTAACTGCCCACGTTTACATTGGCCTTGACTAGACTTACAACAGACATAGAATCACAACAGACATCAACTTCTAAGTTAGACCTCACCAAATATCCCAGTTTGTGGCGCCCTAATTTAGATAGGCCCGAGGATGGCGAAATGCCGGAACGTTGCTGAAATCGATATGAAAATGGTGTTCGGTGTTTTGCAGAGTTATGGGAACGAGCTTGTACTCTCAGATGCCTTTCGTCTGTATTTTAGATACATGTAGATCTACTACGTGAATTTTAGGGGTATTGTGCAATGGACCGATTTTTATCCAGAAGGAACTGTAGCAAGTCAAGATGTGATAAGGGCTAGTTGCAAGATTTGTATCACACTACCCTCTAACGAAAAACCTGGTAGTCATTCGTGTGTGCTGTCCTGATCGAGATCCCACACTGGGACAGAGCAACACAGTTGCTACATGTACTTTCATCACCCCAGGTAAAGCTGTTTTCCCCTTCAGCTCGTCGGGAAATACATGTGACATGAACTTCAAGTTGACTGATGAAGCTATTATAAACACTAAAATACAGTCGAAACAGTCCTACATTTACTGCTGTATGTGGAAAGGAGTTCACTCAGTAGTGTGATCAAACTACTTTCCTAGCGACCTCGTTCCTCTGTGGGAAAAACGTATCGTCTCCCAATCCTTATCATAAATGTGATTCTCCTCTAACATCATGACATTGTAAATGCGTTCGGAGCCAGATGTCATTTTTTAAGCTTTATCAAGCTGAAACAAGCGGACTGTGGATATGCCAGCAGGTCTTCAATAGTTGTAGATCTACAGCTAAGAAGAACTCAAAGACTACAGTCAACTTCGCTTATAACGGCACTCGGCGGGGCATCAAAAAGGTGTCCTTATTCACGAAGTGTCGTTATACCTGAAGTCTCATTATTGTATTACAGTTGGATGGGACTTTGCTCTGGGCATGGAAATTCTGTCGTTATTCGCGAATTGTCGTTATATCCGCAGTCTTTATAAGCGAAGTTGACTGTAGTTACTTCAAAAAGTAGATCTACCAAAACACACTGAAGTCAATGAAGAATTGATACTGCAGTACGGGTAGATCTACCTCGTGATGATCTGATTTCCCTGTGTAGATTTCAACTTTGAGTGCATTTAGCACACTGCTTGGACTGGACTTGAACTTTGACCCCATCAGAAGCTGGACCGAAAGTCCAAGGATGGACTCAAAGCATCCAGGCCAGGTGAGGTATATCTACGGAGCATGCAGCCAAGTACATGTAGTTGTTAGTTAGTCCGTCGACAGCTACAGCCAGTACAGGTGCCAACAAGCAGGCGTCAACCATCTCATGTCGCTTGAACACCTCTTCTTCCCTTTGTTGCCCTCCTCGACTCATCTCAAGGCACGACTGACCAAGTGGAGACGAACTGTGTTATAAATCTACCGAACATCTTGTTATTTAGCCACAACATACAGCACACAGTGGCTACACAAGCATCACAATGACTGAGGTATGGCATTTGTCGAGTGTACTTCGAAGTAGATCTACTGGTGCAGTGGTGGCTTGTCTCGTAAAACTATCACTGCCACTGATGTGCCTCGGGAGAAAGTCTGAAACCATTTTTGGCAATGTTGCTCGTAGTCGATGCAAGTATATTCCAAGGAAGCGCATCGCATTGAGCTCACTGGCAGTATTCAGCTAACTCATGCTAGGGATGAGCAGTACAGTTAGATAGTAATAGGCACGAGTAACTCTGCGTTGCGCATTTCCATTGTTCAGTGACTGCAGCTTTCCAGGAAGGACGAGCGCTCAGCCATTTGTGCACGGCAGGAAATGAAAATTCACCACTTGTTGCACAGGTGGTTTTCTGCCAGTAGAGACGTCGACAGGATTTCCCTTGCTTGGCAGTGCGGCAGGTGGATAGCAATTGGCAGCGAGTGTGTCGCGCGTTGAAACGCCATCGCTAGCCTCTAACGTATGCTGACAACAGGCGCCACAGCCGCTGATGGCCTGGTCTCTATCCACCCGAAGTCACTCTGCTTCAGTCACGCTACAACATAGGTCAACATTAGTGTATGCAGCTACGCAGATACATGCAGACGTGCTGGCTAAGCAGCCACAGAACACGCCTTGGAACCGGGCATGCTCCTGCTTTCCTGAATACCGTTCTCGAAGGAATATTACCACCAAAACTTGGCGCTGCCTGAACAAATCTTCCCAGTTATCCTGATGTAGGCGAACCAGGTAGAGCTGCGCTTGGTGGATGACAAGGTGATATCAGCCATCCAGGAAGAATTGGGTTCATCGCCGCTGGGTTCATCTCCTCCCATCCTCTACTAACTTAGGAGCACCGTCCGAACAACGTCTTGGGGCGTTGGAAAAAGCAACCTGAAATGGAACGATTGCTGTCCATCGTGTTGCTGGTCGTGTCTGTCTTGCTCTGCTCTAACCATTTCACTGTAGACGGAAAGCTTCCTTTCAAATCAGGTAAGGTGATCCCTTCGGGAAGCTGTCGTCGCCTGTAAGGTGCATGCGGTGAGGAAGAATCGTAAACTAAGACGACTCAGTGCTTGTGTTCCGACTGTTCGTTTGCGTGTATTTTGCCTGTACAAAACCATTAAATTTTACTAGTATTTACTGGTTGTTGTGATCGTTACCCTACTGTCTTTGCTAGGAAAGAGCCTGTTCAGTGTTGGCTATAGAGCTCAGTGCGATGGATATCTTCGTCCCACTCTAGCGTGGCTGAAAGTACAGCATGACCTGTATGGGCATCCATGCTAGGCCACTGTTACTTGATGAACCACAGTCGAATTTTGGAGACTGAGAAGCTCTCACTTGCAGGAGTGAGCTGGGGAGCACTCTCCGATCTAGAGCTTAAGGGATGCTTCTGAGTTCAGCTAAGAAAATCTTCTGTAGGAGCACCGAGTTGGTTATTTGACACACATGTACTACAGTGCTGGCAACTGAAATCCAACCCCCAGGGCTAGGCCTGGGGGTCGGCCTGGGGTCGGATTTCAGTTGCCAGCACTGTATGATACTGTATTTTCCGGAGTATAAACCGCACTGGAGTATAAACCGCACTGGAGTATAAACCGCACTGGAGTATAAACCGCACTGGAGTATAAACCGCACTGGAGTATAAGCTGCACCCACATTTTTGTCACGAAATGCAGACATACACCACATTTATCATATCACCGTTGATTTGACCATCGCAGTATAAGTCGCACCGACTTGTTTTGGGTGAGTCACTGTTGTTTAAAAATGCGGCTTATACTCCTGTTAATAGGGTAATTTAGACTTGACGTCTCCCATCCATTGCTGCAAAGGCTAGATTTGTCGGGCGTGTCCCATCAAAGCCAGCATTGCGCAACGTTTGGGAACCCATGCAGACGCCATTGCAGTAGTAGGTCGATAGGCCTCGTGAGTTGGGAGGATACATCTGCGTGTGTGGGTGCTAATGCTAGCGAGTAGGGTGTGTAGTGGACTGCGGTGATACCGCCGGTGAATCATAGTGTCCAGCGTGTGTCAGTGCAAATGTACTGACAGTGAGGAGTTATCATGCGGAAAGCATAATAATTATGCAGATAGGCATGGGTCCTACTTCTAACCCTGCAGTAACCGTAATGGGCTTGGCTGAGAAACGTGACAAAGTCCCAGTGTACAAAATGAACGTAGGTCGTTGTGTTTGTGAAAATCGTGACTTTCGGTGAAACTGGAAACATATTTTCAAACTAAACAGCTCCAGGTATGCTCTCTTGGGTAGAATAGCTGTGGCCCATGGCCAGGAACATCTATGTTGGAATAGTTGCGGCCCGAGGCAGGGACTTTCTGTGTTGGATTAACTGTGGACCGAGGCAGGGAATAGTTGTGTTAGATTAGCTGTGGACCAAGGCAGGGACTATCAGGCTGGCGTATTGGACATTTGACCACACTGTAGAACTACATCGATAGTAGAGAGGTTGTGCATAACGAAAATTCGTAAAGATCTTTCGGAATCTGAGCCATCTGGAAGTGACGAAAATTCGTAACGAAAATAAGTTGTGCTCAACGAAAAACGTAGTGTGACCATGGTGACCCTTTCGAGTACGTTTTCCGCTGTTTGCGCGCGTGGTGAACAATTTTTTGAATCAAGTGTGTACTCCGGCCCACGTGTAGGCACACCACCGAACTGAGAGTTGGACTCAAGTTTTCCAGCTCACAGGCAACGATCTCCATGGCTGGAGACCCTCGTCGAAACGGTTGGTCGTGAGAACGAAGCTACCTGAGAAGGGCCAGGTCCATCGCGAGGTCAAAATTCATGTCCTTCGCTGAGACGTCGCAGGGGAAGACGAAGACGCCGAAGTGGCAGAATTCTGCTGCGGGGATTCAGCAGAATAATTTGTCACAGGGCGAGCACTGACAGGACTTCCAGATCTGACAGAACTGACAGAACTAGCCGAGCGCTGTCCAGGTGACAGAGGATCGCTGAGAGAGCGGGAAAGAGATCCATCAGCTCCACAGGATGCCGAGTAGGAAGAACTTGCAGAACGACTTGAAAAGGCCATGGCTAAAAAATCTTGACACCACGTGCATCAACACAGCTACATGTACATGTATCAGAAGCTTGCGAGAAAGAAGCGAAAGTTCAAAACGTAAGATCTTCAAGTTTCGCGATCATCCTTGCAAAAGTCCCTTTTCTTTTTCGTTACTCGTGCCCAGACTACGTCTAAGTTACGAATTTTCGTTATGCACAACCTCTCTACTGATACATCACTTGACAAACATGCCAAGCTTCTTGAGATCATGTTTGTAGAAAGCTAGAAACGACCAAGTTCTGCCTGGGAATGGATCAGTTGCGCATTGCACTGTTGATTGCCTGGGAATGGATCAGTTGCGCATTGCACTGTTGATTGCCTGGGAATGGATCAGTTGCGCATTGCACTGTTGATTGCCTGGGAATGGATCAGTTGCACATTGCACTGTTGATTGCCTGGGAATGGATCAGTTGCGCATTGCACTGTTGATTGCCTGGGAATGGATCAGTTGCACATTGCACTGTTGATTGCCTGGGAATGGATCAGTTGCGCATTGCACTGTTGATTGCCTGGGAATGGATCAGTTGCACATTGCACTGTTGATTGCCTGGGAATGGATCAGTTGCACATTGCACTGTTGATTGCCTGGGAATGGATCAGTTGCACATTGCACTGTTGATTGCCTGGGAATGGATCAGTTGCGCATTGCACTGTTGATTGCCTGGGAATGGATCAGTTGCGCATTGCACTGTTGATTGCCTGGGAATGGATCAGTTGCACATTGCACTGTTGATTGCCTGGGAATGGATCAGTTGCGCATTGCACTGTTGATTGCCTGGGAATGGATCAGTTGCGCATTGCACTGGTGATTGCCTGGGAATGGATCAGTTGCACATTGCACTGTTGATTGCCTGGGAATGGATCAGTTGCGCATTGCACTATTCATTGCCTGGGAATGGATCAGTTGCGCATTGCACTATTCATTGCCTGGGAATGGATCAGTTGCGCATTGCACTGTTCATTGCCTGGGAATGGATCAGCTGCGCATTGCACTGTTGATTGCTCTCCTATGCAGTATTACTGATAGCAAGATAGGACCCATTTGGCTTCCTGTATGTTGGAATTTCCACTTTGCTTTGTGTGTGTGTGTGTGTGTGTGTTGGGGGGGGGGGGTGCTGGATGTACATGTACATGTATATGCATGGGAAGTAGGCATGTGGTTCCATCACCCCAGCCCAGTATAGCCATGTTGTGTACACTGTACATGTACAGTGCTCCACAGTGTTGACTCAGTCATAGAATTGACATGTGTGTGTGTGTGTGTGTGTGTGTGTGTGTGTGTGTGTGTGTGTGTGTGTGTGTGTGTGTGTGTGTGTGTGTGTGTGTGTGTGTGTGTGTGTGTGTGTGTGTGTGTGTGTGTGTGTGTGTGTGTGTGTGTGTGTGTGTGTGTGTGTGTGTGTGTGTGTGTGTGTGTGTGTGTGTGTGTGTGTGTGTGTGTGTGTGTGTGTGTGTGTGTGTGTGTGTGTGTGTGTGTGTGTGTGTGTGTGTGTGTGTGTGTGTGTGTGTGTGTGTGTGTGTGTGTGTGTGTGTGTGTGTGTGTGTGTGTGTGTGTGTGTGTGTGTGTGTGTGTGTGTGTGTGTGTGTGTGTGTGTGTGTGTGTGTGTGTGTGTGTGTGTGTGTGTGTGTGTGTGTGTGTGTGTGTGTGTGTGTGTGTGTGTGTGTGTGTGTGTGTGCTGGTTCTCATAGCTATATACAGCTGCATGTCGATGGAATTTTGGCGGTGCCTGCTGAACACATGTGCGCCTCATTGAGAGCAGACGCTACCGTGAGGGCACAGGCTGCAGCTGTGTTCAGCTTAGGTCCGGATTGTTTCCTCCTCTTGTGATGCAGCACTGAACATGCTCCCAAGGGGGGGGGGGCTTTGTACCGTGCTAATCGCACTGCCCTGGAAATACGAAATTGAGGCTTGTGCATTTGGGAAGCTGCACATCCACCCAATACATCTGCTTGTCTGGATTGATATTATGTGTAATGAAGTATACATATTATGGCAATGAGCAATAATCAGGAAAGACGCTATGTAGATCTGCACTGGATAGACTGCTAGTGGAATGATACTCAAATATGTTGACATGGGATGCTGGCAGGCACGATGGAAACTCTCACGGCCATGATAGAGAGCATGCCAGAATGTCTCAGAATGCAGCGAGATGCAGTTGACTTGCACAGCAACAGCCGAGAGACAAGATGATCGAGAAACAGCAAAGACACATGCATATAATGTACATGTAAAGTGCTCCTGTCAAGTCACCCCCCCCCCCCCCCCCACACACACACATACAGGATGGTAGAACATAAACCAACACATGTTCTGAGAATCTCTGCATGGGTCAATCATCCACAGGATATGGACGCACTGCCCGATATTTTTCCAAATAAGTGTGTAGTGTAAAGTAATTGTACAGTTCTGCTCAATGAAATCCAATCATGAAAGTCACGCTGTGTACTGTGCAGCCCCAGACCTGTGAACAAGCCTTCGCTTCATGCAGAGTGGATACAAGAGCCGGTATTTGTCGATAGATTTTGACATCTGACGTCATCGCTTTTTCTTTCAAGCCATATTACTGTTCCAGACTCATGAGTTCTCTGATAGTAATGTGTAGCTTGGTGTTTTCTCTGCACAGCCAAGTCCTGGCCATCAGGTATCTCGATACAGACGAACAGGGACACGGATTGGTTGAGCTTTCACATCGGCGAGAAGATTTGCCTTGTGTGCGCAGTTCATCCCAACCCGTACAACGACAGCGTTGTTCCTGTTCTGGAGTGGAGTTTGAACGGCAACAAGCGTGCCTTGACAACGTATACACAGCAACTTGCCGCATCGTTCAATGAAACCGGAAAGAATGGATGGCTGTCAGTGGTTCAGATCGATTCTTCAACAGACCAAGACATAGGAGTGTACGAGTGCAAGGCGTCCTTTCCTTCCCTCCAGCTCCAAGCAAATGTTACACTTGAGCAAAAACGTGAGTTGACATGTGTTTTAACGCTTGTAGCCAAACATCATCTTCACGTAGAAAGAATTGTATGATTCTAAAACAGGAAAGGTTTGCTCCCCACACTGGAGCTCGCGCTTTTCCGCTGGCTTGACTTGACACTTGGTCGGCGGAAAAACGCGAGCTCCAGCGTGGAGAACGAACCCTTTCCTAACAAAACAACACCGACGTCGCTACCACTAATTCGGATGATTAAAAACATTAAAAACATTCATGATTCGCATAGAAACTCGCTACGCCGAGTTTCTGCATCAGTAGGAACGCCACTACCCTTAAAAAAGCAAACCGGCTTTCAAAAGCAAGTTTCATTCAGGCATGCGCATGTACAGCTCGCAACTAGATATGTTTGTAGCCTTATTGGCCATCATGGCAATTGCATGCCCAACCCAACCCTGTGCAAGACCACCAGACATAGACCTCTTAGTAACTGAGGCCACAGCTGCTAGGAATATCCCATAGCAAATTGTCTAGCCCACAGTGGTACCGAAAATCACGAAGTTCTTTCAAGAATGCATGCTAGATAGAGCCTAGAGCCTATGCTAGATAGCCTAGAGCCTATGCTAGATAGCCTAGAGCCTATGCTAGATAGAGCCTAGAGCCTATGCTAGATAGCCTAGAGCCTATGCTAGATGGAACCTAGAGCCTATGCTAGATAGAGCCTAGAGCCTATGCTAGATAGAACCTAGAGCCTATGCTAGATAGAGCCTAGAGCCTATGCTAGATGGAAGCTAGAGCCTATGCTAGATAGAGCCTAGAGCCTATGCTAGATGGAAGCTAGAGCCTATGCTAGATAGAGCCTAGAGCCTATGCTAGATAGAGCCTAGAGCCTATGTTAGATAGCCTAGAGCCTATGCTAGATGGAACCTAGAGCCTATGCTAGATAGAGCCTAGAGCCTATGCTAGATGGAACCTAGAGCCTATGCTAGATGGAAGCTAGAGCCTATGCTAGATGGAACCTAGAGCCTATGCTAGATGGAAGCTAGAGCCTATGCTAGATGGAACCTAGAGCCTATGCTAGATGGAACCTAGAGCCTATGCTAGATGGAACCTAGAGCCTATGCTAGATGGAACATGCTGGACAAAGTCAAGCACATGTATGCATACATGCACAAAGGTCATTTAAAAACTAGTGACCTGTTTCATAACCCTCTGCATGGCTTCATGCATGCACACTCGTACTACCCCCCCCCCCCATATACACCATTGTACGCATGTTGCTTATGAGATACTATGTCCTTGTGACATGCCATTACCTGTTACAGAGTACTACTTCAAGGAGGGATTGCCCAAATCGTACTACATTGGGGAATACGGAGACATACAGAATATCACCTGCCATTCGCAATTTAATTACTTCCCTGTTTGGTGCAAGCTCAGGAAGCTCAACCTAGACTTAAGCGAAACAAATTGGGCAGTGCAGTGTATCGAGCACAATCTGCAGTCCGATCGGCAGGCTTCGCACACTCGAGCAACATTCCCTATTATTGTCAATGATGTGACTGCTGGCTGGTGGAAATGTATGCTGAGCTTTAGCCATCAACCTTTTGTAACCCTTCCCCCAATAAACTATGTGCCAATCCAACTCAAGATCAAAGGTCAGAATTTGTGTAATGGTTAACTGAAGTACTATGGTATTATGATGTTGCTTCTTCAAAAGAACAGGATTGACTACCTTCTCACCAGACCATTGGCCTGGCTCTTATAGGATATGAAGAATATGTTGAATAGGTCAGACCCTGTGAAACAGAGAAGATGAACAGAGTACACTACATGTATGTAGTTCAGTAGTCCAGAGCAGACATATTGGAGCATGTCAGGTTTCACATGATGTGTGAGAAGGATAAGACAGGGAAAGGGAGGAGGGGCAGGGAGTGGCGTATGAATAGTGTGAATTTGGTGACTAGATGGTGTCATGCACTCGTTATGTGCATGCGTAAAAAGTGAACTAAACCAGATGTGTTCTGCTAACCTAGATCCTTGTGCTGGAATTCGAAAGTCATATCTCGCCAAATGATTGCCCTTGGGACTTCATCAGGGAGTATAAAAGGGCAGGGCATTGGCATCGCATAACATACACTAGTCTGTTGGGTGCATACTAAGTATATTACATATGTGTGGTAGATTATGCTTATTGCCCTGCTGCGAGTATGTATCTAAGTCGAGATTGCTTCTTCATGCTGGCCTATTGTGTTCTCAGAAGTGAAACCGAGGGCAATGCGTATTGAGACAAGTATAGCGGCGCACATGGAGGGTTCAACAAGTGGCCCGCAACTACTGCCCGTTGCGATAGACAATCACTCGGATCCCAATATTGTCTACATCGTCGACTGGCCCAGCAACTTCACCGCGGCCAACATCACGTGTATACTGGCCAACGCGACGTATCCCACCCCAGAGGTGTGCTACATCTATTCTCGGCTAGCTTAGTGTTATTCTGAGACATACTTGCAGTGAGGGTTTGCATGGGCTTAGGGCATCATTAGTTCGTGCGTTGAAATCCTCTAGCCCCACAGCATGTTCCACAGATGATGAAATTGGAAAATTCAGATGGATACAAATTCAACTTCATGGAGTCTTCAAAATCATTCTCCAGTGAACCATTTCATCAAAGTTACTTTCGTTAGTATTGTCTTCCCATTCAAATAAACTCGTTCATGTGATCTTTCATAACAACTGAAATCTGTACACAGCCGCTGAGAGTTACAGTGACTCTGTCCATGGCCTGCAATGTACTTCGAAGCACCGGTTGTTTGATGATATGGGCCATTGGGGCCATCTTACACATAGGAATAGGACGGGTTAAAAAGGATGTTTAACGGGTGGCAATAGTGGTTTCAAACATTTACTGGGCATGGATGACATGAGGGACTATAGACTTTTAGTACTTGTATTATGTACGGAGTGTGAACATGCTATTTATTCCGGCTTCAATGTGCTCAATGACAACAGATACGCCTGAGCTGGAGGAAGCCGGACGTGTTCAATGGCTCTACTACCACCACAGCGAGAAACCTGACCGAAACGTTCGGCCCGAGCAGCCACCTTCAGCCCGGCACCAGAGTGAAGTGCCATGCCTCAAACAAACTTGGGATGATGGAGCGTACGGTTGAGCTGAGAGCAGGACGTAAGTGTGCAGGGCAATGGCATGGCAATGGTGGTCTGTACCCTTTGATGTGATGAATGGAGGGCAGGCACGTAGCTCTTGTATATACAGCATAGTCCAGTCACCGCACCAGCAAATGGCCATCATCGGTACTGCATCGACAAAATAGGCAACTGAATGGTGGCTATGAGGTGGCCGGTGGTACATGGTCACCACACCACTGACGTACTCTGGTACATGGTCACCACACCAGCAAATGGCCACCATAGGTACTGCATCGACAAAATAGGCAACTGAATGGTGGCTATGGGGTGGCCGGTGGTACATGGTCACCACACCACTGACGTACTCTGGCACATGGTCGCCACACCACAGATGTGCGAGCTACGCCTCTGGAGGGCATCTTGAAACTTACTTATACCCTAGTGTATAGTAATATTCAGATAAGACAAACCCGGGCTAAGCCACCAATCTTCGGATAGGGTTAGAACCACTCTTTTTAGGCTTCATTAAGAAAAGCACCATCGCCCATGCACTGATGGACTTGGTTGTTCAGACAAACTCTCAGATGACACCATCCATTATGGCAATATCAAGTCCCGAGCGGCCAACACGTTAGCCAAGATGAATGTTCCGGTGGCCGGTGGCCTTTCAAACTCAACTTGCCACACACTCTTTGATTTGGGCACGGTATGTTTTTATCAAATACCGTGTTTCCCCGAATATAGGTCACACATTCTTACATTTAACTTCAAGGGCAAAGCAGGGAGTGAGACTTACAATCGAGTGCAACATCTTACCTTTGTGGCTATATTCAGGGGTGTCGCATACGCTACGGACACTACGGTATTGACCGTACCACTTTTTGCCCCGGGTACCCCTTCAATCAATAAAATGCACTCATCTGGGATCTAAATTTCCAAAATTTTCGGCTCCGCTTCCACTCCCCGACCAGTAAATTGTACTTCAGATGGCTGACCGTACCACACTATAATACCTTCCGACGCCCCTGATGTTGAAGCAATACACTGCATGGCTCAAACATCCAGCCGGGGCAGCTCTAAGCATAGCTTGCTCTGCATGGCACTTGGTACAGCTAAAGTCTTTCATTGCAAAATCCGGCTCCACTGCTCACTGCCAAGCTGCTTTAGTACTATGTATGTGTAAGTAATACGTATGTATGTATGTATGTATGTATGTAAGTTTGTGTGTATGTATGTATGTATGTATGTATGTATGTATGTATGTATGTATGTATGTATGTATGTATGTATGTGTGTGTGTGTATGTGCGTGTGTGCATGTGTGTGTGTATGTACAATGTCATGTATGCATGTGTGTGTGTTCTTGTCTTGGCCCATCACCGGCATTGACTGCGCATCCTGTTGTGTCTGTGTTGTTGACTAGGCAAGCCCAGTCTGCATATTCAGGACGTCCAGGGTGGTCCAGGACAGGACACCGTTGATACCAAGGTCGTGGTGCACGTGTTTGGAGCGCCTCTCACCGAGATCGGATCCGCCTGCGTGCGGCTGCAGGTGATGAACCGTGAGTCCCGCTGTCAGAAGAACCTCAAGGCCAATGATTCTTACATAGACCTACCTGTGCACAAGGTGGGTGACCCGGTCAAGATCTTCTTCTCGTGGTCTGCGGGCTATGAACACAATGGACATCATTATGGCATTGCTAATTGGACTATTCAAAAGGACGCCGTCGAGAGCGAAGGAATCAACCTGGCTGACACGTTCATCATGCGCGTCTTCTACGCACCCATATCCAACAAGGCTGAAAAGCTGTCATTCACTTTCAGAGCTGCTCTTAACGGATCAGATCACCTCCCTCTTCCAGGTGAGAATTTATGGTGACTTAATGGGATCAAGATCTAGACTAGGGTCTCAGATAGAGCAGTGACTAGGGAGAGACAGCCATAGACGTGCTTGGATGTGTCCTGTTTGCTTGGCTGGGGAGCTCTAGGATGATGTGGAAGCTGCAGAATCTGCGGCTTCTGTTATCGTACCAAGCTAGCATTCCACCTTGCCTTGGAATGTAGCTTGTGTTCGGCTTGATGGCGCTGTTACGGAATCTCGGCCATTCCGTTCCCCGGGACGCAGGACACAAAGGACAAGACTGGTTTGTTACATTATGCTATATTGACAAGGCGGAAAAGCAAACTGCTCTGACAGAGACGAACAAGAAGACTGACAAAAGGACTCTCGACTACAAAATCGCGCATGCTCATATCACACATGCACGCGACTAGACGAGACAGTTTGGGGAATGCCATCACACAGGAAAACAACACATCATTTTACAACACCTGCCCCCTTGATGACATTCCACAAAATAATAAACCGACACCACGTTCCACATACACAACAGCAAAAGAAACCACAGCAAAACAGGAAAACCAAAACCAACCAACAGCTTACATTGTAGCACAACAAAACTGGGCCACGACACAGGGCCAAACCAAGACACAAGAGCCGACGCTTTCAACCAAGCCGCACCACAGGGCCAAACCAAAAAACACAAGAGCCGACGCTCTAAACTCAGGCAAACAAGGCCAACCGAAACACGAAAGCCAAAGCTCCAACAAATAACAACATGCGCGCAGCAGCGCAAAATAAATCTACAACGCAAATTAATGCAGAACAACAGAACGACGAGAAGAGCAACATACCGACAACCAAACTCAACAACACAGCAACGAACTGAACAGCGAGAGAAACACGATCAGACAACACAGCGAGCAAGACAACAACAAGACGAACGACAAAGGACGACACACAGTCGGTGATGCCAGACTCATCCACTGGCCTCTGGCGCAACACAACACAACAGCGCTTACCTTCCGCTCGTTGGAACTATAACTAATATCCATTAACCTTCCAAGTTGGAAGGCTGTTGGTTAGCGCTATCGAGCAGTGCTCAAGCTCACTTCCTTGCCGTGGAATGTCTCAGTACTCCTTGTCAGTCTGGTGCTACCTTGTACACGTCTGACTGTTCAAAACCTGGTTTACGTCAGTCACGGTCTGACAGTTCAAAACCTGGTTTACGTCTGACTGTTCAAAACCTGGTTTAGTCGGTGGACTCTAAACGCACACCAGTAACTTGTGCCCTGCCGTTTTACTTGTTTCAATTTAATATTTTCCTTGGCTCTCCAAACATGTGTACATATTTATTTCTGCACCTCGTGCACCTCGTAGCATGTCCTTTGTTTCAAGTTGACTCGATCGAGTCGGATTTGTTGCAGGGCGGTTGTAGCTGCCAAGTGTAACATTTTTGACACTGATATGTGTTAGGTTAGAAACTTTAGTGGGCGTGAATCTGCGTTCAGTTTCCGTCACTACATGTATAGTTGACGGGGGCCGGACCGTCGTCAACAGCTGCATTGTTAGAGTCACGGAGGAGTGTTAATAAACTCTTCGTCCAGAAGGCGTCACTCGCTTCAAAGCAGTGTTTGATGAAATCTTTTCTACGACACACGTGCTGCCTGTCTTTTGGGAAGTTTTGCCTCGTGCACTTGGCAATTGGCAGGCTTTACATTTCAAGGTCGGTGCCCAGCATGTGCTCTCACACTGCTCTGCGGCAAAATGCGCATTTTTTCTGGAAAAGGTGACGTCTACAAAACATTCCACCGCGGGCCGGGGTATCTGCAGATTGTGCAGAAGAGATGCGGAGTTGCACACTCTTGTTTATCTACTCTTGTTATAATACATTGTTCTAAGCATGTCTTAATGCATGTTTGCCCATTTACAGACGCTGAGGACTGGCCAACACGTGAAGTACCAACAGACACTACCGATACTACTACGGACGTACCAACAGATACTACCGATACCACTACGGATGCTGATGATGGGTCTGGGAAGACAGGAAATGACGATGTGCAGACCGAGGTCGAAACAGCAGCAACGGCGGTAAAGCCTACCAGCTCGACCGTGTACATAGTCGTGTGCATCGTACTGGCTGGCGTACTGGTGATGGCTGCTGCCGGTTATGTACTGCTCAATCGCAAACACAAGTACACCGTGCCTCAGCGACTTTCGCACCTGACCAGACAGGCACCGAGACAAACAGAGCTGACTGCTCATGATCACGACCCCAGCGTCAGCACGGCGGGTAGTCAGTACGATAGGTATCAACCCAGGTCAGCAGCCGGTCGGCCCACTCTGGAGCATGCTGATAGCCGCATCAGCACCACCACCAACACATCGTGGCTGGAATTATCCGTGAGTGCCGCGCAGACTACTAACGTGCTATGAATTACCCCAGTGTTTTGAGCGTGTCATTTGTGTCATTGAGCAACCAATGACGTCGCTACGACTAACTAATTTTGTGCAGTGTGTCAAGTAGACAAAATACACACAGTATCCCGGGGTGACAGGGGTTTGTGCAAGGCATACAGTTTGTTCATCTGCGGCAAGTGCGCTATTTCCTTATCCTTTAAAAACTTTCTCTAGGAGGAGGCTGTAGATATGCTTACACTCTGTAGCTTATGGTTTCATACCTCTGGGTCACTTTCTAGGTTTGTATTTTGGTGACTACTTGAACTTACTAATGTAAGTCAACAAATATTCAGCGCATATTTATTTGCGGCTCTTTTCGGCTTGGTAATATTTGTCATGAAGTTGGTTGCTCCAACGAGGAGCACACGCTTCTTGCCGAACTTGACACTTGACTGACTCACGACTGCCATCCGGAGCACACGAGGAGCACGTCGAACCTTCCGCTCGGCAAACCTGAAAGAAAGCACCACTCCCTGCTCAATACACAGTGTTTCGGGGAATTCATCCCTCATCAGTTGAGCTTGAGTAGGCTCGTTAGAGCAACCAACTTCATGACTATTACCGCCGAAGTCGCAACTTCTAAGTTGGTAATATTTGGCCGAGATTTAGTTTTGCAAGGTTCGGTGCAACAGTATAATATTATACAGTCAGCAGCAGTGCAGGCCGAAAATTTGATGCGCCCGAAATGTGTTTTAGCCCTGGGAGGCCGAAATTTGAATGGGCCAAAAATTTGTAGACGGTGACTTACAGTATTCTAACATCAGTTGAAGAGCACTGAGTGGAAATACGTTTTAGGTGATGCTAGATGCCATCATAAGTACCACAAATTGGTGCTGTAAGGCAACAAAATTAATATTCGGTGCATATGTATTCTCAGCCATTTTCAGCCTGGTCATGTGCGGCCGAAAATTTGTTTTGCAAGGTTCAGTGTGACAATGTATACAGGCGGCAGTAGTACAGGCCAAAAATTTGATGTGGCCGAAATATGTTTTAGCGCTGGGAGGGGCCGAAAATTGAATGAGGCGAAAATTTGTAATCTGACATGAAGAAGAGCAGTGGAAATAATTTTTAGGTGACGCTAGATACCATCATAAGTACCACAAATTGGTATCTAGTAGAAGAATGTGTGCAACCGCTATATGCACTGGTACTGTTAATCGAGTTTAGTCATACAGTCAGACCTCGCTTATCCGGTCCTCTTTTATCCGGATCCCTCACCATCTGGAAGAAAATCATTGGTTATCGATTTACAACATATGCCCTGCATACATACAGTATGCGTGTTCGATTATCTGGTTCCCTCGCCTTTCCGGGTCTTTTTTTGTGGAAAACGGATGTGTGTGGTTATGCGAGGTCTGACTGTATCACCATGGTGCTCCCTGCGGGCTTTCAGGCTGATAATGGTGAATAAGATTGTGGAGTATATGATAATGTATACGGTGAACCATGTCAAGGTGATCACTCTGGTAAGATGACCACCTATCCCAGAGGACCATTCACACCATGTCACACGTGACAACCAACTAGCGCCAAGGGATGTTACTTCCAGTCAAATGACCCCTGGATGGGGAGACTGCCTGCAGTACACAGAGACCATACTTTTGAAGGTCCCTTGAGCGGTCGGCTTGGGCAGGTTTCACAATACATCACACACTGGCATTTTCCCGTCGACTAGCACTTGAGTACATGAAAATGCACGCGGCTGTACAAGAACACTAGTAACTACTATAACTGTCCTTTCTCTCTTTTGCCCGACCACAATCTACAGCCTACGTGCAAAGATCCATTCGGATTGGGAGACTTGGGTGATCTCGTCATTGACTCCAGTTTTGTATCCATCGGAGAAGAACTTGGACGAGGAGCGTTCGGCGTGGTGCACCGGGGTACAGTTCGTAACCTGGAACCGGGGCAAATAACCACGGATGTTGCCCTGAAGATTGCCAAAGGTGTGTGTGTGCGCTTATCAGTGAACTCAAACCCGAGCTATCACAGTCACAGTATGCATACTCGCAAGAGTTACACACATAGCTGGTACATCGTGGAAAGTTATTAGCGGCATACAACATTTGTCATGAGTTCGCGTGTGGGCGCAGTCAATATGTGTGTGCATGTCACAGCCCATAGCGGCATGCTCAACTAGCAAAGGCAGTGCTTCGTCACATTTTTAAGCCACGGAGTTTAAAGTATTCAAGTACCACCTATGACTTGTCCAAATGTCCAGTTTCTATTCAAGTGAGACATCTGCACAAGAAGTGACGGTATTGGGTTTGTTTCTATTGAGTATTTGCACATGCTTGTACAGTCGTCCCTCTCTAATCCGGCACTTGTTTATCCGGAACCCTTGCCAACCGGCGCACTTTCTGACGAAACCGATTTTTTTCGTTCAATTCCTACATCTTAATCCGGCACTTGAATTCCGCCTCCGGCAGTGACTTTTTGAAACGAATCGCTCAAACTGCACGTAGTTTGATTTCATAATCCGGCAGTCGTAAATCGCGTACCGTACAGGTGCACTCCTTGCCAGGCCAGGCTAGGCTTGTCCAGGAGACAACGGCAGTCAACCATACTTTCTATTTAGCAAGGAGTAGTGTCCTGCCAATTTTCAGGTGTGTGTGCGTGTGTGCGTGTGTGTGCAAGAGTACATGTGAACATGTTCTCTGTTTTACTTTATCACTGTGTATATTCCCGGAGAACAATTGAGAATATAAAGCCGTGCACCAAATACTTGGGTCGACACGGTAAAACCCTGCGTTTTGACATACATATGATACATGCATGCAATTGGGTAGGGCCGGGTCAGAGGGCAGGATTTCTTAATCCAGCACCCTCGTTAATCCAGCAGAAATGCCGTAGCAAAAGGTGCCGGATTAGAGAGGGACGACTGTATTGTGTATTTTCTTCTCGCATACTTTGTCATGCAGATGAGTCGATGGGTTCGGCATTCATGGAATTGACCAAGGAGATTGCCGCACTAAAGGACCTTGGTCGACGTGCCCATCCAAATGTCATGAGCATGCTGGGAGTCTGCTTTGGATGTAAGCTATATTGGGCACTGATTTCACCTTCCTCTTTGAATAGATTGGCCTGATAGTGTGACAAAATGAATAACTAATCAAAAAATGAGATGGCAATGACAACGTATTCCAAGTTGCTGGATGCACCCCTGTTTACTTTCCTCTGACCTGTCTTACATATGTTTGAAACGGGTTTGCTCCCCACACCGGAGCTCGCGCTATTCCGCCGACTTGACTTGACACTTGACTGACGCACGACTGCCATCCAGAGCACACACCCCCTTTTCAAACAAATCATCGCCGAAGTCGCTACCACTATTTCGTGCTGTCTTACATAAACGGTGAAACTGGAGTCTGATGTGTCCCACCCTCTACCCCATCCTCCCTTTCACCTGCTATAGTACAGTCATGGTGCTTAACTGTGTGCACATCTATGCATGTATGTGTCCGTATATGTGTGTGCGTACATGTGTATATGTGTGTATGTGCACATGTGTGCATGCATGCATGTGTGTGTGCGTGTGCGAGCGTGTGCACATGCCTCTGCATGCCCATGCATGTGTGTATATGTGTGCATGAACACGCGCACATGCTCGTGCGTGAATGTGTGTGCATGTATATACTTCTCTCGGTCATCTGCCATCAGGTCAGCCTGTTCTTATCATGGAACTGGCTGAACGCGGCAGTCTGCTGGATCTGCTGCGCAAGCGACGTGGTGCCACACAGCGGGTTAAGCAGCAGATGTCACGCATCGACAGCGTGACCAGTGACACTGAGGTATCCAACAGCCGACGATTCTCCTCGGCCTACTCCAAGATGCCAAGCGAGGAAGACGTCCTGAAGCCGAACGACATGTTCAACTTCTCCAGGCAGGTGGCCCGAGGTATGGAGTTCCTCGCCTCCAAAGCAGTGAGTTTGTTTGTTTAGATTTATTTCACTTCACCAAAATGAACAGGCGGTTTATGCCTTCTCACCGGCTGTGACGGCCGGTCCTCATAGGACGATGAAAATAGTTTATATGATTGAAAGAAGAAGGGGAGGTGAGACGTACAGAATCTGGAGTTGCTTGCGTAAATTAGATACGAATGTTCTAGCAGACATTATGTAGGCAACAACACATGATAAGAAGATATTATGTGTGTTTCTTGCTGTTATGTGCGTTTCTTGCTGTTGATGCCCCCCCCCTTAGTGTGCATTATAGCTGCTATCATCTGGGTTACTTGTCAATTGCTGTGTTCCAAAAGCCTATCCAGTGTCAGTGGTGGTGGTGGTGGCGGCGGCGGCGACAGTGGTGGTGGTGGTGGTGGTGGAGGTGGCGATGATGATTGAATCAAAGAATAATGCGGTCGGCATCACACAGGCTAGTACAGCTGTGTGTCATCCACTTTTGTCACAATTGCCAATGCTACCACCACCATCATCACCACCATTCTTAGCACCATTATGCAGGCAGGCATAGCGAGATGGTCTAAGACCATGATTGAGAAACAGGGTTCAAGCCAGGTTCAAGCCCTGCTTTAACCATTCTGCTCTCGATGATGACTGATTCCCGCCTGCAGTACATGCATTATGCAGGCAGGCATAGTGGGTTGGACTAAGACCATGATTGAGAAACATGGGACGCGCCTGCAGGGGGTGTCAGGTTCAAGTCTTGCTTTAACCATTCTGCTCTGAATAATGACTGATCACCGCCTGCAGTACATTCATCGTGACCTGGCCGCACGTAACGTGCTCATATCCAACGACTACACACTGAAGGTGTCCGACTTTGGCCACTCGCGGCACCTGGAGGGCGAGGACGGCATCTACCACCCGTCGTCCACCAAGCACGTGCCGGTCAAGTGGTACGCCGTCGAGTCACTCCAGGATGGCGTGTACACGTGCCGCAGCGATGTGTAAGTACAGTCCAGAGAACGAAAGACATGAGGAAATTTTCCCCAACATTACACTCATACCTCGGTTATCCGGACTTCGTTCTACCGGGCACCCTTTGGGCGAGTTTCAGTGGAAATACTGCTACTCTTGTCACTTTTTGTGGAAATAGTGACGTTACATGCCATATCTATCGTCTTTCCCCATCAAAATGTATGTGATTCGGAGTTCAATACGGACATTTCAAAGTTACGGGCAGTGCCCGGCCTATCCCGGGCGGCCTGGATATACAAGATATGAGTATTATAGTCTTCCAGGCTAACTTGTTACTTCTGATGGAATATTTAAATCATGTTTCAGTGGAAAGCCACCCACTGTCACAGGTTTATGTACAGGTGTGCTACACAGTAGAGGAACAGCAGTACGGCTGTGCTTTGGGAACTCCTACCCGAATTGTGAATTTGCCGCCCCGGACTGGCACGACCCCCGATACTCCAGCGGGTGTGCTACAAATGCTGCCGGATGTACACAACGACTCGTGTACAAACACACGGTACAGGCAATGGGAAGTGGGCCAGGGTGCTGCCAGCTTTGCACAGTGGATTGGATTTCACAAAGCACCACCGTGTACTATGTCTCATGATCAGAGCGACTTGATTTTATTAAAATACATGTCCACTTTATGCACATTCTTCCTCTACTACATGTATTTACTATGCACTCAGCAAGGTTAGCTTACTTCAAATGGACATTCTGCAGGCCCTCTTATACACAATACTACAGCCCAGCCAGGCACAGTGACACTGTGCATCTAGCTATCTGGAGCCTGCGAGGTTCAAGCCAGCTGCTGCCTGCGGACCACTGTGTACGGTAGGGACAGCAACATGGCTGTGACATTTCAGTGGTCTGAGATTTTGTGGAGAGTTGGCCCGACAATTTACTAATGGACTTGATGTGGCTGCTGTGACATTGCAGGTGGTCCTTTGGAGTTGTTCTTTGGGAGATAGCAACACTTGGTGAGTCCCAAGTCAATAAAAACTCACTATCAAGGAGTGTCGATGTTTGCAATATTGTAGGTGTCACTCAGGATTAGCTATCACGAATACCATGCAACCTAGCAACTCCACGTGTGCAAATCACATATGCATGTACCTGCCACAGAACTGTTCCCAAGCAGAAAATTCCCGGGAAGACGAATGCAAGAGCCAGACCCGGAAAAAAGCTGAAAATCATTGTCTTTAGCTGACCGTGTCAAGGTCGAATGCAATGCAAATGAACACAATAATAGAAAAGCTGACAGGATCGCTTTTCTAAATACAACTTGATTATACAGCACCCTGAGCTGCATGGGGTGCTGCTTTCAATGCATCACCTGCATGTGCTCTGGCATAACAGAGCATCCACGTGCCCTAAAACAAAATTGTAACTTATCGTGTCCTTTCCTGAAGGGATCTCATGATGGCAGCTAACACCCGGTAAACCCTAGCCGCTAGGGTTTGCCATGTGTCATATGCTTCTTGTAAACGACAGGCTAAGGAAGTTTTCTTTTCACGAAAAAATTTGGACATGGATGGGGAGAATCAAAAAATAAGGTACATTGTGTGTTTGGCCAAAACGGTACTTCGGTATTTGGAAATGGTGTGGAGATATTCATCAGTTTGATTGTGAAGATGAGAGGAGGCTGGTGGTTGTGTGGGTGTGTATGGTTAATCATTAGTTATCATATAGGCGTTGCATGTGAACGGTGTGGTTTGGCTATGCGTGGTTATAGTACGGTCGTGAGGGCAAGAGAGTGTGTGCAGGAGAGAAAAAGAGAGCAAAAACTAATGCACATGCATGTCTTAGCTAGCATGTTCTTGCTCTTTGTGCATCAAGTAATAATGAAGTGTTGCTCTGTCACTTTCATTTCAGGTTGTACTCCGTACCCTGGCATTGCTCCACAGAACATGCTGGCTCTGCTGGCGTCTGGAAATCGCATGGCCAAGCCAGTCTTCTGCCCTGATAGTCTGTAGGTCCCGAAAGAATGTTTACACTTTGCAGACATTTGCATGCATGTGTGTGTGTGTGTGTGTGTGTGTGTGTGTGTGTGTGTGTGTGTGTGTGTGTGTGTGTGTGTGTGTGTGTGTGTGTGTGTGTGTGTGTGTGAGTGTGTGTGTGTGTCTTCGTTGCTTGGAATTGTTGGTGCGTGTGCAATGGCTATCGAGGGTGGCAACATGTCGGGTGAAAAGCACATGGAGATGAGGAGAGATTGTTGCACATGATCATTTAAGTTAACTATGCAGTGTTCAGCAGATACCTACCTAGGTACAGTGTACTGGATCATACTACTCCCAACATTGCCGGGAACTTGGCTTAGAGGCTAACACGGCTAACGTGCAATGTGACCCCAAAGGATCCACAAGAGAATAAGATGATCACCATGACCAGATGCGCTGATGAGTCCACAAAGAACGGGACAGTACGGTGGCAGCAGAACGGGACAGTACAGTGGCAGCAGATTGCCTTATCGTGATTGGCACCTATGCTTGCAGATGAAAACGGCCTATACCGGCGGTACTGATCATCGATAACACTAGAGTGGTCGTGGTGACGGGCACAGGGGCGTCGGATACGGTACAGTCACTACGGTACAGTCACTACGGTACAGTCACTACGGTACAGTCACTACGGTACAGTCACTACGGTACAGTCACTACGGTACAGTCACTACGGTACAGTCACTACGGTACAGTCACTACGGTACAGTCACTACGGTATTGACCACACCACTTTTTGCCCCTGGTACCCCGTGAATCAAGAAAATGCACTGATCTGGGATCTAAAATTCCAAAATTTTCGGCTCAGCCACCGCTCGCTCCTCCACGAGTAAATTGTACTTCAGATAGCTGACCGTACCACACAAAAATACTTTCCGACGCCCCTGGTGCATCTACTGGGTGGTGTTTGTTGCTATGGCTAATACTTCCTTCTCTGTATGTTCCACTCCATAAACAGTCATAATCCTATAAACAGTCGGAAGTCCAGTAGGGAGTCTAGCTCGTGATCTAGTCACCATTTTATGACTCTGTCAAACAGCTGTTGTGTTTCTCACATGTTGCTGCTCGTACCAGGTATGCATTGATGGAGAAATGCTGGCAGCATGAGGGCTGTGACCGACCATCGTTCACACAGCTAGTTGAGGAGCTGGATCACATGCTGCAGGAAACGGCCAAATGCACCAAGGTAAGAGGATCAGAATCGATAATCGTAACGTTATCCGATCATGGTGGTTATTACACTAGGGTGAACTGATTTCAAAATGTGTTAACTCCGTTCCCACAATCGCTTCCATGTACACGTAAATTGGGCTTGAAGCCCGTGTATACTTGCGAATTCAATAATGAAGACATGCACACAAACATACCACCTGGTGAAACTGACAAGCGAGCACCGCGGCAACTGCTCATCCTTCTGTCCGTATGCATGCTTATATTATGTCTACCTACTCCGGCAGGGCATCGACTACATCAGCCTGGACATGCTGACAACAGATAGCGGCGGAGCGGCGATGGCGTGTGCAGCGACAGCACCACCAGCAGTGAACACTGAGAGCGCTGAATATGCAATGGCAGCGGCAGCACCACCTGTCACTATCAGGGGCTCAGGATACTCAGAGTCCAGCTTTGCCAGGGCGCAGCATCAGCAGCCCACCTTTGTTGACCTCCCGCCCATGCACGAAGTGCCTAACGAGCAAGAAGCAGAGCTGCCAGAGTCCTCGGCCTATTACAACATTCGAAAATCCGCCAGCGTGAAGACAACTGACAGCGCAATGTATGACGAGCAGGCAGATTTGTTTTGAGCTACTCAGCACAATGGTCGTGAAACAATTAGTGGAAACGATGGTCACAACGTTGTGGTAATATTAGATGAAACACTGACTGTACACCAGTGGTACTATGCGGATCCGTGATCTGAGATTCGAAGTGGTCCACATTCCACAAATGCTCTGAACACTCGGCATGGAACCCGTCCAAGTATGCTTACATCGCTGATTGCCTGTACACTTTCTGTGTGTGTGTGTGTCACAATGTGTGTGTGTGTGTGTGTGTGTGTGTGTGTGTCACAATGTGTGTGTGTGTGTGTGTGTGTGTGTGTGTGTGTGTGTGTGTGTGTGCATGTGCGCATGTGTGTGCATGTGTGTGTATGTGTGTGTGCGTACACGCGCACGAACCTGACCTCACACGTGTGACCAAATCACGGCACAATGCCAACCTCTTTGAAGAGCAAAATGCCATTCTCCTGAATTCTGCTCAAATGCATTTTCTGTGCTGCTCTCACCTATGCCATTGCCCATTTCCCAACGAACAAATAGCTCACAAACAGCACAAACACATTTCCTGTAAACAAAAGACGAAACAGCATTGCATGCATTTGCTACTGCCTTACTAAACAGTATCATTCCTGACCTCAAAGGCAAGCAAGCACCAATTTCTCAGTGCAATATACTATCAAGATTCTAGCCGGCGCTTTGCCAGCCTTCATTCGAGTGTTTCGGAGCACATGGGCATGTACTATTTTCATGGACATTTTAATAGTAGATATTTACATGTAGACTGATTGCAAGGTGACAATCACATCTGAATATCTACTGACATGAATATTGTGATTTGCAAGGTGACAATCACATCTGAATATCTACTGGCATGAATATTGTGATTTGCAAGGTGACAATCACATCTGAATATCTACTGGCATGAATATTGTGTTGGGTCCTCAACCAATCAGATGTAGTTTTTATCGTGTTCATTAAAACAAACTGGACATGATTCTAGAGGCCTGTGCGTGCACAGGTAACTGTGTATTTGAATCCCGTTTTGCTTTTTTGGACTGGAGATTTTACCTTCCGATTCCGCTTTCCTTAGTAGAGCATTTTGCCTGACACCATTCGGTTGTCCACTGTTGGATTTCTCAAGTTAGTTTCTGTGGTGACTTCAGAACTTGTCTTGTCATGCCGGGTGGCCTGTCGGGGGGGGGGGGGGGGAGGGTGCACATCTTGTACTGTATTTGAATGCACGGAAACTACAATCATGTACGAAGCCAGGCTTGATCATCGTCCAACTCCAAAGAAAGACAATTTGTCTGGTCACCCATGGATGCTGAAAGGTAAATGACACAATAGGACTAGTACATAACGGCTAACGGCTATGTACTACTCTCGATGGCTTGGAGCCGTGAAGTCCTGGCCCATGATATGGGGGGGGGGGGGGGGGGGGGATGGGCTCTTGGACTTGCTTGTACGACTCGGTGGCTTACAGTTTACGACGCTCAGTCAGCGACTCACTTCATGAAGCGTGATGAAGACAAGGACAGGCACTGTGCACTGTGCACTGTACACTGTACTTCCAGTGTGATGGAACTATTTCCTGTGCAGTCTATTCTCAGTACGTATAGACCATGTACATGTACACGTGCTGTATTTCCGGCCGGTTCCGAGAAGGAAGCCTATTTCCGGACTTCTCATGCACTGGCTGACATCCGGCGATCGACCAGATGATCAGAGACCAACGAAGCAAAGATTTGGTTTGCTTGCATTTGGGGCCAGCGAGTCCGAACGACTCTCACAGACTGAAACAGGGCAGGCAGATTCACTGCGTGAGAGGCGCTAGGCCTAGGCCTGGTATTTCTGTCTGTGCGAGCGCTTTGTCGATCTGGTAGTACAGTGGTAGAGCCACGCCCACGATGTAGCGATTTGTTCTCCTCCGTTTCCTTAGGCTAGGCTGAGGACCTTTGACTTTGTCTAAGTGAAGTTATCCACAGCTCCACCACGGCGCATGCCGCTCCGGCTCCGGCGTGTGGAACATGATTGATGCCAGCAAAAATGATGATGAACAGATTCGGCCGTTTCGGGAAGGACCAAACCACGCCGGCAAAGACCCAAATAAATGCAAATGCACAGTCAGTACAGACAATCGATGATCATGGATTGGTGATCCACCCCCTACCCCAAATGCGGACTGTTATGTCTGCTGCATGGCACATACATAAATCTACGCAAGTACGCGTCTCATACCTGCATACGCGCGATGCACAGGCCAGGTCCAGCACGTGCGCACATACACAGCAGTGCAGCCAGCATGCACAAAACGGCCCACCTGTCTGTCATGCCATGCATGGTCTACTCAGTGCGTGTTTTGAGTGTTTTTTCTTGGTAGACATCTACGAGTAGAGTATGAAAAGCAAAACAACTGTGCCTCATACGATCGTGCGTGTGCGATTGTGCAGAGGCAGGGTGGGTGGCCGTGATCAAGGTCATCTTCTCCCTTTGGATCCAATTGCATTTTCTGGTCTGCTTGGTTTGACTTTATCTTATGTCAGTAGTTTAGAACCAACCCCAGCGACTGCGTGGTTGAAAGCTAGGATCGAAGAGCTAGCTGCTGCCTTTGGAGAGATTTCAATCCAGGATTTTTGAAGGACTGTTCACGTTCAATACGAAAAATGCTGCTTTGCTCATCTTGCTGCGAGCCTCTGGAGAAGGTTGAATCTCACCGTGCATTCAATCGGCATATTCTGGCTGGGTATCGTCCTGCTACTGGCGTCTTGGGTTGCCTGAAAAGCTTGCTCTATTTTCACAACGAGACCATCAATGTATACACTCATGGTGAGGAATCATGTTAGATTCACATGTACTGCTTGTAATGTAGTACTAGTACAGATGTACATAATAATTATGCCAGTAACAACATGTATAACAACATGTAGTACATGTAAAATTTGTATACAAGTTCCGTGTATGTCCGGGGTCAGTGGCGTACTAGTACATGTACCGGTAGCTAGCTGTGTGCCCCTCCTTGTCCAGCTCTTGATTGAATTGAAGTAAGGCATTATAGGCTGCGTTTACATGAGAATTTTCAATCCGGGTCCAGTTCCACCCGAGTTGAAAGTCTGCAAGTCTTCACGGCGGAAAAATAGGCCGGTGTTTACATGAAGAGAATTGACCGGGGTCAATTACTGATATGGCGACAAAAGCCCACTTCTAGACTGTCCCTCCAGAAACTTGCGGAGATATTTCGGAAATATCGCGGAAAAAGTTGCGAGGTAAAATGCCACAAATTGCGGGGAATATTGCGGATTTTGTCAAATATTGCGGGATTATTGTGGTAAAATTGCAGGAATTGCGGCCGATTTTGGTACTTGTACTGTACTCTGTAGTGCTAGTGGTGTACGATGTACGAGTCGTACAGCATAAATCATGCATGACAAAACAGAACGTGTGCTGCGCTGACTGTGTTCAACTGCCTGACAGGACTTGCAAGACAGCTTTCCTCCATCCTCGGACAACACTCGACGCGAGCCTTATTTTGTGACTTGTCAGCCGCTGATTTGCCCAGAAACTTCTCCATTCTGGTGTCGATCTCACAAGTAAACTACTGACGAGCTTGAAGAACTAAACAACATCGAAGAAAGACTCAAATATCGCGGTTGCTTTTCGAAATATCGCGGTGCTTTTCAAGTATCAAGGACAGTTTTCTACAATAACGCGGATGATTTTTCAAATATCGCGGATATCACGGACTTTTGTTCAGATCGCGGAAAACAACGCGGCTGCGGAATCGCAAGTTCCTGGAGGGACAGTCTAGAGTCAAGTATGGTCACGTGACTACTTTCGCGAGAAATTTGCCTGTGCTGCACTGTGCTGTGCAAACCTGGCGCGAGATACACACAGAAGTACGATTTCTCGATTTCAACTGTCCCTCTGGGGGGTGTTGAAATCAACGCGGGTCAAGCGCACTTCGTCTTGTACACGATCCAGTCAATATCTCTTAATTTGCTAAATCCTATATATTGGATTTTGGTCATATTTTTCAACTCAAAATGGGTGTGGCATGAGCATAGGGAAACGTATGTGACCAATTCTTCCGCGTTAGGTCTTAGTCGATATGGAGAGTTGAATAAGATATTTTTTTCAAATACTGACATCTAAGGCTCATCTCCTTGCGCAATATTTCTAAGGCCTGTGCCCTATTTTTCGAATCCTATATATAGGATTTGAGATTTTACTGGACCTTGTTTTATCCTTAAAATTGGTAGTTTCACGACGGCATGTACGATATGTCGTCATGAAAGCACCCCGGGCCACACCTGTAATGTTCTTTTGCACATTCACTGCTCCAGTCCTTCCCATGACACCAGCTGAACAATGCTGCTCAAAATTCCAATTTTTGCTCAAAATGGGTATTCATGATGTCCTGTGAATCTAAAAAGTAAACATTCATGCCTCAAACATATTTACAGCTTCTAATAAAACCATTATGCTCCTATTATGGGTCATGAATGACTCATGATGACCAATAACAACGGCATATAAAAGGTCACGCATTTTCAAATCCTATATATAGGACTTTTTGCCAGCAAATTAAGAGATATGTTCATGGTGGGTTGAAATTTGACCCGGGCTAAACTCAATGCGGGTTGCCAACTCTCATGTAACCACAGCCTAAGTAGTTGAAGGCAAAATGTACTTATCACACATCAGATGACAGTTTCCTAGGGATGGGCCAAACATTTGTGTGTGTGTGAGGCCATGGCAAAATGATTTGTCCCAGGTGCCCATGTGTTTTGTAGCAACCAGAAACAGCTCCATTTGCTGCGTGCTGTTTCCACCATATTTCGGGGAGATTACGTGGGATTTCCAAACGCTTCTTTGCTAATAGCGTCGGAGAGGATACTAGCCAGTCACAGCAACATGCTTCAAAATAGAATGCCTGAAAAAAGGCTTTGAATTCGATCAGTGTTCTCACATGTATGGTATGTGTTGCTTTGTGTGTGTGTGTGTGTGTGTGTGTGTGTGTGTGTGTGTGTGTGGTGTGTGTGTGTGTGTGTTCAGGACTCTACATGCTATTCTTGCTGGTAGCCTTACCCCATATCATCACATGGCCTTCAGACCCGTCCCTATGGTGGTTAGTCTTCTTGAGCCTGGCTGGCCATGTGAGTTATTGCCACTGACTGGTGACGCTGTGCACGCAGGCATTGGCGGCCCTTTCCCTATGAGAATCCTTGCCTTCACGGAGGAATTGAAATCCCAACTAGCGCGCTTGTGCACACACACGACATACCACACACACCACACGCACACACCTTGAAACTGGCGATGATAGCAATGCTATAGCAGAAGCCATAGCAACTTGTGGTGGGATTGCACCATTCAACAGCTTGCATGGCTGAAGAATTGACTGCCACTATTCATCCTGGTCTACACCACACAGCTATTAAGTGGCCTTTTCTGGCCAGTGAATCCCTACTTTTTTGGTCTTTTTCATTTTTTTCGCCGCACACACATCATACCACATACTCCGGCAAGCACTGGCTGTTGGTGACCGCCCAGGAGAATGAAAGAAAAGTCAGGAGCAGTCTGAGAAAGAGAAGAAAGACGTGTGTGACCATAATCCTCCGGAATCGAACCAGCAACCTCTCAATTGGATATCGCTGCACATACCACTGCATCATATGGGACACACAAACATACACAACAGGGATGAATTTATCCTGTATCGCATCGCAGTTTGCGATGCAAAATCGATCAACTGCTACTCAAAAGTCGTCGTGACTCGCAGAACACTGCGATACATACAGACTATCCATGCCTAGCCTGTGCTGTCAAGTAACATGCATACAGTGCAGTATTATGTTGTGCAGGCACGCGTGTACATGTATGATTCAGTCGTTTTTTTTGCAAATGGGTTTTCAGGCATCACTCTCAAGAAGGACAATGTGGTAAACACCCAACCTTCAAAGAAAAATGCTAATCAAAATCAAAGACTGCTACACAATTGTGATTTTGTATAGCAGAAACTGCTATGCAAAAATATGACAATAAATTCATCCCTGCACACACACACTCTCTCTCTCTCTCTCTCACACACACACACACACACACACACGCATGCATGCATGCATGCATGTATTTCCCGTATAATTCAAGACTGGATTTGTGTCTATATTTTTGTGTGTGATTCATTCCGAGCGCTGTCTTTTTCACTCTAGTTGCGTCGGTTTTAGCCAGAACTACCACTTGTTTCTAAAAGCTTCTTTGTAGTCAGTGACTTGGGGTTAAGCGAGTTGTGACTTATGTATGTTTGTGTGTGTGTGTTTGCATGTGTGTTCCATATGCTGCTTGCACAGGTCAGTTGTATGTTTGGCAGCGTAGTCTATCATCTCTTTAACAGCCTACTGCAGTCTGCGTCTGACTACTGGACACTTCTGCAGTTTGACGTCGCCGGTATCTGGCTTGCCAACTCCATGAATACATGCATCTACGTGTATCTGTCGTTCTACTGCGATGACACGCTGCGTCGCGTCGGTAGCTCGCTGCTCCTCTTCATCTCTCTCATCACGTTCTTGCCGACGATGCGTGCACGCACTCCTGCCAAGCGTGCGGTGGTGTTTGCGCTCTTCTTGCTGGTACGTATCTTCACCACCACGTCTCGGCAGCTGTTCTCGACGGCCATTGGCAGCACGAACAACGCCTGGTTTCATTACACAATGACGGACGTGTTTCTTTTCATTGGCGCTGTGATCAACGCTGCACGCTATCCGGAGAAGAAGTGGCCTGGTTGCTTCGACTTGGTTTGCTCCAGGTATGCGAATGTTTTGAGAATAATACCATTTATTTAAAGTACCGCCTTCATTGAAAGCACTGATATGTGTTTCCTCGAGCGTCATACTTCTGGACGTTTATGTATCTGAGGTTGGGAATGTTTCCTGTTGTGCTACATTGTAGTGTTCCATCATAGGTACTGTATGTCTTTCTGCTGGTTGGTAGTAGTATCTGAGTCACAGTTCATGGTTGTGTGTGTGGGGGGGGGGGGGGGGGGGGGTGTTTGCTCGTACACACGCATATGTGTATGCAGTGGCTGATGTTGACATTGGCATTCGTTTGAAGTATGTTTCTCCTGGCGTTGTTATCGTTCACTTGTTTGATTGATTATATTGTCTTTGGTGTGTTTGTTTTGCTTGTGTGTGTGTGTGTAGCCATCAGCTGTTTCATGTCATCGTCATCATTGCCCTGATTCACAACATGACCGCCACTAGCTTGGACGTGCGGAGTGCCAGTGAGGCGGTGTGCCTGGTGCAGATGTGAACGTAATCATCACAGAATACACATCGTCATCGTCAACGACAGCTCTAGTCCACGGGTACAGCTGTCACCATCATCACCTGGCGTTCGACGGCATCAGCATGACTTAAACGGTAACTGTCTCTAGCCTTTGCAGGACATGGTCCGGATCCATCTCCAGCTGTTCCTACTATTCTTGTGGCAATGGCGTGTGTGCACGGTGTCCAACAGCACTTTGCTAAGTACTTGAATATGTCCTATTATTTCAATTTGCCTCTGTCCTGGAAAGGAAGGCAGGCCTGGCTGGATAGTCCTCCGGACCATTTCTTTCCCAATGCTGTTTTCTTTCATTGTGCCAGGACTGACACTGTGTCAGCCGGCGAAACGCAAGTGCACTTGCTTACTGGTACGCGGTGCCAGCGCATAACAACAACAGCCATGTCACAACACCAGTCTCTATACGAATTGTGCACGAATGGCACATGCTTCGTCGATGTTAGTCACTCAGCCCGATACTCTCTTCAAAATGTGTCGACACTTGAGCCACGTCTTCTATTTATTTATTTATTTATTAAATCCAACTGTCGTCGTGGACTTCTTGTCGTATTTTGATGTTGATATTTGTATTTATTTCTCCATGTCTTCACTGGATTGGAGTAGCACCATCCCCACTCCAGTACCAAATTAGTATTTATCGTGATCTCTTAGAAGTAGTTTTCCTGGCGATAGTTTTGTTTTGCGAAATTGCAGACTAATTGAGATAGCACTTGCCCCACATGATGTGAGCTAGTGCTGAGACTGGTTACTATTAGTACTCACAACACGGCGTTGAATTATCTGCGTCACTTGAATTTGCTTTCTTCTTTGTCAGCTCTCGTCTTAGGCTACTCCAAGCAACCCATTTTTTTATTTATCAGTTTTTAATATCGAACGGCATGACGTGTCGTAATGTGCTGAGCACATCGTTGATAAAATTATTATGTAAATTATATATCCCAGCTTCCACAGTCCTACCACTTGACCCACCACCCTTATCTTAATTTGAAGTTATTTGTGCCATTCTGCTTGTGAAGATGTAGGAACGGAAGCCGTGCGCGGCAACAAAACTACCATTGAGCTTATGCTTCGTGAACCGTGTTGCCATTGTTTACTCGAAACGGAAAAGGTTGACTGTTGCTTGAGACCAGAAAGAAGATGCAATTCAACCCACCAACTCAAAAACCACCAATACAATCAATGCACTATCTCTTTGATGATCCACCCCTAGCCCTAGGCTAGCCCTCTTCAACAGTTCAAGGCTCTTGTCGTCGTGATCCTGCATTGTACACAGTCACTGACTACTCCACTCCGGACTGAATCCATGACTGACTTGAGCTGAGGCAGAGGGTCCAGAGTCGACTAGTCGTAGTCCGAGCTCTGTAGTCTGCATCATCATGAATGTCAGAATGATCATGTCAGGCTGTGTTGTGCATGCAGTCACAGACGTAGACTCACTGACTCACTGCACTGCTGCGCGATCAGCTGACTGATTGGATCGACGTCATGAAAAGTATCATTAATTTTCAAAAAATTGAATGTTTTTCCCACCTCACAAATATTAAATCGATCAAGCACATGCACATATGCATGCATGCGCTGACATTATCTATATCCAGGGCTCTGCTCAGTGCTCACTCAGCTCAGGCTGGCGATTCCTTTCTCAAGTGGGCACTTGACTGCTTCCTTTATCTCTCCCCGTCCTACATCCGGGCTTGTGTCCGGCATTGGCTGTTCTATCGTGAGATATACCACTGTTCTAAGCCTTGATTTCAGCAGCACCTTGCTACCCAAGCTTCCTTTCCAATACTCTCGTTCCTTCTTGTCTTTCTAGTCGAAAGCAACTTCCCACACTGCTTGTAAAAGCTGCCAATCGCTGATCATAATGTCGACTACAACGCCAGCATGGAAGGCCTTGGAAGCCCACCGGGAGCAATTCAAATGCACCATGCGTTCCATGTTCGAGCAAGATCCGGGCAGATTTGAGAAATACCTGTGAGTGGTGTGTGAAGACGACCTCTCATTGTTTTCATGATAAACCGTCCAACCGTGTGTGTCTGGCTGTGATTTGAATGAATTCTTCGCAGTGTCAAGATGCAGTCAGAAGGTGGCGAGCTGCTGCTCGACTATTCCAAGAATATCGTAACGGAGGAGACAGTGAAGCTGCTGGTTGCTCTGGTATGACGTGGTGGAAGACCTATCACTTTCCACTGTTCAGCACTACCCCACAAACCCTTGGCTGTCATCAGACACCCACTGGCTATGCATATGCAATGTAGACTTGTCACCACGTAGCACGACATACCATAGATTCCCACAAAATTATCAAAAAACACCATGTGGTCATCCCATGCTGCCCTCTGGAATGCCGTTCCGAAGTAACTACATGACTTACAAGCGTGATCAAATGGAGCGAGCATGCTAAGTTTTCAATATTTCGGAATTCGGACAATTTTTCGTAACCAATAACCCGGACTTCGAAGTAGGATTAGTAGAAAGAATTGAAGATGTCGACTTGAGTCAGCTCCTGGTGTTTGTGCTCCTGGAGCAATACATTTTTAGTCCCCCAGCAGCCCTTAGAGGTCTTTTATATAGTTGTGGGTGCATGTGTGTGTGTGTGTGTGTGTGTGTGTGTGTGTGTGTGTGTCACGTGTTAGGCCAAGGAGCGTGGCGTGGAAGAGCACCGTGCTCGTATGTTCGGAGGAGAGCGCATCAACTTCACCGAGGTAACCTCAAGGTTTTTGTCTCTCTCTCTCTCTCTCTCTCTCTCTCTCTCTCTCTCTCTCACACACACACACACTCTCTCTCTCTCTCTTTCTCTCTCTCTCTCTCTCTCTCTCTCTCTCTCTCTCTCTCTCTCTTTCTGTTGATATAACCCGGTTACGAGGTAACAGTCACAATCATAATAATTCTGATTGTCACTGTAACCTCGTCACCAGGTTAATATTAACACACACAAAGACGAAGCCAATGTGTTTCATACACCATTACTTCTCAAATCAGTACATCAGGGTTCTAGCCAGGAAAATATGGTAGGACCGGGATAGGGGGGGGGGGGGGGGGGAACAAACAGTATACATTATAATACAGCATTGCTTTGTCACACAAACATATATATTATGTCATGTAGGTGCACCCAGAATGATTGATTTGTGGCTGTATGTTCGTTACATGAACTGAAAAAGCACAAAAAATGAAAAATGAGGGGAGGGGGTGTACCATAAGAGTGCACCATAAGAGTGCACCATAAGAGTGCACCACCCCCGTCTAGAACTCTGGTACATAGCTATGGTAAAAGTGTGTTGCATGTGCTACACATGAGTTATATGTGTTGTTTGTAATTATCATGCACAGTCATCTAGTGCCTTGCTATGCCATCGCATGACACTCCATCCATGTACGGCTTACCTGCACATGACACGCGTTCAAGATCAACCAACCTATGTGGTCTAGCTTGTCATCGTATTGTACACATCCGGTTCTGGATCCTTCTATCTTCTACTGCTTCTAGCACCTTCCGTCCAGTTCTGATAATCTGGAGTGATTTGCATTTCTTTGTTCTTGTTGTTTATGTTCCCAAGAAGTGAAGTCAAAATAGAATGCTCTCGCATGTTGGGTGTGTGTGCTCGAGATAAGTAACAAAGTTCAAAGATACTAGCCCTCAATAGTGTGCAACTCTGGCCTCACATCACGTGTTCCGAGCAACGTTCGAAGGCTAGCATGCGCACAGTCCGAACATTGCCTTGATCATGCTGATGAATCGCAAAAGCTGAGTGGGTTTCCGTCAAGGAGTGCTATTTTTACTACTCCACTGCTCGCTAAAACAAGCTGGGTAGGTACAACATGAACACCACAGCCCGTGATGTGAGCTTTCGCCTACTAATTTGTCAGTCATCACTGGTTCTTGTACCATGTGTGGAGAAAAAAATCAGTGCCGGAGGAATGCTTGAACATTTGCATAATCTAGGATGTTCTTGAAGCACAGAACACAAACATTCGAATGAAAATGTCGTCATTCAAACTTTTGAAGATTTGAATGTTGATCTGCATTCAAGTATACAATTAACAATGCACATTTGATGAGTGCACGTGCACTGTACTGTACTGAATATAGAGTACTCTAATTTCAGAAATTTTAGGTGCTCAATATTTTCGGTATGATGGCAAATGGCCAGGTTAGGTGAACAGAAAATTTAGGTACAGAGTAGAAGTTCTCTCTTGGATTATGTGTGTTAGTGTTTGTTCGGTGTATTGTAATGTTTAGGTATGAAACAGATGCACCGAAAGTACCGAAAATAATAGTACACCGAACATTTGTGAAATTACAGTATGTGTCAGGGCAGTAGCAGCAGCAGATGCATGCATGCCCAGTCGAATCGCATTGCAAAGAGTTGCCTGTTGGAGAGCTCATGGCATGCACCAGAGTGCACTTGCAGAATGTCCATGCAACATCCAAACACATTCTGCTGTCGTCAATGACAGCAGAATTTGTTCTTTTTATTGCTATTATAAAATTGTTGTCTCCGCGCCGATTATCAACGTCCAAACATTCATCCTTTGTTGAGAGGCTAACCGTATGGTTAGAGGAGAAGGCAGAAATACCCGTGTATTTGGTGAAGTTAAATAAAAACAAACAAACAAGCCGTGTTCGCGTTCTTCCCTGAATGGCTGAAGCATGCACATGTAGAAGTTTTCCCAGCTTCGTTTGTTTCTTTTGGCCAGAGCTGCGACACGAGTCATACAGTTAGCACATTTTCATTGGAAACATGGGCGAAACTGAACGTTCGTTCGATCACTCTGTGGACATTCGTTCGTAGAAAATGGTGTTCATCCTAGCACTGAGAAAATACTTCCGTTGACACACCTGTTTCTTCAAGACTTCTACATAAGATGTACCATATGTGCCTTGGACGTGCATGAGCTCAAGAAGGGGCCGTCTGTAATTATCGAAAAATTATAAAATCTGTCCTCGTTCAAAATTGTCTCCGACCCACCCGTCCACACCCATTTTTCCCATCAATTTTTTTGATTTTTCCCAATCGAAACTCTTCACTGACTGCATCTGCGTCAAGTACTGGCAGGTCTACCAACGTCCATGCACGTCCTACAACTACACCATACTGGTGTTTGCGACAATCGAACCTACACTACACTCTTCAGCACACCACACACAGTCAGTACAACAAGTGTATGAAAAATCAAAAAAAAATTAAATTCCGCCAGCGTTCTTGACAGCGTTCTTGACCACCCACCCCTTGAGGGCGGATTTTTAATTTTTCGAAAATTATGGACGACCCCTAAATCGCAATTCGTGCTTGCGGTCTCAGAAGCTGCTTTTATACCAGTATGTGGGACACCTTTTTCGCTATTGTATCCTGTAGCAACAATGCTCTCCCTGTCGACTGTCAAATGAAGTACGTATAAAGGGGTGTCATCACAAAGAATTGTTGTCTCTGAAACGAACACCGTTCTCTTTTTTGGGTGGGGGAGGGTGTTTGACCCGTAATTGAGAGTTTACGCCTCACGTTTTTTGTTTTAACTAAATTATTTCGAACGTGAGATCTCGCGGTCAAAATGGTGCATGTCATCGTTGCAACGTGAGATTTCAACGCGACAGAGGGCCAACTCACGGTGGAAAAAAAGCGATTCAACGCACGTTTTTGCTCACGTTCGAAATTGAACAACGTGAAGCGTACTCTCTATTCTCCCTAGATTACACAATAAGTTGTTGGTGACACTTCACCTGCTGAAGTGGCCTGCTCGTTTTTCAGTGTGGCCGGTGCTGCTTCAATGATTTTCACACCGAGATTCTTGTTGGCCTCCTCCTTGGTCGTCACTTTTTTTTTCTCGTCAGGCCAAGGTCGTGATGCCCTGCTCCTCTTTGTACAGTTCAGCAAGGGCATCAAGCAGCCAGTCCTTCTCCCTGTTTAACTGTTAGTTACCAGTGCAAAAATGTATGGGAATCTCACAACCTGGTGGTGATCTGAAAGTGCATCGTGGACGCAGCTGCTGCGACAATACCGTACAGCATCTACCACCCATATGACGAAAGTGCTTCCAGGCTAAATCATCTACCCAGCAAACGAATGCTTGAGGCTGGTGTTTTCCCCTTGGATATGCGATTTGACTTGGTTGTGGAACCTTTCCCTGAACGTTCTCTCGCCTGAATTTGCGAACTTGGGAATCTGCCCCTTTATGGTCTGCGCGGCCTTTCTCCAGTGGGGTGAGTTGTACCTAAACAACACACATACATATATGAAAGGTACTCCTAAATACGGGAGCGAAGCTGTATGCCCGTTTGTCTTTTTTCTAGCTTCACTAACTGAAAAGGCCTGTCGTAGGTTGATATCTCCGTGAACAGCGTTATGTCATCTCGGATGGAAAACACACCATTTTCTTTGTTGGAGTTTTCTTCGGTGTGGTAATAACAGCTACGTCCTCGGCATCAGCCATGATGACGACAAGAGAGAAGGGAGAATCAACGACTGCACGAAACTTTTAAAAGAGGGCAAAAGTGAAACCTGCCAACTTGCCACACTCCTTTCTTTCGGACAGTTCTTTCGGCCGCTCCATCTGGTCACGCTCACGACCAGCACAATGCCCTGTGCTTTCAGTCTCACTCGCGTTCTGGCGGACCGTGGATGAGCCTCCATACACCATATCCCAGGAATCAGAAAGCCTGATTCTATGTATATGAGTATCACGTTGTACATCCGTAAATGACACATAGATTACGTGCGACTAAACCTCCTATTACTACTGTTCTCATTGACAAACTGGAACTAATAGACGGGCAATGTGTGTGTGTGTGTGTGCGTGCGCGCGTGTGTATGTGTATGTGTGCATATGCCTGCGTGTGTGTGTATGTGCTATTTTAGGACCGTGCTGTACTTCACGTTGCCCTGCGCAACCGTTCCAATACCCAGATTACTGTGAACGGTGAGAATGTAAGTACCAAGGTCCCCCCCCCCCCCTTGCGCTTGTCTTATGGTGGCAATACGTGCGCCAAACAGTTTTGCACAACAGAAGAATGGTGTGCGGGCAACGTTCAGTGGATTTTGTGCAGCGTATGCAAGCTCTCTTCGTATGCTATCCCATCCCTGCACCCACCAGAACGCAGCCAGTTTTGCTCTTGTTTGTTTACATTTTTGGTATTGCTCAGGTATACGGACCACCTGTGTCCGTTTTGTAAACACAGCATGCTCTAAATGAAGGATTTTCCGTATGCCGAGGCTGCGTATGAAATTATTTTCATGCCTGAAATATTCTTACAGGGTGCGACAGAGCTGAAATATTCTTGATCACAGTAGCATCAACAGCTACATTCTCTACTGCATATTAGATAAGTTCATGTTCTTGGTGAAAGCTGTTGGTCCTCAGTCTAGTTCCACCGTGTGCGCATGTTCGCGTACGTGGACGTGTCTGCCCTCCCGACCTCGTACTACTGGTGCGTTCGGGTCCCGTCATTCGCGATTTAGGTGGATCAGTTCACATTTTGGGTTTTGTGTGGTTTGTATGCGTTGTGAACGACAGGTCATGCCCCTTGTGAATGGAGTGCTGGACAAGATGAGGACTTTCTCAGAGGTACTATGACGTGGCTGTATCTGGGTTGTTTTGCTCATGTCTGCTGAGCTGCACTCAACTCTGGTGGAGCTTTGTTGTGTGGTGTTGAGTTTGACTTGCTCATTTTGTCACATATTGCAATTCCCCGTTCCTCACTTTGTCTGAACGTTTGCTTGTTGTTCATACAGCAGCGGCACCGGAGGTTATGTTCTGCAAACTTGTAAACCCCTAACAAGCAAGACTTGAGTTGCATGGGACACAGATATCTGATTCAACCCTGGCATGATTGTGTGTTTTGTTGCCCAATGCCTTTTCCTGTGTTTCTATGCTAATTCTGCAGTCTGTCCGCAGTGGCGCGTGGAAAGGTAAGCTTCCCAAGCTGGAATAGCGTGGAGTTAATTATCTACTGGAAGTCCGGTTGTTCAAAGTGTCCTCTTGTGGGATACTGACAAGTAGGATTTGGTGCCTTATTCACTTGGTTTTGTGCAAGCTGAGCACTGTGTTTGATAACAAATGTACACAATGACCAGCAGGGTTTCATGGCGAAGGCCTATAGACCTTATTCGATCACGTGATTTTTCGGGGCGCCTTCGAGGATGCGCACGCGGCACTCGGACGCGTGATCCGGACGAGTGGCAAAAAGGCCTCAGCTGAGCATCAAGGAAATTTGTTTTGAATGTATTTTCAATATCGGAGTTCGTCTCCTTCCTTTTCTCGAAGTACTTTCATGCAGGTTTGTCAGGTGTTAGGAGCAGTAAGCAGTCTTCTTGTAGTTTTGAGTGTTCTAGCAGTGATGGCGGTTCAAGACTTGTCCGAAATCTATCGCGATTTGGATAAAGCGGGCAAGACGCGGTATGCCGAGAAGCTGGCGTTTGTCAGGTGTTAGGAGCAGTAAGCAGTCTTCTTGTAGTTTTGAGTGTTCTAGCAGTGATGGCGGTTCAAGAGTTGTCCGAAATCTATCGCGATTTGGATAGAGCGGGCAAGACGCGGTATGCCGAGAAGCTGGCGTTCATCGGCTCGGACCAGGACCCCTACGTGACGAGCAGATCTCTCACGCCTGGTGCCACACCTGATTTCCCCAGCGTGGAGTATCCTGATTTGTACCACTATCTCGTGAACGCGCCGAGTCCCTGCACGAAAGAGGAGATGAAGGCGTACAAAAGCTTGGAGGGGTACCAGTTTTTCGTTGCTGGTTGGGTTGGCAATGTCGTCACCTTTCCTGCAACTGCGGATGGCAAGAGAGCATTTGTGATGGCGAAGGTCCGTCACTCCCAGTCCGTGTCCTCTGCTGAGCTGCAGCCTTGGGTGGCAGCTGACATGGATGGGAGTGTGCTTTGTGCCCACTGTACGTGTATGGCTGGCCTGGGTGAGGCATGCTCCCACATTGCCGCCTTGCTATTTACTCTGGTGGCCAGGACGGATTTCGTGAAAGAAAATTCCGCCTGCACCTCCACGCAATGTCAGTGGATTGCCCCATCCCTGCAGCCTGTGCAGTATGCCAGGATATGCGAGATGGATTTCGCCGCGCCGAGCAGCAAGCGCACTAAGCCAGCAGCAGCCAGTGTGGAGGTCACCACACAACTGCCGACATACACTGTGCCAACCACCAGTGAAGTCAACGAGTTCTTTTCTGGTCTTGCCTCCACGCAGAGCAAGCCAGGGATACTATCAATTGTTCCTGGTTTCTGCGAGAGGTATGTCCCAACCCGCCCAGCTGGGTTCCCAGCTTATATCACCGACCTCTATGATGAGGCAATGCTAGACGCATCACTCGATGTGTTGCTGAACCGGTGTGATGATGTTTTGAAAGGCATGGGAGTGACAGCAGCAGAATCGGCTGCTGTTGAAAAGGCAACCCGCGATCAGAGCAAGAGCAAGCTGTGGTTCAGGTTCCGCGCAGGGCGTGTGACAGCTTCAAAGTTCCGTGATGCTGCTCACACACCCCCTGCGAACCCATCATCATCTCTAATTCGTGCAATTTGCTACCCCGATGCATATCAGTTTTCCTCTGCAGCGACCACTTGGGGTTTGGAGCATGAGCAGACTGCCCGAGACTGCTACGTCAAACTGTTTGAGCCTAACCACTGCGACTTCAAAGTTACTGATTCAGGATTCGTCATCTCCACCACTCATCCGTATCTCGGTGCCAGTCCTGATGGAAACATCAATTGTACTTGCTGCGGATATGGCGTCCTTGAGGTGAAATGCCCTTTCAAAGCCGTGAACAAGTCCTTCCATGATCTGGCAAAGGACACCAACTTCTGTTTGAAGGAGGTCGATGGAAAATTCCATTTGCGCCTTGGTCACAAGTATGCATACCAAGTGCAAGCACAGATGTTTGTATGCAAGGCAGCATATTCGGATTTTGTGGTGTGGAGCGTGCGGGAATGTGTAGTCATCCGCGTTCATCCAGATCCAGATTTCCACAAGACAGTCCAAGCCATCACGTCTTTCTACAAGGCTGGCGTGCTGCCAGAGATTGTCGGCAAGTATTTTACAAAATCCTTCAAATCTACTGCCGCCAATTCTGATGGAGCTGTATGCACTTGCAACGAGGATAAGGACGGCGACGTGGTGGAATGCTCACATCCAGACTGCAGAGTTAAGACGTTTCACTTGGTATGTCTTCGCATGAAGCAGAAACCAAAACGCAAGTGGATATGTGCAGCATGCAAGAAGAAGGAATAACTGTGTGTACGGGTGTGTGTGTGTGTGTGTGTGTGTGTGTGTGTGTGTGTGTGTGTGTGCAACGCCATGCTAGATTCTGTTGACTCTCGCTCTTTCTTTCCTCTCTTCTCTCTTTTAGTTGTTGTCTCCCGCTTATGATAGCGGCATGGCCCGATAGGGCAGCTGTACATAGTAGTAGTAGTAGTGTATGTGTGTGTGTGTGTGTGTGTGTGTGTGTGTGTGTGTGTGTGTGTGTGTGTGTGTGTGTGTGTGTGTGTGCATACATGCATGTATCCTGATGCAATTATGTAACTAGGAGCTATGCCCAACCCACCAAAACTCTCACTTCTCACACAAATGATTGCACCATACATGTACATAGAAATCAACAGCCATGCTCATGCATGGCTGCAGGATCATACATTCCACCATGTCAGAAATTTGAACTTGAGTCAATATGACCACTGGGGCTTGTTATTATTATGTGCAGGCAAGCGAAAAAGATGAAATCATATGATGATTTCAAGTTGTGCTTTTTGAAACATGACGTGTGTGTGTGTATGTGTCTGTGTGTGTGTGTGTGTGTGTGTGTGTGTGTGTGTGTGTGTGTGTGTGTGTGTGTGTGTGTGTGTGTGTGTGTAATGGAGTGTGATTGATTGAGATTTACACATTGGTGCTAACTAGACACAGGGACAAAAGCCGTTCTTCGAGGGAGTGGTAAAATACAAGTAACATAATTTGCATTGCACTCCTGTCCAGGTAATCTATGCAGCAACAACATGCCACACGTTCCACAATACGGGACAAAAAAAGTAAAAAACAAGTCAATACTTCAGTACTTCTACTGGAAAGGCACCACTGAGTCGCAGCAGTTGCACAGCGCAGAGCACACCAGGACAATCTTGTCGATGGTGCACACTCCTGTTGAGGCATCACTCATCAGCATGTTCACTGGCAGGGTTGACTGCAGAATAGTGTACTTCTGCCGCAAGTTGCCGATAACACGTTCCACATGGATTCGTAGCCGAGACAGCTTCCTGGCCTTCTCAATGCTGATTCTCGACAGTTGCTTCTTGCCTCTTGTGAACGGAGGTATGACCAGCTCAGCGCAGTGCAGGCCAACGGCATCACTGACCGTGAATCCCCGGTCTGCCATTAGCTGATCACCCGGCAATAGCTTGTCCAACAGCCCGCAATGCTCCGTGATGTACTTATCCGATGTCCGGCCACCCCATCCTTTGGAGATGAAGGAAATAGTGCCTTGCGGGGTGATACCAATAAGAAATTTAACCGTGTTGTGGTGTTTGTAATTAGAGAAGGTTTGAGCCCTGGCCATCAGATCATGTGGCCTTTCGCAAAACACTTCAAAACAATCAATAATGCAAATGCACTTCCCAAAATGTCCGCGAAACTCCAATGGCATCGTGCGGTACAGTTCGGAGCGCTCTGGCCAGATGATCAACGGCTGCAGCCTGCCATAAAGGACGTGGATCCATTTGTGGAAGTACTTTGAGACGGTAGACTGGCTGATGCCGAAGCGATGTGCTAGATCTTGATCGTGCAAGTTGAGGCGCAGCTTCATCAGGACAATAATAAACTGCGCAAAGGACGGAAGTGCCGCTCGGTGGTGGTCGGGGATGTCCTTGCCAGCAAATGCGAACACTTTCTCCAGCACAGCAAAAGATGGGAGGCCAGTTTCATATCTCACCATGTCATCATTGGACTTGAATCCTGATATGATGGAAGACATTGCCGCCTCTGATTTTTGATGTTTCACAGTGGCTTCCAGGTGCTGTACTTTGACGGTGAGAGCAGAAATAGCAGATTTCTGTTCCTGCAACTGACCATTCAGCTGGCATTTGTCCTCTTCCAGCTGTGCCACTCTCGCCTGAAGCAAGGCTAGATCGTCATTTTCTTGTTCAGCACTATTGTCGACATGGCTGCTGGCTTCAGTGAGCTCTGGCTGAGCTGGGGACGCTGGCTCAACAGAGTCTGACGAACATGAATCTCTCGGCGCACTCTCCTCTTCGATTTCCTTGTCAGCATTACAGTCACTTTCTCCAGTCAGCACGGGCTCATGATAGCCATGGCAGGTATCTTCAGGCTGAGCTGTTGGCTTTGAAGCTGCATGCCGTCGACGTCGGGCCTTGTGGCGATCAAATTTTACGTAAGCTTTCTCACCATTTACTCGACCCTCGTCTGAAAAAACAGACGGGACGAAATCAGGGGATAGTGGATCGTCGCTCTTCTTGAACCTTACAAAGTGATCGCAGCACACCCAACTGGAAGCGTTGGGCTGCCAGTTCTTGCGCTTCAGCGCAGCAATCCACTTTGCTCTCCTGAGCTGATTAGTTGGGAACTTATAAAAGCTCTTTCCACCGCCTTTCGCGAAACGGTTAGCGCAACCAACTGCACAGCAACTCTTCACCATACTACTACACTCCCTACCCACGTCTCCCTGACCAACGACAGTGACAGCTACCCAGAACAATTCCAAAGCTCTCCTCCAAACACACTTGCCCACAACTATCAACACGCACTTTCAAAACAAAACACTTCTTGCCACTCGTCCAGTTTTTCGTAGGTTCGTGACTGGGGTCCACGTGACCCGTGACGTGTATCGAATAAGGTCTATTGTCAATCAGCGAATTATTGTGTGTTTGGGTACAAGTTGATTTGATTTGAGAGATAGTCCTGGTCAATGTGTGCCTGTGTGTGTGCTGTGGCTGTCGACAGCAGTGTTTTTCTTCTTCTTATTGTTCTTGAATTCCTCCTGTAGGCTTCAATGGCAAGGCAATTACTGATGTCATCAACATTGGAATTGGTGGATCCGATCTGGTACGTGTATGTATGCAGGGGTGTCGCACACGGTACGGTCACTACGGTATTGACCGTACCACTATTTTCCCCGAGTACCCCGTGAATCAATAAAATGTACTGATTTGGGCTCTAACTTTCCAAAAAATCAGCTCAGCCATCCCTCCCCCACGAGTAAATTGTACTTCAGGTGGCTGACCGTACCACACTAAAATACCTTCCGACGCCCCTGGTATGGATGTCAGTGTAGGCACTATGCATGTAGACACCTGGTCTGCTCAGTAGCAGAGGCAGGCTTGCAGAATAGCAGAACCTCCAGACCTACTAACACTACTAGTGCCAGCAGCAAGAGGACACAAGCGAATAGAACCCTCCCTTCGCGGCTTCTCTAGGAAGACCGATGGTCTGTGGGAGACATTGAAGGAAAATAAGAGTGGTGTTGTTGCTGGTGCTGGTGTGACCCGTGTACAACCCCGTGTCTTCTTTCAGTCGCCGTCAGTCATCTGACCTTGGGTATAAAGTACTATGCCTATGGCTACAGAGTGCAGATTTTTCCCTGGGCGTTCGTTACACTGAAGTTCTATTGATGTTGACATGTGCACATTCGTGTGTGTGTGTGCGCGCGCGTGTGTGTGTGTGTTTGTGTTTCAGGGCCCACTCATGGTCACCCAGGCCCTGCAGCCGTACGCCAAGGAGGGACTGCGTGTCCACTACGTGTCCAATATCGACGGCACGCACTTGGCCACAACCCTCGCCAAGCTCAACCCGGAGACTGCTCTCTTTGTGGTGGCTTCCAAGGTGAGTCTGCTCCATCCTGCACGTTTTCAGGATGGCCAAGAATCCCTTTGAACAGCACGTTTTGCAGGATGGCTGGGGAGTCTCTTTGAACAGCACGTTTGCTGGGTGGCTGGGAATCCCTTTGAACAGCACGTTTTGCAGGATGGCTGGGGAGTCCCTTTTGAACGGCACATTTTGCAGGATGGCTGGGAGTCTCTTTGAACAGCATGTTTGCTGGGTGGCTGGGAATCCCTTTGAACAGCACGTTTTGCAGGATGGCCAGGAATCCCTTTGAACAACACGTTTGCTGGGTGGCTGGGAATCCCTTTGAACAGCACGTTTGCTGGGTGGCAGTGTTGCGAAATGTACTCGGAAGCATGACATGGAAAACATTGCCAGCACATCTGCTGTCTCTGACTGAAGACTGCTGTGTTCTGCTTGTTCTTGTGTTGTTAACCGTGCATGGCTGTTGTTTGATGTAACCTTGACGTTCGTTAGTATCAAGTATTGCTCCTGCTGTGCGGCTTGGTATGCAGTGTTGTATGTGGTGGATTTTCTAGTTGGACCTTTGCCGGTGTGTCATTGTGTGGAGAATCAAGCTCTTGTTTGCTGTGACTGTGTTGTTGACTGTTTTTGACATCTTTATTCCTATGATGGCCAATGGCCAATAAGAGATGTGTTGTTGACTGTGTGTGTGTGTGTCTGACTGTATTGTTGACTGTGTTTGCAGACCTTCACCACTCTGGAGACTATCACCAATGCTACCTCTGCCCGCTCCTGGTTCTTGGAGACAGCCAAGGATGTAAGTCGCCTCAAGGCTTGTACAGCGCGGTCTTTGCTTCGAAGTAGGAATGTATCGTTTGCTTCTGCATGGTGATTTCTTGCAGCTAGTGCTCAATGACTTGATGTTACAGCAGCATGTCTAGTTCCCCTTCTTTTCACCTGCTTGTACCCACATGTTATTCTTTCTTAGTAGGAACCGGAGGTTTTTCCTCTGGTTAGAAAGCAGAATTGCCTGTGCTCTAAACGAATTCAAATGAAAGAAAGAAAGAAATAAACATATGCATGTACTTCAAGTACCACAAGCAAATCTGTACAGCTTCCCAGATCTTTCGTTGCTCCGCTATCTTTCCACGGGCTGCAGTCGCCCACGCGGTTGTCATCCTGCATCATACCAACCGCACACAACCAGTGTTGTTTGTCATATTGAAGACATTGAGCTACCGTATTATCTCCCTTATAAACACGGTACTTATATTTTTTTCAACCCACCTCGCACCCGTGCTTATAGAGGAGACCGTGATAATACTGGAGACCGTGTTTATATTTTTTCAACCATGAAAAAGTCAAGAAAGTTGCATACCGGTAACACACTCAAATTGGAATTTAACTCAGATTTCATGATTAGAGAACAGAGAGAAGAAAAAGAATGATGCGGAAGTGGAAGTCACGCACGTGGAGCACTTTAATGTTTATATGACTGTATGACTGTGCACAGCTGCATTCCAGTATTATCATTGTGACTCTGTTGGAGACTGTGCGTTTGTAATCTCAACAGTTCTCCGACGTGTGCTTATAATGGAGACTGTGCTTATAATGGAGACCTGTGTTTATAAGAGAGATAATACGGTATGCGCTTTTAAGTTTTTAGCTATGGGTGCGGTGGTGAATTTCAATAGGTTCAAACACAGTCACTTGAGTTACGAAAACGAAGTGCAGGATCCTGTTCGTCAGCTTGTTGCTAATGTTGGTTGGTGCTTGCGTGCATGCTTGTGTGTGTGTGTGTGGGGGTGGGTGTTTGTGCATTGCATTTTTCTAGCAAGCAGCAGTTGCCAAGCATTTCGTCGCCCTGTCCACTAACGAGGTAAGATCTATGTAATGTAAGACAGACAGCATCGGACATTTTGGCATCTGGAACTTTCCCGTTAGCTCATACTCATCGTGATGTTCATATCAGCGAAATGATGTTCATGTGTGGATGCCATGTGATGTCTTTGATGAGACATATCCGTTCAAAGTCTGTACAGCAAAAAAAGTACAAGTATGCTCCCCCAGTGTGGATGCTGTGCAGTTCGTCTCACAAACAACAACCTCAGGTTTGTCTTGACGATGAATTACCAGTAATACAGGATTAACGACATTGAATTTTTTTTAAATTAACGACATTGTGGAACCCATTCAGGTACATAATTTCAGCCATGGACAGTCGCACATGGACAGTCGCACATGGACAGTCGTAGTACATGTGCATGCAATACAGTAGATTTGCCTCTGGCGACTACCCCATGGTGCAGCTAGACTAATCTTTGTATGCGGTTGCGGCTGGACTTCCCACACGGCTGTGGGACCTGGAAATGACCTAGTCTGTAGCGGCCACCGCATGGTGCAGTCAAATTAATTGGTCTTTGTGTCAGCATTCAGTTTGATGTTTGTTGTGTGTGCACTCTATCTTGTTGCTATGTGCTGGCTCTCTTGGCCCATGCAGAAAGAAGTGACAAAGTTTGGCATCGACAAGAACAACATGTTTGCTTTCTGGGATGTAAGCATGTCGTTACGTTCTACCAATGAGACTGCTGTGTGTGTGTGTGTGTGTGTGGGTGTGCATGTGCCCATGTGTGTGTATGCATAAGTTACATTTGCCCGTCTTTTCTCTCCCGTCTTGTTGTTCGACTTACTGTATTTCTGATTTTAGGTGTACTAGTATTGTAGCTTACTGCCATTGACCTGTCCTGGTGGTGTTTTACTGCCATTGACCTGTCCTGGTGGTGTTTATCCTTGTACAAGTATATATGATGGTCAACACGTCATGTTGTTATTGTTGGTGTTCTTGGTTTCTTCTCAGTGGGTCGGTGGTCGCTACAGCCTGTGGTCTGCTATTGGTCTCTCCATTGCCATCTACGTTGGTACGTTCAACAACTTGTTTAGTCGCCATCTCCGTCTGCCCTTGTCCATTTGGCCGATACATGACCTTTTAGTGACAGCATGGTTGGGAGAGGTTTTTTAAAAGTAGCCGAATAAACGTCATGAGCATGTGTGGGTATACTGTAGTGATGTACCATGATGTCTTTAATACCTAGCGAGTCGGCATTCAAATGCATTGTACTGTAAGGATAAATTTGTTCTAGCTTCTGTATTCTTATTCTGTGGAGGCAGCGGCCATGTTCATTTGGTCCGTGTACTACTATGCACTGGTACCAGCGAGGTACAGTACATGTATCTGTTCTCATAACACTGTTGAACGGTGTGGATTTTTGCTAGCATGGGTTCAGTCTGCACGGTCTTGTTTTGATCGGACTGCAATACGTCGAGAGTTCGAACGACTTTTTTGGGCGCTCACCTTGACGTGCTCTACTGTGCATGCTGTGCTTCACCCGTATGTTTTCCTAATTTACGTCCGTCCTGTGTGTACGTGTGTGTATGTGTGTGTACGTATGTGTGCATGTGTGTGTACGTATGTGTATGTGTGTGTACGTATGTGTATGTGTGTGTACGTATGTGTATGTTTGTGTGTGTATGTGTGTGTATGTGTGTGTGTATGTGTGTGTATGTGTGTGTATGTATGTGTATGTGTGTGTATGTGTATGCTTAGGTATGGATAACTTTGAGAAGCTGCTGGCTGGTGCACATGCCATGGTTAGTGACTTGGTTTGTTTTTTCAGTGTTGATGATTTTGCTACTCCAACTAGGCCCTAAACTTCAGTCTGTGTGTAGCCCCACCACCCATGGGTGATTGAATCAACCAAACGTGGGGGGGGGGGGGTTGCGACGTCTTGCGGTATACCCACAGGGATCAAGCCACGACACTGCTCATGAATTTGTACGTTCCACATGCGTGGCTACATGTTAGCTGCTTTCATGGTACTTCAGAAGTAGACTGTGTGTACGCTGGTTAACTGCTAAACTAGTGTTGTTCTATGTGCTGCTCCTCTCTTTCTCTCTTTTCTCCCCTATACTGTAGGACAAGCACTTCACCACTGCGCCACTGGAGCAAAATGTAAGTACCTTGTGTATATTTTGGACAGGTGTGATGCAGCTTCTTTTCCTGGATTCCTTTGCTGCTGATAGATGCAGGTTCCTAGTGAGAACATTCTAGTGTTTCGCGGTCTCAACACATTGTTTGTTTGTGCCTTGCTTGTCTCAGATCCCAGCACTTCTGGGACTTCTCGGCGTGTGGTACAACAACTTCTGGGGCGCTCAGAGCTATGGCATCATGCCATATGACCAGGTGGGTTCCTTGCTGGATAGGACTGGTATTATGTACCTGAACCCAAACACTCAGAATACAGTCTCTTTGCTGCATACGTCACTTCAAACTGTTGCCTGATTATCCTTGTGAGATTGTGAGTCTGCACCTGTGGGTATCAGTATCACCAAGAGTACATAACCCCCCAGAGTGTGCAACTCCACTATGGGTGCTGTCCCGACAGAATTTCAAGTTGACGTCATTTTGATGATGCAATGCGCACTGTACACGGATTATCAGACGAATCCGGAACCTGTGGTTGACCGAAGCCGATCGATCCTGTACAAATTATTGCAAAGAAAAACGTGTGATGCGTTGACACCCGTACACATGTTGTAAATCACTGGTGCAAGGAGCATTGCGTCATTAATAATGACGTCAACTTGAAATTCTGTCGGGACAGCAGGGTATGTGGGAGTTGCACACTCTAGGGGGGGTTATGTACTCTTGGTATCACCAAATGAGAATGCATATTGTGTACCTGAGCTGCGATGAGAACCTGCACGCCTGTTGGTCCGCGTTGGATATCTAGCAAGGCGTGGGTCCTGTATTAGTTTTGGTACCCTGTGACGATGAAGTTGAAGACGCTATGAGGTGCCACAAACACACGACAAGTGGCACGGTGTTTCGCTTACGTGCACCAAGCCTGATGTGCATGCTGTGTATGGCATTGCTCTATTGCCATGGGTGTTAGGATGAATGTTACTCAGTCTTGTTGCATGCCTGTGTAACCTGTGTAGCATGTATGTCTCTGATGCATTACAGCAGTGCTGTGGGCTGTGTGCTGTGGGCTGTGTGCTGCAATGTACACAATCTTGTACTCTCATCACTTTGTTGTACATGTACTGTCATGCTCTTCATGTTCTGTTCTCTGTTGATCTCCTCATTGATTGTCTACAGTACTTGCATCGCCTGGCAGCCTACCTGCAGCAGGTAAGGTGGTGTCACTGAATGTTACACAAACACATGTGCATGTACATGTACTTCAGTACATAGTGAATTGTATCCACTCTAAGTGTATTTGAAGTTGTGAGTCCTTTCTGTGGCCAGTGCTTTATGTAGGGGAATTGATGACTTGTTCGGCCGTCTGTAGGCCATTCATATGTCCCGAGTTCTCAGCTGATGACTGCTTCACTGTGAAGTCTGCCCTGCCGTACGTCTGTGTGGCACACATCTTTACTGTCTCTACCTAGTTCTTGCATCAGTGTGCGTGGTCTAGCTGACCGATCTGCCACTCTTTGTCCACTATGCTCACAGCTGGAGATGGAGTCGAACGGCAAGTCCGTCCAGAAGGATGGCAGCCGTGCCAGCAACACTGGTACCATTGTGTGGGGAGAGCCAGGCACTAATGGCCAGCACGCCTATTATCAGCTTATCCATCAAGGTGAGTATTGATTTAAAATGCAAGCATTTACGCACAATATTCCTCAGTTTGTTACAAGATCGACGAAAAACTCAGAATAGCGACTTGTGATGCTCACATCGGATTGCTGAATTGTATTTCTTTTTATATTGCTGTAATAGGGGATTCACACGGCGCGCAAACTCACGTGTGTGGTACTCTTTTTACTCGTGTGACCCAAGCACGTGCAAAATCTTGACAAACTTGCTCGGGAGTCCTAGGCCCACGTTTGTCCTTTGCGCGCGTGTAAAAACAGCGAACGTACTTGAGTATGGTACTCAAGTTACATGAGTACACAGATGCATGCGAGATTTGCACGGGTCTGTTGTCTGTGTGAATCCGATGGGCAGCTTGTCCACTTTTACACAAACGTGTTTTCGTTCATTTTCACGTCGTGTGAATACCCTATAAACGATATGAATACAAAGCGACTCTCTCTGTTTATCTTTCTCTCCTCTCTCTCTCTCTCTCTCTCTCTCTCTCTCTCTCTCTCTCTCTCTCTCTCTCTCTCTCTCTCTCTCTCTCTCTCTCTCTCTCCTCTACCGTCGAATAATGCGGTGCATAGGTAGCAAGCTGATTCCATGCGACTTCTTGGCACCAGTCAAGACTCACAACCCAATCAGTGGAGGTCTGCACCACAAGGTCAGCTGGACCCTGCTTGCTGTGTGTGTCATGTTTTGTATTTAACTTGTCTGTTAGAGCAATGTATGGCATGCTGTAGCAAGCAGTTTCGAGCAATCAGCTCCATAACATGCTTGCTTGCACCTGACAGGATCTCTGGCTGAGCTGTGCGATGACAAATGGCGACTCTATTGTAGGTGTGTGTGACTGTGAGCAAGTTATGACCTCAGTGTCTTGGGTTTCTTCCTGTAGCGTGAGACCATAACTATAGTTTAGCCAACTCTAAGCAGCTACAAATCAACAATTTAGTATATTTTCCTCAGCCCGACACTATTTGTAGTTGGCGAGAAATCACGAAAATTAGATCACGCAAACAAGCTGCGTATTGTGTGTATGTAAGTGTGGGTCAGTCGTGTAGTCACAGTAGGCATTGGATGTGCATACAGTGGTCCCTCTATAATCCGGCACCATTTGTGCCACGGAAATCTGCTGGATTAGGGAGGGTGCTGGATTAACAAATCTGATCTACTGCTGCAATGTGCATGAAGAGGACATTTGGCTACTGAAAATTGTGCTGGTTTATCGAGGGTGCTGGATTATAAAGTGCCGGATTAGAGAGGGACGACTGTATACGTAAATATGTAGCATAGTGTAAAGGGAGAAACTTTCGCTAGAGATTAAATTTCGCTATTTTCGCGACCATCACACATTCGCGAATATAAAACGCCGCAAACCCCTCCGTACATTGATTGTAGACAGTACAAGATTCGACTGAAGAGATAGAATCGCAACAGTTTCTCATCGTAAACCAGCCCAATTTATGAAAACGCTAAATTTGCGCGCCGCGAAAGTTTGTCGCTTTACAGTAGTGCATTGTATCAGTAGCAATGCTGTAAGCATGTGTACACGTTCCTGCGTTCAACTTGAGTATACCTTTTCTCACGGGCAGCAGTTAGCTTAGTGCCTCTGTCCGACTGTGTGCTTGTCTGCAGATCCTGCTGGCCAACTTCTTGGCCCAGACGGAGGCGTTGATGAAGGGCAAGACACCGGATGAGGCACGTGCTGAGCTGGAGGGTTCTGGAATGTCTGGTCAGCCACTGGAAGCACTGCTGCCACACAAGGTAGGAGAAGATGTTAATCTTTCTGCAGTTGCTGTACTGCGACTATGTTAGCTGTACATATACGTGTACATGTACCACCTGTAATGATAGTATCACTACATGCTGTACATATCGGCTATTGTGATCGGATCACTAAAATCACCAGCCCACGCTATGGCCAGTGCAGCGGTAGGTACATTGCGCATGGCAATGACCACCTCCATGTCTCTGTGTATTGCTTGTTGATTACCCGGTATGTGCTGCTCTGCATTCATGTGTATGCTTTTCACTGCTCTCTCTCTCTCTCTCTCTCCCTCTCTCTCTCTCTCTCTCTCTCTCTCTCTCTCTCTCTCTCTCTCTCTCTCTCTCTCCCTCTCTCTCTTTGTTGAATCTTGTATTTTCTATATCTTTGACACAGTTGACACTGTTATGATTGTCGTGTTCCGTGCAGGTCTTTGATGGCAACAAGCCAACCAACTCAATCTTGTTCACTGATCTCAACCCGTTCATGCTCGGACAGTTGATTGGTGAGGACTGCATCCGGTGTGCATGCATGTATGCATGTGTGTGGGTGCGTGTGTGTGTGTGTCACTGTGTGCATGTGTGTGTGTGTGTCACTGTGTGCATGGGTGCATGCATGCGTGTGTGCGTACGTGTATGCATGCGTGCACCGCTTGCTCTCTTAGCTGCTATATTTGTCACTGCTCTGAACTCCAAATTGCCAGATATAAGGACGTGTTTGCTGCGGCTCTTATCACGGATTGGCTAGTTATACACGTGTCTCTCTGTACCTACACTACACACAGTGTTGCTCAATGAAATCTGATTGTGTGAGTCCAGTTTGCACCCTGCACCCTTTCACAACCCAATGTTCATAGGTCTAGGGCTGCAGAGCACCTGGCACATGTTTGACTCAGGTGATCGGATCCTATTGGAACGCCAATCATCTTACATTATTAATAAAACCTTTTTTTCTTTTTTTAAATCAGCACAGGGTGAATAGAAACTGAATAGAGCGTTGTCAGTTCACAAAACCCCTCACTGCTAGCACTGGAGAAGCCCTTTTTTGTGTAGTTTCTCATCTCCAAGTGCATGTTGTAGCTATTATTACTAGCTAAGGTACTCGTTGTGTCCCCCTGCTTGTGTGCTCAGCAATGTACGAACACAAGGTCTTCACCCAGGGCGTCATTTGGAACATCAACTCCTTTGACCAGTGGGGGTAAGTGTCATGTTTGCTAGCTCACAACAACACAACGTACATTTGGGCAACATCGGCACTAACACGCATGACGCGTCAGGGGCGTCGCACCGGTACGGTCACTACGGTATGGACCGTACCACTATTTGACCCAAGTACCCTGTGAATCAATAAAATGCACTGATTTGGGCTCTAACTTTCCAAATGTTTTGGCTCAGCCACCCCTCCCCCACGAGTAAATTGTACTTGAGATGGCTGACCGTAGCACACTAAATTACCTTCCGACGGCCCTGTACGTGTAGTAATGTGTAAGAAGTGCACGGTCTCAGTCTGACTTGCAACTCAGGCAACTAGCCTGCTCATATGCAGAAGGATTGCCATTCGAGGATCAGCACACCTTGAGCAAGATAGCAAGTGGATTGGTGCTTGCATCAGAAGTGAAGTAGTTATATTACATGTAGTAATTTGTATGTGGAACATCGTTTTCGTTATTGGCTCCTTACTTCAGAGTCTAACCATTGTGCACTGGCTGGCAAATAATTCATCAACATCGTTTTAGTTATTGGCTCCTTACTTCAGAGTCTAACCATTGTGCACTGGCTGGCAAATAATTCATCCATCTACGCTGTCCACACCAGTCTAAAAGCACACAGCGAAAATTTCCGAACCTAACAACATTGATTTTCTTGGTTTCTTTTCTTCTTCTTCTTCTTCGTTTCTCTCTTGCAGCGTTGAGTTGGGCAAGCAGCTGGCTAAGGTTATCCAGCCTGAGCTTGCCGACGATGGTGCTGCCATCACCAGTCATGACTCATCCACCAACGGTCTTATTAATTACATCAAAAAGTCAAGTCAGTGAAGCGTTATCCCGGAGCCCACCTGGGGCGCGCACTCTCTGCAACTCTGCAACGATTGTCATCTTTACTTTCCGCTTTTCTTGTTGGTCCTATCAGATCACCGGCCTAATCATTCAATCATCACCACCCGTCAACAGTATGGTTGATATGTTCCTGTTGTGCCCTGCCCTCGCCTCCTCCCCCCCCCCCCCCCCCAGCATTACTTTTATATTCAGATTTCTAGAATTCAGTTCTTTAGTGTTACTTCTCCTGGATAGGGAGTACGGTTGTTTTGTTTTTTTACTTCTTTCCTGCGGAGAGCTGGTGCTGTATGCATCTATTTGACTGGCTCACTAGTTTCAGCTGTTTCTTCTCTGTGCTTTGCATTTGCTGCTCAGTGCACGGTACATCATTACTGTTGCCTAACCGTGAAGTGCAAGTTTGCTACATTCAGCTCATAGGTAACGCGATTATTTTAAATCTGCAATTTTTGCCCACGACGTGCCGTGGTTGTGTCAATGGAGGGATGGTGTAGTTCGAATAGAGATCATTATGCGTTGTTGCATTGACGAGACAAGCACAAGCCGAATGCTCATCTGTCTTCCTGGTTCAGGAACTCGTTGGAGCTCTGCCGAAGGCTTCATTCATACCGCTACAACAAACTTATCATCGTACCACTGCAGCTCTTGTTCAACCCTCAGCTAGCTTGAATGCTTCGCTGACAGTTTTAGGCTGTGTTTACATGAGAATTTTCAACCCGGGGTGAAAGTCTGTACGATGGAAACAAATCGGTGAGTGTTTACATGAAGACAGTTGACCCGGGTCGAATGCTGATATGCCGACAAAAGTCGACTTGTAGAGTCCTGTATAGTCACGTGAATACTTTCGCGCGACATTTTCCTGTGCACTGCTAGCATGCTATTCAAACCTGGCGCGAGATACGCACAAACGTACGTTAGTACGATTTTTTCAACCCGGGGCAAAATTGCCAGTGACATGCATGCACTGTATGTGACTGGTCTGTACTAGTATTCATCACTTCACGTACACACAGTTATGATCGGATGCTGGCTGGCCAATACAAATTTGCTATCAAAAAGAGATTTTTTGAGCATGCGAAAAAATATCATACAGCAAGGCCTCGCGCCAGTCCAAAGGACATCAGCAACATAATAATTATACATGTATGTTCTCCACATAAGCCAGACTAACAAGCAGAATTCGGCAGCAGCACATAGTATAGCTGGCGCATCGGTGTTTTCTAGTAGACGGGCAAAATATACCGCACACCGGGAAGTTCTAAAAATCTAAAATATTGCCCGCTATAAAACGCTTTGAAAAAAGAGAAATTTGTGGGGTTGGAATACTGTTGTGGCATAAAAAAAATAGTGATTTGGTCATGATCAGCTTGTCAGCGTTAATATAAAAGAGAAATAATAAATTAGTGTTGGCTATCAGCATCTGCATCAAGTCAGGCAATTCTCTCAGCATAAGTTATTTCTCATGGCAGATGTATTACAACTTTCATCTTCTTGCTTCAAGCAGGGAGTGGCTTGACAGGAGAATAAGTCTAGTTTCACAATTGGTTCACTTGCTCTCAGAGCTCATCCTTGGCCTGCGACGACTTCGCTTTCTTAGGTTTCCGTCGGAGGCTGTGCACATTCTGAATGACGGCGTTGTAGATCTCGTCGGGATGCTGTGAGTGAATGGGCAGACCAGTGTGCGCATAGCGTTCGTCACCTTCGTAGACCTTGAGCATGGGGTACTGGTGAATTTGTGCCTGTCCACAAGCGCCACGATGCTGATCGCAGTTGAGTACACCAAAGCCTATTATGTAGCGCTCATCCTCCATACGCCGTGCAAGTTGCTCAAACACAGGAAGGAATTGCTGGCACGGTCCGCACCAATGCCCCGCCGAGAACAGAACTAGGTAGGGACGATAGTGACGGTTGAGGACGTGACTCGTGAACGTGTTACTGTCCAGATCTTCGGACGAGCGTGGCAAGAACGACAGTGCCCAGCTGCGCAACGAGGGCAGGTTTCGCCAGCCCTGATAGTCCTGGTAATGAGATTTGCCAGTGTGGCCCATAGGATACGCTCTCATGGTCGGATAGCCGCGGGGGCCTTGCTCCTGACAAAATGATCTGTACTTAGCACAGTCTATCTTGGCCACAGGCATGTCGTCCTTGACAAGCTTTGCCAGCTTGTTCCAAACCGGGGCCAGCTCAATACAAGGTCCGCAGTGAGGCGAGTAGAAATCCACCAGAACTGTGGTTTTACGATCTCTCTTCTCGACGAGCAGTTTGAATGACTCCGGACTGAGATCAATCACGCTGGGTACCAGAACGTCCTCGGCAAACTCCACAATCTCACCAGAGCTGTGGCCGCCAGAGTACTGATGAGGCGTGCTGGCGTTGAAGAGGATCGTTGTCGGGTACGAGTGGACGTTGTACTGACGGCACAACGTACCATGCACCACGCAGTCCACCGTTCCAAACTTGACCGAAGCAATGCCCTGCGCCGCCTTGCGAAACTGCGGCAGCAGGCGACGGCATGGCGGACACCACGGAGCAAAGAAATCGACGAAAAACGGCGTTTCACCATTCGCAACCGGGCGGGGGAAATCTTCCGGACCGAGTGCACGTACCGAGCTCTGTGCACTCTCGCGAGCGAAAGCTGCTAAGTCCAATGCTTGCCGTTTGCCGTAGAACATCTCGTGGCCGGTGGCTTTCAGGAGAAGAGTGGCCTCATCGGTAACATGGTAGTCGCTGCATACCGCACCCAGCACAGCACAGTCCACAATACCAACCTCCATGTCGTCCAACAGTAGCGACAGCTTCCTAACCTCGTTGTCTTGGGCGACGCTCTCCGCCGAGCCGAACAGGATGAGGACAGGTTCAGCCTGAATGCGACTGCGCACTGCTTGGAAGGACTTCTCCGTAAAAACACGTGCCCTGGGTAGCAGCGAAATCGCGGCACCACTGATCTCACGAGCATCCAGTGACGGCGACAGCTCCACAGGGCTCGTTGCTGCCTTGTCCGATTTCCGGGGAAAGTATACGGTTGTTCCGCTGACCGCTTGATGCTGCTTGCACAGTGCCGGGTGCTGGTCGCAGTTCAGATAGCCGACGTTCATCAGGTTGCGTAACATGCCGGTCAAACGCAGCATGGTCGTGTCCGAAAGGCAGTCGGCGTCGTCATTCTCCGGCGCACAGACGTGCACTAACCACGGTAGCGTCGTGCTCTCGAAGAACTCACCCGTGCTCAAGTGAGGCACGGTCAGGTGCACACGCTGCATGACGTACTGGACAAGAGCGTCGCGCGATCGGTCACCACGGTACCGCTCTCCCTGTTGCGGGAACAGCACCAGGCTCGGGTAAGAGGTGATGCCCTGCTCGCGGCACAGCTGATTGTCATCCTGGCAATTCACGGCGCCGACGCGCACAATGCCGTCGATGTCACGCGCCACTTCTCTCCAAGTCGGTGCTAGTCGATGACACGGTGGACAGCCGGGTGAATAGAAATTAATAAACCACGTATCATTGGATGAGGACACCAGCAGATCAAAGTCTGAAGCACTCAACGTCACGATCTCTATATCATCGTCATACAGTCCGAAATCCTGCTTGTAATAGGTCCAGCTTTGATACTGGCCTCCGTGACCTCCATTGTCATTCAACCCAGCCTCACCATGAAGGTCGTACTTGCGCCGCAAGTCATCGTCTTTCAATACCTCGTATGCCCTGCTGATACGCAGAAACTTTGCGTGAGCATCAGGCTCATCATTTTTATCAGGATGATATTTTAGAGCCGCCTGCTTGAATGCTTTTCGTATTTCGCGAGCATTGGCGTCCTTTTGGATTCCTAGCGCTTCGTAGAATCCCAGCTCCGCCACTACGAACGGAACTACGGACAAACATGTTAGAATGGCAAGTAATCGGACACTAGTGCTTTCCATTCCCATTTTCCAAACGCCATTCAGCAAGACAGAATGTCTGAATGGCGGTACACGGCGAAGGAAACCAGTAGCAGGTGAAGGCGCCGACGTAGAGATACGAAAACTGATTTTTTCACTTCCACTCATCAAGCTCAGCTGACTCAAATGTTTGAAAATACGGAACAAATCGTGTGCATGCATTTTCTTCTCCTTTTTTTGTGATTTATTTTGTGGAAGTCGATCAACCACACGTACACTTACATGATCAAGCGCTTAAGCTGCAAGGTTGACGTGTGAGGAGGCGATTGGACTCAGCTCAGCCTCAGTCTGTCTCTGGCCAGCAGCATAGGGCTGCAAACAAGCACAGGCGTCGGTCAGACACACTCACACAGCTGTTTGTGCATTTATTTTAGTCAATTATTTACTGTCAGTGGAGTGAGGTCTACTTCAAGTACTGTTCACATGCACAGAAGACAGCCAGTCACTGTAGTTACAGACTAGACTTGTGGGCAGCCCAGTACCATAGTACATGTACTGGCAGTAGCCATGTGAACATGGTAAATAGATAGAGACGTCCCTGATTGACAATGACAGGAAGACAGACTCATTACATGCTCAGTTGACAAAGTGTCATGTCACTACAACAGTACAAGGCTAGGAGTACTAGATCAGACTCGATTTTACTGGCTCAGTACTAACAATATTGTAACAAGATCACAAAAAAAGAAGCAGAGAAGGCGAGAAGGGAAGGCCAGATGGTAGATGTGGAACAATTCGTCACGCCCGATCCAAGATCGCCACCTGGTGCGAACCTAGGAAGTTGCACAGCTCACGACCATCACCGCATCGCAACCACAAGCCGCCTACTCCGCATTCACGCAGGGCCTACAAAACAAGTGGTCCTTCCTCTGCCGGACCCCTTCCATCCCGCCGTCCCTTCTTGAACCGCTGGAACACGCCATCAGCGATTGGCTCATCCCGGCCATCACAGGTCAAGCTCCACCTGGGACAACTGTTCGCTGCCATGCCGACTGGGGGACTGGATATGGCAAACCCCTGTTCAATGGCTTAACAGTACACCTCGTCCAGAAGGATCACGGCTAGCCTTGTGTCTCGCTTGCTGGAGCAGGAGTCATCTCTCGGCGACTCTCTGACCCACCAGTCCGGACGGTCAAGACGACGGCCCGGTCGAGATTGCGGAGCGCAGCCAAATCCATATCTGACGCACTTCGCTCGGATCACCGAGAGCTGGCCGCCCTGTTCTCGACCTAGCCTCAGAAAAGGGTGCGTCCAGCTGGTTGACCTGCCGCCCCTCAGCCGCCATGGTTTCACCATCACCAAGGGAGACTTCCGGGGTGGCCTGTGTCTCCGGTGCGGCTGGACACCTCCTCGGCTCCCAAGCCTTTGCGTGTGCAGCAAGCCACTGAATATCAGTCACGCTCTGTCGTGAACGTTTGGTGGCTTCCTGACGCTGCGCCATAGCGAAGCGAGGGACATCACCGCCAGAGCCCTGAGGCAGGTCGCTCATAATGTGACGGTCGAACCCCACCTCCAGCCCGTCACTGGAGAGGACTTCCGCCATCGCACAGCCGTCACGGAGGAGCTGAGGCTCGGCTGGATGTTGCAGCTAGTGGTGTGTGGGGTGGCCAATTCGAGCGCATTTTTATCGATGTAGGGGTGTTCAACACTTTTGCGTCTTCGAATCGTGCCGCCTCCCTCGCTGCTAGCTACAAACGCCGACAAGAACAGCGCGGAAGTATGAAGAGTAGGTACGCGCAGTCGAGTGGCCTCCTTCGTGCCCGTTGTGTTTTCTGCCTCTGGTGACTATGGCAAGCATGCCAATGCGCTTTTCTCACGGAGTCGCCTCTCTCCTGGCTGAAAAGAGCAAGGAGTCATACGCGCAGACTATCTACTTGCTGCGCTGCCACCTTGGGTTTGCCCTGGTTCGTTGTGGTGCCATATGCCTGCGTGGCTCAAGGAGCATGTTTGCTCCTGCCGTACCTGAGTCCCCTGCACTGCTAGTGGTGGCTGAGGCACGCATCCAGTGAACCTGCAGTAATCCTACTGAGTCTGTATAATCATTTATAATACTAACATTTGTTTTATGTAATTGTGTCACAGTTGATGCTTCACAAAATGTGTTATTTTGCCCGTATGATTACAAGAGGCTCAAGGTTCGGCTGATAAAAAAGGACGGTCGCGACTAGAGCTACTTGTACATGAGCTGAACTACATGTAATTCTGAAGCCAGTGCAGCGGAATACTTGCAGAAGGAGAAGACTCGGTTTTTTTGTGTGGGTCGACTTTGTACTGTATGCGTGTATGCGTGACTATGGTAACAAGAGAGTGGACAAGAGAGTTGCTTTTCTGCTGTATTTTTTACCAGGCGTGGGCCATCCCCTAATTTCATAGGTGCCAAAAAAACAAAAACAAGAGGGTACGACTCTATAGCTGTCTAGTCTACAATGTTGTCACCTCCCCCGTGACAAGATTATCAATAATGGTGCACCGCTGTCATCAGACGACATCACCCGTCTCCTCAACACAGTCACCCAATAGGATACTGCCAGGGCATCCCCTCAAACGTCAGCACGAAAGCTAAGTATCGCTCACCTCAATGTATGTAGCCTGTATAATAAATTACATGAAATTGAAGCACTCATGCATGCTCACGATTTAGACATATTAACGTTAACGGAAACTTGGCTATCCGACAGTGTACCTGACATATGTATTACAGTACCTGGATACACCATGCATAGACTTGATCGGAACTCAAAGAGAGGAGGTGGTGTCAGTATATACGTAAGAGAAGGCTTTGATAATCGAGCACTACATCACTCCTCTCCCATTGAAGCCCTCGCAGTACACGTGAACATTCACCCCCAGCCTCTCACTATCCTCTGTGCATATAGAGCTCCAACAGTACCTGTGGCATTTTGGCAAAGCCTATCTAGCCTAACTGATGACATACTGGACTGTACACCGGCCTCCTCCGCGTGCATAATTCTAGGCGATTTCAATGTCAATGTCCAAGACCCTAGTCACGCACACTACCCTCACCTACGAACATTCTGCTCTGATTTTGATCTCCGAAACGTTGTCACGTCACCAACTAGATTCCCCAGTGCAACAACCATAGACCTAGCACTGATCTCAAGCTCCTCCTCCACCACGTCCACTGCAAGACCAGGCAGGGACGAACTGATTTACAAAGACTGCAATGTTATTCCATGTGATATTTCCGATCACCAACTTGTTCGTGTGACCTACACTATCCATGCTACCACCAGCACGCTCAAGACAAACAGACAGGTACAAGTACGAAAGCCACCGCTGCGCGCGTTGAAGATCAAGCAATTCCAAGAGACAGCTGCTAAGCATATGTATACTCTCCACCAGCAGATCACACGCAGTTCATCACAGATGTCTCTAGATAGTTATACTGAACACTGGCAGGATGCAGTCAGTGATGCCTTGAATGAGTACTGCCCACTAAAGACCGCTAACGCCAAGAAGAGCTATACTCCATCGCCTTGGATAGACGATGAGCTCCGGCAGACTTTATTCAAGCGTAAACGAGCACACCGTGCAATGATAAAACGTCCAGATCGCCCAGACCTGCTGCAACAATTCCGAACTCTACGAAGACAATGCAAACTTTTGACTAGGAAGAAACGGTCTACATACTTCCAGCAACAACTAATCAATCATCGAAACCACCCAAGAGAGCAATGGAGTGTCATGAACAATCTACTGGGTAGAATTAAAATCAACCAGGAACCTGCTGCCGAAGTAGCCGACATCACAAAGACATTTACAGACGTTGTCAACGATACATCACTTTCTGGCAGTACACTACGCACTCCCAATGGCCCTTTATCGGAATACTCACTGACACAGTTCACACCAGTCACTGTTCCACAAGTCCAACTCCATATCCAGAGAATGAACAGTCGTAAAGCCACAGGACCTGATAACATCCCCGCCCAGGCTTACAAGCTCATCAACGATGAGATCGCCCCATCTTTGGCCAAACTATTTACCATGTCTCTTACATCTGGCGATTTTCCATCGACTTACAAACTAGCAAATGTGCGGCCTATCTACAAGCGTGGAGATAAGTCAGTCCCATCCAACTATAGACCAATATCACTCCTGTCCCACATGTCTAAGCTACTGGAACATATTGTACACGACCAACTAATGTACTATATCTATAATGCACCACCACCACTGGTACCCCTACCTGCTGAGCAATTTGCCTACCGCAGAGGCCACTCCTGCGAGGACTTGCTCACTCCCGTGATCAACGACTGGATGCTCTCCTTGGACAAAGGTGATTATGTCGTAGCTGCCTTTCTAGACATGTCTAAGGCATTCGACACAGTTAGTCATGCAGTTCTACTGAGTGAACTTCTGGAGATCGGTGTCGGTGGTACTGCCTTGCAGTGGTTCTGTAGCTACCTTACCCACAGGAAGCAACGTGTAGTCACCAAGACACAACACGGCCTAGAATATAGCAGCAACAGGGGGGTTCCGCAAGGCTCCGTCTTGGGGCCCTCTCTCTTCAATCTATCAGTCAGAAAGCTCCCCTCTGTACCCCGGCACTGCAAGGCTCGACAGTACGCGGACGATGTCTCCCTTTACAAAGCTGGCAAGAACGTTGAACAGTTGTGCAAGGAGCTGACGGAAGACATTGTCAAAGTGAAAGAGTTCTTGGCGGCCAGAGGCTTACTGCTGAATCCTTCCAAGACGCAGTTTGTCGTGTTCAGGTCAAAGTGCAAGCCCCTTGACCCCAGCGTCGCTCAACAGCTGGGTGAGGTCACAATCAACCCTAGTGCACACATTCGATACCTTGGCGTTGTACTCGACGAACATCTCTCCTTCGGAGAGCACGTTAGCCAACTAGATATAGAGCGGAAAGTTGGAAGTAAGTTAGCCATGTTCAGAAAGGTCCGAGATCACATGACGGTAACTGCGAAGCGTGCATTTTACATTTGTTCCATTCAGACAGTACTCGAGTATGGGAGTAACTCATTTGCTCATTGCTTGTCAGTAACTCTTCATGACCGTCTAGTCCGTCTTAGTAATAGAGCTCTACGCATTGTGTTCAGTATGCCTCGCTTTTCTGACGTATCCCTTGTTAATGCACGCCATCACATTCTCCCTTTGTCTGTGCGCTATCAGTTCAAACTCTATATCTTAGTGTTTCGTGTCCTGAATCAGTTAACTACTACTCTCCTTAGGGGTCGTCCATAAATATCGAACTTTTTTCACAAAACGAAATAATTTCGTTATGGGGTGGGAGGGGGTTGACCAATTTCGTTTCAGAAAACATTGATACATGTACATGGCCGTTGTATATGCATGTATGTCAACATTTTTTACGTTCTGAGGGGGAGGGAGGGAGGGGTTGGGTCTAAACTAAAATAATTCGTTTGGTGAAAAAAGTTCAATATTTACGGACGGCCCCTTACTGATTGCTTTTGCCTTCGTTCTACTTCTACTCGTACCAATTCCTGCACTCGCTCTCAGGTATCTTCGTCTGTCACTCTACCAACAGCTAAAACTCGTTTCGGTCTCTTTTCAGTTTCTTTCATCGGTTCCGACCGTTGGAATGCACTCCCCGCTGCAGTCCGCTTATGCTCTTCACTGCACCTATTCCGTCATTCAGTACTTTCATTTCTAGGGTACCCTGTAAGAAGGCCTTAGGGCATGTTCGATTGGTAGGATCGGGATCCCGATCCACCGGATCCACTGGATTCGCACCCTTTCGATTGGTCGAATCCGGATCCGGATCCTTCGGATTTGGATCCGGTCAACCCACCTCGGGGAGCAGGGTTGACCGGATCCAACGGATCCAAATGTGACCTTTGTGCGTATATGGCGGGTAAAAATCATTTTTGTACACATTGTGGTACGCACACGTGGATGGAGATAGAGCTTGTTGACTTTTTGTACGACGCACGCGATGAGTACGACATTCACCCTTTTGGGTGCCTTGTGAGCGCCATTTTCAACATGGCAACAGTCAAGGTCCAAGATAAAGTGTTCAGTTGAATCTGAAGGATCCGAGGGATCTGAGATCTGGATCCCGATCCCGATCCTTACCAATCGAACATGCCCTTAGCCTAGGCCTGTGGGGATTGCCCTATCAAAAATTTGATATAAATAATAATAATAATAGAGTGGAGGTCACTTTTGTTCAAGGAGTCGTAAAAAAATGGCATGGTACTCGTACTCGTACACGATACGCTCGTACATGTACTACTACTAGTACTAGATCTACGATCGTGCGTCGTACAGCCGGCTAGCCTCCCTCGCGCTCGATATCCCGCGCTAGGGCCGCGATCCCGCAGCCTGATCCCTGTGCGCGCGCCGCGTACATGCGCGGTACTACATGTGGCATAAAATGGCCAAGATGGCTTGCGCTGACAGACACCTAGTACCTGCCGGGCCCTGGACACTGGACTGGAGTCGAGACAGGCAGCAAAGATGCATGTCATCAAGGATCAAGCCAGTTCAAGCGTCTCGCTTTCTTTGGCTCGTCACGAATCCGGTGCTGCAGCCAGGATGGTGGACGATGCTTCTTTGTCCTTGGGAATGCTGTTCCTTCATGGCGCAGGGTAGATGCTTCAATGGTGTTCTGTAATTTTTCAATTTTGCTGCTGGTCAGCATATGTTTGTAAGTGATGTCGCATTTGATGTCTTCCATTTTTCTTTTGTCCTGAATCCCTGTCATTTTTTACTTTCGTGTTGGTGATGTAGGTATGGCGGAGGCCACGTGGTGGGCATAAATGTAAGTATTCTCTTATCTCATGCACTGTTCTTTTGTGATCTTCCTCGAATCAATAGTGAAGTGCACATAACCTAATGCATTGGGGTGGCTTTTCGCCTTTTGATCCATTGGAGGAGAATGGCAGTATTCGCTTGTATTTGAATTATTAATTTTGCACGCTTTCTGTTGACCCTGTAAGGCTGTAGCGATTATTGCATTTAATACAGTAAATTAGGTGTGCCATTTCCAAGTGTGGTAGAATTCCCCAGCACTCTGTCTCGCGTTGCTGCTGCTGCTGCGGATGAAGATGGATTTGCCCAAACCAGCTAGGGCGTGTTCAGTTATTATGTAACAAAATGGCGGTTGTAATTCGGATTTTCTTTCGCATTTCACACTCGTAATGATGAGCAATCGTGGTTATCCCAGTTCATCCTTGCTCATAAGCAGCGATGCTTGTAACAATAAATTGTCATCAGTAGGCGGCTAGACGCAGATGCCCATATACGAATGCTTAGTATTGGACGTCAGTTACGGTTAGGAAGTCAGTTGGGATGTAAAGAAGTTTTTTTGTGGACACGCGTTCAATTCCGATGCATGTCATCACAAGCCTCTCTCCCATTGATTCATGATTCATGGTAGCCGCCACAAAATTCTTTGCTATGAGAGTGGTTTCATAGCTGCACACTCTGGTTTATGTGCTCTCGCTATCATTTTTTTCTCACAGTTGGCTGTGAATTTGTGTTCTGTGTTCTGTAGACTGATGATGAGCGACATTCGGTGAATACTGTTGAATCCGCTACTTCGACAGTTGCCGGAGAATTCCATCACCCTGCGGCTAGCGATAGTCCTCACATGTGAGTATTATATCCTTGAGAGTACTCTCTTACTCTTATCTTTCCGTTTGTTTACTAGTATATACATGTAAAGTACTTCTCTCTCTCTATCTCTCTCTCGCTCTCTAGCTCTATCTTTCGCTCTCTATCTTCCTCCTTCGCCCTCTTCCTCGTCTTGTCCCTCTCTTCTACAGTTTAACCCCTGCGTGGCTACAATTTAGAACTACATTTTATTGAAATTGAACACCTAGGGTGTTGGAGCAAATTTGTCTACATTATATGTATTCCCTTTTTTGCAGAGACAATGATGAGATTCGATATCAAATCCCGAAGCCGATTGCACCCACACCCACTCCAACAGTGCAGCCACTACGGCCTCCTCCGGATTACAGCAGTGCCGACCATACAGGACTTGGTGAAGTCGATCAGGACCATCAGGTGGTTGACGAAGTCGATCAGCCGGCTGTCGAGGAGCACCAATATTCTGACTCTGCACATCACCCAGACTCCACGTGTCCCAAATTAAATGAAAATAATAAATCTGATCTTGAACCACCACCAGCGCCACCAGAGCCCGTTGACATCGAGCACGACAGCCCCGAACCAGCAGCTGTTGTCAATCCGGATGCAGCGAATGACTCATCATCTGAAATTACACCGGATTCACCAATAGCTGATCCAGAACCATCTGAGCTGGCCATAGTTGTGGGTATGGGAGATGGCGCAGATGAACAGGGAGAGAATCAAACAGTAGATGTGCACCAAGATCCCACATCTGCTTCAGAGGATGAGCTGCTGTCGTTCGAGGAATGGAAGCGGAAAAAAGAAGAAGACATTGCCAAGAATGGTCAAGGTGTGTAATGTATAACTCGCTCAGTTGCTTGCTTTTTTGTGTTTGTGTATACTATAAGCTGGCCGTGTTTACTAAAAAATCCATTCTGGTAATGCCATTTTCCTTGTACCTGCTGTGTTGTGTTATGGAATGCAGTGCGGTAAAGGTACAGTAGTTCATGTGATTATGTAGCCCCATGATTGTCCTCTGCACTTTGTTGTTATTCTGTAGTTCTTAACCTTGCCTTTTCTGTTATTGCTTCGCAGATGATAGCCCATCCACCCCATCCGACTCATCCAGTGAGAAGATATCTGCCAATGACAAGTCGGCCAAGCTGGTCAGCACACAGCAGAACTTTGCGAATGTTGATTGTGGCGCCAAAGTTGTCAGTGCTAATCCCGAGGCGCAGGTGAGCCGCGTGTTGCTCTTGTGTTTTCTGCATTGGTTTCATCTGCTGTACACCGAATAGTGTTTGCCTCCTATTATCCCTGTGACAGTGTCCACACTCCAAAAAGGGGTGTAATGGGTCTGCAATCACTTGGTTCAGGAGGCTACAGTACGTTGCTAATCCTTGATACATGTTTACTCTGTCCTTGGCGTGGCTGTGTGAGTATCGAGGTTTAGTACATACCCGTTACGGGCTTTCCATTTAGACTTGATTCACACATAGGTACTTTATTCACTGTTGGCCAACATATTCGTGCTTTTACCCTCACTCTATTCTCTTGTTGTGTTCTTTTTTTTGCACTCATCATTGTGTCCATTGCTATCCTCCCGTGGTCTTGCAGAACTGGAAAGCCATACTGGACACCAATCGTGATGTGTATCTTCTGAATCCTTGCAGTGCCAGAATCTGGTGAGTACATGTCACTGTACTGGCTGGCATTTGTGATCATGATTTTCAATCCATGCCTCCTATTATCCCTGTGACAGTGTCCACATTCCAAAAAGGGGTGTAATGGGTCTGCAATCACTTGGTTCAGGAGGCTACAGTAGTTGGTGTTTTGATGAATATCCGTTGTCTCCTTGGCGTGGTTCAATGGTCATTGAAATACTGCACATGCCTATTGCACGTAAATTGCATTTTTCTTCACTCATTTTGACATTTAGATTACCATATTTTGGAAGTGTACTTGTGAAAGCACATTAGTTAGCACTGAAGTTCTGATTATGTGTATCTGTATTGTGGATTGTGTTTCCAGGTTTGTTGTGGAACTCTGTGATGATGTCCTTCTTCAATCAGTTGAAATGGCCAACTTTGAAATGTTTTCCTCCTCACCCAAACGGTTCACCATCAGCACCACAAACAGGTACTGAGTTGATTTCAGCGGCCTTTTACTGACATGTATGTGCTTGGTCATATTTTATCTGCCTCCTATTATCCCTGTGACAGTGTCCACACTCCAAAAAGGAGTGTAATGGGTCTGCAATCACTTGGTTCAGGAGGCTACAGTAGATTTTCTGTGTACTGGTGGGCTATACACTGCTGCCTTGGCGTGGTTCAGTGTCTGCTGGTCACAGTACAGAGTTGTGCGTATGGTGGTTAGCTAAGATTGTGTTAGTTTTGATTATAGTTTCATGTTAATTTAAATTACTGTATCGAAGGCATGCTGAATATACTCTTCCACTGTGTGTGCTTTGTTTACCCGCAACTTCAGGTTTCCAAGTCGCGACTGGGCCACTCTTGGGGAATTTGAGGCAAAGTGAGTAGTAGCCAGGGATCATGTGATGCGCATGTCCTGTGTCGTAAGGGCTGATGAAACTCTTTGTTATATCCATCTTTCGGGGCTGATAGCCGTGATGATAATCGACAAGCTGACCTGCGTTTGCTTCCAAAAGACCTGCTTTCCTTGTGATGCTTTGCTAAACATGCTTTGTTTTGTGGCTTTTTTGTGTTACCAGTGATACCCGGGATATTCAAGTCTTCGAGTTGCCCAAGCACGTCTATGCCAAGTACCTCAAAGTATGTACTTGATTCTTTTTCCGATTCGTTTATGAAACTGCATTCTGTGTTCTGCCTCCTATTATCCCTGTGACAGTGTCCACACTCCAAAAAGGAGTGTAATGGGTCTGCAATCACTTGGTTCAGGAGGCTACAGTAGATTTTCTGTGTATTGGCGGGCTATACACTGCTGCCTTGGCGTGGTTCAGTGTCTGCTGGTCACAGTACAGAGTAATTAATATTATCGAGTGTTTATTTTGTGTTTCTTCGTGGTCATCTGGCTGCAATTGTGTTGTTTTTCTCGCACTGCTCCCATAAATGCCCATTCTATTTCTTTGCGTGTACCTGCAGATTGAAGTATTATCCCATCATGGTGTGGAGCACTACTGTCCAATCAGCTCAATGCGTGTCATGGCAACCAGCATGGTGCAAGAATACGAGCTTGTCGAGGAGATTGAAAAAGAGCCAGGTAAGAGACTGCCCGTCTTCGTATCTACCCAGTTGTCTTGTCATTCTAAACATTTCATTATGTTTAGCTTTCATTGCCTCCTATTATCCCTGTGACAGTGTCCACACTCCAAAAAGGAGTGTAATGGGTCTGCAATCACTTGGTTCAGGAGGCTACAGTAGTTGGTGTTTTGATGAATATCCGTTGTCTCCTTGGCGTGGTTCAATGGTCATCGGAACACCGCACATGCTAAGAATGCTCTCATGCACACGTACCATCTCTGTCTGTCCAGTTTCAGTTTTCTTCTATGTAGTTTCTCCCCTTTTGGGGTACAGTACACACTGTTTCGCAGGTGTCTGTGTATCAATCGTATCAGACTTGTGTCTTTGCGTGCCGTGTTTTTGTTTTGTTAATGTTTCTAGCATCTCTCACCGATGAGGTCCTGACGGATGATTCTCAGCTACAGGAAGCCGAGGTTGATATTGTTCATCGGGCAAAACGTTAGTCCTCTGAATGTCTTTTTCTTTTTCGTTTTGTTTGCTTTTGGTGATGCCACCGCTGCTGCCTGTTGTGATTCTGAGGAATGACGAAACCTGTAGTTTATATCCATCTTTCGGGGCTGATATCCATGATGATACAACCTCTGACAACTGACCTCAGTACATTGTCTGGTTTCTCTTTCTTGGCAAGTTTGTTCTCTCCTGACGACTTCATGCACTTGTGTCTACCCATTATTCTCTATGCAGATGCTGTTTTGAACATGCTATCAAGCTTCTTGCCCGATGCTGGCAATGAGACCGAAGGGGAGAAGACAGGAAGTGAGAACGACACGGAAAATTCAACCGAGCCGGTGGTCTCCCTTCCACCTAATCTAGAGACCGTGACAGTTACTGACTCCGAGGACGTGGCTCTCAAGCCTCAGACCTCTTCAGATCAAGACGGACCAGGACCAGCACCGACTGATATACCAACTGAAGCACCTGCAGCAACGACCTCGAATTCGCCCCAGCCGTACGTTGCTTTCCATTGTTGACCATTCTACACTTTTAGTCCTAGCCAAAGGAATTCATTGAAGGTCGAGATTTCAATTCTCTTTGTACACTATTGGCATGTTTTGGTACATGTTTTTCTCTTGACCAATGTGGTGTCCGTTTGCCTCCTATTATCCCTGTGACAGTGTCCACACTCCAAAAAGGAGTGTAATGGGTCTGCAATCACTTGGTTCAGGAGGCTATAGTAGTTGGTGTTTTGATGAACGTCCATTGTTTCCTTGGCGTGGTTCAATGGTCATCGGAACACTGCACATGCTTGATTTGCTTATTGCATTGTATATTGTCATGCTAACATTGCCGTTGGATATTGATAGCCAACAGATGATCCAAACGCACCTTTGTGTGTGCATGTTCATGCACCTCCTCAAAGCACTGTTATTTATGTTATTTTGCGCTGTTGGTTTTGTTTGCAGGGATGTGCCTGCTGTCCAGACCACTTCAATGAATGAGATCATTGCTCCGACTGCCAGCACTCCAACGCCTACAAGGTATGTCCTGTGTCCAGGTCATTGCTTTTGTGTTCCCATTTGCTCTCTTGCTGTTTGAAAGCCATTCCATGTTGTTCCATGATGTTTCTATTGTGTCATGCTTATGTTGGTGCTTGTGATGTCTGTTTTGTCATGCTTCTGCAGTGTCCAGCCAGACCTCATCAGCAGTGTTTCTTTGCATTCCACCGTGGCTGTGGATACGAGTGATACAGCAACGCAATCGTCTAGTCAGCTTGCTACTGTCACTGCCAATGAGCTGCCAGTATCGGTCACCCCATCACCTGCTTTGTCACCGCCGACCGTTGCCTCTGACTCCGAGATAGCGCTGACAGTGTCCACTGCACACTCTGATACGTCAATGTGTGAACCCACCAGCCCAGCCAGTAATCAGATTGATAGCGCTGGCACTGACACCGTGTTGTCCACGCCGGTCATCTCCAGTCTTGATGTTCACCCTGTGGTGGATTCAGTCCCTATTTCGGAAGATGCTGCTGTATCAACAACCGTCCAGGAATCAGCTACCGGTACTCCTGCTGTACATGTTCCTGTCTTGCCTTCTTCTGTGCTTGCTGATGATGTACCAGTGTCGGCGACAGTGGCTGATTCCAGCAGCACGCAAACCGTAGCTGCTGCCAATGATACAGACATGGACTTGGCAGGCAAGGCGAATATCTCAGAATCTAGTGTTGAAACCAGCAACACTACAGACTTGCCAGCATCCAATGATTCACTGCCCGCTATTGGCAACGGCTCGAATAAATCCATGGACGATGCTTCCCAGAGCCATTCAACGCCGCCAAAGGAGTCCGTTTTCATTCGTCTGAACAACCGCATCAAATCTCTGGACAGCAGGCTGGATGCCAATGTTACCCTCATTCAGCATTATTTGGATGAGCTCAGTGCAAGGTGTGTATTACTATTCATCAGTACAATTGTGCTTCATTGTGTGTGTTCCTTGTGACTGTTTTCTCAACGACACTCCTCGTCTACCGCTACAATACTTGTGCCGTACTTGTGTGTACATGTATCTTTGCCTCTCCCCTTCTCTCCAGTTTCAATCGTTTCAAGAAGAACATGAGCGAGGTAATGCGCCACAATGATGCGCATCTACAACGTCTAAACGAGTCACTGATATTTACTCAGCAGGAGGTGAGCTTTTCGATGGCTTTGGACGCATTGCCTATGAGCCTGTGCTCAATACATTCATATTCTTTGTCAGTCTTGTATCTGAGCTCCGAGGAATGACGAAACCTGTAGTTTATATCCATCTTTCGGGGCTGATATCCATGATGATACAACCTCTGACAACTGACCTCATGAGCGACATCAGCATTTTTCTCAGGTTGTTTTCACATATTGTTGCCACTTTTACTGTGTATGCCTGTTGTCACATATGTTTCCTTCATACGTGTGTGTGTGCGTGTCCTATGATTTGGTATACTTTAGCTTGTACAAGCGGTGACGGCCAACCGAAATGTTGAAAGCAACGTTGCCAACCTGACGACAACTGTTTTAGCTCTGACGGAAGAGTTGCTGCACCTTCATGACCAGGTATGTCGTGAATGCTGTTTTGTACTGTCTAGCTGATAGCACGGGCAGTACCTCTTGTCTGAGGAATGACGAAACCTGTAGTTTATATCCATCTTTCGGGGCTGATATCCATGATGATACAACCTCTGACAACTGACCTCAGCATCTGCTCCTTTCTAGTGATGTGTGTACTCTGATCCTGTTTGGCCCTGCTGATAGTCGTGTCTGTTTGCCTTGCCCTCTCTGTAGACGCTCTCTCATCTGTCAACGTTTGTGGCGGCGAGTGTTACCATTATTGGTCTTCTTGTTCTCGCCTTCCTTGCTGTCGTTGGCCATCGGTTGGCTGTGGCCTGTGACCGGCAGCAGAAGACAATGGATCTAATGATCAAGGCCATCAGGCAGACTGGGTACGCAGTCCCCATGGCCGAACATCCTCTATCTAATGGTGGAGTGAGGAAACCCCTGTCTACTGACTCATCTCCTACTGGTGAGTTGCTGGGTAGTGGTGTTTTGTGTGTGTGCAGGCGACGTACATTTGAGGTATGACGAAACATTTCTTTTATCCATCTTTCGGGGCTGAGTACTCTGATGATAGCTTTAAGTCTGACCTCTAGTATGCCGCAGTAATCTTTTTAAGCGTCTCTTCTACTTCTAATGATAGTTTATTGTTGTTGCTATTGCTTGCAACTGTTGTGTGTGTGTGTGTGTTCTAGCTGAGAAAGGCAGAGCATTCAGGCCTGTGGCATCATATCCTGACTTGCCTTCAGCGGCCGCCGCTGCTGCTGCGTCTGATGAGCTAGACAGCGGCAATGTAAGTTCTCCTCTCCTCTTCATAATACCTCTAGTGGAGTGTCCATTGCGTTGTGCAGCTACTTGATTGGGTGCTCATAACCCCAAAAGTGTGTAGCAGTGTGCTCTTTTGCCATGCATTGTTGCATGGATAGTTTCATGTTGCAGAGCATGGTTGAATTTGTTTAGGTTATGCTGACAAACAGTTTCGAAAGTGATCACCAAAGAGTTAGCCAAAACAGCGCCTCCAACCCTCTATATTGCTGACATGGCCTTCCTTGGCAGACCCGCAGTTTGCAAACTTGTTTGTTACTCCTTATTCAGGCGGCCTTGTGTAGCTGTTTCGACGGTTGGTCTCATTTGCGGCGTCTTGGGGGACATCTGCACTTGGCAGTATTGATAGCTCCGTTCTATCATATTGGATGATTGTACCGTAAAGTACCGTTGATCCGCCCCCACGCCATGTCGCTTCCCAGCTGGATTTTCGACAGGGGACGGGAATTAGATCAAGGCTATCAACAACAACGTAGAAGATCAGACTCGATGTGCTGGAGTCATGCACTGGCACGTATTGTGTACAGCAGTGCATGCGTCAGTTCAACATCGTATTTCGTGATATACACCGAAGTCGCTTCTCAGACAGAAAGTGGACAGGGGGCGGATCAACGGTACTTACGGTACTGGTGGACTCCAGCCAAACCCATGGATGAGCTTTCATCTAAGTTCTTTTTTTTCTCTCTCCTTCTGTGCAGTGGATCGCGGTGACGGCAAAGTCGCGCAGCACTTTCCCCAGATCATCTTCTAATCCGCACCATGCAGCTCTTACTCGGCATAACAGCTCGCCTCTCACCACGGCCAGCTCACGGAGCCGTCAAGGCAAGCGCACCTCGCCTAAGCTTTGAGTTATCTATTACCTATTAGCACTGCTCACGGTCTTATATCTCGACTACACATCCTTGCGAAGCGTCTATTTTTAAGCAAATTATCCGTTCACCATTCGCTTGAGATCGGCTTGATATTTGTATATTATTATTATGATTATTGCAGCAGTTGACTACCTTGACACACTTTTGGTTATACTTCCAATCTCATACTTGTCCTAGCACCGTCTACCTTGACACACTTTTGGTTATACTTCCAATCTCATAATTGTCCTAGCACCGTCTACACGGGGAAGTACCCCTTGCTACGAGCAGTCTAGAACATCGCACAATTTTTTTCACACAAAAACCATATTAAACTGCACTTATTTCACTGTTCCAATCAGCTTTTTACCAGTTTTTATAGCTCTTTTCAATCTCATCTAGGCCCTTCGTTTTCTACTTCGTTTTTAAATATTAGGTTTTCTTCGTCTTATCTCAAATCCAGCAGCTCAGCGTTGCATTTTTTCCCTTGATTTTCGTCTCAGTTGAGGTCGGTCCACCGTAATCTGTGTAGTCAGCTGCTGTGTGTTTGATTGTTTGAGCATAGGCATTCTCTCATGAACAGATCTGAATGGTCCACTTGTAACACCAAGACTACATAACCAAGAGTGCAACTGCCTGCACAACCTCTATTAGGGATCTCAGCGCGTGCAGTGCGCAGGGTGTTTGCGCATACATTGCGTCATCGAGTTTTGAGTGCAGCTCGCGGACACAGCAGAAAAATGGCGACGGTCGATTTTCGACACTAGGGCCCGCGGTGGACACTAGCGGAATCGTCATCTTCATCGTCGTTCGAACATACTTTGTAATTCCCGCCGAAGGACAGCGTGGCCAAGGCGATATTGCCCCGGTTGATTTTCCTATAATTTTCCATGCGGCAAGAACCCACTTCAGAGAGGATTCAGTCAAAAATTCAGACGTTTTCTCCGGTTAGATTGTCCTAACTTCGATTTTCAGTGCATCAGCCATCGCGAACATCGCCGCCATTATCACTCGGAGAGAAGACATCGCGCTCAGTAGAAGAGGTGTTCACGCTGCGTCCAAGAGTGAAAGATTGTGCTCTTTGACCCTCCATAGTTCCTCTGAGAGAGTGTCTGGGAGATAGGTAGCTTGGAGATGGCCGTAGAACGTGCTTTCCTGGACGCAATATTCAGCCATTTCTACTGTCTTCTTCAACTTGATTTATTTCGAAAAAAATGTTCTTTTCCACGATTTCTGCACTAGACGCGTTTGGGATCGAAAATCTCACCTGCGCAGACTGGCTGCGCAGTTCACGCGCTGAGATCTAGGCCTCCGCGGAATATGCTCGTATTTTTACCGATAATTCCTTTGAGCATTGCTCAAAATTACGTCCGATAATTCCCGTAATTCTACCAATAATTCTCACAATAATGCTTTTTTTCTTCCCTTTTTGCAGATACCGTACCGCTTACGGTTTTTTTGCCACTTGTACGGGCAAAAAAATCACGGTTCGCGTGAAACTCGGCTGGAAGCTTTTTTTTCTTTCTCTTTTGAAATACCGGGCGATCAACTCATTAACCCTTTCAGTGCCAAGGGGGTCAGAAAAATTCAAATTTTTCTGAGTTGAGCTGAACTCAAATTTTTCATAGCTCAGCTGTATATCCACGGATCTTTACAAACGATGGCTCTCTGGAAAGATATCATGGCCAGGCAGACAGCTGTGAAGAGAATATGCAGCGAAAATAGTCTTCCTCGCGAGGGCGCCTGAGCGAAGTCCGTTTTCTGCATTTTCGTAGCATCCGCACTTTCTCACGCGCGCGATCGATCGCAGTGCAGTCAACTTTCAACGCACGGAATTCGGACAAAGTTGGCCTGAAAGCCGCTGAAAATCTCGATGTTTTGATACCCAATACGCATGGGTTGCCGCGAAAGAAATAGAGAAACCCGCGATGCGCATACGTCATGTTTTCTACGGGCGACAATTGTTTGTCCGAGCGCGCGCGCTTCAAGCTTCGCCCTGGCGATATCTATCCTCACGGACACAAAACGATGTGATGAGTCGATAGCCAAGGTCTTCCTGAACACGTAGAGTGGTCGTTTGTAACTCTTCTGTGTGTAGAAGTGGAGATACGAATTTATTTGTACACACATACTCATGTTGGGCGACTAAAGTCGCCCGTGGCACTGAGAGGGTTAAGGATCACAAGCTTTTTGGTACAAATCAGGGTGTTAAAATGGAAAAAAATTGAAAAAAGGGGGGCATTGCTCAAATTTTACCGATTATTCCACAAAAATTGCCAATAATTCCCGTTTTAAAAATCACACCGATAATTCCCGAAATTATGCCGGCATATTCCGCGGAGGCCTACTGAGATCCCTACCTCTATGCTGTGCTGCGACGGCAGAACTTCACATCACGTGACATGGTTCAAAAGGTTATGCTGGCAAACAGTGCACAGTCCGTGCGCCAAGGGGTACTCAAGGGCTGATTTTATTTGCAACCGCGGGAAACGAAGTCACCAAGACGCCTTCATTTGAGGCTTTTGGAATTGGAGAATTTATTGAATTTAGGTATGGCTCTCGTCCCTTCTAGAGAACTAACCAAGACCCTGTGGGGGCAGAAGGAGACTTCTTTGGCTCCGTGAATACACTAGCTATGCGGTGGTCTAGTTAGTTTGAGTGTGTGGTTCGTATTCAAAGTGTTCCAAGCCGCAGTTCACTCGAAGGTCATCGTGGATACGTCTGCACTTGAAAATCAAGGCTGGAAAGGACTGCCTGGTGTGTCCGAACGGTATGTTTTGCACTGAAGGCATTTTTTGTATGAATTGTTGAAAGTGTCTACTTGTTCGAAATGCAAAAGACATCGTCGTAGATCCTTGGCCCACAACACCCCACTAAATAAACTATGACCTGTCGTGAAATTATGTGAAATTGATCAACACAATCATACACAAATTATCCTATGGCAAAGTACTGCAAATGCAAATAATAGCATCCCTTTACCTAGGTCATGTTTGTAGGGCCTTATGCCACATCTTTGCATGATTTCCTCATGCAAATCGTGTGCCTAGCTTCGAAAACACATTGCGCTAAGTGCCGAATATATACCTGTGAATCAGAACAACAGCACTCACTATTGCTTTCATGAGTGGTAATGGTCAGCTGAAAGGAAACTTCTATCCATCAACTCACAAGTAAAGTAATGACTAATCTCCTTGCTGCGCATGTGGTTCCTTCGTATTTACATGTACCGTAAAGTACCGCCAGAGCGCCCCACCATCTCGTCCTTTCGGGGTCGTATTGTGGGGGTGGTCTCCGGTCTGTAGGTTATACGACACGAACTTTGTACACATATTGCACGTTCTGCAGACAATCTGTGCCTTCGAGCGGACACGAGCTCCACACAAAAACCTGCTTAGTGTGACCTTAGTACACTAAGTTGCTCACACCGTACGAACTTCGTTGCACTCTGCCACACGATTTTCCTTTCCCTGGCTGTATTATATAAATCTGTCGCAGCAAAACCAAGGTGGGGCGCTCTCGCGGTACTTTAAGGTATGTGCGCCTCTCTGTGTTCGGTGAATGATTTTGAATATTTGCGCACGACTTCAGGATAGTGCACATTGTATGCATGTACCTGCATATGTAATCCTTTCATGATTTAAAAATTAGGAGAGCCGTGCTTCTCATCACCGTGGACAAGTAAATGTCGGCCAATTACGTAGCGTTTGGAGATTTGCACAAGTACAGTTGCGTGTCGATTATGCGGCAACCGCGGAATAAAATGAATATTCTGGACGACTGAGGCTACGAAGCCATCTTGTGTTAACTTAACAGATAAAAAAGACAGTACTTCGAAGTACCTGTATTTATCACTAGTATTACCCTGAGACAGTCGTGCTCATCTCTAGAGACTGGCTTGTATTTAACTCTACGTAATGGCAACTTTCATGATGCTGACTGTCTACATTTACTTGAAGTAGGACTATAAATACTAAATATAAGGTCTATAAGCTGTCAGTGCGGTGCTGTTGGATACCCGACATGCCATGTGACTGACCGCCAGATACTAGTAAACGACATGCGATTGTACCGGTCACAGTGTAGCTGGGTTTTCACGACAATTTGAAACTTATACGATTGTGAGAAAAGTTCAGAAACCACACTTACACATACACACACACGCACGCGCGCACACACACACACACATGCGCGCACGCGCGCGTGTGCACACACACACCTGTCCTGTTCTGTTGAGCCACTACCACAACTTAGCACAAGGATCGCATCGGCCCCAAAGGGGCAGTAGAGCGAAAGTGAGAGGTGTTGGCTTCGAGTTCACCTATCTCTACGGTGAACGCAACCTCGATCGAAAGTCATGCCAAACGGATTTATCTACCACACGCGCGCGCGTGCGCGTATACAAAACGGAGGAAGGATTACTTACTCTCCCTGTATGATGTTTCTGTTGTATTCGTGAACAATGTCATTGATGTTTTTCCATGCATGTTTTTGAATATGCGAGCATAACTTCCAACATCAAGCACATTCTTGCTTCTCATCAGCATGTACAAGTTTATGTTGGGCAGTTATGTAGCGTTTGTTTTACCGGCTGCGTTTGTTTTACCGGCTGCGTTTGTTGGTGCTTGCAGGTCATTGGCATGCTGTCTGTTTCACAGAAGCTCGTGTAACAGGTTCACCGTACAGCTATGAATGCAATGTAGCGTGTTGAAGCCACTTCGGTATGACGTGATGCCTAATTTCCTGGTTGTACCAAAATTGCGAGTATGCAAGTGATCGTCAAGCCTGCCCCTGTACAGTAGCCGTCTTGCCTTGTTACGCCTGGTTCTGACCCTGCGTTCTCGTTTACTCCATGCAATGTTACAAGGAATACTGCTCCCTTCTCAAGCAATTCATTGGCAACAAAACGCTCGGCTATGCCCTGTAACTTTGCTGTGCGGTTTGTGCTTTGTCAATGTTGTGTACCAGTTCATGATCTGTGCTTGCTGGTCTGTTTGTTTTCTCTCGCACAATTGAGGCGCTGTAGCACAGTGTACAGTGTCGATCATCCTGCCCAGGCTCTGATTTCACGTACCACAGTACGGTTTCTCTTGTTGCTCACTGTAATGTGCATGATACAAGCTCCTTGGTACTCCATCATCACCTGGTGCTGTTGCTGCCATTGTTGGACCCTGCTGATATCCTTCTCGCAATGCCCGAACGTTGTTCCAACAAATGCACAACTCGCTCTTAGTTGTCACATTCGGTTTGGTCTCGTTCCAGTCTTTCGAATTGAGTGAGTGCGTAAACTTGTATGAAGTGGTGGAGCAAAAGCCGTGTGCCGGCAAACATTCAATGTCCGGGTGTAATGACGCACCAAGGTCCCGGGACTTGCGTCCAATTCCTGAGTGATTTTTGTGTGCCTAGCCTCTAGGTATCATACCATATTTGTTTGGTTCAACCGTTTTGGATGCCCACTGCAATACCATTCACTGTATTATGTGTGTATGTTATCCAAGAAATCTCCCATATTTTTGGGTGGACAAACCTCGCCATAAGTCAGTAACCTGGCATTTTGCACTAACAGAACTCCTAGGATATCAGCGCCGTCTCAGTACCTGGGGACAGTTGTAAAGAAAAAGAAAAAATATCCTTGGCCCACAATGCCCCACTAAATAATCCGAAGGGTGTCGCGAAGACGACAATTTCCTTACCTTTCTTTCGTGGACGAAAAAAGACACTTCGCTTCGTCCGTTGCGCATGAAACGAAACATGAGGGTAGTGTTTATCAATTAGAATAGGTATCATGCACGAAGGAATGGCGAAAAGGTACTATGCTCGAGCGCTGGTCGTCGTCTTGTTTGTCAATTTTGAGTCCCATTGAGAATTTTCTTCTCCAGACCTCTCAAATTTCCCGCGGTTGCAAATAAAAGTGCAACTTCTAGACGACTTTTTTGAATTTGGCGCACGGACTGGTGCAAAGTGACCACAAGAGAGTTGTACCCAAAGCTGGGCTGCGTACAACCCAGTACTAGCAGTATCTATCATGCACTAGAGTGCACGGGTTCATCACGTGATGTGAAGTTCTGCCGTCGCGCGCAGACCCCATGGAGTTGCACACTCTTGGGTTATGTACTCTTGGTAACACGGAAAGCTGTTTCCAGGGGGGCCTGGGATGTTCTTATTATTTTTTCAGTAATCTAGCTGGATTCTTTTTTGAAGCAATTCGTATACTGGATCACATGTACCCAAACAGGCTTACCGGTACACACAGTAACAGCTTCCGAAAACCCAACACCGTCATTCTTAGCATCTTGGGCTCCACATTCTTTGCGCGGCAACTGTATGCTTGGTTCACAGTTGCTCTGAGTACATAAGGGCTTTCTGCACTACATGTACATGTGTGATGTAAGAACGCAGCCAGATTGCAGAAAAATAAGAACGTCCCAGGCTAACCCCTTGGAAACAACGTTCTTGGGCGCGCGACTACTCTATTCAAAGTATGCAATGGCCCATGGGGAGTGCAGTCAGACCTCGCTTATCCGGAAGAAAATCGTTTGTTACCGATTTACAGCATATGGCATGCATACATAGAGATTTGAGATGTGAAAAATGTCAATGCAGAATGTTGTCAGTTTTGACTTGGCACACACAATGTACGATTTTGACCTTTTCTACAGCAAAGTTGTACAAAGGTTCAAGAGTTGCCTATAAATTTGTACAAGTTGGATCAAACCGCGCGAATATCATGGTGACGTAGCCAAATCAGCAAGATGTTGTCGCATCACTGACTTCTTCTGTGAATGGTATTTCGCGAGTTCGCATCGCACGCGTCCGTCGCAGATCGCGTCGCATCGCGTGTCGCATCGCAAAAAAGCTTCTGTGAATCCCACTTTAGTCAGGAATGTGTCCACTTTCCATCATGCAGGAAACTTTTTTTGTGCTACAGTTGCACACCAGTCTTTGGCGCGGCATGTTGCAGTCTGTGCCAAAGTTCAAAGCGAGACCGTACATAAAGTCATGAAGCTTTTATTTTCCGTTCCCGCACATTCAGTCTCTAGCATCACAGGTATCCCGTTCTAACCCTGTCGACATCAAACACACTCACTTGAGAGCTATCAGTTCGGGATAAATACCAATACGCCATGGTTCTGTAACGTGTTCGAATCACTAGTGACCAGTATTGTAAAGTGATCACACTGCTCCATCAAAGTGTTCTTGTGAAAGGACCACAACTACATGTAGCTGCTATATCCAGAATAGGCCAGATAATGTGGATACAAGGGAGCAAAAGACTGCCCGGCATGTGACTGTAGCAGACTGCAAAGGCCAGCCATAACAGAAGAGCATGATTGTTTGAAAAGAACGCCATGTAACTAATTACTTCCTGGCCTGTGTTCAACGCACACCCAGTACTGCACAACAAACAGGGGCATACTAGTACTGTACTACGCCGAGACACATGCTACTCTCTAATATTCTAGACCACCAGCCTGTTTTAATGCGAGACTGCTTTATTGTAGCATGCATGAAGATTATAATACTGTCATCTAAACGCCTGCACTTATCATATTATGCACCTTTCTATGTTGAATCCACGTACTAGTACTCAATATGAAAATGTGACCACCCTCGGTCATAGCCGTGTTTCAAGAACAAAGACAGCTTGCAAATAATTCCCTCAAGACAAGCGTCGGTGAACAAAGCCGGAGTTAGCAGTCATGACATCAGCAATCGACTTGGCCAGCACATTGGAGATACTCTCCAACTATCAATAGTTCCGTGTTCAGTAATCAAGCTGGCCCTATCTGGCCGTCATCATGGCTACCTGCCTCTCAACATGACGATGGATGCTGCATACACCACTACATCGACTTGACGGTTGCTTCCAGTTCGTGTGCCGATTGTTCCAGCCGCAGACGTTCCTCCACTGCTGTCAGAAGCGTGGTGCGAGCGTCTTGCTCCGTGTTGAAATAGATGACGAAGCGGTGCACTATAACCTGTCGACCAGCCACCAGCACGCGCATACACGCAGGCATGATTCATTAATATGTCACTACAAGGCCACTAAAGCTATCCCCGTGCATGCTCTTCCAAGCTTCTTGCACATGTACGCTCACTGCAAGGTGAACGGTTCCCAATACAGTAAAACCTGGTTTGAGCGACCACCCCCACGGTGCAAGCAAAAGCGGTTGTTAAAGCCAGGTGGTCTTTAGAACCAGGTCCCACAGTTTCTGTGTAGAACTGTTGGTGCATGGAAAACGGTCGTTAAGAATAGGTGGTCGCTAAACCCAGAGGTCGCTTACACCAGGTTTAACTGTACTTGTCTTGCTTGGTATCACAATTGTTCAGGTTTTGCATGCAAATAACGAGAGATGTGGAATTGAAGACGAAAGGTTTCATGATCAGTTTCATCAGATAGAAATAACATTCGGCTCGGGCAGGCAAAGGATGCAAGAGAGCCGACGAAATTATCAGACGACAATGCAAAGTGCACCACTTCTTTAAAAAAAATACAAAGCGCTGTGCAACGTGGTGGACTCACCTCCAAAGCACCCTGCAGCGTATCAAACTGAGGGAACTTCAGCGATCGCTGCGGTCGCTTCTCCAGCCAACCGTGAATCAACGACAACAGGGAGTCATACCAAGTCTGCGCAACACAACATTGACAATAATTGACATCATAGCGATACTATTCAATGGTTTGAGGGAAAGATGCAAACGGGAAAAGTCTGAAGAAAACAATTGACTGTCACCACCAGGATAATACTGAGTACAGCGATAAGCTTATGTTTTCTCTGAATTCTCATGCACATGCCAGTATGACAGAGGGTATCTAGATGTACAGAGAAGCAACACATTGTGCCATGCATTGTACCACACATTGTGCCACGCATTGTGCGGCATGTATCGTGCCACGCAAGTCACAGTGCAGCTCAGAAAGCAAGTGCACTGTACATTGTCAATGTGCTGCTCCAGCACCTCGGTCTGTGTGCATAGTATTTAGCTGGCTGCATGGCTGTTGTGTTTTCCTCAAAACAAACAAACACTGTATGAGTGTATGTAGCCGGCTACATGGCTGCTGTTGTGTTTTCCGCTAACCAAGCACAGACTGTAGGTCATGCAACAAGGCAGGGACTGACAGCAGAGCCAACTGAGAAGGCATACGTGATCAATAGTCGTGTGCTGCAGTGCATGCACACAACACCATGGGTATCAAGAGTACATAAGGTCCCAAGCGAGTGTGCAACTCTGATTACCCTTTCTACAGGGTTCACCGACGGCGACAACTCACACTCTGGTCACTGCCTTACCATAACAATATCAGCCACTGATGTAGCCCCCGTGCACTCTTGCAGTGCCTGCAGATTGTGTTCCACGGATAGAGACAGGTCGTCCAGATCCACACGAGACTTGCGCTGCATGCGTATAGAATAGAGGAGGCAACAGTATCGTACGTGTGTGTGCGCGTGCATACTCAGTACTACTACAGGTCTACTCTCCATATAACGTAATCTCTGGGACCACGCAAAAATTACAATTATTATATCGAGAGTTATGTTACGTAGAAAACCGTGTGAAAAATACAAGATGTACCTCAAAATGAAGGGTATTACAAGGCAGGTTCAACCGTGCAAACATATACACACTGTACCATCATCGACATCAGATACCATCAATGCCGCAGAATATATGCACAATAGGACTAAACTGGCTAGCTACGGTTACAGCTTGATTGTACCGCGCACGTGAATCTACGTTGTATCGAGAGTGCGCATGTCAGGGACCGCGCCGTAGGGTGCGTTATGCCGAGGTTTACGTTATGTAGGACTAAACTGGCCTAAACTGCCTAGCTACTGCTACCACTTGATCGTACCGTGCACATGAATTTACGTTGTATCGAGAGTGCCCACGTTAGAGACCGCGCCGTAGCGTGTGTTATGTCGAGGTTTATGTTATGTAGGATTATGTTGTGTAGAACAAAATTTGTATGGGAGTGATGCTGTTTCGGCGCGGGATTTGATTTTGTTATGTACTAGCGAGGTTTATGTACAAGTGAGAGTTGTTATATCGAGAGCAGACCTGTATCCACATTCATGTTAGTCATGGTTACGCAAGTGATGCAATCAGACATTTTAGGCTGTGGTGTGGATATGCCATAGTCTACTAATACTCCTGTTGGACATGCACAACAGAACAGCTCAACACCCTCCACAGCTTTGCTTGACAACATCAGTCCTGCTTTATGAGTTTATCATGATGCATCCTATTAAAACTTACAATCCTGTTGAGCAACGAGAAGACAATGTTGGCCGGGTCATGTAGGCTGAGCTTGACCAGGATATCATCAACCGTGAAATTGAGCTGTGAACACAGGCAACGTGCAAGCAGAACAGGCACAGCACAACCATTAGAAAGGATTACTAGTTACTGCCACGTCATCTTCGGTCACCAGTGGAAAGCAGAAATCACGGACAGGTATGTGTGCAAAGATCTGTTTTTTTGCATCGTACAACGTGTATAGCCATGGTATTATACTGAAGCCTTGCTTGATAGTTTAACATGTTTAGCATAAAGAGGGTCCTAACCGGGGGTTTTCCCCATACGGCTCAAATGGTCGCAAGACCGGGACTCTGCCAACCGGGTTATGGTTGTAGTCAGGAGCACTGCGCGTCCTCGCCTTGTAACATGCTGTCAAAGTCGAAAACATGTATAGCCATGTAGTCCCCATCACTAGCGCTACTGTATCTCTAACTCACCAGTGCAGCAGCATCAGTCATCATCTGCTCCTGGATCGACAGCAAGGACATGCGAATGTTGCCGCCATACTGCAGCATGACCAGCGACAACAAGAGAACACAAGCAGTGTCAATGCAAACAGCCGCTCAACACAGACCGACAATAAGAGAACGCAAACAGTGTCAATGCGAACAACAGCCACCCATGGACTGGTTACAGGGATGGTATATTGCTATGGTCTAATCTCATGGACTGGTTACAGGGATACTGCACTGCTGTGGTCCAATCTCATGGACTGGTTACAGGGATACTGCACTGCTGTGGTCCAATCTCATGGACTGGTTACAGGGATACTGCACTGCTCCGGTCCAATATCATGGACTGGTTACAGGGATACTGCACTGCTGTGGTCCAATCTTATGGACTGGTTACAGGGATGATATATTGCTATGGTCTAATCTCGTGGACTGGCTACAGGGATACTGTCCTGCTATGATCCAATCTCATTTGCATTTGTATTTACGGATCATAGACTGGTTACAGGGATAATATTATTGCTATGGTCTAATCTCATGGACTGGTTATAGGGATACTGTACTGCTATGGCCCAATCTTATGGACTTGGTTACAAGCTGCTGCTGCTGCTGCTGCTGCTGCTGCTGCACTCTACATGATTGTACACATAGAGGCAAAGGTAGAGCACATTTTTGTCACTGGACTCTCTCAGGCCTGCAGGCAATGAGCTGCGCATAGCCAGTAAAGCATGTTTCACTTACCTCCACCAATGCTGGCTGCGGTTCGCCGTCATCCTCGTTGTTTCTATCGACACAGAGTAGAGATGCCTGGCAGGAAGAGGGTGAGAGAGATTGTCCAACAAGCTAACAACCAGCCAACATTGTAAGTACACGTACAGTTGTACACCATAGTACTTATCAGCTTACCAACTTCAGCTCATGATGTGGGATAGCCATGAACTGATGCAAAGTAGATTATGATATCTGATGATCGTAGTGTGTGTGAAACTTCAAGTTACAGCTTACCGTTTCCTGTGCTTCTGCAAAATATTTTATTTAGAAGAATTCTACGGCGGCTATTGTAATTTTGATGTACGTTTTTAACCCATTCAGCGCTACTGGGCCTTGCCTATGGTACTCTGCATGTAAAATGCTAAAAACAGGGCCAATAGCAAGTTCTAAAACTCCAGGGTTCTGGCAACTGGGGTTCTCAAATATTTTGGAAATGATTGCCAAGACTATCAACTACAGGGTGACAGAATCGATACAGTCCCCAAAAAGAATAGCGCCTCACGATAGGGGACGCAAGTTTGCTCAAATTGCGTGAAATACGCCAAATGCGTGAAATTGCAGCTGAAAGATCGCTGAAAAGAGAAGAAAAAAAAGACGCGTAGTGTTTTCAAGCTGGATTCGTACCAACGACCTATCGTACAAGAGGCAGGATCAAAACAAATAAAACTAACAGTGCTTTTACACACCAGACAGTGCCAGAAATCACTATATATCTCATGACGTCTATAGACGTCATCCCGCGCATGGGGGGCATTTTCGATGACGTCTATAGACGTCATCAGCGTTCAATGGGTTAAAAGGTTATATATGGTAGCTGGATCTGCTGGCAATGCAGCCTGGCCGTTTGAAGCCTACCTGTTCAATGGAAGCGGTTACGACATCGATCAGCACCCAGCACTGGCGCGGCGCAATGTACAGTGCTTCGGCGTGCGGTGATTGCCTCGCCAGGACCTGCTTGAAGTAGTTGTATGTCCTGGAAGGCGGAGAGAAAGACGACATCGGTGCGGCACAGTGATGAACAGCCTTACATGTAGCCCAGCATGTAGGTCGATAGGGCATAGGTTGGGTGTGCCAAACCTCTCACGATACGAGTACAAATGCATGCACACCTACTCTACTCATGCACATGTACTATTTAAGAGAGAAAGGATCACTGGACACGAGAAGAAAGAATGGTATGTATCTACAATTTACGAGAAATTTCCACATGGAGCCCATGTGGTGTCAGTCATGTCATGTCCTCAACGTTGGCTGGAGCAATCAATTTCACTATTAGAGAGCTCGGCTATTGAGGTGATGAATGGTATAAAACATGTTAAAGGTTCTATTAGGTATCATTGGCAGCCCTTGGACACATTTATTTTGTGCAAAGAGCAGATGGCCACAGCCTACGGTAATATTCACTGCAGTGTGCACTATGCACTTACCGGGTACACAGACTAAGCAGCAGGTCGGCAATGGCACGCTGTGCTCTCTTCTCCAGATGCTCTGCAAACAGTGGCTCGGGCCAGGCCAAGCGCTGCACGAAGCGGTGCAGACCGCGCAGCTTAACAAACAGCTCTTCCGCACACTTTGCTGATGTTCTGTGCAATGTAACAGGGCAATCAGGAAGAGAGACTATTGTCAGCGTTTTTTTGTTTGTTTTTTCCTAAATCTGTATAACTCATAAGTAGCAACTAGAGCGCAGTGTGGAGAGGTGGTCGGTTCAGATTATAATCTGTAGAACGGTGTTTGTAGATCAGAAGTATAGTGAATTTGCATTTTGCTGTGGAAAGCAATTGTACGGGCGGACTCGTAAATGTAAGAAGAACACCATACTTGTACTCCGAGTGTAATTCATGTGCCCAGTGTGTACAGTGCACATTTGCTGTACAAATGAACAGGGCGACACACACGCACACACACACACACACACACACACACACACACACACACACACACACACACACACACACACACACACACACACACACACACACACACACACGCGCATATACTTGTACAGTTGCGCTCGGTGAAATCCGGCCCGAAGTGCATAACTGGCGCCCAGTACTGATGCGGCCCTTGACGCCCTCAAAGTTGTACAAGTGCTAGTGTGCACGTGTGCCGTATGAACTGTGCATGTGCTGTACTCAGATCATACGCATGCATGCTTACACCAAAGTGTAAAAACCGCGCCAAACAAAGACGTAACATTCATTTCAGTTCAGCACAAGTAAAGAAGATGGAGATCGTTTCGAAGCAGTTTATTTCATACACAGAGCAGCAATATTTTGTGTGGCCACCGTCTGCTTCGATTAGGGCTTCAACACGACGTGGCATTGACTCCACGTATGGGGAAACCGTGTCAGGAGCCAACGAGTCCCACTCCAGGTGCAGTGCCTGCACCAGCTGGTCAGCATTCTCGCAGCGATGTGGAATTATTCTCTTCTTGAGAAGAGCCCACGCATTGGGAATGGCCGTGTCCTTCTTCACTATCTCTTCTTGATCTTGAGCTGTACTTCGTGAAGTGAATGAAAGAAATTTTGAACTGCTTTTAGCATGCAACACGTGCACTCCGAACTTTTACACGAGGTGCGTACAGTTGAGTTCATACACACAAATCGCCAGTGATGTAATGGGAGCTGGCTTCGCGGCGCCGGCTTTGCACTTCGGGCCGGATTTCACCGAGCGCAACTGTAGAAGAGTGCACTGGAAATTCTTCGGTCAGGCACATGGCCAAAGCAACTGCTACATCATGCCGCAATATACGCAGCATAAACAAGACATCACATCCAATATACACTGATAATAGCGAGATGGTGTGATACGTACTGCTCTTGTCGCCACGTCTCACTTGCAATGCCCATTACCATCTCCTTCTCCAGTGCCACCGACATTAAGTCCAGGTAATTAGCCACCAGGGGCATGAACAGGCTAAGCAGATGCTTGTGAAACTTGCCATCGCGTAGTACAACTGCACCAGCACAAGCACGTGAGCAGCACAGGATATCCTGTTAGCACCCAATTAGCCGTGGCATGCATTCCCCATGTGGAGCTGTACATTGTTCGGTCACAGTGTAGTGTGCTAATGGCGTGCTCTCCGGAAACGAACCTCATCAGCCCACTCTTTAAAAGCTCAATTGATGAGAAGACATCTCCCTGATACACGGTGTACTGAGAAGGGCAGTGGAGCTTTCGAGCAGATTTGCAGAGTTGAGGGTCTGATGGGCTTTCAGAGATCAGCTGAAATGTGTGAAACTCTTTAAATGTTTAAAAGCTACATCTACGCATACACAGCCTTTCTCCTCCGTTGTACGTGTAATACCATTGGCTCTGTACTAGTGACTCACGGTGGCTGAGAAGGTAGCTGTTGATCTGCTCAAAAACCTGAAAAACTTTGCCATTCTCCATTGATGCTCCCTCGACAATAAGCTCCAAGTCCACATCGTAACACTGCCAAAACGACTCCTCGAAGGCATCAAGGGAACCTTCGTAATCGCTGAATGCCTGAATAGCAAACGCAGCAAGACATGCACACACTTGATCAGTTATCATTCAATGTGAAACGCATACATCAGATCTGGCACCAAGATGATGATGGAATACCCCCCCCCCCCCCCCCCACACACACACGTGTGCGCCTTTGGACCTTTGGAGGTCCACTGCTTTGTGCAATGATTGCATCAGAAGTTGCAGTATCCCCCCCCCCCCCACACACACACACATTGCTTTGAACGCGTCAGCAATGCTGCATAGTTACCATAGCTACCAGAATTAACATAGCTACCTTAGCATAATCCACCTGGCTCTGCCCCATCTGATCAATGCACTCCTCGGAGAGGCAAACGAGAAACTCTAGCGTGCTTGTATCTACTTCTTCAGGAAAGGCTTCTTCCTCCGGGCCCGCCACTGGGTAACAGAAAGAACAGAAGAACGACAAACACAAGCGAGCATCGGAGCGCGTTGTGATACAATGCACAAGGCTTTGATAAACCAGCACACATAGTACAACAAAAAAACATTTAGAAATCCGACCAGGCCATTCACACCATTCCTCTTCACAATCGGTAAAGCCGTGCTAGCCGCAAACTTTGTGAGCGAACAAGTCTCTTATCTTCGTGCACGGCTCTGTGGGCAGTCAGAGCCTGGGTAAACTCTGATAGGGACTCAACATTCCAGTGGTATGATGCGTGGCATGTGTTTGTTGCCACTTGTTGCATGTAGTGCAGTTTCCAGCCTACTGAGTCATGGTAGTGCACTAGTAACTCTGGTAAGTTGACCCTTCAGGGGACATCCGACATTAGAGAGGTCAAGATGCACGTTATTTCCGACATAACGCGCAATTTCACGTCAAATTTGGCGTAAAACTCCAAATTTCGATGTGAGCTGCAGATCACTCGCGTTGTTTTTCGACGCGCGAGCCTTAATAACGTGAGCTGAACTTTCACGTCACGTCAGAAATAACGTGCATCTTAACCTCTCTATTATCGATTATTTTCACGGCATGAAATACTTTAGTTCCAACCAGGCCCCGCCCACCCAACCCCTGAATGAAAAATATATATTGACTTGATAACAAAAATGGATCGATGGTAGCGTTATCAACATTTTTCAAAACAAAACTCCTCGACCCACCCACCCATAAACGAAACTTTCTCGTTTCGTGCAAAAGATCGATAATTACAGACAGCCCCTTACACATTTACCAGGAATTGAGCACCACAGCGGGATGTAACAGTCTTAATTCTCTCGACAAGGAGCATTAGTTGTCAAGACGAGTTTCATGCAAGCCTAGAATGTTATAACAGGCAGCCCCAGAGTGACCTCGTGAGCATAACCTTTCCACGTTCTCAGCGGCCCGACTTAAGTTTGCAATGATCAATCACACAACTGCAATGTAAAACTAGGCTTCGTACCTTATTCTATTATTGGCCTGGTGTGCAATGGTTAAACTAAAAGAACTGTGGCGTAATATGCAAGCTAGTTACTCTAGTTCAAAAAGAGAAGAAATGCAAAGCTTACTGCGTGCCTTCACATCCTCCACTACATCCGTGTAGCAGATGAGAGCGGCCTTGCGTAGGCAGTCGCACACCTCCGATGCCACCTTGGCCAAATCCGTGCTCAACGCATCGTTGCGACCATCTCGAGTGGAAACCTGAGCAATCATACAGGACACATAAGAGAACTGTCACTACCGTGACAGGGCCAGACACAGCTTCCGCGGAGCGGTGTGGCTGAAGGTCCAACTTAAAGGGGGGTCTGGGGGTCCTCCCCCATTTTTTCGGAATTTAGATGGAAAATCCTGCATTCTGGGCGACTCCCTGTACGAAATCATACATCGAAACTTTTTCTCCCCGGTTTTGGACGTTCCACGTGGACCGACTTTTTGGGAAGTTGGTACGGCCATGGCCGTACCGGCTGTACCAGTGGCGCCGGCCCTGCTACATGTACCTAATCGCTTGACAGCTAGCCATTTTTGACCCAGACCCGCAGTGACTGGCTGTACTGGAAATAAGGCCGGGGAAGTGAAACGTGAGTGTTGTCAAGACAACCCCACAGTTTCACAAAACCTTTCTCTAAGCAATGGATACCATTGTACAGCAGCTAAAGCAGAGCAGCCTGGCAATGGTAACGTTACATCCATTATAATTTATAAGCATGGAAATGTCTACAGTCAACTTAGCTAATAACAACTGCGGATATAACGACAATTCGCGAATAATGACAGAATTTCCATGCCCAGAGCAAAGTCCCATCCCACTGTAATACATATCATGAGACTTCGGGTATAACGACACTTCGCGAATAAGGACACTTTTCTGATGCCCCGCCGAGTGTTGTTATAAGCGAAGTTGACTATACACACTTCAGCATAATTATGCCTGCGAAGAATGATGACAAAATTCGATTGTGGAGACTGCACCACATCTCACACCAGGAGACACTGTTGATCACATTCTGGCTGATAACTATTGCTATTCCGGCATCATTCGTAGTCCTAACTGAACCCACTCAGATCCAAATTACAAGAAAATACTACTGGCGGCCTCTTTAGCATGCACAATGAAAGGATTCAGAGAGAACCGATAAGGAAACATGTACAAATGGCATGTACTTACCACGCGGGCGAACAACCGCAGTGTTGATTTCAAACCACTGTCGGGAAGGCAGAAAGGGAAGCTATGACTGCAGGTTTGAGCAAAGAATACAGGTACACACACACACACACACAAGCACACACACACACACACACACACACACACAAGCACACACATAAAATATGGACTTGCGATATTGTCCTGTAAAAAGTACATGTAAAATGCACCACGGTTGGCACTGGCTGAGTGCAGGCAAGAGGATTAACCCAAACCAAACCCCTCTGCAAACACATACATGAACATCTATTTCAAAGTTCTGATTCGAATGAGTATCAAAGACTCCATTCAAAGTATCATTCGCCAGTGGGTCTTCAAGCCAAGCAGATGCGTGCTGATCACACAAAAGTTCTGAGGTAGACATGCAGAGGGATTCAGTAATCAGTACTAATCACAGCGGACGATACCATCCGTTTCGCCGTACCTGAGGCGTGCAAGTTGAAAGCGCAGCAGGTCCTCCAGGTTCTCCAGTACTTCCAGGAAGTCCTCTCGTTCCTCCTTCGTCACACTGTTGTAATTATCCGGCCTGAGGGTAATTGAAAAGACAAGGACATGGATCTTTCGACCAGAGGCATTGAGGAAAATACGGACAGCCTAAAGGAGCATAGCTGCTAGGACTTGCAGCAAACACCTCTGCTCTCCTTCCCTCTCAAAGTGATTACCTGATTCTTCCTACAGAAACAATCATGTCCCAGTTGTACATGCTCTGCCTTGGTAAATCAACAACAGGCCATGATGATGCAAATGTGAATGATGTAATGTGGGCCAGAGGTGACACACAAGCGACCTCAATACAGCCAAGTCATGTACATGCATTGCATGTATTGTGAGGTTGTTGTTGTTGTGCTGTTGTGTGTATTTTAATCGCTGGGTGATTCAAACAGGAAAGCATGCCCAATAACAGGACTGCAAAGACGGTGAAAACCTACTTCTGTCCCTGGATATGTGCCTGGCAGAACGTGAAGCTGAACTGCATGAGACTGGCATCTATATAGGTCCCAGCGGACGCATGCTCCATCAATGTCCTGATCATGGCCAGGTGGGTGACAAAGCCTCGCAAGCAGTAGCGAGCCTGATACTCGTCCAGCACAAACTGCTGCCCTGGCGTTAGCCATCCCTGGTAAAGGTGGACACACACACACACACACACACACACACACACACACACACACACACACAGAGAGAGAGAGAGAGAGAGAGAGAGAGAGAGAGAGAGAGAGAGAGAGAGAGAGAGAGAGAGAGAGAGAGAGAGAGAGAGAGAGAGAGAGAGAGAGAGAGAGAGAGAGAGAGAGAGAGAGAGAGAGCAACTTGACGGCAAGAAAAATGATGCACGTTACGGCATGAAAGAGATGGAGAGGAAACAAACAGAAGGGCAAACAGAAAGGCAGATATAATATTATGTGTGTGTGTTGGGGGGGGGGGGGGGTGGGGATCATTATGAAGTGGAGTTTGGCGGTGCCGTCACATATTGCATGTGTTACCTACCATGGATGAAGCAGGGTCCTTCAAGCGCTGATCCAGCGTCTTGCCAAGTAGTGTTGCGTAGAGATGACCATGGTCATACCACGTGATGTCCCTGGTCAGAGCTTGTTCATCCAACTCCAACTCACGCAATGCACTGGCTATTGACGTGGACACACACACACACACACACACACACACACACACACACACACACACACACACACACACACACACACACACACACACACACACACACACACATACACACACACACATCTTTTCTGGACACACTGTACTATACTTTGACTCATCAATTCAGAACTCCTGCTCTCACACCAGCTAGTATTGGTAAGACGCAAGGTTGCATACAGAACGTCCACTATGTCATTCTCAAGTTTAATCCAATCACCCCGGCGTCACCTCAACTTAACTTAACTTAACTGAACTTCACTGAACACGTCAGTAACTTGTTCAGAAACACCACCCCTACACTACACACAGCTTTTACTGCACTGTAGAACACTTGCACTACATACACACAGTCAGTGCACTACATACACACAGTCAGTGCACTACATACACACAGTCAGTGCACTACATACACACAGTCAGTGCACTACATACACACAGTCAGTGCACTACATACACACAGTCAGTGCACTACATACACACAGTCAGTGCACTACATACACACAGTCAGTGCACTACATACACACAGTCAGTGCACTACATACACACAGTCAGTGCACTACATACACACAGTCAGTGCACTACATACACACAGTCAGTGCACTACATACACACAGTCAGTGCACTACATACACACAGTCAGTGCACTACATACACACAGTCAGTGCACTACATACACACAGTCAGTGCACTACATACACACAGTCAGTGCACTACATACACACAGTCAGTGCACTACATACACACAGTCAGTGCACTACATACACACAGTCAGTGCACTACATACACACAGTCAGTGCACTACATACACACAGTCAGTGCACTACATACACACAGTCAGTGCACTACATACACACAGTCAGTGCACTACATACACACAGTCAGTGCACTACATACACACAGTCAGTGCACTACATACACACAGTCAGTGCACTACATACACACAGTCAGTGCACTACATACACACAGTCAGTGCACTACATACACACAGTCAGTGCACTACATACACACAGTCAGTGCACTACATACACACAGTCAGTGCACTACATACACACAGTCAGTGCACTACATACACACAGTCAGTGCACTACATACACACAGTCAGTGCACTACATACACACAGTCAGTGCACTACATACACACAGTCAGTGCACTACATACACACAGTCAGTGCACTACATACACACAGTCAGTGCACTACATACACACAGTCAGTGCACTACATACACACAGTCAGTGCACTACATACACACAGTCAGTGCACTACATACACACAGTCAGTGCACTACATACACACAGTCAGTGCACTACATACACACAGTCAGTGCACTACATACACACAGTCAGTGCACTACATACACACAGTCAGTGCACTACATACACACAGTCAGTGCACTACATACACACAGTCAGTGCACTACATACACACAGTCAGTGCACTACATACACACAGTCAGTGCACTACATACACACAGTCAGTGCACTACATACACACAGTCAGTGCACTACATACACACAGTCAGTGCACTACATACACACAGTCAGTGCACTACATACACACAGTCAGTGCACTACACATAGCCGGAGCTAGGAATTGCAGATGGTGCTTACTTGTGGTCCTTGCCTGAGGCTTTGCAGCCGGTTTTGCGCCACCGCCCTGCGGAGCCTGCGGGCGCTGTGCCTGTCCGGTGGCACGCGCCAGATGATAGACCCACTGCTCCATCTGGTTCCGACTGGAGCTGCAGAAGATGACTGCGTTGTCGGAGATGAGCAGCTGGAACTGGAACTCTGTGTACCCCTCTTCTCCGACTGAGCACAGTGTTCAAGATACAAGAGAACAGGCAAGAACACAGCCATGCACACAGCACACCCACAGTTGAGCATACAGTACAGGGGCGTAGCAGCCGGTCCGGCCGGTCAGGCTTTGGCCGGACCACTTTTTCGCCCGACCACTTTTTCGCCCGACCACGACCAAAAGTGCCCAGAATGCAGGATTTTGCACCCTAATTTCAATTTTTTTTCCGGAGAGACCCCCCGAAGCCCCTCCGGCCGGACCACCTCCAATGGCAGTGCTACGCGCCTGCAGTAGCTGGTAGTAACATAGAGATGAATAATGCTCAATGCGCAGTCACTAGTAGACCCTCAACCAACGCCACAAAGGGACAATAAGGTTGAGCACACGTATATCGTTCCATAAATGAACGTTTTCTTGGGGCAATAACTTGCGGCAGCTGATAGGACAGGATATTCATCAGTATAGCTAGAAAGCAAGGGGGGGGGGGCAAGTTAGCTGAATATTCTCGTGCAGAGGTTATGCGAATGATTTCACGGGGATGAGTCAGCGGAATCGCTTATGGGTGCTGTGATGTATATGCATACTACGCTCGCGCTCCTGTCTTTGTGCTGCATGCTCGCGCACACATGTTGTGATGTCATGCGTACGCTATAATACTGATTGGATGCATGCATGCCCACCAGCTGTGATTTGAGCTGTTCTCAGTCTTCTTGTTGTTCTTGAGCTTGAGTCTCCACATTTAGTTTCGTCTCTACTCTTGTCATTCATATTCTAGGAAGTAGCAATAATAATTCAGAACCTATAACCAGTCTTTAGATTCATATCATGGCGCAGTGAACATTTTCTTACCGTGCTTTGGCTCACCCGGTTGTGATCCACCTAGACTCGTTGAATTTATTTGAACATTGTAGCAAGTTGAGTACTTCGTTTCTTTTCGTTCGTCATGAGTGATGCTGGAAGTACCCCGGTCGGTGCTGCCCAACCTGCCTTGAGCCCAGATGTACTGGCTCTCATGACCTTGATGCAGCAACAAATGAAAGCTGCTGATGATCGCGAGGCTCGCCTCACAACGTTACTCCAGAATCAGAACACTCAACCTTCGTCTACTGCCAAACAAATCTCTGTGGAGCGTCCGGTTTTGCTGTCATCTGCCACGCTTTCCGACCTCACCGCTTGGGAAGAAGCGTGGGACGACTACGCCCGATGCCAAAAACTGGCAAGCCAGGACACACAGACACAAGTTAGCGCTGTGCGACAAGCTCTTGACGAGGACCTCCGTAGGTACCTGAGGGAAGGTGTCATTCCTGTAGCTCTCAATGCTGACGTGACAGCAGTGATTGCAGCCATCAAAAAGTACATTCGTCGCCAACGGAATCCCCTGCTGGACCGCATCGATTTCTACAATAGGCGGCAACATAAAGGCGAGTCCTTCGACAGTTTTTTCACTTGTTTGAAAGAATTGTTTAGCGCCTGTGACTTTGTGGAACTACGTGTTTGTCGCACGTGCTCTGGGCGTATGTGTACTGACTGCCCCAAGATCCTAGTCACAGCTAACGAAGAGCTCCTTCGTGACCGGATCGTTGTCGGTGTCCTGGACGATGACACTCGGCACAAGTTGCTTTCTGAGCAGAACTTGACCCTTTCCAGCGCGGCCAAGATTTGTCGTGCGGAGGAAGCCGCCAAGCAGACCAATGATGGAATGCCGACTACCGGCTCCTTTAAGGCTGCCGTCGCGAAAAAGTCTTCTTACCAGAAGCAGAAGTCTCAGTTCAGTGACAGATCCGCAATAGCCCAGCCACCCAAGAAGTGTGTGAACTGTGGTCGCAGCGCTCACACAAAGTCTTCCTGTCCTGCTGCAGGCAAAACGTGTAATGGCTGTAAGGCGTCAGGCCATTTTGAAAAGATGTGCCCCAAGAAATCGCAGTCTGCGCACCGTAATGGCAAAATCGGCCAACTGAAGTTGCAGCAAGCATCGTCAGGCAACCAAGGGACCGTGACCGTCCATGCCACCCTGAATACGGAGACCACTGGTGCACCGATTGACTGGATCCCCGACACCGGTAGTGACGTGGATGCCATCGGTTTACAGCATTTGGAATTGCTTGGTGGATTCCCCGAAAATCTCGCCACCGATTATGATGTAGTGACTGGTGTGAATGGTCAACGTCTTGAGTCTGCCGGCCAGATTCACTCCTCTCTCGCCATTGGAGCTAAGTCGTACGACACGACGATCCATGTCTACCCTGATCTGTCTGATGCTCTGTTGTCTCGGACTTCTTTGCTTGCGCTTGGTCTGCTTCCAGCCAACTGGCCTTCCATTTCCCGTGTGGAAATTCAACCAGCGCAAGACCGTACTGCTGACGAGATCCGTACTGAACTGCTGCAAGAATTCGCAGACGTGTTCGATGATGGCCGTTTGAAACCCATGTCTGGCTCACCAATGGATATTGAGCTCCAAGCCGATGCTAAGCCAGCTTGCACGCATCATGCGCGGCCAGTCCCCTTTGCCTTCCGTGACCAGATCAAGGACCAGCTGGACGGGATGGTGAAGGATGACATTATCGAACCAGTTTCCACATCGAGCGAATGGTGTCACCCGATTGTGATTGTCGACAAAAAGGGCACGTCTGAGAAGCGATTGACTGTCGACTTCAAGAAGTTGAATGACCAGATTCAACGCCCTGCTCATCCGATGCAACCACCACGAGACGTCGTTTCCAGCATCAGCGGTCGTTACTTCACGAAGCTCGATGCACGTCATGGATATTGGCAAGTCCCGTTATGTGAATCTGCGCGCCCACTCACCACGTTTATCACGCCGTGGGGCCGTTTCCGCTATTTGCGCAACCCACAAGGCTTGATATCTGCCGGTGACGAGTACAACCGCCGTACTGACGCAGCATTCGACGGCATCACGAACTTCAAGAAAGTCGTGGACGACTGCCTTGTGTATGACGATGACCTAAGTGACCACGTCGCACGCGTCCGCCGAGTACTGACATGTGCACGGGACAATGGCATCACACTCAGTGCGAAGAAGTTCGTATTTGCTGCTACCCAGATTGAGTTCTGCGGGTATCGCTTGAACGCCGACGGCTGGACTGTCGATGAAGCGAAGACGTCAGCCATTCGTGACTTCTCCACGCCCAGTAACCGGACCGACCTCCGCTCGTTTTTGGGCCTGATGAATCAGTGTGCAGAGTTCACCCCGTGTTTGGCTGAGCTGAGTGCCCCGTTACGCGGTCTGCTGAAGCCTTCTACTGAGTTCCTATGGCATCACGACCACACTGCTGCTTTCAACGCCATCAAGGATGAGCTGGTATCCTTGGCGACCCTGTCTTATTTCCAAGTAGGATCCGAACTCCGCCTGGAAACGGACGCATCCAAACTGAAAGGTCTAGGCTTCGTCTTGTGGCAGAAACAAGACACCGGATGGCGCATCATCCAGTGTGGCAGTCGGTATCTCAGTGACACAGAGTCCCGCTACGCAGTGATCGAGCTCGAACTCCTGGCCATCGTCTGGGCTGTCAAGAAGTGCAAGCTGTTCTTGTCCGGCACCCAGTTTCGTGTCATCACTGATCACCGCTCATTGGTGCCCATTATCAATGCATACTCGCTTGATCAAATTGAGAACCCACGTTTGCTCAGAATGATGCTCAAGCTCCAGTCGTTCCAACTCTGTGCTGAGTGGCGGAAAGGTGCTGACAACGCCTTTGCCGATGCATTGTCTCGGAACCCAGTTGACCTCCCTTCCCCGACGGACCAGTATGGTGAAGCCCCCGCATTGGCTAACCTCGGCATCCGTGCCTGTCTCCGTCGTGATGAAGATGGGCTGATCACTGACCTCCGGTTCCAAGCCGTCCATGATGCTGCTGCCGCTGACTCTGACTATCAGCTACTGCTCCAGCACGTGCAAGATGGATTCCCCAATGATCAGCGTGATTTGCCTGATGCTCTGCGTTCATTCTGGAACGGACGAGAGCACCTATCAGTGGCCAACGGTATTGTCTTGAAAGGTCAACGGATCGTTGTGCCCGTGTCCCTCCGTCAACATGTTCTCCAAGATCTCCACGCCTCCCACCAGGGTATTGTACGTACCAAGGCTAGAGCACGTCAGGTGGTGTATTGGCCCAAGTTGAGCCAAGATCTGGAGACACTGATCCGCGCATGCCCTACGTGTCGGGAACGCCAAGCATCGCTCCCGAGGGAACCGCTGCTCAACGATCGTCACCCTACTCTGCCATTTGAGCACACCAGCGCAGATCTATTCACTTGCCAAGGCCGTGAATTTCTCGTCTATGTAGATCGCTTATCCGGATGGCCATGCCGCTGATCAACCTGCTCCTGTAGCTCCACGTCGCAGCACTCGCAACCGCCGTGCTACTGACCGTTTGGACATTTCTTCCACAAAAGGACAGTCATATGTTTGATTTCTGTCGTATTTCTACTGCTTTCCGTGTTCTTGCAGTCACATATTTCTTTATTTGATTTCTCTTGTTAGATCATACTGTTCTCGTTATCCAGTATAATCTCGAAGGGGCGTGTGATGTATATGCATACTACGCTCGCGCTCCTGTCTTTGTGCTGCATGCTCGCGCACACATGTTGTGATGTCATGCGTACGCTATAATACTGATTGGATGCATGCATGCCCACCAGCTGTGATTTGAGCTGTTCTCAGTCTTCTTGTTGTTCTTGAGCTTGAGTCTCCACATTTAGTTTCGTCTCTACTCTTGTCATTCATATTCTAGGAAGTAGCAATAATAATTCAGAACCTATAACCAGTCTTTAGATTCATATCAGGTGCCAAGTATACAGTGGAGCCGCTTATGGGCGCTATGTATACAGCGCGAGTCGCTAGTGCAGCGCCGTACCACGACTTTGCCAAAGCAACTCGACTGATGATGTGATCACATAGCCTCTATATGTGTTTTGTCAGTCTATGTTGTTCTCCACATGTTTTTCAGTTGGGCTGTGTATATGATTTTTTTTGAAGTGACCGCCATACCTCCACGCCGAGCGTCCTCTCCACAGTAGTCCACCGTGCATCCGGTCATGGTCATCACTTCCGCCGGGGTCTGTTGCTTGTCACGGAATGTGCACAGGGCAAACGCGTACGTTGTCATCTGTCACAGGGAAGTAGAATATGCACACCGCAGTGGCAACATGCCTCAGTACTTGCGCTATGCCTCGAAGCAGCGTATTTTGTAAATTATCTGACCACGTGCATTGGCGTTACACAAATTTCTGTGAACTCACAGGAATAGCATGGCGAGCTTTTAAGAGTCAATGATGGTCTATGGAACCGGTCAGCCTCTTGTAGTGCTCGTAACGTTGACCAATGTTGTTCCTTGAAGCACATCTCACCGGCTCTCACATGCCTGTACAGTATTGTGGCACTGGGCACATTAGAGATACTGAGTAGGAGTCGTCAGAGTAACATACGAGACTGTGTAGAAACCATCAAAACTAGGGCATACCATTCAATGCAGAGTGCGATGAAATGCCAGAGCCTTATTAAACTACAGTCAGACCTCGCTTAACTGCACATGTCCGTTTTCCACAAAAATATCCGGATAGGCGAGGGAATCGGATAATCGGACACACATACTGTATGTATGCATAACATGTGCTGTAACTCGGTAACCAGCGATTTTCTTGCGGATGGCGAGGGATCCGGATAAAAGAGGACCGGATAAGCGAGGTCTGACTGTACCCTGCCCTACTAGTACACTAGTACCTGAACTAGAACAAAATAGTGTTTCTTCCACTTCTTCCAGGGGTCCTTGCCGATACAGTACAGCCATCCGCTGATCTTGACGTTGTCGGCTTTGTCGATGGACACGCACGCCTGCACCTCCACATGGTGGTTCTTGTCCGGTAGAGATACCGTGGGCGTCATCTTGTACCAGCGATCTCCGTCAGACTGGCAGAGCGTCGGCTGGAGTGAAAGCTGCAGGTCGAGGGCAGTACGGTAGGGAGGAAAAAAGATGGTAGCGTTACTCACTGAGCCGCTGCGTATTAGACTGTTGTCCTACAATGACCTGAGTACTTGTACCTCCAAACATATTTTTTTTTACAAAAAATATACATATCGAATGCTACAAAGCTTACAATACAAGCATGACTACACATAATTTACTTTGGACTGCTTGTACCTAATGCATACCTATGCTATAACGCCTATAATCCAGCCTACTGTACATGTGACTCCAGTCGACAGCGGGGTCTGTGAGGTTAACTTGGCGGCACGTAATTACACTCTCGTACCTTCGCAATTTGCTTGCCGTCCGCATCCAGGATTCCCTTGCTGTCAGCCATGAGCTTGATTCGCACCAGTGGCAATGGCGTAGAGGTCGGGAACGTTGCAAATGTGTCCCAGCTGCACGAGGCCGCGGAAATTTGGCGTGACAGTGATGCGTCAATGACAAGAACATGTGAATGACCAATGCACAGAGACTAAGTTCATTCGTTTTATTCTACAGACTGCTATGGATATAGGAGTTTAGAGCGTCACAGTGATGTTGAACCATCCTCATCACTACATTCTTGTCACATCGCCGTCATCTCAGTAAACGACGCCATGATTAAACTAAGTAACCACAAGACACCTGTCCAGTGGAAAATAAGCAGTTAATTTGAGGCCAGCATCCGGCCAGGCACGAGAAATGAGTTATTAACTTATTACTCAGTCCGTCAGAACCGTTTTTCCGAAGTATAAGCTGCACTTTTAACACCCGAAATTCACCCAAACAAGGGGTGCGGCTTATACTCCGATGATCAAATTAACAATGATAAAATAGGATAGATGTCTATATGAAGTAGTGGTTGCGACTTCGGCGATGATTTGTAAGAAAGGGTGCTCGTGTGCTCTGGATGGCAGTCGTGAGTCAGTCAAGTGTCAAGTAAAGTCGGCGGAATAGCGCGAGCTCGGGTGTGGGGAGCAAACCCTTTCTTACAGATGTCTATATTTCGTGGCAAAAAATGGGGGGAGTGTGGCTTATACCAGTACTCCTGAAAATACAGTAGATTGTCACAGTATAATTTATACAATTATAGCCACTAGTGCTTGCACTGAGAAAAAATGTCGGTTCTCGGGGTGACTGAATCAACGGTTGTCGTTGTCAAGGGTAACAGTATCTAGGGCAGGAACATGCTGTGCCCTTTCATCAGTTCTGCACTGTGCTTACATGGGTCTGCTGGCTGGGTACTGTGCTGTTGCCATCCTAGACTGGTGACCATCCATCTGTAGTGCAGCATAAGGCACATGATACAAACACAGACATACACACACGCACGCACATAAACATGTACACACATACACACCCATATACATCCATTCGTCGTGGCAGATGATGTCGGAGAGGGGAAAGATCGTATACCTCTAACAACAACGCAGTGTGGAGCGCATGCAGGCATTTGCATTATCTAGTTGTCGACATTACTGACCTCCATGAGACAGAAGACTGGCTTGTCAGGTGGCAGGAACTCTACTCCACGAGCTTGTCTTACTGTTAGCTGTGAATCACACAGGGGGAGAAACCACAGCAACCAACAACATCTAAGTGCAGGTGTAGACAGCAGAGATAACAAATTATCCACAACAGAGTTCACCGACTGCGGCTCATAGGCACCTGATCAGAAAGCCTCGCGGCGAAGTGGGGTTTACCCTCACTGGACACTGATACTGCAAAGAAAACCATTTCATCCAGCAACCACTCCATGACAGTGCATCACCACATTTTTTTGTACTGATCATATGACCTCGCACAGGCACTGGCCTAACACACTTGAGTACTGCAATCTAAGCAGAGAGGAATGCACTAGTAGTACATTTTGGTCTGCGATACAAAATAAAATGTCAACAACAACAACATACTCTGATAAGACATAACCATGCTAAGTACTGTAGCATTGTCCGAGCTGCAGAGGCGTAGTCATCCATACTCTAAACGTACTCAATCTGCGGACAGAACTGTTTCGTCCTTTGTGGACTCATCAGTGCAGCACAGAGAAACTTTGATGAGGCCGAACCTGATAGCAATGAAACTACTCTAAAAGTCTGTTTGAACAAGAAGCACCTCATACACAACATGCATTCAGTTCATGCTGTCCGGCATGCAAGCATCTCTAATCAGTGTTACACAGAAAGTTTGATTTGTGGACACATGTATCTAGTTAATCATTAACTAGTGTGTGTTGCTCCCTACGTGGGAGCTTGCGCTATTCCTGCCGACTTGAATTCTCACTTGACTGACTCCCACGTATCGCCGCACTGTCACACCAACCTCTTCTTCACAATGTACCTAGATCGTTGTGACTTACTGAAACAGAAGTTGAGATTGAAATATCACTCTTGTTGACAGTGCCCGGGTCGTTCGCATCGTCGGCGAGCGGCTTAGGCCGCTTTCCAGCTTCTGGCTTTTTGCTGATGGGCATCTGGTTGAGAGTGCTGCTGAGCTTGGTGATGTGGCTATGCTGTTCAGCCAGGTACTCCTGCGCCATGTTGGGTTCCGTGGACACTAGCAGTAGACCGATCTCTTTCTGTAGCGGATCAGAGAATACGTAGTGGTGTCACGGCATGCACGTCACAGGTCTGCTCGATTTCCACAAGAGATTGTATCGGGACCTGTCTGGCACCACATACTTCGGAAGTATGTGACATAGTACTGCTTCCTTCAAACACTGTATTTGAATCAGTACTGGTACAGGTTACTGAAGTACTGGCAATACAGGACGGGGAATGCAGGACGGGCAATACGGCATGGGCAATACAGGATGGGCAATGCAGGACGGGCAATACAGGACAAGGAATATAGGACAGGCAATACAGGATGGGCAATACAGGATGGGGAATACAGGACGGGCAATGCAGGGCGGGCAATACAGGACGGGCAATGCAGGACGGGCAATATGGGAGGAGCAATACTGGACGGGCAATACAAATAGCCCCCCCCCCCCCTCCCTCCTGACACACACACCCTGGACACTGAGACCGTAGTACTTCAAAAGTACATGTACTCGGTATTATGTCTTGGCCACTGCACATTGTATTCAAGGCTAGGTTGTTGCGACTCATGAATTTAATGCACATAGTGCAATCATGAGGCAGCATGGTGGATAATAGTGTTGGTGATGCCAGTCACATGCACAAAGGAAACGAGGACGGTGCTGACAGTGACAGTGTTGAGGTCAATCAGGATTACGTGTAGATATTGAATTATTTGCATTATCCTGAATCAGCTCTGGTGCCCAATGTTGATCATCACGGGTCAAGGGTCAGTGATGCACATTGGGGAACAAGTCAACCTGTCTGTATCAGTAGGAATGATTGTAATCGGGTAACATAGAATGTACACAAAGAAAAACATCAATGCCCCACCATGTCACACTGCGCTAGGAACGTCAAACGGTGACGCAGCTCTCGGCGAATGACAGTGGCCTGCTCGTCTGCATTGTCAAGCTGCCATCCAAGCGGGCACGCACACACACACACACACACACACACACACACGCGTGTACACGCGCACACGCACACACACACACACACACACACACACACACACACATCCGTATATCCATGAGAAAAAAGTCCAGGGAGTAAGATTGGAAATCAATACATTGCATAACCCAGGGCATACACAGTACAGAAGAGGAGAAAGGCTAGTGTTTGGCAACACTGGATTTCAGGCTCGGTATAATCATCAGCCAACCGTTTGGGATCCTGCTAGCCATGATCGTATACATACATGTAGACATGGAAAAGCTAGCCGGGAATGCTGATGTGTCAGTGGTCCTGGGTGTGATGCTATGCTTCGGGTGTTGGGCTCATATTGTCTGCTGAGCTTGAGCAAGGTGGAAAATTTGTGAACGTGTATGTGAGACTGTGGCAGTTTTAAGTTTTAACGCAAACAGTCCCACATGCAAAGAACTTTCCTAGGGAGATTCCATTGTGGTGTGTTTAAAAGCAGGGCGTGTCACTTGCTGATGGCAACCAAACAGTACATAACCCCACCATACTAAGCCATGGAGGCACTGGATACAGATAGCACAGGCAGTTGTATGTTCCTGAGGTGTGGACACTTTAAAAATGCTACATTATCTACATGAGCTATCGCTGCATTTTTCATAGGCACAAGCATTGAACTGCGTTCAGTCTGCTGCTGATGCCAGATATGGTGCACAACTTTGTTCTATTGTCATACGTGCAAATGTATTGGTGCGGTCAAGGGTACATAAACCAGAGTGTGCAACTGTGCATATCAGATCTGAAACAGCGCAGTTCGGGCACTACATCACCCTGATGAGGTCAGCCAAGCCGCGACTTGCGTACAGCTCAAATTTTCGTGTTTCATAGCCCGGAAATCAGCCAAGTTTGCTTGATTTTACACGTCCTGTTTCAGGATTTCGGTGTTTTGTGTGACTGTGTACGTCCACCGACAAGTAAAATCACCAGGCTATCCGTATCAAATAACTGAAATCAGGACAAACTCAGTGACCTGCACCACCGCGACTGGTTACGCAACTTTTCACCGTACCTGTGGCTTAACATGCCATCAGAAATGCCGTACTGCACGAATTACGCTCCCACACAAACCATCCCGAGTTGCACACTCTGGTTTATGTACTCTTTGTGCGGTATATAGACTTGAAATTGGTGGATATGTTTGCATGGTCACACGTCCATGGCAGGCGTTCATACCCCCCCCCCCCCCCCCTCGTTCATGGCCGGCCGGGGTCATATACCCCCCCCCGTTCAATGCAATGTCTCTGGACGCATGCACTTGGGCATGCGCGCGCGCACACACACACACAGACACACACCCACACACACACCCACCCACGCACACACACACAGACACACACACACGCACACACACACGCATACATTTCTTGTTGCTAATACCTGAAGTTCTTTAGACAGAAGGTGGTGTTCACGTTGTGGTATGCCCAGGATTAGCTGAAACACTTTGTACAGATGGTCAGGGGCAACTGAATCATCCACACTCTGGCGCTCACGCAATATGGCCAGCGAATCTCGCCGCGCAGTCTCCATATCAAGATTACCGCGGCAAATCGCCTCGTACTTTGACATCCAGATAGCAAGTACGTGGTCGTGCTTGACGCGTTCCATCAAGGGCAGGTTCTTCAGAAACTTCTCTACGTAGTTCTGGAAGACTTTGCGCAGGTCGGCAAACGTGCACCCGCCACTGCGTACCAAGCTCAGCAAGCGCTTGCTCACTAGAAAGTTGTCGTAGTAGCAGAGGATTGCTTTGTCAAACGCTTCGTCCGACACGATCATGGGCATGTCGCCTCTGAGGAAGCCCTCGAACTGCACACAGTACTGCACCAGATCGGTTTCGGTCAGTTTAAGGTGTCGCGTGCGGCTCATGCTATTCCTTGCCTGTGCTGTGAATGGAAACGCAATGCAGCGGGCCACCAGTACGTATAGCTCCAAGATCTGGCCATGGCCAGCCTCCGCATCCATCATGCTCGGCCGCCTGGATGACGCAACGGCACCAGCACCACCGAGCGTGGCCGACGAGTCGCCAGCGCACAGTAACGACGTGCCGCCTGGGCGCGGTAACGTGACGTCGCGTTCCAGCGTACCGGGACGACTTGCGCTGGAGTTCTGCTGCTGTTGCTGCTGCTCATATCCAGCCAAGACCTTATCCAAATCATCCTCCCCAGAGTCGGACTGTTCCGTGTCGCTGCCATCTTGGGAGCTACTGTCTGAATCGGAATCGCCACGAATCATTTCCCAACGTCTGCACGTTTAGTTGTAACTGGCCTACTCCACGACAAACTTTCACCTCGGCGTTAGTAAAAAAAAACCAGCACTGAATTACGGTTCTTGGGTTACCTGGTTACTGCGGGCCCATGCAGCGATATTACAAGCGTCGCCACATCGGAACGGTACTAGCCGCGAACAACACTCCGCGATCGAACTGGACGGCGACCCTAGGCTCGGAGGCCCTTTCTGTTATCTTGCACAAACACTTCCTCTTGCAATTATCTCCTTGCAAATGATTGTATCCCTATCTAGCTAGCTAGGCTCTGGCCCACTTCAACATGACTTCATGTGACTTGTCGCGATACAAGGAATCGGCATCGCTGATACCGATCCGGACACCGAGCTCAGCCTCAGGGAGTCAGGCATGATGAGTTTTGTAGTTTTGTACAGAGCTAGAGTGTAGTCAGCTGACATGACTGGTAGACTAGTACTAGTACAGACTACAGTCGTGTGTTTTGTTTTGTTTTACTTTTCAGGCCCGGCGGAAGCAATTATTGTTGATTGGTAAGGGGTGGGCATGGGGGTCCGGCCTAGTTTTTCGCCAGCACAGCACTTGCGCACGTGTGACACAACACAACGACCTAAGTACAGTCCTTACGACAAGTAAGTTACGTCTCTTTGCTCATCTTGCAAAAGTTTTGCAAGTATTTATTACTATTACTGTATTAGTACAATCATGGGTTTTGCTGTAACTCCCCAGTGATGTTACTTAGGGTTCCCTGACCAGGTACTGTAACAAGACGGCAACGTCTGTAGGGCCTTCCCTATCAAAATAATAAATTCTACTACACATGTACTGCTATTGTACAAGTCATGTACATTACACAACAAGGCGGAGACTAACTAACTTGCTCGTACTCGTACTACGGGCTCGTACATGTAGATCTACGAGTCGGGCTCGTAGGGCTCGTGCTTTGTGAAAGCTACATGTAGATGACGTTTGTGTGACGTTTGTGTGACGTTTCTCTGTCGCATAGCAACTAGCAAGCATTTTTGCCTAGAAACGCCCAGCAACAGAACACGTGGTCACGACCGAAGAGCGCGAGTCCAGCTGATCTGACTGGTTCTCGACCTCCGCTGAAGCTCGCTCGCCCTCGTTGAACAAGGGTCCTATCCGTTCTCAATTTTGTGTTGTTTCTGCACGTACTTCTGCACTTGTTTTCTCTTTGGGGTTTTTCATTGCTTGTTTTCCTACCTCTTGGGTGCTTCGGACGCTGGTGAAGATCCTTGCAATCGGATATAATTATTGCAGTTCTTTGGCGGTAGGTGGATATTGAAGTTTTCTGTCCCGCAGCTCGCCTGTAGCTGTAAATGCAGTGGCCTTGTTTCATTCATTCTCCGTGATTGGTCACTGCATTGTTTTGTTCGTGTGCGCTGAAAACCTCGCCCCTGCACTGGCAGAATATTCTTTGGACTAAGAAGAAGGAGTTATGCCTGTTCGTGAAGATACTCGCCCACGCGCGGTCTCGCCGAGCACCCGCGGTGTAAATGGAAAACAGGTACAGTAGACGTAGTGCCACGCGTTGAGCCTTGAACGACTTACGTAACTGACGTTTTGCTGAGCAGTCATTTTTAGTCTAAAATCTTTCTGCATCAGAGCGATTCATACTTACTTACTTACTTGTAGCTTTGGCATTGTTCTCTCTGATTGTAGGCTACTGAAGAGCAAAAGAGAATGGCTGAGTTAATTGCGAACGAAGCAGTTCCCGACTTGCTGGAACGGGCTCGCCGAGTTATGGAAGTTACGAATTGCAGTGAAGATGTCGCATTGTTGGCTCTTCATGAGTTCCATTTCGACGCTGAACTTGCCGTGGACAATGTTTTGTCTACTCCGAAGGTTAGAAACAGCCTCGCACTGATACTATGTAAATTGTATGAACTGTAGATCATTGCTGTTGCTCGTGCTTCCTGAGGAAGTGCCAAACAGAGATTCTTATCAAGTTGATTGTTTATTCAAAAAAATACTCCCGATTTTTGCCCAAATTTTGCTTGAGCTTTTCTTTCAACTAGATTAGCTATAATCGCAAGTACGCTTATTAATTTTAATGATGGACATCAAAGGTGTGTTCGTGTGAGACTCCCTCAGACACTCTCGGCAAGCAAGTCTGAAAGCTAGATTTGAAATGGAGCGTATGAATTTTTGCAAGGAGCTCATCGTGACGTCAGGACAGTGAGTGCAATTCAATGTGTGCTCACAAGCTGCAGTGCCAGCAGGATTATGAGACACTTACTGAGTATAGTTGGTTGGGATCGTGAGCCGAGAGAATTTATTCCTGGACAGCTCTCACCAAGAGAGAGAGTCTTATTGTCCTTGGACCACTGGAGCAGACTGTTGATCAGCTTTGCACCGAAGAACACTTCTTTGGAATGCACACATCAACTGCAGAGGCTAGGGTCTGTCTGTGCATCATTGCTGCAGTTAATGAACATCGCTGCGTGAATGTTGTCAGCAGTGACGTTCCATTTGGGAACTGTCTAGCAGAGGCACCAAGGAGATTGATCTGCCACTTCTCGGTCACACCATCTACTGTACACTAACGTCGTTGTTGCGACGTGGGTGGTTGTGTCGGCGAGAACACGCCTGAGCAGCCCGGTCAGCGTCTTCCCAATAGTGCTGAGAGCTCGACATGCTGCGAGGTACAGCGTACTCTGGAACGCCAATATCTGCGCACGCAACATGCAGCTGATCAGGAGTGCCGGACACATTGAAGAGGTTGACTATGTGAGGCCTGCAGGAAGGAAACTCAGAGCTGCTGAGCATGGCTGCTTGAGATACTCGCTGCAGTGTGAATAAAGCGTTTTGCAAGCCGTACGAACAAGTCACGATGGTCCGGGTTCCGTGGAGTTCAGTTTGCCCTCCCCCCCCCCCCCTCCCCCTACCAGCACCCCAACGATGCGACCGCTAAGACGGACTCTTCTCTCCTGTGTAGAGCGGCCTATGCTTGGTTGGCCAATGCGGCAATGTTTGACGAGAACAAAATCTCCATTGCGAACTTTTCATCTTCATTCAGGTGGTCCCCGCATTCTACGACGTGTTGCCAAAGCTCTGTTGTGTACTGCTGTACATCTCTGCTGTACACAACTCATTGTGCTCATTCAGTTCCGTATATGTACTTGTGTAAACGCTCTGAAATGTTGACTGGGAAGAGCCTGAACCTTGTTATTTTCTTGAATGTGATCAGCACCTGTTGTTTCAATTATTCAGCCGTAGTCCCTTCTGCACGTTGCACAACTTGTTTGTCTGCATAGTGTTATCATGTTGCTACGTGTGTATTGTGCTTTTGTGTGTAGGACGAGTGGGAATGGACTACAACAGCGAAAAACAAGAAAACACCAAAGAGTGAAAGCAGCAGCTCATCTGGGCGTCGTGGTGGTGGAATGTCAGCTAGTCACAGTGGCAACACAAGGAGCGGATACCGCTGTGAGTGATAGCACTAAAGGCAGCATGTTCATTGCAAGTAGTGGTGAAATGGTTCTCATGTTTCCAGAGTATCTCTAGCTATAATGCCCATTTTGGCAAAGTACAGATGAGTCACTGTGTGTGTGTGTGTGTGTGTGTGTGTGTGTGTGTGTGTGTGTGTGTGTGTGTGTGTGTGTGTGTGTGTGTGTGTGTGTGTGTGTGTGTGTGTGTGTGTGTGTGTGTGTGTGTGTGTGTGTGTGTGTGTGTGTGTGTGTGTGTGTGTGTGTGTGTGTGTGTGTGTGTGTGTGTGTGTGTGTGTGTGTGTGTGTGTGTGTGTGTGTGTGTGTGTGTGTGTGTGTGTGTGTGTGTGTGTGTGTGTGTGTGTGTGTGTGTGTGTGTGTGTGTGTGTGTGTGTGTGTGTGTGTGTGTGTGTGTGTGTGTGTGTGTGTGTGTGTGTGTGTGTGTGTGTGTGTGTGTGTGTGTGTGTGTGTGTGTGTGTGTGTGTGTGTGTGTGTGTGTGTGTGTGTGTGTGTGTGTGTGTGTGTGTGTGTGTGTGTGTGTGTGTGTGTGTGTGTGTGTGTGTGTGTGTGTGTGTGTGTGTGTGTGTGTGTGTGTGAGGTGTCTGCCCGCATGCGTGTGTGTCTGTGTGTTGATGTCCTTGGAGGTGGATGGGATCAAGATAGATGAAACGGACCCATGAGTAGGGATCTCAGCGCGTGAACTGCGCAGCCAGTCTGCGCAGGTGAGATTTTCGATCCCAAACGCGTCCAGTGCAGAAATCGTGGAAAAGAACATTTTTTCGAAATAAATCAAGTTGAAGAAGACAGTAGAAATGGCTGAATATTGCGTCCAGTAAAGCACTTTCTACGGCCATCTCCAAGCTACCTATCTCCCAGACACTCTCTCAGAGGAACTATGGAGGGTCAAAGAGCACAATCTTTCACTCTTGGACGCAGCGTGAACACCTCTTCTACTGAGCGCGATGTCTTCTCTCTGAGTGATAATGGCGGCGATGTTCGCGATGGCTGATGCACTGAAAATCGAAGTTAGGACAATCTAACCGGAGAAAACGTCTGAATTTGTGACTGAATCCTCTCTGAAGTGGGTTCTTGCCGCATGGCAAATTATAGGAAAATCGACCGGGGCGATATCGCCTTGGCCACGCTGTCCTTCGGCGGGAATTACAAAGTATGTTCGAACATGCGACGAACAACGATGAAGATGACGATTCCGCTAGTGTCCACCGCGTCCGCTAGTGTCGAAAATCGACCGTCGCCATTTTCTGCTGTGTCCGCGAGCTGCACTCAAAACTCGATGACGCAATGTATGCGCAAGCACCCTGCGCACTGCACGCGCTGAGATCCCTACCATGAGTAAAGACTGTACTTGACCTTAACAACTGCGCTGTGCTTTGATTTTGTTTTCCTATCATCTTTTCACCTAGCTGTCTCCCTGCTATCTCTTCTCTCATCTGAGCCGTTTAGCGTAAGGGAAGCTGTAGGCTCGCTTCAACACGAACGTACAATTTTTTTTAGTTAAAAACTTATCTATCTTTTCTGTCTCTGTGTCTCTCTTTTCTATTTTTTCTCTCAGCACGAAATGAAAATACAAGTACTGATGCTACTAGCTCTGAGGGCAGGCAACAGCAACAGCAACAGCAGCAGCCTTGGCGCCCCGGCCGCAATAATGGTGACCGTACAGAGAACAACTCTAAACCAAGTCGCAATGGCAGCGACTTCCGCCAGCGCTCTGATTCGTCCAGAGGCCAGGGCTCCAGCCGGGGCCGTGGCGGCAGCTTTAATAGTCGCGGTGGCATGACCAGATCGTCATCAGGGGGACGGCCGGTCAATGGGCAGTCGACAACAGTGTAAGATGCGATTGGTGGGAAGAATGAGTGTGTGCACACTTGCGCCTGCATGTGTGTTTGCTGGGTGGTGTTTACTACGAAAAGAACAATATGTCCTATAGGGCTCCGAAATGTGACGTCAGGTCGTTGACAACTGGGTAACAACTGGGTACAAACAATGATAGCCTCCCCCAGCAGTGAAGATTTAAAAAATTCCAATGTGCTTGTATGGAATAAACTAGGTACTCGCACAAAGTATCCAAATATCTCTTCTCCTTTGGGGAGCTTCATCCTCCTGTTTTGTAATCTCTGATTTGTGTGTTCTCTCCAGCCATGTCTGATCTTGCAATGGGCCCTATGTTATGTTGCTGGCCGATGACTACAGTTATGAACGTTATCTGATGACTTGCTCCTTCACTTCCTTGCTCTTCTTCCTGCAGACCTAAAAAATCAGAAACTCGTGAAAGCGAAGCAGTTGAAAAGGAGGCCCCGTGCGTGTCAGAAATCAAATTAGAGGAATTGGCAAAGTAAGTGCTCCCCTGTCACTTTGAGCTCGTGTTGGACTGCATGCTCCCGCATGTTATGGGTTGTCCATGGTCATCATAGCTTGGCAAGGCCAGGCTATAACCGATTTATTTTATTCTATTTATTTATTCCAATCGCATAGCATATGCGAGCAACACTATTATGGGGAGCAACCCCAGAGATGAAGGCGATACCGAGCCATGGCAAAATTACTAAAAGAAAAATGAACAGGGTGCAGAGCAGAGTTCAGCTACGAAGTGAGATAATTGGTTATTACCGTAATGTCGCGTATAAAAGCAGGTGCTTACGGCCGTATAAGCCAATGTCACTGCTAGGCTTCTATTCAAACCACGTATCTCTAAACCAGCCTTATGTGCTGACAGTGTGTCTTAAAAATCAGGCTTGCATTCAAAACAGGCTTCTATACAAGGCAGGCTTTTATACAGGACACTACAGTACATTTGTGTTGTGTATGCCTGTGTTCTTGTCTGCTATTGCTTTCAATACATGTGCCACTTTGGTCGGGTTCGTTTCTTGCTTTTGTACAGGGAGCTGCCCGCGCCACAGACACCGGTACCCGAGGACGACAAACCAGTAATAGATTTAGTAAACATGCCCACGCATGTTGTTGTCGTCCATGACGACACGGATAATTCAAAATGCTTTGGCACTTTCCCCAAAAATACGCCCATGCCACCTCTGGGAGTGTGTCGCATTCGGAGATCATCGGTACGTACCTAGTCCCATTCCCTTGCATGCAATAATTGTACTTCAAAGTATATGTAACTTTAAAAATGTCAGTTTCGGTGTGCTGGGTGAGATTTAACCCAAATGCATCTTTGGTGCCCCGGACTTGCACAGCCCCTGATGCCCTGCAAGTGGTACGAATATTGCTGGACTCACACGTGTACAGAAACAATCCAGAGTGCCTATTTCGCACTTTGGGTTGGATTTTCACCTGCTCCAACTGCAGATGGTGATGGCCACATCATTTGTTTTCTTGTGCCGTGCCTTAGAAGCGTGAACCGCTGTTTTGAGTCCTGCAGCGGGTTGTGTTTTGTTTTCGTTAGCGTCAGTGCAGGCTGTGCAGGCTCCTTGCATACAACTATACATATGCGCTGTATTTACTGCAAATGGCCAATGTGCAGTCCAAGGTATCTCAATTAATTGGTGGCACAACTGGTCCGCTGTTCGCAACATGAATGCTGGCCTGTCACTGATCTTGGCGTTAGCTCACGATGCTCTGACTATTTTAGAACTCTTCCAGGCTTCCATTCTCTTTTGTATTATTAATTTTGTGTTTCTCAACGCAATTGTGTAGGCGATGGTGACATGGATGTGCGAACTTTACTTGCTTTCTCTTACTGTTGGATTTGATTTGGTTGTTTGCCTTTTCTGTGTGATGTTGCAGATCCCCCAAGAACCAGTCGTTATGCCCGCGTTGCCGTCAACTTCTGCTTGTGGTCTTCAGTTTATGGAGCCGCATGCGTACGGCGTGGCTGGACGGCAAATGGTTAGGCTCGGTGCTTGTGGTACACGTCGGTTTAATTCTCCAACTAGCTTGTGTGTGTGTGTGCGTTCGTGCCTGGGTGGGTGGGTGGGTGCGTTAGTGTGTGTTGCGTGTGCGTGCGTGTGTGTGCATGTGTGTGTGTGTGTGTGTGCAGGGGTACCTGCAGTTAGATCCCGGGACGGATACCCTGATGCCGTCAATCCTTTTTCTGCACCTTGTCTTCACCCACTTACTGAGGTGTGGTGAGCCCGTAAGTGGGATCATTTCAAGTCCACCCTAGTTTGGGGATTTCAGGGGGTGTCGGCCGCTGGGTGGTTCAATGGCCAATTGAGTCATCTTTCCAAGATTCCTTTTGAGTCTCTCTCCCCTCTCCCGGGGAGACCCACGTGACCAGTTTTGGCAGTGAGCAAGTACAAGTACAAGTACAAGTGTGTGTGTGTGCATGTATGTGTGTGCATGTGTGTGTGTGCATGTGTGTGTGCATGTGTGGGTGTGTGTGTGTGCTTGTGTGTGTGTGTGTGTGAAATATCTCCAGACATGCCTGGTTAGCACTGCACTATCTTTGTCGCTTCGCCTATTCTGATTCTGCTACATGTAGCACCAGGAATAAACTATAATTTTGCTTCTTCTTTTGTCTCTGCTGTTGCCCTTCAGCCAACTTCTCCGACAGTTTCAGATGCGTAAGTAGCATGTTCATTAGTCTCTTTACTTCTATTGTTGGCACTGGAAAGAATGTTTTGTGACATTGGTTGTAGCTCTTTCCCCTTAGATGAAGAAGTCTCTCTCTCTCTCTTTAATTTAATTTGATTTTGCCTGTATTTCATCTGGTGATAAGGCATGAAGTTCTACTAGTGAAAACTTTCGGGATGCTCAAGAGCCTGAAGCGTGTCCTTCTCAGTATGATTTCACTCTCTTCTTTTTCCTGTTGTTGTTCCCTTGTTCAGCGGTTGTGGTGGCTCATCCTCCTCGCCTGTGTCTGCAATGAGTGACCAGCTAAGCTCACCTCGTCTGAATAGACATTCACGTGGCCACTCGCGAACTCACTCCAGTGCATCCAGCACCGGTGGTGTGCTCGATACTCAGGTGAGTCAGATTTGGCGGCACGTGTGTGTGTGTGTGTCTGGGTGTGTCACTGCAGTGGTATGTGCAGTCGATTCCCAATCGAGAGGTTGCGGGTTCAATTCCCGACGATTATGGTCGCACACGTCTTTCTTCTCTTTCTCATTCTCCTAGCTCTTCTTTCATTCTCCTGGATGGTTACCAACAGCCAGTGTATGCCGGAGTATGTGGTGTGGCGTGTGTGTAAAAAATATTAAAAAAGGAAAGAAAAAATGGAAAATGGAAAAAACGAAAAATAGGGATTGACTGGCCAGAAAAAGCCACTTCAATCAGCTGTGTGGTGGATGCCAGGCTAAATTAGTGGCGGTCAATTCATCAGCCTTGCAAGCTGTTGAATGGTGTAATCCCAGCACACGTTGCTATGTCTAACATAGCTGTGCGCTATCATCGCTTCCGTGATGGGCAGGTCTGAGGTGTGTCACTGTGTGTGTCACCTGTACTGTACTGTGCTCGTGCGTGCATGTAGTCTGCCTCTTCAAGTGTTGGCAGATGCACCGTCTGTGACATATGCTTGTATTGGCACTGCACACGCACGTGCGTGCGCATACATACACACATACATGCATACGTACATACATACATACATACATACATACATACATACATACATACACACACACACACACAAAGAGAGAGACAGACAGAGAGAGAGAGAGAGAATTTGTACTTTGTCTCCGAAATGTGTTCACATCAGAGCTCAATTGTTCTCCTAGATTTCACAACTCAGGGGTGGCGATCAATGATAGGTTACTTAGTCTGTAATGGTCGCATCCTCTTTTATCTGCATTAATGTTGTTCATGTACTAAAGAAGTTGGTGTGTGTGTGCACATTCTTACGTGTGAGATATAAAAGTCGTCAGGACTTGACTTTCCACGCCCGATTCGGCTCATGACTTGAACCATCGTTCCCTTTTGGCCCTGCTATCATCCTGGGATAGACATATCGAATTGTCTCGTCTGGATAGCCTCGCAAATCGTTTTTTTTCCATTATTTTTCTTGTCCAGGGTGTTTTAGGTTATATTTGCTGATTCTCTTCATAACCCTGTATTCAGCACATAACATCAAGGGGCAAGGCTAGATTGTTAGAACTCTGAGTTTCATGCTATGCAGTCGCCAGGCAACATTTATTCCGTAGATTTTTGTGTACTAGTGACTGGCTAGTGACTGGTGCGTGAGACTCTGAGTTGCAATAGAATTCTGCTCCACGTTACTTGTAAGGAAGCTCTGCCTTTCCGGACATTGAGCACTCTGTGCGCAGAGAGGACTTAACCTACGTTGTATTATTCTGTGTGTATGCAGCAGGCACCTGTGCTGGCCCACTACTCCGCAGATGATGTTGCTAATGCCGCCGCTGCCGCACGCCAGCCTCCCGTGCAGGACCATCCGGCCGCTGCCAGTGGCGTGCTCATGCGCGCAGCCTCGCCACAGCCAGTACCCACTGCTGAAATGCAGACGGAAACTTCGTTCTCCTCGCTGCCAGAGTCTTCTCGGGCCATTCTCCAACAGGCGTCCCTTGCAAACTCGCAGCAGCAGCAGCAGCAACAGCAACACATCCTCATGCAGCAACAACATCAACAGCAACAGCAGCAACAACAACACCATATGCACTCTATGCAACACTCTTCGCAGCAGCAGCAGCAGCACACTGGTATGGCACCTAGTCAGATGCCAGCCCAACCACCGGTAAGTCCGACTGTCGGTTTGTATGGAGATGTCTTTGTACAGATGCAGTGCGCTGCTTGCTCTCGGTCGGTGGACTGGCCGTTTCTACTTCCTCTCTGCCTGTTTGTGATGCATCTTGTGGCGGATATGCCGTCTTTTCCAGGCTAGGTGTGTATCTCCGTATGCTGATACCATAATTTCTTCTCCCTTTCCTTATTATCTCCAGTCGCCCGCTCTCCAGCAGCAGCAGCAGCAGCAACAACAGCAACAACCACAGGTATCAGAACAGGCAGTACAGACTGTGCCAACACCCACATCCGTTCTGCTGCGCAACCCAAGCCAGCACAACACCTCGACCGTCACTGCCGGCGATTCGGCCGCTACGGCTGTGGCCTCGGCCACTGAAGTGGAGTCTGCCGTGGCTACTGCTCCCGAGCACAGCCAAGCAGCTTCGGCGACTGTCGACGCTCCATTCAGCCGGCCACTTCCACCGGGCGTATCCACCGCTAACCCACAGGAGCGCAGTCTGCAGGATGGCAGATCAGCTGCTATCAATGCTGCTGCCTCCTTGGCCTCGGCTCCCGTGGCTGCCGCCGCTGCTGCGTCCACTTCTGAACAACATCAGCCAACCCGCGCACCATCTGGTATGTTGGTGAAAGATTGTGGTGCGAGTGCACGTGCATCTGTTTTGTTTCTTCTCACGATAGTGTGATCTGTTGTGTCACAGGTGTGTGGCTGCTCCCTCTTGTTGGATGGTAGTCATGTAGCGGTGTGTGTGTGTTTGTGTGTGTGTTGCTATAAGAGAAAATCGGCGGGTGCGTATCCAGTGCATTTGCAGATTTGCGTGCTTCTCTTGCGACGGGCGTATACATGGTGCATGGTACATGGTGTGTGTGTCTATGTGTGCCTATGTGTTTGTGTACTTGGGAGCAATAGCACTGCCTGGCTGGTCAGTTTCCAACGGACAATGTTGGTATTTTTCATGCCAGTTGTTATAATCTAGAGTTGTCACAGTCGGTTATTTCTCAAGCCACGCTTGGTTTGATCGGCTGAATGCTGTGTAGGTGACTGTTAGTTGGCTTTGTGTAGATGGGTGTCCAGCCTGTGCAATGTTCAGCATGGTGGCAGTGCATCCTTCTTGTTGGCGGGTGTGCCTGTGTGTGACTTTGCTTTGAACTGGTGTGTCTTGACTGTCACTGGGTTTGGGTGCAATGCTCTAGTTGTTGTTTGTGTCACTGTCACTGCTGCCTATACACACAGGTAACAAGTCTGGCCCTGGTATGTACATGCAGAACCAAGCTGGGTACATGGGACCACATCACTACATGGTAAGCTGTGTGTGTGTGGGGGGGGGGGGGGGGGGGGGGTATGCGCAGGTGTTGGGTCAATGGGGGTTGGTGGGTGTATGGCATTGTGACATTGAGAGATGGGCAAGACTGGTGCCTGATGTCAGAAGTTATGCAGTGTTGGATGAGGTTAATACCTGTTGGGTGACCACCAGGAAGAACCTCTGTGGCTGGAGAAGAGAACTTCTATAGCCATGAGCTCTAGACTTGATGTGAGTGTCAGACGGACAGACTTGCTGCCAGCCTTGCTGGACTGGTCTAAACGTGAGGTGTGATATACACACCGTTCTGTTCAATTTTGTTAGATCAATCCACTCCCCGACAACATTTGGACTGACTTTGATTTATCCAGCATCTCTGAATATATTACTGGGAATGAGTTTCACCTGTATATTTTGTATCCCTGTCGGAACGTTTTGTGTTTTTCTTGCATGCTGCTGTTGGGACCTCACAGTCATGTCATACTATTTCTGGGTTTTCTTTGCGTGTGTGTGTGGTGTGTGTGTGTGTGTGTGTGTGTGTGTGTGTGTGTGTGTGTGTGTGTGTGTGTGTGTGTGTGTGTGTGTGTGTGTGTGTGCATGTTTGTGTGCGTATCTGGTGCACGTATACAGCAGCCTATGATGCAGCCCTACTCCGACTACGACAACGGGCCGCAGTCTAGAGCTCGCATGGTGAGCTGCACAGAAGTACCGAAAGCTAGCTGTTTATACAGTCTTTTCCTTTGTGAGAAGGCACATTTGCCTGTTTGGCTGAACAGCTATATTAAAAGAATAAAAGCGCGGCCGCACCGTATGGTCATGCGCCTTTGCCTTGGATGTCCATCCTGTGATGGTTTCTATACGTTGCTCGGTATGCAGAGAACCAGTATTGTCAAATATATGTGTGCAGGTGGAATGGCTATACGCACTTGTGTTGATTTTTGTTGTTGTGTTGTGTTTGTGCTTTTCCGCGGTACTTGATGATATTGTGATGGGATGGCTTTGTCTTACATGCTGCAAGTGACTCACCAGCGTATTGTTTGTGTCCTGCTGTGTTGTGTTTGCATGGCAGGGTGGCATTCACGAGGGCCCAGTCCAGACTACATACCAAGGCACGAATGGTGAACAGTCTGCCTCCTCCAGTGGGGTGCTGGGTCCTGCACCGACCGGTGCCATGTCTATGATGCAACAGCAGCCCCAGCAGCAGCAACAACAACAGCAGCAGCAACAGCAGCAGCACATCCCCCAGTATTACAGCAACATGTATGGCTTCATGTACCCACCAGTACAATTCCCCACCGGTCCAGTGCCGCACTATGGATTCCAGGTACGCCATGCTTAAGGCCGATTCACAATACAACTTTCTGCGACGCGACACGCGATTTGCGACAGTTGCGACAAGAAACTGCCTGTCGCGAGCTGTCGCAAGCTGTCGCAATGCACCTGTCGCAGAAGTTGAAGAAAGTTCAACTTTTGCGACTTGCGACACGCGACATACACAAATGGAGTACAGTTTCGACCCTGGGTGCACGTGCAGTGTACGTGCAGTGCAGTGCACGTGCATAGTACTACTTGTGCATGAGGATGTCGCAAACATGAAGAATATTGTGAACCGTGTGTCGCTGTCGCAGCTCGTCGCATGCGTCGCAAGTCGCATGTCGCGTCGCAGAAAGTTGTATTGTGAATCGGCCTTTAGCTCTTCTTCCATCTATTTGCCTATCTTTTCCCTCTTATGCTGGCCATCTTTTGTGTATGTGTGTGTATGTGGGGGTGGGGGTGCATGTGCCTTATACGCTTGTGTGCGTTCATCTCTACATGGCTCTGCATGGCTCTCTCTGCTCACACTATCGGTGTTTGGTGTATGTGCTTTACCTGCTGCAGCGTTCTCACCCGTACAGCACTCCACCGTACATTGCTGGACAACACCCGTATTCCGCAGTGGGTCTGCCAGGTCAGTAGAGGTGCTTATTGCGGTCTTCATGACTGGCATTTGTGCGCATGAAATCATGTTCTTGTGCGTATTTTTCCTGTCGTTTCAGGCGCATAGCGTATGAACAAATGCCAACATTTTCAGCACGTTCACGCACACAGAAAAATAGTAGTGTTGAAACGAGCGTATCTATAACTAAAGAGCGAGCCGTTCCACTAACGAGCGAGCTATCGAGCGAGCTAACGAGTTTTCAGTGAGGTGGCGAGGATGATATAAATTTATTTTTGATGATTTTTTTGTTGTTTTCTAAAAAAAAAAATTAAATATTTCATGGTTCTATCATTTTGTGCTTGTATTTCTGATAATATCTGTTCAATGAAACAGGTTCAAGCAGGTTCATTGAAAGAAAAGAACCAAACGATATCAGTCAAGAGAAACAGCTTCTGAAGGCAGGTCTGGCAGTGCTGGCATGTCATATTCCTCTGCAGGATCGAATAGAGGCTTGGGAGCTGGCGTAGAACGTAGCTCGACGGAGTCTACCAGCTTCAAGAGACTAGCATTCATATGTAAGAAGATGAGGGCATCAATCATCTTATGTGAAAGCTGGCACCTCCGTCGGTCCACAACAATGCCCGCAAACGAAAAGACCCGTTCAGACGGCACGGACGTAGCGGGAACGCATAGGTACTTCTTCGCCAGAAGTGCAAGCCGAGGAAACCTGGTGGTGTGTACTGCCCACCACTCGAGTGGGTCGATGCTACGCTTTGCCGGTTTCTCGTTCAAGTACGCAGTGACTTCCGCTATCACAGAATCAGCATTCGTGTCATCCTCACAGCCAAGGAGATCGTCGAGAGCAGAGTGGGCTGGCTTGCGCTTGGTGGGCGGCTCGACCTCGCTGCTACCAGCTATGGTGGCCTCGTGGACGAGTGTCTCCTCAATACTGTCACGCTGCTGTGGTGAATACTTCAGGTCCCTGAAGCGCGGATCCAAGACTGCTGCCAATACGTACAAGCTGTCCGAATGGAGACCGTTGAGATTGAAACGGTGCTCAATGCGGTCATGGAGGCGCTTCTTCAACGACGACACGGCTAGCAGCTCATCATCGCCTTCATCATCGTCACTGTCGTCATCATTGATGCAGGCCGCCTTCAGGCCGGTCAGAAGGGGAAGATACCACGACAATGTGGAGTACTTCTCCCCTCCCAGATGCGTCGTCACGGAATCAACCTTGCGTAGGATAGACAGCAGCTGCTTGGCTGTCTCCCAGCAGGTGGATGGCAGTTCCAGCGTCTTTCTTTCCTTGTCCGTCATGTCTGCAAGCAGCAGTTGGAGGGGCGACTGAAGCTCGACTAGTCTTGCCAACATACGGTAAGAGCTATTCCACCTGGTGGGGCAGTCCTGGATTACCTTCTTTGCCGGTACTATGCCCAGCAGTGCCTGCTTCTCAGCCAGCTGCGTGGTCTTCAGTGCTGAATGTTTCATGTGGCCCACCAAACGGCGACAGCGTGCAAGTAGGTTGCAGAGCTGCTTCTTGTCCAGAGCATCCTTGATGGCATTCTGGAGGCGGTGTGCAGCACATACAAGACTTGCCCATTCCAAGTCTCCCCAGAGAATTCTGCCTGAGGGCACAGAAGACAGAAGGACCAGACGAAAGCAATGTATTAGCCCTTTGTCATATTTAGATTATGTTCAGCAGCCTATAATATACTTGAACAGTGCATGTTGTCATGATGTTGAACTTGAAATGCCAATCAGGAATTTAGCCCCTGCACAACTAATGTTTACCATTGCATCAAATATTCTCCCTCAGTGCACAGTTCACACTTAGTACAAGCCAGTCAATTATAATCAATAAAACAATATTGTCATCATGAATAGAGAACGCTAGCATGCATACTGTGAACTAACCTGCCAGCTCAACGTTCGCTGCTTCATCGTGCACAACCGCTACCACTTTCGAAGTTGGTATAGCAAATCGCGCCACAGCACCCTTGAGCTGCTGGCTGATGTTGATGCCAGTGTGGGATTCGGGAAAGTGGACAGTTTCCAGGACGGCAGACACAAGTTTCCAATTCTCATCAACAAAGTGAGCTGTTGTCGTCGCATACGCTTGAGTGGCCTTGGACGTCCAAATGTCCGTCGTTAACGCAACATAGTCTGCCCTGGCGACTAACCGTTTTACTTCCTGCTCGCCATCATCGTGCTGCTTGCGCAGCAACGATGCTACGTGTGTCGTGGATGGAATCACGTAGCCTGGCTCCAAGAGCTGAAGCAATTCCTTCAACGAATGAGATGCAAACAGATTGAGAAGCAAAACATTCTTGTCAAATCCACTCTTTCCAAACGAGTCGAGTCGTGACAAACATATGTTGCAAGAAGTTGCAAGAACTAACGCACATGTTGTTGAAAACAAGGTTTATCTACTAGTATAATAAGAACTAACGAGTAACGATTCATTCCAAAATTCTGCAAATATTTATCACTAGTGACTATTCAACACATCAAGTCATCAACCACTCGAATCAACAACAACGGTGTCTCACTCTTACCTGTAAAGCTTTGTCTTTGACGAGACTGATCGGTCGACCATCGAGCCAAGGCCAACGTGACAGCACACGAGTTATTTCTCGAGAACGAACGACGGAGCAGGGCTTGGACGTTGGCTTGAGGGAGGCGAACGAATCTAAGCTCAGCTGCTTTGAACTTTCGCCGGAGTTGTTACTGCTGCTCTCGACGGGCTTCACTTCGGACGGGTGCTTCGTGTCCAGATGTCGCTTCAGGGCAGTCGTCGAGCAGCCATTATACGAATACACTATTTTGCAGAGATTGCAAGTGGCCTTATTTTTCGCCGCATCGCGGGAGAAAAACTTCCACACTACTGATCGCGACTTCCGCTCGAAAGGAGAGTTGACAACCGCGTCTCCTTGTGACAAGTCAAGAGATGCGGAAGAAGACATCTCTGTCTGAAGTGAAGCTTCAAAGACAACTGAAGTTCAGATAACTCAGTGTCCAAAGGTAAGGACTTTTATTGGTACAGAGTCAGTACGGGTGATGTGAGTTCACCAGTGTCTGCATGTGCAGCAGGTGCACAAATGTCAACTAGTACTAGACCTACGTGGCTAGCTACCCGCGCGCGCCTTGAACGGTGCACACGAGTAGATTGTCACTGGTGCAGGAGGAAGTCACAGTTGTGGTTGACTACCGGTATGTGTGCACGGTCACTGTACTACTGAGTCAGTGCAGCAAGTCCCCACACGGGCCACAGTCAGTACAGTACAGTGGACTATGTACATGTCTGTGCATGCAGTAGCTAGCTACCCGCGCGCGGGATTAGATTGTAGGTAACACTTTGTAACAGTGCCCGTGTAAACACTCTTGCCAACTGAGTCTTGCAGCAAGAAGTCACTGCGTGCATGCAGTGCAAGCATCAATGCAGCACCACTGCAGTGCGAATGGCTTTCACTTTTACGCGCGACAGGATTATGTAGACCTAGTTGACTACTACTAGTACTAGGACTAGGACTTGTGTGCGTGACCCGCATTGCAAGTGGTGCAGCAGGAGCAAAATCTACTTGCTAGTTTGAGTTTGAGCGCGACTCTGTGTACATGTTGTGGTTCAAGCATGGTTGGTGCATGCAGTGTAGACTGCATGTACCACGGTACCGGTACATCTACTAGCACATGTGATATGAGTTGCAGTGTGACTGCACTGTGTAGTGCAGACCTCGACCTACCTGTCGACATGACTGTCATGCATGCACTGACTGTCGATCTAGTGGGTACACCGTACGGTATACGGTGCTCGTTAGTGCAAACGAGCTGATCGTGTAAACGAGCCGAGTTTCTGGCGAGCGAGCTAACGAGTATCCGGTGAGATCGTTTCAACACTAAAAAATAGTACTTTTATAATCATGCAACTCGCATCATGGTATTTTGTAACAGCTCGAGTGTGCCTTAGGGCCTGGTCAGACTGCGGCAAAATCGAAATAATCCTAGGATTATAATCCGAATCTCCATAGTAACTTGCCGCCAGAGCGGCAAAAGCGAGAGTTGACGCTCCAAAAAAAAAGCAAGAACGGGCCACGCTTTTCCGCTCCAAACAGGATTTGACGCTGATACGCCATTGACGCTGATAATCACTGATTTTTTCATCTCGATATCGAGGAGCTAATTGGCCACGGACAACAACAAAACTCATAAGGATGGTTGCAAGGATTGCACTGAAGGTGTTGGCCATCCCCAAGGTGAAGGAATTTGACGTCGTTCGTGGAGATTACCACTTGACGCTCGAAATGAAGTTTGAATTTTCACTCTCCCCACATGTGTAGAGTGATCGCGATTCAAATTCTGGACGCTGTTCTGTTTTCGTCAGGCAACCAAAATTTGCCGCAGTCTGACCAGGCCCTTAGGGCCATGCATGAATTGCAAACGAATCACGTGCCAGCTATGAACACAGGCGTAGCCTGTTTTAAACTGTCATCTAACCCTCTGATATACATGTACGGGATGAAGCGAGGGGAGGGGGGGGGGGGGTGAGAGATCAACAGCACTATCTACTTGACTACCGTATTTTCCGGGGTATAAGCCGCACCCCCCCCCCCTTTTTGAGGCAAAATATTGACTAAAAGTTGGTATTCGGAGTACTGTATAAGCAGAAATATTCGTCTGGAATTTAATTTCGTCTTTTTCGTCCAAGGAGCTTTTGGACTAAATTTAATGTAGGACGAATATCGATTTGTCCAGCTTTTCTATACACTCTTATGATCCATGGACGAAGTTTTCAACCGGATGAACTCCTTTTCTTTGGAGTTGGACGAAATTATTGGCCGACGAAATTTTCTGCCTCTACAGTATAAGCCGCACCCACAAACCAAGATTTTTCACACTCATTGACAAATGGCCTTTCTACAAATTTATTATGGTTATGGAGCTAAATACCATGTTAGATCAGATTATGAAGTGTTAGTGCACCACAGGTTGCTGCAGAGATGTTGGTGTAGTGCTGTATTGACTACAGATCACTCCATGTCATCTGCACTATATTCAGTCTCGCTGCCACTGATGTTGATCAGCAACACAGGCGCGAAGCTGAGTCGAATGACATGTCACATGACGTCAGCATGCATACTGATGTATGCTAAGCATTCATTCGCGCAAGCATATTCGGTGTATAAGCCGCAGGGGCGATTTTGGTCCGATTTTTAGCGGAAAAAAGTGCGGCTTATACGCCGGAAAATACGGTATGTTGTTGTCGTTGTTGTTGCAGGGTATGATGAGGAAGCAAGCGGCTACCCTGGTAATGCCGGCCAAGGTGGACAGGTGAAAGCTGGTAGCACCAACACTGGTGAGTACTAATCTTACTCCTTGTAATCTTTTTGTCTTGCTAGGTCAGTGTAAGAACAGAACTAAATATTGCGACAGCTTTCGGCCATATTTTCTATTCATTGCATTCCCAACTCATCACAACCACGCGCTCTTCAGCCGAACCATACAGACACCAGCAAGGACACTTCCGTTGAGAGATAATATTATCTCTCAACGGAAGTGTCCTTGCTGGTGTCTGTATGGTTGGGCTGAAGAGCGCGTGGTTGTGATGAGTTGGGAATGCAATGAAGTGTAAGAACAGTACTGCTTCATCTCACCTGGGATCTGATTACTTCTGCAGTGCTAGCCAGTTAAGCTCGGCCTCCTTGGAAAGCTTTAGGATGTTGGAGGCTGCTTGACTCGGGTATTGGAAAGATGCGACCATAGTGTGTATGCGTGTGTGCGTGTGTGTGTGTTGGGGGGGGGGGGGGGGGTCACTGGTCAGCACTGTACCTGAGCCTGTCTGTTAGTCCTGCTGCCGGGTCTCTCTGCATTGTCGTGATGACTGTTCTCGCTTTGCCCCTGCCTATCTTCTCTCCAGCAGCCATGACGTCGGTGAGCTCTGCATCTGTAAGCACTGACTCCTTCAAGGGTCAAGTAAGTCCCACTGATCTGTGTGTGTGTTTCTGTGTGTTTACTTCGAAGTAGAATAGTGCACATACACTCCACACCGGATCGTTCTGAATGTACCATACTTGTATGAACTTGGCAGAGTTGTGTGCAGATAGCGTTCGCCTTGCACCATTACACCCATGCTCTATAAAAGGTTTGGAAGTGATGTCAGAAGTCCACAACAAAAACGACTTCTGGGTCGAACTGAGTCCACTTTGCCCACAGAGACATACAGAACAGTAAAAGTTGTCAAGGCGGCCATTCTGATTAGACGACCGCCTGCCCCAGACACCACTGCAACTAGGACCAAGGGGTATTATTTCCAGTCGAATGACCCTGGATAAGACGACCACCTGTGCACGGGGACTACTCCTATAAAGTCCCTTGAGCGGTCGCCTTAGACAAGTGCCACCGTATGTGGTGGGTGGGGCCCCTCGTGGCGCGTGCACGTGTGAAGTTTTCCATATCGAGAGTGGGTCCCAGGCCGTTTACTACTGGCGAATGTGGAAGTACATGTATTTCACTTTGGATTGCAGTGTCGTGTGCCTGATGACTTCAGAGCTTTGCAGAGATTGTGATGCTGAGCACCACGACTGCTTCCACGCATACACATTGGAAAGCATCTATGCACGCTCTGTGAGTACAAGGATGTATGCCAAGGGCTCCAATTCAAAACGAGATAAAGACCAAAACCGGAGCTTTTGCGTTTTTTTGTCACGAAATAATTCGTTTTCGCCCCACGGACGTCTGTGTTTCGGCTTTACGGGTCAAAACGCAATACATCCCAGTCAAAATGATGCCTGAAGTTTGTGTTCTTCTGCAAAACGTGATAAAAGCCACTGATGCTGCAGTGCAGACCGAAAAAGGAAAAATGCACTTCCTGAAATTTCCACAAAATAGATTTATCTTGTTTTGAATTCGAGTCCTTCATGTCTTCCTTGTTTGTTTCTCTGTATTCTGTCTCTGGGTGTGTGTTGTGCAGAACTTTGAGACGAAGAGCATCTACGGCGTTGGCTCCGGCCCCTACAGCCTGCCCGCTGGCGTGCAGCAGACCTACATGCACAACAACGCTGGCAACCCGGCCGCTGCAGCCGCCGCCATGATGGGCCGCAACATGGCACCACCACAGGTGCAGCCGGGAACGGCCACCCACTATTCCCAACACGGCGCCATGCACCCAGGCATGATGGACAGCATGCAGCAACAGCAGCAGCAGCAACAACAGCAACAGCAGCAGCAGCAGTCGGTGCGCACTACTGGCTCGCAAGGTGGCATGGCCAGCTCAAACAAGCACCATCAGAACAACAGCAAATACACTGCCAATCACGCACAGTACTCCGCTAACAACTGGTAAACCATGTATCTGCTGCCCCATATGCTGCTTTGACTGTTCAGCTGAATCTTTTCTTTCCTTTGGAATACTAGCCATGAGATTGCGGAGCCGTCCCCGAGCCCGTTTTTTCTTGTCTTTGCTCCTTCCTTCGGTGCGGTTCCACCAGCACGCGCCTATCTGTCTGTGCCCGGCCATGTGTTTGTGGCGCACTGCATATACAGTGACTTTATGGTTGCTATGGCATCGTGTCTATCCTGCCTGCACTCGCTTGTGTGTGTGTGTGTGTGTGTATCCAAGATCCAATGCTGTATTGTTACGCCCTTATCATCCAGCAATACAGGTGATGCGAATAGTGAGGATGATGACAATGGTCCCCGTTCTTCCCCTAACAGCCCCCGTTCTGTTACACCGGTATTAGCTGATGCATACTGCTGTACAAGGCCACCGTGCTAACACACATTCTATTGTTGATTGCTACTACTGCTTTGAGTTTCCTTCTTTTTTGCCATATGAGAATGTGTGTGTGTGCGTGTATGTGTCAGTGTGTGCCTGCGCGCGTGAGGTGCGTGTGGTTTGCTGTGGTTTGCTGTGGTTGGTAGAAGTGGCGCATGCTCTTCTTCCCCAGCTGTTTGTTTCTGAGTTTATTTAGGGCCGCTCCCGTGATACTTTATATCCCTTTCGTAGCCGCTTTCGTATTGACAGGCTGTCTGCTTGGCGTGTGGTTAGTGATCATCCTTTTGGTATTGTCTATATCTATATTTCTCTGCTTCCATTCGAACTGTCCCGCTGTTCTGTTCTTCTTGACTGTGCTGGCATACTCGGCTGTAATTTATTGTCCTATCTGAAGCTCTATGGCGTACCAAAAAGAAATCCTTGCAATAGAAAGAAAGAAAGAGAAAGATCAGCCTCTGACAGAATTTCCGTTTGCTTGTGTGTGTGTGTGTGTGTGTGTGTGTGTGTGTGTGTGTGTGTGTGTGTGTGTGTGTGTGTGTGTGTGTGGACGGATACCCTGATGCCGTCAATCCTTTTTTCTGCACCTTGTCCTCACCCACTTACTGAGGTGTGGTGAGCCCATAAGTGGGATGATTTCAAGTCCACCCTACAGTCCATTTCAAAACTATAGACGCGTACCTAGGCAAAAACCGTTATGCCAGCATCTATACCACATAAAATCTGTGATCACTTTGTGCATAATTTTTTCCAAATTGGACGTCTGTTATCCAATCGTTTAGAAACTATAATTATGAGAGTAATTGTGGAGCGGACCTGAGCAATATTCCTAAAACTATTCTCAAAAAGTTCCAGCCAAATTTGAAATATTTCAAAAACCCTACGCGTCTATAGTTTTGAAATGGACTGTAGTTTGGGGATTGCAGGGGGTGTCGGCCGTTGGGCGGTTCAATCAGGGAGTCGTAAAATAATAATATATACCCGTACTTCCGCACATATAAGCGCACGTGCTTATGTCCGGACATAAGCGCACCCCCCCCCCCCCCCCAATTATAAGCGCATGGGCTTACATGTATATGTGAACACTATTGGTGAAGCATCCGGGAGCTGGATAAACTGCTAATAATAAGCATTGTGATAACACCGTTGTTTAGGACACAGACAAACCTTTATTGCACATATAAGCGCATGGGCTTCTACCCGAACATGTTCATACAGCAAAAAATCTTTTTTGTAGCAAATTTTCACTTATAAGCCCATGCGCTTACATGTACATGTACATGTATATGCGGGGAAGTACGGTATAATTATGGTATTTTACGACTCCGTGGGTTCAATGGCCAATTGAGTCATCTTTCCAAGATTCCTTTTGAGTCTCTCTCTCCCCTCTCCCGGGGAGACCCACGTGACCAGTTTTGGCAGTGAGCAAGTGTGTGTGTGTGTGGGGGGGGGGGGGTATTACGAGACTGGATACTAGCACTATTTGGCTTTATATTGTGCCGCCGGGTGATGTCTTTGAGAAAAATTGCCCTCGAGTCTCAGCTAGCCCTTTCCCAAAGGTGCTCGCCCTTTTTTTGGCCCTTTTTGGCCCTTTTTGGAAAAGCCCGTTTCTTTCGCCCTTCATTGCGTTTTTTGGTGAATATTACCCCTTTTGAGCTTTTTTAGCTGAAAAAGTGCTAAAATCTGTTTCCTCATGCATGCAATCACAGTTTCCGAGTGCTCGATATGGGCCTTGCAAGCTTGGCACGCTGCTTTTTGGGGGGGGGGGCACAAGTTGGTGAAGCTTGTACACAATGCTGTAAAAAATGGGTGTTTTGAACTTTACTTCCTGTTTTCCCTTTCGTGGACCCATAAATGGAAGAGTGCGCATTCATTTCTCCGCTTGGGTTCATATCTGAACATGTACATGTATCATGGCTATGTTTCACTGAAAAAAGAGCACTTTTTGCCTGTTTTCACTGAAAAAAGAGCACTTTTTGCCTGTTTTCACTGAAAAAAGAGCACTTTATTATTTTGAGGGACGCGAAAAGTAAGTGCGAATTAAGGTGGGACTATGCCTTCGCGGACCGGCATCGGCAAACGGGACGTAACTTCAGTCTCCCTCATTGGAATTGCACAAAATTTTCTGTGCTTTCTTCTAACATATCACACCGTACTCTGAGCACATGCCAATGAACCAAACTGGTCACTCTATGTACAAATTAGAAATTCTTCGAAAAATCACGTATACTGAGCTCTAACCGCAAAATGAAGAAAATCATGTAGAGAAGAGAGGAACAAGTTGCAAAACACAATTGCTACTATATAACTTGAGGTGCTAAACCAAAGAAAGGATTGATCTGTTGACAAGGAGAAATACAGTACCCAGAGCAAGAGATATACAAATTCGCGCACATTGACAACGCCTCCTTCAATGAGGTAAAAACATCATAAAACTTGCAGTAATGCATGGAACAATTGGTTTAGCACCTAGCCAAACAAGTCACAGAGTTCAGAATATATACATTGTGGGGGGTGTCATGCACTGGCATCCTGCAATCGTGGTTAGAAGCTGCGGAACACCCCTAAAATAGGAGAAAAAAGGCACTCCAAATCTCAGCATTTCACCGCATGATCACAGCATGATGATGTATTAGTGACCACCTGGCACATAGGGAGTGCCTTCTATCTCTTCTGCTGCATCCTGTCCACCCTTCCTCAACCTCCTGCGCTTTTTCCTGGACAGCTTGATGTGCCCCAACTGCTTTCTGGCTGCACCTGACCTTCTCTTGGCATCCAACAGCACACTGGTGGAGGCGGTGTATTTGCCTACGGGTAGACCCATCTTGCAGAATAGCATCTCAATGCTTGCAGCACCATCGTTGAACCAGCTTGCTGCAATGTAGACTGCAGTTTCTACAGTCAGAGCGGAACAGAAGCTTGTCTTGGGGCAGAGCTGCCACACAATTCCGTTGAAGCATTCGTTCTGGTTTTGTGTGGCGCCACGCATACAGCGCTCGAGTAGTGGGCGTGCGGACAGGTCCATGAAGATCGGCTTGATTACAGAGAAGATTGCTTCAGGTATAACGTTGTGGTGCTCGTAAGGCGGTCCACCAGCTTGCTGTTGCTGCCACTTGCACCAGCTCTCCAGTCCCGGTGGGCAGTGCAGATGTTGGGGCTTCTCATCAGTTGACACTCGGTGCATCACCGAAGCCCATATGGCTTTGGCCATGGACTGTAGGTCGCCCTTGTTGCTGCGCACTGCCATACCATAGTAGGCTTGTAGTTTGTCTATAAGTTGGTCTGTGAGACGACCACGACCACTGATCCTGCCACCATCAGCCAACTTCTTCCCAGAGAGGTCCTTCTTCAGCTTCCGCAACCGATGTCCAACGCGTTTTTGAACATGGCCCACGCATTCTTCCTTCGTGATCTCCACGTCTTCGCCGTATGGATATGAGTCATGCACTGCCTTGAAACACTTTGTATCTCCGTCCCCTATAAAGACACTGTACCGAAGCTTCCTCGTTTCTCTGGATCTCCTCCATATCTTCAGGGCAGCTTCACATTCCATTGCGGGTGCTGAGCTCTGGGTGTTGGCACGGCATTCATGGTTGTCCAGCTTGTCCTGCAGTTCAGCATTTGTCAACTCTTTCTTTGCATGCTGGTTCTTGAAGTGGGCGCACTGGTGGCAGAATCGGGATAGAACTTCAACGTCAAGGACTTTGCCTGTGCTCCATGCCATGGCCACAAAAACACCATACAGCGATGCATAGCCTCGGCGCATCCAGGTTCCGTCATACGTAACGGCAGTGTCGGCAATAACGACATCTCCAGGTGCATTGTCCAAGACTTGTGTTGCTGCCGCACTCATGCTATGCTCAGCAACAACCTTGGCCGATTTGTGTAGAGCCTTGGCATGTCCTTGGTATGCGGAGAAGGTCATGGGCACAGGCATATTCAAAGCAGCTCCCAACTTCAGCATTGCTCCGTGCCTGCGACCGATCCAGCGCATGCCAAACACAGCTCGTCGGTTTACATCCCAAACACGCTTATGTTTGTCTGACATATACTGCGATGTGTGAGCTTCACAGGTTTGACAGGTCAGCTCCAGGCAGGATGCAAACCCTTGCCTCTTCGGCTCACTCAGAGTGACTGGTCCATGACAAATTTTGCAACACACAGAAGCCAACAAAAGAGTTTGAAGGCACACCAAGTCGACGAGCCTGAATCCATGAGGTAGTTCTGCATCATTCTCATCGTCCGAGTCTGAACTGGATCCTGAACTCGAATCGCTTGTGCTCAGGTCATCCTCGGAAGAAATCTCAGCATCATCAGAACTAGAAGGCAAATAATCGTTGAAATTTGGCAGAGAATCGTCAAGATTTTCTGGCGCACATGCTGCAGCTTCATCTTCCGATTCGGCTCTCAGCGCCGGTTGATTTCCATGAAATTTTCTCTTTCTGGGTCTGCCTGGTCGGCCTTGAGCTCGCTTCTTCCCCATCGCAATAGAAAAACAACGCCTGCAAGCTTGTACAATTGTCACAGCTAGTACAGAACGAAACAACAAAGACGTTTCCATCAAATAATTTATTTGAATCAAATTTGAATTTGCGCATGCGCAATCACTCTGACGGCTGTCATGGTAACCAAACCCATGCGCAGAGGTCGCCAAATCACTCCGCGCACTGCTCCTGAGATTTCCACAAAATTTGAACTATATCAAGGAAGGTTTTATCATAACACGATTGATTGCGTTCTAAAACGAAAAGAACCAATTGCAAAATCAAAATTGTGAAATTTGCAGATCTATCTCGATCTTTGAAATGCTCTATCTCTGAAGTCCTTTGAGCGAATCCCCTCAAATCTTCAGGAGTCGTGCTTCAGCACAAGAGCTATCGTTTGAGATAGTTTTCGACGCTTTGTGAGAGATTTTCATTTTTGACCTTCTGAAGGCATAGTGCCACCTTAAAAGAGCACCTACCTTTGGGAAAGGGCTAGTCTCAGCAGTACTACAAGTACGAAGTGTGAAGGGGGACGATTGTGATCAGTAATTTAAAAGGGTCGTGCATAAACACAAGAATATATTGTATGAGTTCAGTCAGACCTCGCTTAACCAAAAAAAATCCGGTCCTCTTTTATCCGGATCCCTCGTCATCCGGAAGAAAATCGGTTGTCACCGTTTTACAGCATATCCGGATATTTTTGTGGAAAACGGATGTGTGCGGTTAACTTCCCCTTTAATGCTAAATGCTGTTGTGACTAGCCATGGTGTAAGTAGTAGGCCTTGACGGATTATGCTAATATTTTCGTGAAATTATGCTTTTCGCATTGCTGAAAAAAATGGCAGAATTATGCTATTTTCATGCTAAAAGTTATCATATTATGCCGCATCATGCTCACATATGCTGCTAATGTATGATGGTTCTGTTCAAAATAACAAGGGAATTTTTTGTAGAGGGCGTTGTACTGTAGTAGCAAAAGTTCAACGGGGTCACGTCAACGCACCGTCCGACCTAGCTACGACCGTCACTGGACATGTTATCAAGGGAATCGTAAACCTACGACTTCCTGGTGCATCTACTTGTACTTGTAGAACATGTACAGCTGTATGGAATTTGATGCGAACAGTCGGATTATTCCAATTTATGCGATTCGTATGCAATTTGCCTCGAATTATGCGATTATTCGATTTTGGGAGGAATTATGCCAAAAATTATGCTAGCATAATCCGTCAAGGCCTAGTAAGTAGGGTCCGGCGGATTCTGCCGGCAGAAAAATTGGCAGAATTCGGTACTTTTTCTGGTAAGTTTCATGCATGTTTGGTATGTGGATAAAGAAATGGAGCAGAATTCGAGGCCGCCATAAGGTTTGTATGGTTCTGCCAATTTAACTGCTTTTCGAGCAGAATCCGGCGGTCCCTATAAAGTAGGTGTAAGTGACAGCTAGCGGCACTGCGGTCTGCAGTCTGCACTGGTGTCTCCGAGAGATTTTGTTAGACCCATCTGATCGATCAGCTGATCGCATGCGCAGGCGCATCTGCATGATCCGAAAAAGATGGACAGGGAATCTCTTGTCATCAGTCGGAAATCACACGCTGATCACTCGCCGGAGATGCGCGGTGATTGGTTGACATGAAGTGGGGCTAGCTAGTACTAGTGTCAACATTCCTGCGCCTGAATCCTGGCACGCACCGACCGTTACCATGTACCAGTCCTCCTCTACCCGTACGCGTACCCTCGCAAGCTTCACCAGCCCTTTTCTTATGGCTTTTGACGGTGTACGTGTGTGGCGATATGGCATAAACTACGGGTAGATCTACGAGTACTGTACGCCCGAGTAGGTCTACTAGTAGTACTAGTAGTGCTTGAAAGGTGCTTGGCCAGCACTGATGTAGCCAGCTTCCGACTGCCAGTGCCACTTCTTGCCAGCACGTCCGGGTCAGTCCTCGGGAGCACAGGTCTTTGAGTGAATGTGAGCAAGTGTCTGATTCTGGCAATCCGCTTTCAGGGATTCGAACGGTGGAAGACAGTTGACCGTTGTAGCGCTCTCCAACTGTAGCTGCGTTGTGGACTTCTGCTTGCCAAAGTAAAGAGCAAATTTTGCTTGACAACCACCCCCAAACTAACAACAATCAACCATGGCTGTTGACTCGAAGAACTTGCAGGCGCTCAAGGACATTGCCAACCGCCTGCGCGTGTACAGCATTGAAGCTACAAGCGCCGCAAACTCCGGGTAAGCATCCGCGGAGCGGAGGGCCACGAGCCTGCGGGAATGGTTGAGTGGTCGTGGTGATTTGATTTTGATGTGCTCTCTCTCTCTCTCCCTCTCCCTTTCTCCCCCTCTCTAATGTCCCGTTGCGGAATCAACTTGTTTGTCTTCCTTGGCAGTCATCCAACGTCATGTATGTCCGCAGCGGAGATCATCTCTGTGCTCTTCCATAAGGAGATGCGTTACGATGGTAAGTCCTACAAGTACAACCGATACCCATGGAGATCTACCGGTACAGGTGTTTTGTCCACATGCGTGTGACTGTTGTCTTCGTGTTCCGGTACCCAGCACTTTGCATGCCTTGCGGGCGTTCATTGTATGGGTTTGTGACTTTATGTTCCGAACGAATCTTGGGGTTGTCGGACGACACTCCGGAAAGCAGGTCCCAGGCGGACAATCGGAAGTCGTTGCTGTCCGTTCTGTATGGATATCAAAGAAGCACCCCTTTGACTTTGTACTTGTAGCTCGACCCCTTGCCGACATACACTTTTGTACTTGACGGTCTTCCCCAGCATTGTGCGCGTGCCGAGTCGGTGCACGTCGCGTTGCCATGCATTGTTCTTCAGTGGCTACTTCCGGTTGAGCGATAAAGACGCTGGCACTGCACTGGCTGTGTCCTGGAGCACTTTGTCTTTGTCTTGGCGTGTGCAGTGTACTAGTATTCTGCAGCTACGCAGATCACGGGTACCTAATTGTTTTCCTGCAAGTGCTGTCTCGACTCTCGAGAGGCTTCTCCAAAGCCGTCCCCAATTTTCGCCCTGGGTTGATTTGCATTGAGTCCTCATCTTCGAGTCCTGCACGAAAAGACATACAGGTATCCGGTAATGTCGCAGCAAAGCTGTATTCCAAATCGATACTAATGATTTCAAATCCAGTGGTTATTCAGTCATGGCGCCATATCAATGGGAAGGGCCACCCCACTGTTTCTGTGTGTGTGTGTGTGTGTGTGTGTGTGTGTGTGTGTGTGTGTGTGTGTGTGTGTGTTTTAGGCTGGAATATCATGACTACTGATTGTGTTACGTGCCTCTCGTTGGGCTGTACTTGTACAGTACTAAAATAGTAGTATTAGGAATGTCCCAGTATCCCTCCATGCCAGTGGCGCAGATTCACCCCCCCCCCCCCCCTCCCCCCTTGCTCGCGAAATGCATGAAGGTGTATATCCCTCCAGTACCCCAGAGTATCAGAGTTGAATAAACTAGCTGGGGATGCATGTACATTATAGCTCTACAGTCCTATACTGGCCTAGGTCTGTTCGCTGCCATGTTTGATTTCAAGTGTATGCATCGTGTGACTCAGTACAGTGCTGCCCAATGAAATCCAGTCAATGCACCCAGGGCATGTACACGCCGGGCATTGCGCAGCCCTAGACCTGCGAACACTGGGCTTCGAAATGGTGCAAGGTGCAAACTTGACTTCCGCTACTGGATTTCATTGAGCTGCACTGTACTCCGGATATTATGTGAAACCAGCAAATGACACTTTCTAATGATATCCGTCACCTCCATTAGTACTTAGTAGTCAGAGGTGTATGTTCCATGTGCACGCTTGACATGATCCACTCCATTTGGACATTCAGAACTCAAGCTGGATCCTTATCCAACAACACTGTGAAAGCCAGTCGTGTTCTATCAGGCTATCCCAAACGGAACTTTGGAGGAGGACAGAGGGCATTGGTAAATGGAATATCTTTGGTGCAAACCAGATCTTGAAAGTATTGGGGCATGACTGTCCACATGACCTCAGCCCGGGTCAGTGAGGTACAGAAGTACGAAGTATCACGTAGGATACAGTACAGCACGTGGGTGTTAGCTCTACATACAGGTATGATGGTATAAACTAAAAAAACACGCCATCTCATCCTCATCACCTCTATTCCCGAAGCTTGACGATAATGTTCCGATAGAAGATAAGAGTTTGCTTGATAAGTTTAATTGGTCTGGTTGTGTGGGGGATAGCGCTGCGATTAAGCATTTACAACGACTTTTGTTAAGCATGCGATCGGTAATTGCGGTAGATGATAATGACGTTGGAAAGACAGACGAAATACATCACACTATCACACTTACCGACAACCGTCCGATCCGCCACAACGCCCGTCGATTATCACCGGATAAAGCGAAGCTGACTCGTAAATTAGTAGATGACATGTTGGAGCAGGATAAAATCGTGAACCTAACAATGGTATAAACTAGCAAAGATGGGTAGTATGCAATCCAGAATGAAGGGCATACTGGCATCAGCCTGATAGGTAAGGACGGGTGCTGAGATGAGGTGTTGGCGGAGTTGGTTGAAGGCAGTCTGTGCCTCGGGTGGCCAGGAGAATGTTGAGTGCTTCTTTGTCAACGCATGCAGAGGCGTCGCAATCTTAGCGAAGTCTTGGATGAATTGCTTGTAGTAGAATGCAAAGCCGAGGAACTGGTGCACACCGGTGATGGACGTAGGTTGCTTCCAGGTGGAAACAGCATTGATTTTGGCGAGATCAGGTCGAACACCATCAGCAGAGAACACATGGCCAAGATATCCAACAGATGATTTTACTAAAGAGCCTTTAGACGGCTTGACTTTGAGGTGGGCATCACGGAGACGGTCGAGGACAGAACGTAGCCGCTGGACGTATTCCTTGAACATCCTGGAGAATACTATGATATCATCCAGATATACAAGACACGTCGATGGGACAAGATCTCCCAGAACAGCATTCTTCAGGCGCTGAAATGTGGCAAGTGCATTGCATAAGCCGAAGGGCATGCAGGTCTACTCATAGAAGCCAAAGGGCGTAGCAAAGGCAGACTTACGCCATGCATCTTGATCCATACCGACTTGCCAGTAGCCAGACGCGAGGTCATTCGTTGTGAAGTAGCGGGCACCACTCATTGCGTCAATGGCATCATCGATACGCGGCATTGGCAATGCGTCTTTTACCGTGATGTTGTTAAGCTGACGGTAGTCCACACAAAGTCGAATGGAGTTGTCAGGCTTCCGGACAACAACAATAGCTGCAGACCAGGGACTGTTAGACGGACGAATAATGTCATGGTCACGCATCTTATCAATGTGCGCACGGCCCACTTATTGCTGGTGGATTGGTAGACGACGCGGTGCTATGCGGACAGGAGTGTTTTCAGCTCGGAGTGACTTGCAGTGTGCATACACTGGACAGGCTCAAGTAGCTACATCATTATACTGCATGTATATTCTTAGCTCTTAGCCTAGGTGGATGGAGAGTGAAGGGGGGGGGGGGGGAGGAGGATAAACTACCAGGCAGTTACTTTGTGGGACACTAATCTCACTCAGCTATATCTACTACGGTGTCTAGGCTAAACGACTACACCGTTAGCTTAAACACTGTGGCAGGCTGGCTCAGTAACGGTAAACTATAGCAGAGCTAGAAAGTAATGTCACTTGCCTGCGCAGTGCGGTGCGTAGCAGACAGGCTCGGCACCCCCGGCTGAGGATTTCGAGATTGCACAGGTTGCCTCCATCCTTCGTTAAGTCCGTTGTCCGGCCGTCTCGCCGAGTTGTCTCTTTCTCAACAGTGGCGATCAGGTCCGGCGATCAGATCAGGCCCCGGCGTAACATCGTTGGTTTGGGCTGTTCTGTGGTGACTAGCACTAGTGTATGAAGGCGATGACGGAACAGAAGCTTAGCCGGTGAAAAACCGGACAGGCAACCGCATCAAAGTAAACTAAATTAGATACACAGTTCCAGATACATTTCAGTTCCCAATTATGCTCCTGTTGCTGCTGCTGTGTGTGCGTGTGCGTGCGTGTGTGTGTGTGTGCATGCGTGTGTGGGGTTCCGTGTGTGTGTGTGTGTGTGCGCACGCTTTGCTCTGTTGTTCAGTCTCAAAGCCAAGGGACCCCAACAATGACCGCTTCATCCTGTCCAAGGTGAGCTCTCCACGATAAACTGCAATTTAATAAAGTCCATGTCGTACACATAGCCAATGTGTAGACTCTATACTTCCAGCACCATGATTCTATTCACTTGTTCAATATGCCACGCCTGTTTGTATGACCAACCAGTGTCCGCTCCTAAATGTTATGTTCTTGGAATTGTGCATGTTAGGGTCATGCTGCTCCAGTGCTGTACGCCGCATGGCACATTGCTGGGCACAAGGACGTCACACACGAGGAGCTGCTCAAGCTGCGACAGTACGGTGCTATGCTGGAGGGTCACCCAACGCCGGTGAGTTCCGACTGTTGTGCGAGGTGCATGCATTCCTTTCCCAACTTGTGCCATGCTTCCCGGCCCTTCTTCTCCTCTCTTCCCATCCTTACTTCGCCATTTCCAGCCAGTGGCTATGTTGTTCTGTTGCTGTGTGTTGTGTTGTATGGATGGAGCACAAAGACCCTTCTTTTCCACTCTTCCCATCATGGATGCAGCTGACTATAGCATTAGGAGAGGACCTTACCAAATGCTGATACTCTAGCCATACTAGAGTGCAGAAAGCCGTGCATCTCTGTGCTATGTATGTTAGTCGAGCACATTGTATCAGTGGCTATGAGTGGATGAGTTTGGCATACGATACGGTGTCAGGGCCCGCTATGCCACCCATGTGTTTCTGATCAGCTTGTGTTTGTGATTTCATATTGGTGTCCTTCTCCGGTCCTTGCTACTGCTGCTGTGTCGGTTTCAGAAACTCGACTTTGTGGACGTGGCCACCGGTTCTCTTGGCCAGGGTCTGAGCGTTGCTGCCGGCATGGCTTATACCGGCAAGTACTTTGACAAAGCCGAGTAAGTCCTTGCGGGCTGTCACCGTTGTGGCCCGGAGAGAGTATTGATGATGAGCTATTTCCATTTGTATTACTCCCATGAATGTGTAGTGCTCCCTGATGAAGACCCAAGGACGAATAATTGGAGACTAATTTAATTGCAATTGCAGTGGAAGACCTTGATTGTGAAGGTGTTGAAGAGATTATTGGAATTTATTTCCATTCCAAACATACTAGATATGCTCTATTACCTGTAGCACTGTGGTGATATTTTGATCCGGACTGTAATAAGAATGTGCATGTGTGTGTGTGTGTGTGTGTGTGTGTGTGTGTGTGTGTGTGTGTCAGCTAGTTAGGTTGGCGGGTACACTTATGCTTGATTGTGTTGGGTCTGTTGCCAACGGGCTCGGTTACTTGAAGGTGTAATGTTGTACCTGCCACCTTTGTTGGTTCCAGGGTTCATATACTTTCTGTTTGAAGTATACATACATGTTAACCATGGACTGCTTCTGGCTAGATTAACTCTTGTGTAATCAACGGTGCTAGTGAAGCTTATATCAGATCCACTCTGATTTAGCCACCCACACTAGGAGCAAGTATTACCTTCACTGGGGGCAGGGATAACTGCAGTTGGATCCCAGGACGGATACCCTGATGCCGTCAATCCATTTTCTGCACCTTGTCCTCGCCCACTTACAGAGGTGTGGTGAGCCCATAAGTGGGATCATTTTCAAGTCCACCCAGAGTTTTGGGGATTTCAGGGGGTGTCGGCCGTTGGGCGGTTCAATAGCCAATTGAGTCATCTTTCCAAGGTTCCTTTTGAGTCTCTCTCCCCTCTCCCGGGGAGACCCACGTGACCAGTTTTGGCAGTGAGCAACAAGTACAAGTACAACAAGTGTGTATGTGTGTGTGTGTGTGTGTGTGTGTGTGTGTGTGTGTGTGTGTGTGTGTGTATGTGTGTGTGTGTGTGTGTGTGTGTGTGTGTGTGTGTGTGTGTACACAATTTTGCCCATCTTCACGTGCAAGCACACATGTGCATGATGGTATTGATGTCATGGCAGCATCGGCGGGTGTGCATCTCAGTGAATGTATACGTACGTGCGTGCACGTGAACACTTCGTTTCTCTCATGTTCTGCTTTGTGTTGTTTGCCCGTTGCCTCAGCTACCGTACATACTGCATGCTCGGTGATGGTGAGTCTGCCGAAGGCAGCAACTGGGAGGCATTCTCCTTTGCTGGCACGTACAAACTGGACAACTTGGTTGCCATTCTGGACATTAACCGCCTTGGCCAGAGTGACCCGACTGCTCTTCAACACTCCGTTGATGTGTACTTGGCACGTGTCAATGCTTTCGGGTAAGTTGAAGGCAATGCGACCAGCCTATAGTGCTGCTCAATGAAATCCGATCACGGCAGGAGGCGATGTCACGCCGGGCCCTGTGCAGCCCCCAGGCCTCTGCACATTGTGCTGTGCACTGGTGCAGGGCGCAAACTTAACTCGCGCGATCGGATTTCATTGAGCCACGCTGTGCATTGTGTGTACATGTACATGTACTCTGTACACTATTGGCTGGGCTTGGGCTGCTAGGACTAGAACCTTCTATGAAATGTACTGAAACTTCACTGCAATGCCCTTTGTCTTGTGTATGTATGTCTGTTAATCGAGCATCCATCATGAATATCTGCATTTGAGATTCAGCTGCGGCCAGTCATATGCTGCTGATGCACGATCTCTCCCGTACAGACGCCCAGCAAGCTCATCGTATTCCTTGCACTGACTGTAACGTTATGTGTGTGTGTGTGTATGTGTGTGTGTGTGTGTGTGTTCAGATGGCATGGAATTGTCGTGGACGGCCATGACGTTACTGCCCTCATCGCTGCATTTGAGGAGGCCAAGGCCACGAAGGACAAGCCAACGTGCCTGGTATGCAAGACCTACAAGGGCTACGCATGGGACAATGCTGCCGAGGGTATCAACGACCTGATGGGATGGCATGGAAAGCCTCTCGGCGACCGTGCAGCCGACGTTCTGGCCAAGATCAAGGCGCAAACCAACATGTCCGCATTCATCCCGCCGCCAAATCCTAACGTTACCCTGACCGAGCCGGGTACCGAGTTCATCGGCCTGTCGGCGCCACCGTCGTACAAACCTGATGAGAAGGTACACGTTTTAACGTACAGCCATGACTTGAACTGTGACCATAGCGTCTAGGATATACCGGTACTGAGGACAGCCGTGACTCAAACTGTAACATAGCGTGTAGGATACTTTCGTAACATGGTCACATGACTGTCACCAAGGTACCGACCACTGAGAGCGAGAGTAGAGTGGGCTGGTGATGTGGGTTGGAGGTGACATTGCATAATACATAATATACATGTGCAGTAGAATGATCCAAACGTCAACTATCTGAACGACTGATTAGCCGGAATATCTGTTCGAACTGAAGCGAATGGAGAGAAAAGAGCTTTTGTTGACTTCCCTACTTGCAGCAGAATTAATGGTAGCAGGTTGTCATCAACATGTATCCCCATGGAAAATTTCGAGGAGCTGGAGTGTGCCGAATTCCTGTGGTAATGTGGTAGAGAATGAGAAATGATGAAAGCATGCAATAATGCATGTTGCATGGGTGCTGGGCCGCATTCTTTATCCCAACAATGCCCCATCCTAACCCAGTGGAGATAGCTCCGTGCCCTGAGCTGGGGTGCGGATAACCGGCACTCTACTTTGAATCATTGATTTACGGCAGACCAGTGTTGACCATAGTTGTGCGTGTGCGTGTATGTGTGTGCGCGTGCTTTGATGCTTTTCCATTTTGTTGCCTAAGGTTGCCACTAGGAAAGCATACGGCACAGCCCTGAAGAAGTTGGGAGAGTCGAGCACGCGTATTGTTGGAATGGACGGCGACACCAAGAACTCTACCTTCGCCATCACCTTCCAGGCGGCGTTCCCGGACCGTTTCATCGAGTGTTTCATTGCTGAGCAGAACCTGGTGGGAGTGGGCATTGGGTGCGGGTGCCGCAAGCGCACCATCCCGTTCATCAGCACCTTTTCGGCTTTCTTCACACGCGCATTCGATCAGATCCGCATGGGCGCCATCTCCCAGGCCAACATCAAGTGCGTAGGATCTCACGCCGGCATCTCCATTGGTGAGTGAAACGTCTTTCAGCTGCCAATCCCGGCTGCATGCACTGATTCCACATGCTTCCTGCAGCATGCAGTTGATCAAGAGTTGCCAAATGACCAGGTGTTTGAACCACAACTACTTCATGGCAATCATTCAAACACCACTTTCACCCTAGAGGCAGTATGATTTTGAATAGCAGAAAAACTGGAAAAGTATTGGCAAGGCTGGATTACTGCATACCAGTGTTTTCAAGCACTACTTTGTGAAAGATTAGAAAGAACATTCCCGCCTGGACACATTGCCTGTACATTCTTCAACGTGTATAAACTTACTGTACAAGTATGCATGCTGTTTGGTACTTGTAATTGTGTGTGCTCAGGTGAGGATGGTCCGTCTCAGATGGCTCTAGAGGATCTGGCCATGTTCCGTACCATTCCTACTGGCACCGTCTTCTACCCGTCCGACCCCGTGTCCATGGAGCGGGCCGTGGAGCTGGCCGCCAACACCGAGGGCATTGTCTTCATCCGCAGCAGCCGCCCTACATCTGTCTGTGTCTATCCCATGGACGAGAAGTTTGAAGTTGGAAAGTCCAAGGTTAGGACTACATGTACTAGTATTGTGATGGAAAGCACCACGCCTGGCACGAGAGCTGTCTCCTTGGGATTGTAACGTCTCCTAGTGTTCATTGAGTGGCTAGGCTTGTCATTTCCAGGAAAGGCTTGGGATCGCTTGCCCAGTGTGCCGGTATATCATCCGCTACATGTATACTTTGTTCAAGCTTGTAAGCATTTACCGAGCTAGCTTGCAGTGTCTGTCCGCTTGCCACCCAGGCAGCCGGTTTGGCAGAATAGTAACAAAAATACCACTGCTGTTGCTATTGCGGCTGCTGTCTGCCTCTGCAGGTGTTGCGGCAGAGTGCAGATGATAAGGTGACTGTTGTCGGTGCTGGTGTGACTCTTCACGAAGCGCTGCAAGCCTACGAGACACTGAAGAAGGACGGCATCAACATCCGTGTCATTGACATCTTCTGCTTGAAGCCTGCCGACAGTGACTTGTTGAAGGCTAGTGCTGCTGCCACCGGTGGAAAGGTTGTCACAGTGGAGGACCACTACCCAGAAGGTACAGCCATCAAACTGCTCTCTCTTTCTCTCTCTCTCTCTCTCACACTCTCTCTAGTGTTACAGCCATCAAACTACTCTCTCTCTTTTGTGTTTAGCAGGTGAGTATCATGAGCTGACCAATATGTGTACATTTGTCGTGTTCTCTTGCCAATCAAGAGTGCGAGATGTTGGTCATTGAAATGAGGACACACACACACACACACACACACACACACACACACACACACACACACACTGTCTGGCCTCTGTCTCGGCCTGTGTGTCTGTCTGTCTCTCCCTTGCATGGAGCCACAGTTTTTATTGTTATGGACTGATTGTGTTGTACCCTGGATTTGTTTCTGTGTGCAGGCGGTATTGGCGGTGCAGTTGCCGAAGCTCTGAGCGAGGTGTCCGGCGTCACAGTGAAGCGCCTTGCCGTCAACGGCATGCCTTCAAGCGGTCCTGGCGCTAAGCTACTTGAGGTGCACGGCATCTCTGCCAGTCATATTGTCGCAGCTTGCAAGCAGCTGGCCTAAGTCGCGCACAAACCAACAATCCCGTTGCTCGCCGATGTCGGTGTAACGTTTCGGCAATGTTAGCCGCACCACCATCGCCATTGTCCTTCAATCCCGCAATGTCATCACCACCGTTGCTGTCGTACTTCATCAATCAATGTGTATTCCATGAAAAATAACTAGTTTGTTTGTCCTAGACACTCTGCCAGTGAGTTGGTAGTGTTTGAATTCACCAGTTGGATTGGCTAGAATGCTTCATTTCTTGCTTTGAATCTCTCTCCTAAAGCTTTCTTTGCTTGCACTTCATAGTTTGGATTTCTCCATAAGTAACCCAATAGGGGCATCCATTACTCTCCCTCTTCAGGGTTCTAACTTCTTCCGTTCACAGCAAGTATTAAAATGAACATTCCGTCATAAATAGTTACTCTTGTGGTGTACGAGCCTTGTGTGTGTGTGTGTGGGGGGGGGGGGGGTATTTGTTACACCGCAAGAAGAGAGGAGTATCTGCAACTCATCACGAGCCCAAGTCACATTTGTGCATGATCAATAGACTCAACGGGCGGGTTTGCTTTATGGTGCATTGTTGGTTACCAGTTACCAGGGGTTTATCTCCTCTTGCCAGAAAATTGCAATTTCATGGCTACAAATCTGACGAAGTTCCATGATTTCCTCTGTTCTCGGGTAAACCGCGATTCCATGGATGTATCTATTTCGGCAATTTTACGAATTTGCGGCGATTTTTGAAGTTTGTTTTTGGAAACACTGAAACACTCTCTCTACCCTCTTCTGAAAAATAGGCGGTTTTCTGGCAGACAAAACGGTAAATCGGCCAATCAACTTGCAAGTTTACCAAAAACTGTCGCCTGCAACTTTGCCGCAAATTAAGCCAATGTTAGAGAAGCAAAAAAAGTATTATTATAGAGGTTCCACATAACATAACCACGAAAAAACGTAGTCAATCTACGGAAAGTCTTACGTAAACTGCATGCGGATCTGTGTTCCGCCATACGGAGAAATCACGTAGCTGCATGCCCTTGGCAACTCCGAAGTCCGAACGAGGCAGTGTACGACCGGATGAAACTGGGGAGACAGTCATAAATTTGTTCCCCATTCCACCTTTACTGTGGGAAAACCCTAGTAAATAAAATAATAATAATAACTTATGGAGCACCTATGTTATCAGAGCCCTATCTACCAGATCTACGTACTCTACGTAGACAACTGTTACTTTCCGTAAGTGGAGTGCAGACTCGCGAATTCACGGGTTTTCCCGCCCATTGACGTAAAGTAATTAGTTGCTCAACTTTACGTAGTGCGGAACCTCTCTATTTGACCGCAAAATGTGCTGCAAAATTTCGAGCTATTCTTTGGTGATTTCCACCGGGGACAAGAATTAGCCGTGCTTTTTGAATTTCGTGTGACCTGAAAGAGAACCACTCCAGTTCTGATAGAAGACCCAGAGAATGGAATGCAAAAATATTCGGCAGCACTGCATATGCACGAATGCTAATGAGTCTCATGACAATGCAGGGGTGTTGGAACCAGTGCGACAGGTGCGGCCAAAGATGCAACAATGAAGCTATACAATATGGGCTATTTGGACCCAATTTTCCGATTTTTTCCTGCGGGGAGCCCCCCCCCCCCCCCCCCATAGCCACACCAATGCGGCAGCATGCCGAATACCTTCCGATGCTCTTGCAATGATGATGACCATGTGCATGTAGATATTGATTATGATGATCCAAATCATTGCCGCAGTGCGGTGCTATGCAGTTATGATGTAAGCAGAACCATTACGGGATAAGCGCACGGGGCACAGCGGGCGAATTCAATCGGCAGCGCCTCAACTAGAGAAAGAAGTCCGAGCTTGACAGTTATGTGTCTTGGTTAGCAGTGAATACGCTCCAGAGATGATCTAGTTGAAGTGATTTTAAAGATGACGTTGTTGCTTGCAGGCGAGGCTGCAGGTTTGACCAGGGTCTATTTCATGAGAGATATTACATTACTAATGGTAACTAGTGATTGGGAAGATTTTTCAGCATGCACATTGACAATACAGGTCGTCGGTGGCAGACAACCACAGCCTAAACAAAATCAAGGACAAGAAGAAAGTAATGCTAGAACAGACATTGCACATACAGAGTCACACCCACCCACACCACCACCACCACCAGTTATAACTTTGATCGCCTAGCAATGGATGATGGGCACACACAAACACACACACACACACCATGGGTGATAGGCACACACATACACGCACACACACACACTGACACGCCGGTAATGGGTTACGGACACACACACTGACACACACACACTGACACACCGGTAATGGGTTATGGGCACACACACTGACACACCACACTGGATACTGACTGACACCCTCGTTCCAGCGAAGGGTGACTGGGCCGTTACGTTAGTTTGTCAAGTTCTTTCCGGCATACGTCTGCTTCCTTCTTCAACTGAGCCAGCTCCTGCTTGCAGAAGAATTCCTACAAGAGAACAATAAATGAGACCAGAAAACATTCTCCGGACATTGTGGAATCGAGGCAATGTTCAACGGAAATGTAAAAAGCTCCGCAGTGCCCATATCAATGCTCAAGTGACAAGACGAGCAAGTCTACTCAACGAGGACTGGGAGTCTGTGTTCTATTCAACAGGTGGGTTATGCCTAAGAGCAGGTGCATGATTTGACAACCAGGTTATCAGTGATAGAGAGTGATAAATAGATAGATAGATAGAGAGATAGATAAATAAAGAGAAAGAGAGAGAGATAGATAAAAAAAGAGCGAGAGATAGAGTGAGTGAGCGAACGCGCGCGCGCGCGCGCGAGAGAGAGAGAGAGAGAGAGAGAGAGAGAGAGAGAGAGAGCAAGCAAAGACACTCTAGCCTGGTCGCCTTACCGCTCTGGCCACTTGTCTCTTCAGCTCCAATGCAAGGAAGTCTTTGACAGTCAGCTTGCCAATATCCTTACTTAGTAGTAGAAAAGGGCACTTGGCAGAGTGTGACTTGTGCTCAGACCTGTGCAATACAACAGACAACATCTCTGCGGTTTACAAAGGTGTCTTAATTGTTGAATTTTCGAAATTACACCCGGAAAGAGAATATTGGTATTCCTCAGAGTCTGCAGGATGGCAATGGAGACCCAGTGCGGTGGTGTCCAGTGCTTTTAAAAAAGATCGCCATGAGCTTTCCTCTATGTGATGGGTCATGCTGTGTGAAATAGTTCAGTACGGACACACCAAGTCCTGGGCGGAAATGGCGAAGCAAGTGAGAACTACCTTCAGCGGCGAAGACTGCATGAAAGGCCACAATGCGATACTGAGAGATGCGATCGAGGCCAATGCCCAAGCACGGAGGAACAGAAACATCCACACCCACACCCACACACAGATACGCACACACATGTACATGTCCGAAGCTGGGAGCTTGAAAAAGCAATGAAGCCGACGCTGGAGATGGCTTTGCCACACGTCTGCATCCGCATCTGCTGCGAAACCTTGAAAGTGAGATTTTGTCGCTCAACTAAGTTGTAAAACAACACCAAAAATCATGCAGCTGGCCACCATGGAAGTACAGCATTGGAAATTAGACATGGAAATCACAGTTGATACCACAGCCAGCAGCATCAGCATGCCGAAAAAAGCAAAGTACGGAGCACACATGCAGTCGTTGCCAAAACTATCCGGCCAATGCTACGCTAGCGGCACGGTACATGGACACCGTATGCACTACCACCGCTTGTAGTGCACTGCACATGCAACATATATGCCCTCAGGGCCTGCATACACTCACTGCGACTCAGTGCATGCAGTGCTGGTACAGTAAATGCATGCATGTTAACAGTACATGTACCATGCGACCCGGTGAAGCACCGCTGTGAACGCATACCATACCACTGTATCCATGGGAACGCGTACCATACCACTGTATCCATGGTATCAGCATGGGCCGGTTTTTTGGCGACCACTATGCATGTGGTCGTGTGGTGTTCACTCACCAAGGATCATCATCAGGGTCCCAGCCGTCAAGCTCCTTCTGGCAGACAAAGCATCGCACCAAGTCTGGCTCCATGGCACTGGGAATGTGAAAGAAGCCAGCCTTAGCCATCTGAGCAGCACGCAGGAACACAGGCAAGACACGATGGCATGCTGAGTGTTCATTGTATCTGACATGGACATTCATGATGTGATCGAACGTCTCTGTCTCTGTCTTTCTCTGTCTCTCTGGACGTCATCATGTGTGAACATGTGGCAATGTAAATGGCAAGGTGAATGGTACACCTTTCACTACACAAATCCAGGGGCGTAAATGGTCCCCCCCCCCCTTTGGGGGGGGGGGGGGGGTGGGGTAGGGGTGCACGGCAGCTGTATCATGCGTGTAGCCTAGGATGGCTGGCGCATGTCACCATGTTCATTATGTGCATGCTGAACATAGGTAGAAATTGGGGGGGGGGGGGGGGTGCACGTGCCCCATGCGGGCTACGCGCCTGCAAATCCTAGATTTAATTGTTCAGTATTTACTACGTAAAAGGCTGGTGTGCAATATAAACATCACGCAATGGGTTCACATGATAGCTACAGTGTGCATCAGGGTTGTGCAGCACTCAGAGGCTGCATGGTTAGTTTGGGTTTCCCTGCACCTGCAGAACACTTGGTTGTACTGGAGTTTCAGGTTGCCTAGTCAAACGCGCACACTCACACGCACACACACGCACACACACATACACACACACACACACACACACACATACACACACATATTATACATTATATTATCACACTCCTCAATGCCCAGGCTACTGACAAACAATCGGGGATACAACAGGCTTGTGCTGTGCACTGTGTACTGGCTGTGCAGAATCAAGACGTAGAACCTGGGATTCAGCAGCTGCTGCCTACCAGGTTCCAGTTTAGCTTGAGTTTGCATTGCATTGGCCAACACACTACCTTCAAGCAATGCCACAGATAATGTCATGATAGCAGGGATCACTATTATTGTCTACACGTTTTATATGGAAAAGGCAGGCAAGGTCATAGTCAGTTGCATTCAAGCATGCGAAAACATACACTTCGAGTGTGGAATTGGACCTGTCTTGTAACAGACTTGACAGAAATCTGTTTTATTGTCATCATAGTATATCCATACGTATGGAGACGAATTTGCGTTCAATGCACAACATGATTGTATTCATGTACGACGTACATGTACTTCGATTTCAAAAAGTGAGCAAGTGATTTTCGATAGAACTTCTGAACAATTTCCCCTGCTGGCCCGCGAGCCTGAGCACACTATGGTTCTGTTTTTCTACCGGTATCTTGCTGGAAACAAGTATCAAAATCTGGGAGAAGGGTTGATTGGTTTACTTTGCAACTTACGTTTTCAGGCGTGCAAGTACAATCGACAGTAAATGGCCAGCTGTGTTTCGCGAACGTCGCCAGCCGCTCCTCGTAGTTCCACAGCGCGAACTCATCGTCCACGTTGCTGTCAGGGGATTTGCTCGCGGACGCCATTCTGGTAGTGCTTCACACAAATTCTACTACACAACACAACGCCATGTCAAACTCAGTCATTCCTCTTTCCCTTTGATCCGAGGGGCTGAACAAATCCCAAACATGCCTTTTTCAAACACTCCCGCGCCACCATGACAAACGTCATTTTTCCGTTAGAAAAACGATGCAAAACACCCGGATTGCAATCCCAAACTCCCGTTTGGACAAAATCCTCGTTTTACTTTGATGAAACCAATCCATTTCCATGGTGAGCAAAGGACGCATTTCGAACGCGCAACCATACGATACCGTACCACTGACACTGCACAGGACACGTCGTTCTCATGCAAATAACCAGCCTTCTCGTTTGAATGGCGCCTCTATTTTCCATCTCTCCTCCGCAGTTGCTTTTCTGCTTCAGTGCTGGAAGTTCAGCCATGTGAGGCCAGAACGGGGGCTCAGGTAGTCGACCACAGATCGTTGTGGCCCACGACGCTATCCTCCACACCCGTATCGCTTGCCCGTGATACAAAAAGTATTTCAACTGTGTGACACCACTATGAAGCTCCGTTTCCAATAACTTACTTTCGACCAAGACTGCAAGAGCAAAAATTGGGTGGGTCGCCCTTGTGGAAAAATCTAGGCGGGAGCATGGAGGACGCTTGTTCCGTGAGCCTGCTTCAGACGACAAAGTCGAGAACGTTGGAGACACAACTTGCTGGGCAGCTCACTTCCTTGAGCGATGCCTCCGCTACCGGCGCACATCTGACAAGAACCCGCAAAGCACCAGCGTAAGTCAAAGTTACCACCAACGTTTGTTGTTGTTTGTTGTTGTTGTTGTTGTTGATTTTTATTTTACTTCGCAAGGCCACGTTTTGATGACAAACTCTCTACGTCTGTTCTTGAGGACATGTACAATGTGTAGATGGTTTTAGTGACTACGTCACAGTGCTGCTAATGGTGTCTGGTCAGTTGGTGTGGGATATTGGAGAACAAGTTTCAGTTGGAAATGTTTTCACGTTTTCTTTAGCTAGAGCCGTAGAGGAGTTGGAAAAGTTGTCATGACCAGAATTCTGCAGCCGCTAGTGTGTGGCGCGGTAATCCTGGTTTGAAAACGCACGTTTTATGTTCTTGCAGAGGACACGAGATGTACATCATGATGTACAGTGCATACACGTACCTGAAGGAATGCTACATAAATACTACTACCCCCCCCCCCCCCTCCGGCGTCACCGCACACTCCCGGGATGAGTATGGAACTCTATACGGGGGGGGGGGGGGGCAGTTGCTTAGAAGCCAAGTATTTGGCGGCATCTGCCTCATTGTGAATGCCATAGTGTGTGGCTGCATTCCCATGGAATTCACCGCCAAGTTTCTGGTGGACAAGTGGTTGAAAGTTGCTTTCATGTCGTGTGACGATTGCCTTGCACCATGTCGCAGTGATTTTTAATGTCGCTCTTGGAACCAAGCGGAGCATCCTTGCTGTTCAATCGTGGCAGCTTTAATCTTCTCAGCCCCTGCGCAGTCCACAACAACAGGGGTCTTATAGAAGTCATCCGGGCTGTCAACGTTTCTCGCTGGTAGCGTGACAGTGGGTACTTGCACTGCAGAGCTACATGTATCATCTAGATCGCTGTCGCTGTCTTCAGCTGCATCATGATCACTGGCATCGCTGTTGCTGTCACTGCTGTTAGCCTCGAGAGCCGTGAGTAGAGTGGAGCTGCCGTACTGGCCAACAATACCGCTTGTGTCCTGTGCGAGGGCAGCCTCCTGAGCTTTACGCAAGTCATCACGGAGAGATTTCTGCTCACCGGGGTTCGGGAGGCGCTTGTTCAGATGGACTGGGTTGGAGTGCGGCTTCAATTTGGCCGATTTCCTCTTTGTGCCAAGCCTTGCCCGGGATAACTGCATGTGAGCTATAGGACTTTGTGACACCTTCTTGGGCCGAGGTCGGTTCCATTTGCACAGCTTAGACGCGGGGAGGTGTTACCCTCCTCTCTGAAACCAAGACAGACAAGCTATTCCAGGACACATGGAAGAGAAGCGACATTATTGCACACTCCACCGAGGCCAGCTGTGCATGTGCAGAGGCACTCTTTGGTCTTATATACGGTGTCTTTCTTCATCGTAGGCAACATATTACAGCGAACAAAACTCTGATGTGTATGGGCAACTGCTTCGATCTTTTGCACATGCCCGCCATTGTAAATTTTAAATCCTTTGTCAACACCCTTTGCAGAGGAGAACACCTCACTTGCGTCAGGATCAGTCCTCGAGCTACTGGCATCCGCGTCTAGGGACCGGCGGGGCGGAGGCAAGCACAAACTGCTCCATGAAATGCCGGTAGATAGTTGCAAAACTGACTGAAGGTATATTGCGGAGACGTGACGTCCAACCCTCGGCAGGGAACATCACAACTTTGCTCAGATTAGGCAAAAAGATATTTTCATTGGCAGCCTTCAGTCGTGTACCGGCTTGCTTCCTGACAAGTTGGTAACAGTGCAGTAACAATGCATATGCACATTCACTGGTTCAAGCTGTTGTTTTTGCCGATGACATGATGTTGAAGATTGTTGGTGACTGTAAGTCCTCTTTCTTTGTGTACTGCAGAGCTGTGAGGACTGGACAAGATGTGCATTACTTCCGTCGACTACGGGAGCAGCACTTCATGGAGCTACTGGAGGTCAGTGATGTGAATTACATTTGTACAGACTGTGGAACATACCTCAGTGGACACCTCTGAACAAATGGCACTGCCACAGCCAAGGCACGCCTGCACAGCCCCCAACTCACGTTTCCCAAGGAAATAGTATGACGCTCTGCGATTGCAGTGCTGCTCAATGAAATCTGTGCGTGTCACTCAAGTACGTGCCGGGCGTTGCGCAGCCCTAGACCTGCAAACGCTGGGCTGCGAAATGCTGCAAGGCGCAAACTTGACTCTCGCGACTGGATTTCATTGAGCAGCAATGTAGTACGACACTACTCCTTATGCAGGACAGAAATGCCTTGTCCATGGGGATGTTTGAAGTTAGCATGTTCCACCATAGTGTTGAGAGCTGATGTGTATATTTAGAGGAGAACATAACAGGAGCTTTTTACACTTTTCTTAAGGTGTGTAGGCGAGTACTCGCTTGAAAACCGTGTTACTTCGAGGTCACTGCACCCTCATTTGTGAATCAAGTATTCGTTATGATTACTTAAACATTACAAAAAAAAAGTGAACTACTGTAGCGGACATGGAAATCCATTCGATTGACCGGGGCCGGCGCCCTTAGCGCGTAGATCTACAGAACGCTGCGTGCAGTGCACAGAGTCATGTTGATCTGATGCGACCAGCGCGCTGCAGCGCGTAATGCATGTTCCGCTTATCGATGGAAGCTTGGCCAGCGCCCTGGGGACGCTAGACGTGCGACCAGATTTCCATGTCCACGGCAGTACAACAGTCCGTTCTGCAACACTGTACTCTCTGTGGGTAGGATATTTTGTGGGATTGCCTGGGTATGAGGACCTGGGGCTATAGTCTAGTACACAGCGGGCCACACATCAACTGAAACTTGTAAAGTGTAGTTTGAGTACAAGTTTTTTGGTGTGCGAAATTGTCTGTTTTGTATGCCGCGCATGTACGGTGTGTGTGTGTGTGTGTGTGTGTGTGTGTGTGTGTGTGTGTGTGTGTTTGTATATATGTGCGTGCATGTGCATCAGGTGCCGGAGATGCCTCACTGGTCCACACTGAGGGATACGATGCAGCAGGAAGAAGCCGCATGCTTGCAGTCTGACTTCTCACCGGAGACTTTACCCTTGATCTTGCACCAGGTTAGTTAGTCCTCAACACAGCTAGTGTTCTATGTTGTGCTTACAGCCTCTTACCTTACACGGTATACCACGGTGTCATCACGCGCACCAACTAATGACATGGCGTCGTTTCATGCGGTTTACCAAGGATGTACTAATCCAGAAAAAATTACATAAATCGTACAAAACTAGGTACATTGCTCTTGTAAACCCTGGCAATTCGAGGAATTATAATAATAAATATTAGCAGCGACAAGAAATCCAGCTGCAACCATCACGTCGTAACATGGTTACTGGGGCATCTGTCAAGGCAGTGACCACGGTGGGCTTCAAAGCAGCATGGACATGGTTGCCATTGAATGCGCCACCGTGGTACACCTGACGCTCGATGTGGTGCTTCTGCAGAACGGGATCCAAGGAGCTCTGCAATGGACCATGTAACTCCTTCGCCTTGCCTGTGGCTTTCTGAATCTCTGTCACAGTTCAAGTTTCTGCTCCTGTTTCTCAAGTTCCGCACGTTGGCTAGACCCGTGCGTCAACCCGTCCTGCAGCTGGCATGCCATCTGCTGCCATTCGTCACTGTGCTGCTGTGTCCAGAATACGGTGAACTGGAGCATATGTTCTAGTAGTGTCTGCTGATGTTCAAACTCGGCAATGTTGGCAATGTATGCACTTCTAGATATTAGGCTGCTGATAGTCGGAATCCTCTTCCATCAGCATCCACCGGAGTAGACCGAGTGGCATGTTTTATGTCAAGCTGGTTAAGTTCTCGTTCTAAACGCTCGAAAAGCCATGCGAAAATACCGAGGTCCAGATGCAGACCTGGAACGACAGCGTCGGCAACTGGTATGGGAAGCAGGATTGGCCGAATGACGTTAAAGTTCTTGGCGTGACTCACTCTTGACCCGTCGCACAGGAAGCGTTGGTGGTCGTCTGCCAGTGTTATCAGTGTTCTTGGTTCTTTGCCCTCCTCTGGCTGACGACTAGGATCCTCAGCCATCGACTTTTTCAAACAATGGCAATGCTGGCATGGCCTGGCACCACTCGGGCCTGACAAGCCATAGCTGCTACATTGAAATTTGTAATCTCCGAAGAGAAAAACACGCAGGCGCTTATCCTGCCAGGCTATACCCATCAGCTCACTTATTTGGTCCTTAACTGTTATACATAAAAGCTGCGTGCAGATTCCCGGGAGTATCCTTTTCGTTGAAGATGCATATGGGAACAGTGTTCTTTACAGTGTTTGGATGCAAGATGTTAGCGACCTGTGCACGGCATAATTTGACACCACAGCAACAACACAATGTTGACATGACATCATACTGAGATCCATGTAACGTTACCTCTAGCAGTTGCCACATTATAATCTGCAATTTGTTTTCGCAATCGTAATATAATAATGCTGGTTGATACTAATGATAAATTCTTACCTGAAAGCTGAGCTTAAATGTGCCACCGCCATGGTCACCGCCGACCTTTATCCATACTTCTGCCTCAGGTATGCCATTGCTCCATATGAGCCTATCCGCGCCCTTTAACTTTGTCAGGGAAGAATGTGACGATACTGATGAGATCGGGCAGATATATAGTAGCAGCCATGACAATGTCTCCACTTCGCTTCATCATTGGAATGTGTTTCACACTGTACTGTGGGACTTGGGTGGCAGTGAACGATCTCATCTTCCTTTCCGCTGACGCCAGCTCCACACCCATGGACTTCAGCCATAGACGCACGCAACAATCGGAATTTGTTGTATGAAAGCTGAAGATTAGCTATCATTGTCAGGGCTATATCCGGACTGGTAGCCGAGTAGTGCAGGCCTATTTCTCGGAGCAAGCTCTCTTGCTCGGCTATTGACAAACGCTTTATGCCAGCTGCTTCCTGGGCTCGCAGGCCTCTCTCTCTCCACCATTGAGTATGGTATACCTGGGGTCTGGTTTTGACTTCTAGTCGTCCTTCAGTGGGTTTTATTTGTGACGATCGCACCGGCAAGCCGATCAGCGATGTCACCTCGCATCTTTGATGGTGAGGCCTGCAGGAACTTCACCGACCAGGGACGATGCACTGACTGCTCGAATAGGCATTGCTGGAGTTGCAGGGTTGAATGAGCAGTCACTCACATGCTGTTGAAGACTGCGCAGCACAACTGTGACAGGGCACCCTACCATAGCTGGCTCATAGTGGACTGTGAAGTTTTGGAGGAACCCACAAACTATGTTGTTTGGCTGCTCTAGCTCTGATGCTTGCATCGGTGCTGTGCATTTCGGACAGGCGGCTTTCTGCTGTAGCCAATTGCAAATGCATGCACAGTAGAACATTTTCTCACAGCAAGCTGCAAGCACTGCTCCCTCCATCACATTCTGACATAATGGACACTGTGCTCGCTTAACGACGTTCCGATCAATAAACCGTTCGGGCTGCAGAGGTTTACCAGCTTGATATGCGGGTGTGGCATGCTGCTGGATATCAGACTCCGTCCTATCCATGTCGCTTACTGGGTATGGTGGGGTGAGGGTTTGTTGGTGCTGCTTCTGTCGGTGATGTTGGCGTGCTCGTGCGTGCGGGCGATGGGGTTTTCTCCCATGCCGCACGTTCGTCCTGCATTTGAGTTGCGCGCTCCGGCTTCCTACCTGGTTTGGAAGGTGTGCACACTGAACATTTTGTCTCACTATGTGGCTCCCATTTCTTGACCGGTCCACATCCACCTCCAGCGAATGTTGGGCCCACAGCACTAGCACTGCGATCGATAACCAATTTGCATGTGTGGCAAAAATGATCAGGGTGTACATTTGGCTCATCTTTTGACACATTGAGGTGAAATACTGCCAAAATGGATTCAGTATGATCTGCGACACGATACTTGGTCCGTACACTCCTTGACGCGAATTTCTCCCCTCCAATGCAACACACAAAGACAGGATGTTAACATGAGCCTCCAATTCTGAACAAAATAATGTCTCTTAACTGGCCACGAATAGTTAGAGTGGTGCACGTGAAGCTTAGGAATACACTAAATCGAATGCTGGGACATCGAGGTATCCTAGAAAATTCCCTGCGAGGTGGAGAAAATTCTCTGACGAGGTTGGCGAGGCCTTGAAATCGAGCGACGATCCAAAAATAATTGTACCCACGTCGAGAAAGAAACCATGCGTAGCGCGTGGGCGACCCAAGAAAATCGGTCGAGCGGTGGCACAGCCGAAGACAAGACCAGTCCAAGCCCTAAACTCTATCGAATGACCTGGCAAACACCCGTGGTTTCAGTTGACCTTGCCCATTTGAGATGGAGGTCAAGCGAAATTGCAAACATACGACTAGGCAAGGTTGCGTAAAAAAAATGAAAAAGATTAAAAGTTGGCCGCCATATTGAATGAACGAGCGTCGCATGCATGGGACAGCCGTGATACTAGCACTCCTGCCTGGAATGGAGGCATATGCCGTGTAGACATTGATTTTCTTACATTGAATGAATAGAGACTGTGTGGTGCTGTTAGAAACACCAGTGCACAATTCTGCTGTAGGAATGCAGTGGACCAGTGCAGTGGACCAGTGCAGTGGACCGGTGCAGTGGACCGGTGCAGTGGACCAGTGCAGTGGACCGGTGCAGTGGACCAGTGCAGTGGACCAGTGCAGTGGATCTGTGCAGGGGATCTCCCCCCTGAATTTTTTTGAAATTAGGGTGCAAAATCCTGCATTCTGGGCACTTTTTGGTATTGTTTTACTATGGTGGTCGTGGTTGGGCGAAAAAGTGGTCCGGCCAATGCCGGACCGGCCGGAGCGGCTGCTACGCCCCTGCTTAAGAGCATTGGAGACATGGAAATCCAGTGTGTTGTGCCTTGTGCAAATCCAGTGTGGTGTGCCTTGTCTGTAGAAGTAGTAGTCTGTTGCAGCAGGTCAAAATTCCAGCCTTTATGTGAATGCATGGACGCTGAAACATGTGTGTGTGTGTGTGTGTGTGTCCTTCTGTACATGTGTGCATGTATGTGTCTGTGCCGTGTTCTTGTTGCTACGTGCCCATGTGACGGTGTGTGCAATGCAATACAGTTTTTCGTGGACCGCATCGCGTCGCTGGTTCGTCTTCGGCTGATGTACATGCAGCGCTGGTCTAAGCAGCAGAACGTGAACAGCCTGGGCACTACAGCACTCTACGAGCGTTACAAACAACACCTTAGGTTTGTCAGCGTAATGTAGTTGCTCGTCTTCTCCATTCGAAACCACTTGCAACCTGAGATGTGAATTAGCCTCTTTTCAGCCTTTCCCATTTCATAATTATGGACACTGTTGCGTGGTATTCGGAAGATATTGATGCAGTACACACTGGTACTGTGTCACGGTTTAGAGAATTGGATAGCATGCATGTTCTACAAGTGCGGATGGGTATTTTCAGCGTTCTGCACAATATGTGGAAAGAAATTGACGGGTCAATGTGTATGTATTGCATAGAGTACTCAATTTACTAGCATGGTGGAATGGTGGTTGCACAGGCAAGGCATGTTTAATCCTGGTGTTGTCGTGCTAATGTTAGGTTAGTCTCTCTGCACAACAAACATTTGGTAGTCAACATCTTTCTTGGCTGTTCCCTGGCATTGATTGCACGCTCACTGTCCTGCCCGCATTCACATTCGGACGGACACTCGCGCTCGGACATTACGCGAGGAAACGACCGTGACCATTTCACAAGCATGTGCACATGAGAGAAAAGACTACAAATCACAGAGTCATGATATTACACATACCCATCACAGAGTCATGATTTTATAAGTACTATACAGTCAAACCTCTTTAGGACGAACACCAACGTACCAAGGGTACTTGTTCGCAATATCGGGAGTTCTTCTTATCCAAACTATATACCCAATGAATATACAGTTCTTTGCCCAATAGAGTTACGACTACGAGTACTAGTTCTTCTATAGCAATAGTTTGTTTTATCCTGAGTGTTCTTCTGAACGAGTTTTCACTTTAGTATATACGTGGATGAGCATGACGTAATGCAAGACATAGCACTCACACTTCCATTGCGTTTTCCACTGGTCTTTGAGTATGCGTGCTTCGATCACGTTCTGCTGCAGTATGGTGATGACGGAGTATGACGACTGCGTGCAGAGAGCAGAGCGCCTGGCTAGTGCACACGATGCCTGCCTTGCTGGTAAGCCTGTGCGGCTGGGCCTGGTCAAGGACGAAGATGTCAACATCTACCTGCGGCACCTGGTCTTGACGGAGCAGAGCTGGAGAGACCCCTCTGCCTTCCTAGCTGTGAGTAGAGATGGTAGGACCATCTTATTAGTACGCAATCTGGATACAGTATGGTTGGTCCATTGTAGGTTCATCAATGCAGTACAGAGAAATGGTGTAAATTTTTGTACTTACATTTGATTTTACATGTAAATGTACGCTCATACTTGTGTTGGGGTAATTGTTTGTATTCAGCAACTGAAATGGCTACCGCATAGCAACCTTCATGTGCTCCACCAACTCTTGCCAGTAATGGATGTCAACGCCTGGGAGAATGAGGCTGACGCTCGCAATGAACTTACCAAGCTGAGAGCGGTACGTATGTGTGAATGTGTGTGTGTGTGTATGTGTGTGTGTGTGTGTGTGTGTGTGTGTGTGTGTGTGTGTGTGTGTGTGTGTGTGTGTGTGTGTGTGTGCGTGTGCATGTGTGTATGTGTGTTTGCCAGGCACCCTATATGACCACTGAGAGGTGTGGTAGCATAGTGCTAAGTTTCCCCTGCTCCTTTCAACTGTCACTTGCGCTTGACCAAAGTTGCAAACGTAATCACTTCTAGGCTATCGTTAGTGGAGAGTACCCCTACATACCACTGTATGTGCCTAGTCACCTACAGGTAGGTCACACCACTGTATGTACCTAGTCACCTGCAGGTAGCTCACATGCTTAGCTGTGTGTGTTCATCAGGTTGATACCAGTGTTGTGCCATTGCTGTCTGTCTGTGTACCCAGATGGCACCACGTGCCAATGTACAGTGGAAGATCGCTTTCCAGAAACGCCGAGCCACAGTGCCTAATCCCACTGATGTTGCCAATTCCACGTCCAAGCCAAAGCTTCCCCTACCACTCCTTTCGAAAGTTCTGCAGCGGCCAAAGTCCGAAACAATTCAACAGGAGTCAATTGCGGAGGTTGGCGACAAGCCGTACTGTCTCTCCAGTCCGCTGGAGGAGTACAACGACTACGGCGATGTCACTCCGCATGTGCACTGTGAACGTGCGTATCGCGCCGTGCTGGCAAGACTGCTGACCACATACGGCCTTCAGTCTGTGAGTTCTAATCCCCTGGGTATTCCGTATCCCTTGCGTAGTGCTTACCTCTGTGTATCGTTAATACGCACGTACTACTGGTGTGTTTGTTTGATATCTATGATTCTACTGATAGAACTTCTGAACAAAGTTATCTCATCTCTGAATGTGTGAGTCAGGTTTTCTCCTCTCTGATAACGATTCCTCTGGTTGTGCGGTAGAAACCAAGTAACTCTGTCTGTGTGTCCTTCGCAGAGTCACTGTGAATGAGTCACTTTCCTCAGGTGATGCGGGCAGCGCACTTTGTGTCAATGTTGTTGAGGATTCATCTTTTCTGTGTTGTCTTACTTCTTAGTCCTGGAACTACGAGAAGAAGTCTGATCAGCTGGAGATGTTCAAGCTTGTCTCCGACAAGTTCAAGACGACCATGGAGCGCCAGGGCAAGCAGATGACTTTCAAGGTTTATCTATTTCCAGAACACTTGGTAAGAAGCAGTGGCGAGGCTTCCTACAGCTTCATTCATAGGAAATAATTTAGCGAAAACCCGCTCTTTCCCATGCGTGCTGCAATAGTATCAAATTCGTTTTTATTAATTCTGACAACGTCTCGGCAAAATCGCATTCGCCAGATTTGCAGCTTGATAGGAAGTCGTGACTACTACTTGCCCGAGACTAGGACGCATGATGTAGGCACACTGTCGTGTGTGGTGCGCACCGCTCCTGGCCTCCTACCCACCCACACCTCGTCAATGTCTCCGTGACTGTGTTGTGTTTGCAGGAAGACAAGAAGCCGGCAGATGCTGGCAAGACGCCACGCACCTCCTGCAACAGGATCTGGTTGAAAGAGGCAAACTGGCAAGACGAAAGCAAGCTGGTGTGAGTATGACTGTAAAATTTCATTTGTACCTTTTTCGGTGTTTGACCTGTTTGGTGGTGGGTCTGATCTTCTCATGTTAGCTCTGTGTGTGTGTGTGTGTGTGTGTGTGTGTGTGTGTGTGTGTGTGTGTGTGTTTGTGTCGGCTCACAGGCCGTATGTCGATCCTGTTCAGGAAGAAGTCGTCAGCCAACTGAGGAACAATACCAAAATTGATGAGGTACCTTTTCTGGCTCTGCCTCACGCCGGTGTGTGTGTGTGTGTGTGTGTGTGTGTGTGCATGTGTATGTGCACGTGCATGCGCTCGTGTGTGTGCATGTGTGTGTAGGGAGGGGGGGGGGGTGCATGCATGCAATGCCTGTATTATTTCTACCGGTCATGTGTGTGGCTTGTCACTTCAGAGCTTTGCAGCGCTCTAGTCAAAGAGTTTGTCCACAACTCTCTCAAACTTCATAGCCAGCCTGTGTAGAAAATGTGCCATTGATGCACTGGCAACCTCCAAGCTGCTAGCAGTTTTTTTAATTTTTATTTACTTACTCCACGCAGTCTCAAAGCATAATATTATGCAAAACAACAAAAAATTCACGGTTCGCGTGAGACTCAGCTGGAAGCCGAGTTTTCCGCATCCGTAGGAACGCCACCACCCTCTAGGATCAAGGCGTAGATGCAGCTCGTAAGCGGTGGGAGGTGAGTAGATCAGACACACCGCAAATTGGTCAAAGACTGAAATCCCACTCACTGCATATATAGGCTGAGTGCATAATTGCCAGAAGAAATCCGCTGTCTGACATCCGCTAGCCGACTTTCTGTTGCTGTGCGTATACACTATCTGCACCACAAGTATTCTGTGCAAGGTATACCAAATGTTTGCAAGTAGCTTCTGCTGTTCCTGTTTGTATTATTTATATGTTTCACCTTGTCATGTCCCTTATTCCCTCTCTCATAACAGCCACCTTCACTTCCTTTCCCCAGGAGACTTCCTTTGATAGACATCCATTTGCCTCTGGAGAATCCTTGAAAATATAATATCAGGTATTGAGCCAATAATAAATGTAGAAAGGAAAAGGACATATGGAAACGAGTTAAGAGTAACTCTCCACCACTGTAACTGTATATAGTATCTAGTTACAGTGATGGAGAGTTACTCTTAACTCGTATCCATGTCCTTTTCCTTTCTACAATATAATATCAAAAAATAATTATGCAAGCAGTGCTAATAATATTGTGGGGAGCAACCTCAGAGATGAGGGCGATACCCAACAATGGCAAAGGTACAAAAAAAGAGGAGAAAACATTGGAAAGAATGGAACAGGGAGGTTTTGATAGCAAGATGACTGTCATGTCATGTGCCATCTGTCACTCTTTACCAGTTACTACGGCTGTCAATGGATGCTTGTCAGCTGCATCACGCTGAAAAAGTCATTTACTCTCTGAAACGTCACGTTGCCACGAGTCGCAAGCCACCGCCACTCTCCTCTCTATCCAGACCCTCAACCACTCAGTACCGTAGCACAAAACGAGATGACCACGTTCCGGCTCTAACGCAGATGTGGGAGCAGATCTTGAAAGGCGTTGATCCGTTTGAGTGAGTTCTCATAAGCCTTCAGAGCTTTTAGCCCGAAGAGACCAAGGGAAGGGCTGTGAAGTCTAGTACGTGTTTAGTTCTCTCTGCCCGGTGTTTAGCCGATAGGAATTAAGAGGTGCCTGTGAAATCCCGTGCATGATTGTTAAAGGGGAAGTATACCCTAAAATCAAATTTTCACCAGTTGTAGTCTTCGGGGTGCTGAGTCGAATGGTCTTGGTCCGAGGAAGCTGAGACGCTCCCTTCCTACTTGAATCCCAATCGAACTCGCGCACTTCCACCGAAACTGGGTGACTGCGCCCTACTAGATGGGGATTTGTATGCAAAATGTCACTAAAAGCGCCATTTCGTTCTTATAAAAGCACGGATGACCGCGATTGGCCCATATATTGTAGTCTTTTGGACGCTGAGTCGACTGGTTTTGGTCCGAAAAAGCTGCGATGCAGCGTTCCTCCTTTATTCCCAATCGAACACGGCTGAACAAGCGGTCACGTGCTCCTGCGTACACCAGTCACCTGGTCACCGTGCCTGCAGGGTACAACTTACTAGCCTGTTTGACCTTTTTTGGGTGCAGTCCTGTCACTCGAGTTGACCTCGAGTTGAACCTTGGTGTGAAAGTTGTCGCCTGCTGGCGCGGTGACCAGGTGATTTGGGCACCCAGGAGCACGTGACCGCTTCTTCAACCATGTTCGATTGGGAATAAAGGAGGAACGCTGCATCGCAGCCTTTTCGGACCAAAACCAGTCGACTCAGCGTCCAAAAGACTACAACATATGGGCCAACCGCGGTCATCCGTGCTTTTATAAGAACGAAATGGCGCTTTTAGTGACATTTTGCATACAAATCCCCATCTAGTAGGGCGCAGTCACCCAGTTTCGGTGGAAGTGCGCGAGTTCGATTGGGATTCAAGTAGGAAGGGAGCGTCTCAGCTTCCTCGGACCAAGACCATTCGACTCAGCACCCCGAAGACTACAACTGGTGAAAATTTGATTTTAGGGTATACTTCCCCTTTAAGTCCATGTCTCCGCTACGCTGCAAGTGCTAGTGGAGGAGATCCGCACAATATTGTGGCTGTGGAGGTTATTGGCATGCCTCGGCCACGACACACCGTATCAACATGAAACTGTGTCTGATATCAACTGTCTGTCAGTATCCCCGAATGTACAGGGTGCTGGCCGTCCAACTATTCGATCTGTTCCCAGGGGACATCCTCTGTTTGAAGAATGATGTTGCTTTCCGTGTGACGACATTTCCCAAAGCGGCTGTCTCTTGTCTCACGTGCACATGTGATCTGAGCATGATTGTATATATTTCGCAAGGGAGAACACGTCTTCACATACATTGTGTTTTTGGGTGTCAGAAGGGGTTGGATAGCCTGCCATTATCATCTACTGTACCGCACACTGTGTCCTTCACAAATAAGAGGAATAGCTAGCTGACCAAGATGTGCTGTATACAGGCAGATAGAACTTGCTCATGCAGCACATTCAAAAGAGTTGCAATACGTTATCATCTGTTCTCCCTACTATTTACTGCTGTCGATGGTTGAGCTTTGTCATGTCCTGCTGCCGTCGTGTATGCTATGTTTGTTTGTGCGTACTGTAGTCCCTCGTTTCGAATTAATGGCGGCAAGAGTCGTGCTGGCAGTGGTCGACCTCGGAATCTGCCAGACGACGCAAAGCAAGTGGATCATGGTGCGGACGGAGTGGATCCATTTGCAAAGGTTAGTGCACACTGTTGAAAATGCAACTTCAACAAATTGGAATTTATCACTCCGATGCATTCTGTGGCACGTTTGACAGGACAGTAAGACTGTGCAATGTAGAGATGTCCCCATTTCAGTGCAGGTGCTCACCATGGTTTGGTTACTAGCATACTTCCACACTACATCAACCAGAGCTGAAGTTCTAAGCGGTGGGCTGTGTATGACTATGTACTGACAGGAAACAGAACTGAGCTACCTGCTTCTCTTTCTTTTCTTCATTTCAGAAAAGTGTGCAGAAAACAAGGGTATGCAAGTAAGAACTAAGCGTTGCTGATACACACTTTCCACGCTTAGTTTTTTCTTTTCCTTTTTTTTACAGATACAGACCAGTTCGTTTGACTTCAACAGTGCTAGCAGAGTGTTGGCTGAGCAACAAGAATCGCTGTTCGGCTCACATCAGCAGCAGTCGGAGGAGCTCCTGGACAGCTTCACGGCCTTCACCATGCTGCGACACCTGCGCATCCGCGACTTGCGCCGTACGGTAAGCCAGGTTGTGTTTGCGCATGTGAGTGTGAATGCATGGGTGAGGTAGAGATACATACAATGTAGATTGATAGACAGGGAAAGAAAGAGAGAGTGAGAACATACGTGTGATTTTGCACTTCTTAGCCTTTGGAACAGTTACTGCTGGTAAGGCCACGGAAATTCCAACTGATGTGATGCCGTTGCACAGTATCACGTATGTAAAGTCACTGGCCCCTGCATCACTGCGTAGAGATCTTGGGAGGTCATGGCATTGGGCGTAGTCCATTTCACTGGACATCATCCCTCGTTTCTGGTACGGATGTTCTGTATGGTCATTATTGACACTTTCCCAAAGTATTAGTTTTCCTGACTAAACCACTCGTGCCGTAAATGCATGGTCCTAGTTGTGCCCTGGTGTTTGTGCCCGTTGGACCCAGCATCCTTGGACTACACCTGTGTGACCTAGGATTGGATGATGTGTACAGCGACATTCCAGTGAAAAGATATGAGCGGTGATTGCCTTGTGTTTTGTTTTCTCTCTTGTGTCGCCTGCAGGCGTTGAGCATTTTCAACTACTTTCGCTCTGTGGAACGCAGCCTGGTTATCGGCCTGACAGGCCTGGCTAAGGGCAAACAGCCAGGGAAAGCGGGCACAACGTAAGTGAGGGAGGGATGGAGATGGGGGAGGGAGAGGGTTTCTGTGGACTACTCTCCATACTGGATTCTACCTCACGAAAGGCATACACCGAAATTTGGAAAGGAAAAAATGTTACGAGTTAGGAACTAATAAAGTTACGAGCTACTGGAGTCCTTCTTATAATATGAGTGTAATTGGCTCACTATCCGAGTACAAACTGCCATTTAGCAAGTCATTCTATTTGTCCATTCGCAACAATGTGCATTGTTGCTGGAAATCGTCGGAAAGCTCAGTATGTGCACTAGCTGTCTAGTGCTGCTGTAACTGGGCCGGTCAAATGTAACTTTACACATTGCTGCTGTGGTTGGACTGGTGACCAGGTCTATTACAACTTTACTCGGAATGGCAGACAGTGAGACAAGAATTTGGAGCCACCGAGAAAAAGGCATGACGTCATTGTTACCAATGCATCATTGTGCCGTGAACAGCCTGTTACATATCCAACAACCTATACAGCGTCGATTGTTGTTTGTGCTCTGTTTCTACAGCCAGGCGTATGTGTTTGAGAAACCATCAGACTATCAGATTAGCGCCCAGGAATTCATGGAGATCCAAGAGGTATGTGTATGTGCCCGGCTTACCCCTTCTCCATGAAGCAACTCTGTGTATCAACATGTGACGGGCGGCTTTCCCCTTATCCATGAAGAGACTTTTGTTGTGTCTCTAACCAAGAGACTGTGGGTTCACACGTAGAGTTTACATACAAGTTTATTCTACGGTTGCAAAGCAATAAGAAGCGTTGAGGTATGATTGTGCTAGGGGATATAGGAGTTGTATCCCGGGTGCGGGATGCGTTGGGTGTTGGGTGGCAGTACAATGAATTGCTATAGAGAGTTCATGCCTAAGCGGTTGTGGTTTTAGGGTGGATCAATAGTACTTGCAATTAGATGAATACATGTCTGGTACATACACTACATTCCTCCCCTAAATGTTATGGTACATGTTGAGCTACGAGGTATTCCTATACGGCATAACATTTAATGCACAAGAAGAAGAAGCGGATGAGCTGAGAGCACGGGACAGCAATTGTGTGAGCAAGAAGCAATTCAGTCTCTCAGGCGAGCCGGCAGGACTCGGGCTCTCGGCGGGTTACGGCGGGGTTCAGTCGTATCTTGTGCCAGCGGCGACTGGACCTGCTGCGTTGCCGTAGTTGCAGCTACTAGTGTTTGCGCAGGCGGAGGTGTTGGAGTAGCAGCGGCTTGGACACTGGGTGGTGTCGGAACACTAGCTGGCAAATGAGCAGTCGGAAAGCACAAACTGTGATCCGGTTCTGCCACGGACGGCAAAGGCGCTGTGTTCATCGGTACGGATGATTGCGGAGCGGAGTCGGCTGACCGGAGCTGTTCAACATGGCGCCTCCATTGCTGGTCTGGGCCAACTTCCACTGTATAGTGGCGGAAGCCGTGTACCGCTTCTCGGTGTCCGTCAGGGACCGTGACACGAAGGCAATCGGCCTTTCCGTACCATCCGGCATGATGTGCGAGAGCACCGCCCCCAGGCCATATGGCGATGCGTCGGTTGCCAACTGCACGGGCAGATCGGCATCAAAGTGCATGAGGACCTGATCCGAGGCGATGGCTGCCTTGATAGCCTTGAATGCAGCCGCGCATTCAGCTGTCCAGCGCCAGGACTGACCCTTCCGGAGCAGGTTGTTGAGTGGATGCAGGGTCGTGGAGCAGTCTTTGAGGAAGCGCTGGTAGTAGCACACCATGCCCAAGAAGCTCCGTAGCTGGGACACGTTCTGCGGTGCTGGGGCTTCGTTGATAGCCTTGACCTTGCCATCAGTCTTGCGCAAGCCGTGGCGACTGACAATGTGTCCACAGTACTCGACTTGGTCTGCAAAGAACGTGCACTTGGCCGGGTTGACTCTCAGGCCGTGGTCCGACAGACGACTCAGGATGCTTTCCACATTGTCCAGGTGGTCATCGTCGTTGCGGCCGGTGACAGTAATGTCGTCCAGCAGGCAGGCCTGGCTTGGGACGCCGTGCAAGATGCGGTCGATAGCCTGTTGCCAGAGCGCTGGGGCAGAGGCAACACCGAACCCGAGTCGGTTGAGCTGATACAGGCCCTTGTGCGTCGTGAGTGTGAGGAGTGGTTTGGATGCGTCATCCATCTCCATTTGGAGGTATGCCTGCTTTAGGTCGATTTTGGTGAATCGCTGGCCTCCAGCCAGGGTGGCGAAGACATCTTCCACGCGTGGTAGCGGGTGCTGGTCCACCTTCAGGTGTGGATTCAATGTGGCTTTGAAATCTCCACAGAGACGAACTGAGCCGTTGGGCTTCATCACAGGCACAATAGGTGTCGCCCACTCACTCCACCGTACCTTACTCACGATACCCAGACCTTCCAGCCTGTCCAGTTCAGCTTCCACCTTTGGCCGCATGGCGTAGGGCAATGGGCGCGCCTTGAGGAAGCGAGGGCTTGCATCGTCCTTCAGCTGGAGACGAGCCTTGGTGTCCTTGAGCTTGCCAAAGTCGTCGCTGAACACATCGGAGAATTTCTCCTTGAGCTGCTCAAGACGCGTACCTGCTGATCCTGGATGCTGCTGGCCAGGGGACACGGTTGCGGAGGGGACGTCAGCCATCTCGACCTGGAACAAGCGCTGCCAGTCGAGAGCGATGTGGGCAAGCAGGTCCCGGCCACAGAGCGCTGGCCCCTGCGTGTCCACCACATGCAGTGGTAGCTCCGCGGATTGATGGTAGTATTCCACGCGTGCTACGAACGTTCCGCGAGGATGCACGGGCTCGCCGGTGTACGTACGCAACTTCAGCTTGCTCGCGGTGAGAGGCGAGGCAGACAGCGACTTTCGATAAATCGCACTCGGAATGATTGACACCGCAGCTCCAGTGTCGACCTGCATGCGGACCGACTGGCCATTGACGATAGCATCAATCCAAAGTGCCTTCCGCACGGTCGTGGGTGTCGTTTCATCCGTGGCGACTGCTGGCGCTTGAAGGACGTCTGCGGCTAGAAGAGAAAGTGAATTGAACTCGTCGTCGTCCGCGACATCGACAGCCAAGCTGTGGCAGGCGCTGCTACCACTTGAGCGTTTCGCTGAATCTGTCGATCTTTCCGCGAGGCGCTTCTTGCAAACCTTGCGGAGGTGCCCAGTCTTCCTGCAGTGGCGGCATTCATATGCCTTGAAGGGACATTCACTTGCGCCGTGTGCCGTCGAGCCACAGCGGAAGCATGCTGAATAGCTCGTACGGGATTGACCTGAGTTCGCGGACTTCGCACCTCCGAACGATGGTCTGCCAGCACGACTATGTTGCGATGTGCCCAGAACGTGTACACCAGCAGCAGTGGCACTGCCCGCGAGCTCGGATGCATCGCGAGTAGCTACCTCCAGGCTGTTGGCTTTCTCGATGGCGGTCTTCAGAGTGAGGTCCTTCTCTGCCAACAGAACTTTGCAGAGAGCTTGACTCCTGATACCACACACGAACCGATCCCGCAGCGTGGTATCCAGGACATCGCCAAACTCACAGAATCGTGCCAACCGTCGGAGCTCCGCGAGGTAGGCATTTACTGACTCTCCTTGGCGTTGATCCCGCTTGTGGAAACGGTATCGTTCCGCGATCACCAAGGACAATGCGCAGCCAGCGCGTCGGACAGCTCCTTCAGCGTCTTGGCCTTCGGTTTGTCCGGGCTGACCAGGTCAGCCAACAGTTTGTAGGTCAAGCCACCAATCAGGGTCAGGAAGGTGGCTACTTGCCTGTCTTCGGCCACATTGTTGGCAGCGAAGTACTGCTCGACGCGGTCATAGTACGTAGACCAATCCGTCGTTCCAACCGAAAATGGTTCCATGGCTCCAATTGCAACGGCCATCTTCGTCGCCAGTTGTTGTGTCTCTAACCAAGAGACTGTGGGTTCACACGTAGAGTTTACATACAAGTTTATTCTACGGTTGCAAAGCAATAAGAAGCGTTGAGGTATGATTGTGCTAGAGGATATAGGAGTTGTATCCCGGGTGCTGGATGCGTTGGGTGTTGGGTGGCAGTACAATGAATTGCTATAGAGAGTTCATGCCTAAGCGGTTGTGGTTTTAGGGTGGATCAATAGTACTTGCAATTAGATGAATACATGTCTGGTACATACACTACAACTTTGTGTATCAACATGTGACTGACCCTGTTTGCTTCTTGTCTAAGCATTGGTGGATAACCATGAAACACCCAGTAACAGCCTAAATTCAGCCTATTTCCATTGCTAACTTGTGTCCTGGCTCTGCCCTCGTGGCATTGAGTACTTTTTGTAAGGGGTTAGCAATACAGCCTGTGCTACTGACCCAGTGCAAATCAATTTGCTGCTGTTTGTTGCTGAGCCTGTTGTTGTTGTTGTTGTTGTTGTTGTTGTTGTTGTTGTTGTTGTTGTTGTTGTTGTTGTTGTTGTTGTTGTTGTTGTTGTTGTTGTTGTTGTTGTTGTTGTTGTTGTTGTTGTTGCTGTTGCTGTTGCTGTTGCTGTTGCTGTTGCTGTTGCTGTTGCTGTTGCTGTTGCTGTTGCTGTTGCTGTTGCTGTTGCTGTTGCTGTTGCTGTTGCTGTTGCTGTTGCTGTTGCTGTTGCTGTTGCTGTTGCTGCTGCTGCTGCTGCTGCTGCTGCTGCTGCTGCTGCTGCTGCTGCTGCTGCTGCTGCTGTTGCTGTTGCTGTTGCTGTTGCTGTTGCTGTTGCTGTTGTTGTTGTTGTTGTTGTTGTTGCTGTTGTGGCTGTTGTTGCTGTTGTTGCTGTTGTTGCTGTTGTTGTTACAGGTATCAAACCATGATGACCGGCATGTTGTGGAAGGTGGACGTGTGCAGGTCAAGGACCAGTGGAAGTACCATGTCGTGTATGACGTTGCCGTCGACGACCTCAAGTAAGATACATTCACCTACATGTACGCTAAGGGGTCGTCGCAAAACGTTTTTTGAACATCGTTCGTTTCGTACTCGGACCCCTCCCCTTTGAAAAGAACGCAGCTTGCTATGCTGGACGACAAAAATCGCAGGCATGAGTGATGTTCGCTTCAGGGATGACAAAAAAACTTTTGCGACGACCCCTAAGATCCATTCACCGATGTTACTCTATCCTCAAGTATTGACACATTGACGTACATGTATGCTAAGACACATTCACCCATGGTATTGTACATGCATGCCAACACTCGACTTCATTCATGAACCCAGCCTGCTGCACCAAAAACACAGACTGCGTGGACAACGGCACTGCATTGCGCTCCAGATGCCCCGTTCAGAATACCTTGGATTTAAAAGGTTGTCGGAGGATGCAGCCAGATGCTGCGTGGAGCAAATGACTAAAAACGGCAAAACTGCTTTCATGGTTTGTGAGGAAGTTGATCGCCTTGTATTTGTGCTATGCATTCACAGTGCATATTCAGTGAACCTCTGCCTGGTGGTGTTTGTTGTGCAGAAAACTAGAAGACTACTTGGTCTTGGTGGGCAGTTACTACCTAGTAAAGCACCACTCCAGTGCGGCTGCGACTGCCGACGATGCGAGACGATTCGCATTCCTGGTGAGTTTTGTTTTCGCCATGCATTATGGTTATTTTAAGGTTGCACAAGACGCGGCTTACTAGGATTTGCATGCTCAATGATGGTGTAGCAGGCTTGTATTGTGTGCCCTGTGGCCAATCTTGAGCTTGTATCTTCATCACATTCAGTCAACTTCGCTAATAACGACTGAGGATATAGCGACTATTCGCGAATAACGACAGAATTTCCATGCCCAGAGCAAAGTCCCATCTAACTGTAATACGTGTAGTGAGACTTAGGGTATAACGACGTTATACGCAAAGTTGACTGTAAATGCATGATCCATTGTTTCTACTGATTTACAAGCTGCTTGCACGCAATTCTCAAGTCTTTGGTTATCGATGGGGTCCATGTATGGTGTTCAATTGTAGCCTGGGTGTGTGAGCTGTACTGTTGACCTGCTGTCTATTCTGATTTTCCACAAAGGCACACAATGAAAACCTTGGCAAATTCCGTTATGACTCAGAGTTTCATGGCTGAACCAATCATTCATTCAACGATATATTCTGATCTTTCTTGTGTTTGCCTAGCCGGAGGAGTCTGATATGGCATCACTCAGCGGACAGGCTGTGGATCGCTTTGCTGTTCTGCTGGACCTGTGGAACTGTCACGTCAGATTCATGGAGCGCAAGCATGCGGTACGTTGAGTGGCGTGGCATGTTCTATAGGGGTTATGTTTTTATGCAGTTGTCTAGGGCCTTCGGGCTGCGAGGTTATGTGATTACATCATCAGAAGTTGTGTGATTACATCATCAGAGGTTGTGATTACATCATCAGAGGTTATTCGATTGCATCATGAGAGGTTGTGATTACATCATCAGACGTTATGTGATTACACCATCGGAGGTTATGTGATTACATCATCAGTTGAGATTCTCTGGCAGACTTCTATTTCTAGACTGTATGCTGTGTCTTGTTGTCCCTGGTCATGCCACATGCACAGTTGCTGGACTGCTATCTGGAGGCATATCACAATGTATATGATCAACAGGAGAAAGAACGGCTGGCACAGGTTAGTTAGAGAACGGCTGGCACAGGTTAGTTTATCATGCTACTCCTCCGAGTATCTGCTAACTGTGTGTGCCGGTATGCACCTTTCAGAGCTTCAATCTGATTCAATTGGATTCGTTTGACAAGCACAATTTCCTATTGAACTGTTGTAGAACGACTGAGAACTGTTGTAGAACGACTTCCATAGAAGCGTGGCAGATGCCGCTACTTTCTTGCGAGATTGTCCATGTATTGTGTGAACATTGCCATGTAATCCCGGCGGGTGAGCACCGTTCCCGCTGTCTCTCGCTCTCTGTTCCCCTCTCCTCATCTTTACTTTACAGGTCATCATAGACATTATCTACCAGCAACCCAGGCATGTTCTGGAGGCCAACTGGTTCCTTCGCTGCTACAAGACCGAGATTGAGTGCCTGGAACTGCACAGAGAGATAGCACACACTGTGCTGACGTCACAGGTAACCTACATGTGATATGGCAGTTCACAACTGAGATGACAGTGTATAGGCTCACACCATCCCTTTGCGATGGCTGCTGGGGAAGGGAAGAAGGGAAAATTTCTTGGAAGCATTGCTATCAAACGTGTTCCTTCTGTCTTTGTCAGTATGAATACACTTTTCTTGTTGTTGTGTTTACGTTGTTGTGGGTTTGAAGTTTGGCTTTGTATTCAGTCCCATTGTGGGAGTTAGCTTGGCTTGGAGTAGATCCCTTCCAATGGATACCAGCGCTTACACACATCACTTTCATTGGTGATACTTTCGTCAATAATCCAGTATTGAAAATATGTAGTTTGTGAGGAGAGTTGTATGGTCAAAATGTTCATAATACTCTTTCCTGATGGTGGATCAGCACATGACCATAACTGGCTCTGTATTGCCGTGCACACAAAACAGCGTCTTGCCGCATGCCCTGTGTGTTTCAGATTTCTGCTCAGCGAATGTTCTTCACCGGTTTATTCCCGTCGGGATCATCACCCAGTGAGTGCCGAGCACACTGTGCCAGTCTGCCTTGTGTGATAACCATGTTATTATAGTTTGTACAATACTCAGTCAGAACACGGAACAAGGAAGTTTGTATGCTTTCAAAGGATTTCGGAAGAAGAACGAACTTGGCAGCCAAAAAAAGAACAACAATACTAGAAAAGTCACAGCAGGCATGCGCTGCGTGGAAAGTCAATAAATGAGCCGAGCCAAGCTAAAAGGTGGCTTAGGCATAATTTTGGGAAATTTCTTTTTTCATGCCAAAGTGATGTCTATATATCCAACTTCCATCATGGAAATTTTGGTGCCCATCTGAAATGTGTATGTGCCATAAATAAGCATACATTGTGCACATGTCACAGAATGGCTGGTATCAATGACACTAAGGATTCCAAGACCTTCCCAAACTCCAAGAAAACATGGGACACAAAGTAGAGACAAAGCTTAGCAGGTGTGCAAGCAATAAAAGAAGAATGGGCACTTGTGTTCTAATTAGAAGATCCAAGAAAGAAGAAATGACAGATCTACATTAAATTTTCATCATGACTCATGTCATTTTATTACGCAATACGAATTTTCATATCATTCAACATGATGTTGTTGTGACTAGATGTTTCGCTGCGTTGGGGAACGTCGTATCTTACCAAGATAGTCCGTCATACTCTCTCCAATCACCTATGCCAGGATGAATTAATCCTTTCATTTAGCTCGTAGTGCTGTGCCAGAGATCTAGCTCCATTGGTGTACTGCCCTCGCACCTGCATAGGTCCAGGAGACTGCACATCGCTAACAAGCGGCACTGATTCTTTGTCCGTCCTAGTCCATGTCATTCTCCTTCCCTGCCAAGGATACTGGTAGAAGGCGCCACGGAGCAATATGCTAGCAGGTAGAGTCAATGCATCGCTTCGTCGTGTGGCACTATTTCCTTGAAACGAGGAAATTTTGGAATCCAGTACGCCACGTCATGAACACTAAATTGAAGGTAGCCGAAACAAAGTGAAACATCGCAGCAAGAGCCAACTCACCAGGCCGCTTGTCAGAATGATAGTCGGAAGGCTTGTAGACGTCTCCCCATAGCTACACTCGCCACTCTAGTCGTGGCCACGATAAGAAACACAGCCACTATGAATGAGCGACTCTTCCTCGTCAAGTAGGTTTTGGCTCACACGGATACAGAATGTCATCCTGCTCACCTCCACAGTCTCTAGAAGCTCCATTACGATCTCTGGCAGGGCTGAGGAATCCCCACAACGATGAGAGAGGGAACACTGAAGAAGTGTTGCTCAAACAGAAAAGGCTTCTCTCTTCATCCGCTTGCAAACTGGACTGAAGTGAATATTTTCGCGATCGCGCTCGAGTAGAATTTTGCCAACTGTGACGTTTTGGTGATTTTCTCGATTTGTTGGCAAAACACGAAGCCACTTTTTAGCTTGGCGCGGCTCAAATGATGACTTGCAAGTACAGATACCACACACGTACTGGCAAATAGCAGTGTGTTCAGATTGACCTAGAACGTTGGTGGTGATATTCATACTCACACCAACCAATTCAGTTGAATATTTGGTAGGGCAGTTATGCATCTGAAATTGCCTATGAAAGCATGGTTTATTCCTGTTCAGGTTGTTGCTGGGTGTATGCTGGTATTCTAATCCGGTATTTTCATGAGTGTGAACTAAAAATTAAGCTTGGGGGGCCTATCGTCCATATTGAAAATCAGGCTTTAATTTTGAAACAGGCTTCATTACAAGATACGAATGACATTGCAGTGCACTATTGTAGATGTACTGGCATAGAAGATGCTCAAGCCTACATGTATGTAAGCTGGAAGTCAATTTTAAATAATCTCTGCGAGTATTACTATTTTGCGTCCATGTGCTCTTGCAGATATGGTTGGTGTGCCTTTACCGACATTGTCCAAGTGTCCAATCTCGCTCAGCACTAGCAGGTAGGTGGTGTATATAGGTGTGCTCTGCTTGGGTTAGATAACAAGCGGACAAGGATATCCCACTGTCCAAAGAGCACTGACCCTCTACAACTGGGGGCTTGCTCTTACACTAGTAAGGAGCATTCGGGATATCGCTGCTAACCATGGATGTAGTATCACAGCATAGATATTGTACAGTTACACACTGTGAACAAATTTTGATGGCAATTGTGCCTAATCCGCAGGCATGACTCTTTAGCTACTCTTAGTAAGTTTGAGTTCAGATATTTCTTTTTGTGTGTGTTAAACTAATTCTTTCTTTCTCTTCCTCTCACCTGTTGCCAGTGCACTGGGACAAGTGTTCTTGTTGGAGTTCCACCCATCGTTATGCGTGGCCAGTCGTCTTCCTGCTGCCCTCAGACATGCGGCAAACGTAAGATTACAAGTCTTCTTTCTGAATAGGTTTGTTTTGAAGTGTAGTTGCTTAGGCTTGTGCGAGTGTACAGCTTATTTGTCTCGGCAAAATGTGTCTAAGATTTTGTTTTGGAGGAATAACACTCTGTGTCCGTCTTCTTCTGTGTTACTGTTTCTGGTATCAGTGGACGTTTTTCCAGATGGGCAAAGTCGGCACTCACAATGTCTTGCGTAGCTGTCATGCCACTTTCCAGGTAAACACATTCCTCCGCCGTGGTGCCCGCTGTTGTACGTGTCACTTTGTGTGAACCGATGTGCTGTCGGGCTTGATACTGATATGATTTTTTCCGGTGTTCCAACCAAGGTTGGTCTATAGTGTGCTGTTTTTGGGTTGCAATGAGCTGAGCTGCTGCAACCATCGCTTTACCATCTAGTTCTTTGAAGAGCTCTCTGTACATATGCTTTAATTAGTTTATGGGACATGAGGTATTCTACTGTGTCAGTTTGTGACCGGCGACAAACTCCGGCCATTTTGCATTTCGTTCAAACAGAATAGCAAGCATATATTCGGCTTTGTGCAATACTATTGACCACAAGTACCACTGTGTCTGTAGTGTATGAGGATAGGTACGGGTGCAGACAACAGGCAGTTGTGAAAAGAAGTACGCTTTTATTACACGCATGGTCATTACAGTGAAACCTGTCGAAGACGACCGTCCAAGGGACCTTCAAAACGTGGTCTCTGTTACCAGGTGGTCTCTTTTACCAGGTGGTCTCTTTTACCAGGTGGTCTCTGTTACCAGGTGGTCTCCTCATGCAGGGTCATTTGACTGCAAAAAGCATCCCTTGGTCCTGGCTTCAGTGATCTTTTAAGACAGGTGGTCGCCCTACCCGAGTGGTCGCCCTACCCGAGTGGTCGTATTGACAGGTTTTACTGTACTTTCAGAACGTCAGCTGTTGTTTTATGTTTTCCTTTCTTGCTACCCATACCATATGCAGCTGGCTGTACGTAAGCTGGGTGAATCGAACAGTCTCATCCAGGCGTACAGTTCTGAGGTCCGACAGGCGGTGAGTACACCAGATAGTACTGCAGCATGGTCTTTCCTACCTACTTTGTGGAAGTCAGCACCATTGTTTATGCAGTTTCATCAAACGTGTTCCTGCAGCAGTGTGATTGGTAGTCAAGGAACTGTTGCCGGTGGGTGTATATGTGGATTGCGTCTTAACTTCGTGTAATTGATGTCATCTGCACACCGGCCCATGAGCTGCAGCTGCTCCAACATTACCACTCACCAGAGATGGCCTCATGTCAAGCCACTGTACCAGCTCCACGGTCCACCATCACCTTACCAGCCTGTCCACTGTACACTACAGTAGTAGGCTGCTCACAGCTTTAAACTGAACAACAGCAGTAGCTACAGCAGCACCTGTAGTGTTCACATATACATGTATGGACTGTTGTATGCACACGGCACCGTTTGTGCTCCTATCCATTTACATATGCCGCTTCCCACGCCTGTGTTGACAGTCGGTACGCACCGACTCTGTACTCATACACCGACACCATTACTCTCTGTTGGCATTTAGCCGTTTCTACTCCCCCCCCCCCCCCCTCCCCGTTTCTCTCCTATAATATTGTGCCTATGCAGCTCTTCCAGAACCCCCTGATGGAGAATCCACTGTTCGTTACCTCGCTCATTCCCCAGCAGAAGAAGGTTGCAGTAAAGGCAGTGGGCGGCGATTCCTCCGACCCAGCTGAGCTGAAGAAGGCGGTGGCGTCAGCTTATTGCGATGTTTTGCACGTAAGACGGGCGACAGTTCTTCACAATTCTGAATTGAACTTTTACTGTTATGATCATAACTGGATGACTTTATTGTGTAGTTATAAAACTCTTGCTCATACTTGTGCTAGAGCAACTAGTAGCAGTGTTGTCACTTCGAAGAGGTATCTTAGTGGAGGATGAAATCGTTTCATGGATGACTGTTGCTAACTCTGATGATATTCACGGTTTTGCTCTTCTGATTGCAGTTTGTTTCTTCGTATCATCGACTGGCTGATGCCTGTTTGGAGTCCTCCCAACTGTTGAAGGTAGCTAATCCAGCAAGACTTCCCTACACCCACCATGCCCATGAGAATTGTCCTTTGCTGACGGAGAAATGCTGTTCAGGATTTGCAAAGGGGAAAGAGCGGGGAGGGTGAATCACACACGATCGCATTTCAGGGTATTCGCTGTAGTAGTTCGTTAGCCATACTTCCCTCTTGGTAACTAGGATTTGTTTTGTATGCAGACACCAGAACAAGTGCTAGTAGCCAAGTACAAGCAACGTGGCCCAGGGGGATTTCTGAAGGACTATACCTTGGTCTTTGGTCACACTAGTAGTTATAGAAATGTACTCAGGACTTGTACAGTGTTGCTATTGTTGGGTTTTGATTGCCTTTGCATGAAACCAGGCGTTCTAGCATAATAACTTACTTCACTCATTTCCTGGTGTGCTGACGACTAGGCAAGGAGCTGCTTGTGAGACCCAATGGTGAATTTCTGCCTCTTTCCGTAATCTACTGCTACCACTTTCATGCCCTCCTTGATCCCTTCCTTCATATCCTTATGTGCTCTTTTCCAGGGGTATCACCTGCTGTCCGATCCACTCGGCTTTGGCCAAATGCATGCATTCATGCGGATGGCAAGCATAGATGTTGCCGCATCCAACCCCGGCACTATCCTGAAGCCTCTCTTTCTCACCAGCATCACAACAGAGGGCAAGGACATGTTTGATCAGTAAGCTGTGCGGGGAAGCCGGGCTGCTGCTTCCAAGCAGGAGTTGTTGTGCTGGCATGATACACATATTCTGCACTTCTTGTTACGTGTTAACTGTCTTACCGTCTCCTCGACGATTGTTTGTATCTTAAACGGAGATACAATCGCGATGAGACGGAATATCTGAATAATGTGCTTCAAAAGCATTATGTTTGTAGGTGTATTGTCACGCGAGAACGTCTTGGAAATTAGTAAATTTAGAATATCCTTTACATTGTTATGACTGCACAATTTGTCTTATTCATTGCCATTTTACGCTTACTGTCTCCTCGACGATTGTTTAAATTTCTCGTCCCGTGTAATCAACTTTGCTGGAAAATTGCTACATAGCCCACAGCTCCTTATGTCTATAATGTGTAGCACATTATGTGTATCAAATACTAGTATCATGATTTGAGGCGTATTGTGTGTATTCAAATGCATGAGATTAGTCATGTTCCTATCAAGCTGATGGACACGCATGCAGCTTGATTGATATCTGGATGCACAGCACAGGTAGTGACTTGGCTAATGGTCTGATGAAACGATGACCTGCAGTGATTAACATTTGCCTTTTGCTTTCGTGGCTATGTTTTTTAAATCTCGGCCTACACTTGTGTCGACGCCATAGGTACATTCCAGTCAGCGTGCCTCTAGCAGCTCATGAGATTGATGATAAAGTGTTCGCACTGCAGCTGAGCACTAAGGAAGACGTTATCAAGGTAAACACAGAACCCGTTGGTCTGCAGCGAATGACTGCCAGTTGTGCTGGCGAGTATGCAGGGTTTCACTGTTGCATTGCACCGGTTTATTTTGCTTACATCAGTTTCCTTGTGAAGGGTGCATTTGTGGATACCCTCACCTAACTCAATTTCTCTCCTGTAAGGTTTACAGGCTAGTTGCTCTGTTCTGAAACCTGTTTTCTCTTATCGCGCAGATGCTGTCTGCAAGCAGCCTGGAGACCTTCCGAGCTATCCTCTATGCTCAGGTATGCCGTATGTGTTAGCGTGAAGGCACATCTTGTATTTGGGGGATGTTGTAAATCCAGTGCTGTTTGGTTTTGTGCCTCCACATATGTTAGAGTCTTCCGAACAGGGCAATACTAAGTACGTACCTGTACACATCTAGGACATTCCCGTCATCCTTTCCTGTCGGTTAGAGTTTGCAACTCACAGCAACAGGTTTACAGGCTCTCTCTCTCTCTAAGTCGTGTGGTTTTCATTTAGTGATCGGTTTGAGGGAGTAAAAAAGGGAGCTGGTCTGAAGACAATTGACTCGTTCCTAATCTACGGTGTAGTCATAATCCCAGTAGAGACAACATTCTCCTCAGACTGTATTTCATTCCTGCTATGCACTATCCAGGTCGCGCAGAAGAACGCTCTCATCATTGGTGTCCTGCACACACGGGCCTGTTGTCAGATACACAAGACGTCGGCATCACTGGAGCACGTGGAAGCGTATGTCGACCGCAGAGGCGGATCTAGGGGAGGGCGCGGTGGGCGCGCGCCCTCCCCTCAAATATTTCGATTTTCTTTAGTGCATGCACGTGGGCAGTTGCGCAAGTGTTTGCACATACTGTGACAAGTAGTTTCTAGTGTCAGATAAGAAAGTTCTTCTGAACACGGAGTAGTTGTTTGACTTTTAGTTTTGAAATTAGTGTTCAGTTGACGAACTTGTATAGCTAAGTCGGTGAAGGGGATGGCGCACCGCCCGCCCAAGCGGCCAGGGAGCCAACAAACTCTCCATGGATTTTTCGCGAAGCGAACTTGCGCTTCATCAGCTGCTCAGTCGAGCGACCTGTCTTTGGAGGAGAATTCGGACCACAGCGAAGGTCCTGAGATTGAGGTCTGCTCAGACTCTGATCTTCCCCAAATGGAATCTGAAGTAGATTCTGACGACGATGGTGGGACTGTCAGTAGTAGTGATGCGAGTCAGGAGCGTTTACCTGCTGAAACTATCGCAGATGACGACGTTGTGCTTGTCACGAATGATGTGGCTGGTGGCACTGCTATGCAGCATTATTGTTCTCTATCTCAGCATGTCTTGAGTTTTGAAGCACTATCTTTACACAGTTTAATGTAGTACGGCTATGTTCTACTACAGCCAGAGTCCTCAATGAAGTGGTTGAAAAAGTGGGAGTGAATGCATGTGCTAAAATATTAATTCTACATAACCGCTACCGTAGTTCCGCGCATATAAGCCCATGCCATGGGCTTAATATGTGAAATAATGCAGTTTGGGGATAAAATATCCAGTAAAACATGTTCATTTTTTAGCCCATGGGCCAATATTCGAATTTTGAAGGTTCACGAAAAAGTACAAGTCCGTGCTCATAGTGGGTCTACCATACTCTACTGCCAGTACTGGTAAACTGCACTGACCTGCTGTACCTTGGTAGGAAGAGTCTACATTGTGAAAAATTCTTGTTGACACGCGAGTTACATTTGTGTCTGTTTATAAGCCCATGGGCTTATAAACGGAGGTGGGCTTATATCCGGATATGCCCGTGGGTTTATACGCGCGGAATTACGGTAAGCCTGAGACGTAAAATAGCCGTAATGTCGTAATGTGTACAAGATACATGTATAGCATGGGTTCCCTGTCATGAATATTACCCGCACCCTCCCCTCAGCTGAACTCTGGATCCGCCGCTGGACCGCATGCTCGTATTCTGCACATCTTCATTGTGATCATTGTTATCATTGTGATGCGTCACGTATGATCTGAGTCCAGCCATATCATTGCTGTATCACAGAGTGCTTTTATCATCTCATAATAGTTTGCTAGCGAAGGGCCCTGGTTCGAGTCCTGGTGGTGACAAACCCATTTTTCTTCAGACTTTTTCCCGTTGCCTTTCCCTCAACTAGTGAAGTAATAGATAGCTGTTGGTTGTGTTTATCACCTTTATCAATGCACTTACCGTCACTCATGATTGTTTCCTCACAGAGCTGTCGATAGTGGATCATCGTTGGCAGCGCTGACCAGTGGCAAGCCTCGTGTCAGCTCAGCACAGCTTGTCATTGGCCTGGACCTTGTGCAGAAACTCACCGACATGTTTGTTTCGCTGCAGTTGCACAAGGTACGAACAGCCGCGTATCCCAGTTTCCATGATTGGTCTTTGTGGAAGCATCTGGTTTACTACAGCAAGTCTTGCATGACCCCGTTCCTCACATTCATTAAATCTACTTAAAGTAGAGTATTACTGAGGATTCATTTGGTGTGCTACATGTACTGGATATGGAAATGATTACTTGACAAACATATTGTCAACTGAAGAGCTGCACTGACCTATGCAGAATACAGCACTGCCGGGTTTTCTCCATTGTGCACCTTATCCTGTTGGTGGTCACGTCATTCCTACTTTTCTTCTATTCTGTATTCCATCCTATCGGCCAGGTGGTCAGGTCATTCCTACTTTTCTTCTATTCTGTATTCCATCCTATTGGCCAGGTGGTCAGGTCATTCCTGCTTTTCTTCTATTCTGTATTTCTGCAGGCGGCTTCTCGTGATATGGTGCTCCATGAGCTCCTGACCCAGCCCGGGATTAGCAGCAAACTGCAGTCACCACAGGAGAACGTGAAAGTGAAGCGTGTGACACTGGTGCAGTACTTTGAGAAGCTTGGCAGCCTGTTGGCACCGCAGGCCCTGCGTATACAGGTGGGAAAATTGATATTGATATTATATTTCATTTTATTTTACTATGATCACAGCTCGCAGGAAAAGACAAACAATTGCAAAATGGGAGCTCAGTAATGGCGAGTCGTGTAGCCCTCCGCCGATCTGGAGTCTTGACATCATATACTGTGCTCTGCGTGCTCTGTTGCTGGTTTGTTTTCCGTTCACATTGATTGCATGAAACAAGGTGCATTTTTTTGGACTTTCATCTGCCTCTGAATACCCACGGGGTCTTGTACATGTACATGTGGTAATGCACTAAATCAAGTTAAATGTGAATGTATTTGATAACTTGTAGCACTGTACTGGTCTACGGTGGAGTGTGCATGAGGTATTGGACACTGTCTGAGCAGTGGAAGAAGCTACATGTATGTGTAGAGCCGTGCGGCATGTCGCTGGGTTTGTTGACAGACAGCTGGTGCACCCCATTAGCTTTGTGTGTCTGTATTGCATTGCCTGATGTGTTCTCAGCTTTCAAGTTGCATGTTCAGCCTGCATCAACTGCTAAGGGATTTCCCCGGAACTCGGTGAGTGAGAGTCAGCAGATCTGAGTATTTTGCAGCACTTCAAAGGAAGTGTAGTTGCTAGGTGTTTGTTTAGGCAGAGGATCACGCTGGTGGTGAGGAAAGGAGGCTAAGGGGCTTGGAGAATAGGAACAAGCGACACTCGGCCGTTTTCAGAGTGTTAACATACAATATACAATAGAAGTAGCTATGCATGCTTGTGCTAAGCAAATGCATACAAATAGCTATGCACAGCTGATGCAGGATGAATTTTTTGAAAGGTAAATCCCCTATGGGCGAAGGAGCAGAAGGGGGAGGTAACGGATTACTTATTTTCTCGTTCTTTAAAATCCTCTTTTTCATGCCATGTGTTGTATGTTGCTGTTTGCCTGTGCTTGCAGAGATGCTGTATTTGAGATAGGTCAGGACACTGATTACAAAAGCGGAACTGGCAAGCGTCCGCAGAGTGCCACGACTGCAGAGTCAGGCGAACAGACTCCCAGCCATGGCATACCAGTATTTGAGCCCAGCTTTCGGTAGGTAACTCACCTCTTAGTTTCTACAACTATACCATGCCATAGATCAAGGATAAATATAAGTGTAATCCCCTATGTTTTGTCCTTTTCCTCGTTTTTTTTGTTCTCCACCTGTTTTCCTGTAGGGCTGTGTCAATAGTAAAAAAAATAAAAAAATAAAAAGTCCATAAAGTGTTGCCAGGGGAGTTCCAGTACCTTTCGCAATACCACCACCACACGCCACCACTGCCACCATCACCAGCAACAGCAGCAGACCATGTACATATTTACTCCAGCACTGGTTGCAGGCTGCATGAAGAAAGTGACAATCTACAACCTACAAAAGAGTGTGCAAGCTCTTGTACCCCCCCCCTCTTCCCGCCCCCCCCCGCCCCCCCCCCCCCCCCGCCGTGCCTGTCCTGACTAGGCATGTAGTTAGAATTATGTGTTCACAGTGAACAGTGAACTGAAAGTGAACTGAAAGAGGTATGGATTGATCCTTGTGAGCTGTAATGTTATTCAACTTTCATCATGCATTCTGTATTCGTCGTTTCAGGGCTGGACGATCTCGCGCAAGAGCTTTCATGACTGTGGATGGCAAGCATTTGATGAACTTGTTCTTCTTACCCCATCCACTGGAGGTGAGCGCGACTTAGCTCTTCGCATGATAACGATGATGATAACACTGTCTGTACTGCAGTCTGATCACCGGCTAGGCATTCTCGCTAGTATTGCTTACTCTGTCATGTCCTGACTGGCTGTTATCCGTTCCTCTGCCCTCCCCAGGCTCTGGCAATGTTCCGCTCGCTGGATTTGGATGAGGCAATGCCGGCTTTAAACTCTGCACTGGTAAGCAGCCTGTGCGGGTCAGCTGTATGTTGCTTATGGTGCAATGTCACCACGTTCACACCAGTGTAACTTCTACCTATTTATTATTGTGTTATCACCTGCAGAGACTTCTCACATGTCTACATGACATCTGCAGTATTATCTGTGCCCGTGCGAAACTCAACTGTCCTATACTGCAAGCAAGTGGAGGCAGTGGAGGAGGTCAGGCACGGCGACGACAAGGCTCTCCTCCAATTCTGAATGCGTACTCTACCGGGCTTAGTGCTGACTGGGGTGGCCTGGAACGGATAAGTGAGTTCTTGGGAACACAGGTGGAGTATGTGTTTCTAAAGGAATGTTAGGAGGGGCTGGCACAGATGAAAAAGTCTTGAGAATATCGGTGGATTGTGTGATTCTTAGGGAAATGGGGGAGAATGGATTTTAGCTGACTTCATTCATTATCCCATGTAGTCAATTTGCTAAGTATGATGTCCAGATGTGATCCCTTTCAGGGCTTGTGGCCAAAGATTCAGCAAAGAACAGCTACGATATTTGCCAAACTAATCCGGCCATTGCTGCACATGGTGACTACCACATGTGCAGCAATGGCCGGATTGTTTTGGAGAATATGGTAAGACCCTTTTCTGGTTGCGCAGCATGTCTTCTCGCGTGCGCTTATTTTCACATGCATGGATGCACATGTGGTCGTGTTCGGTGTACAGCAAGTGAGCTTCAAGAACTGCGCAAGGCCATACAGAAGCTTGAGTGCCCGACGGATCCTGTCCAGGTGGCGGAGTACTTGGAAAGCGTGCGGGAGGTACGCTATCGCCAGTTGCTAGTGGTCGTCCGGGATATCCTGCCCACGACATTCCTGGACATGGGCGATGAGCAGGGAGCACAGGTATGTTGATACACTGTATGAACTATGCCATTCTAGTATCCACTATGTTGATATGAAGAACAGTAAAACCTGGTTTAAGCGGCCAACCCACGGTCCAAGCAAAAGCGGCCGTTAAAGCCAGGTGGTCTTTAGAACCAGGTCCCACAGTGTGTGTGTAGAACTGTCGGTGCATGGAAAGACGGTCGTTAAGAGCAGGTGGTCGCTAAACCCAGAGGTCGCTAAACCCAGAGGTCGCTAAACCCAGAGGTCGCTAAACCCAGAGGTCGCTAAACCCAGAGGTCACTTACACCAGGTTTTACTATATACCATTCTAGTATCATTTTTGTTGATATGAAATGTGTTTTGCTGATACACTCTATGTTGAACTTAGAACTCCCCCCCCCCCCCCTTACGTCCGTATAGGAGCAACCAACTTCTTCTATGTTGATATGAAGTATGCAATGCTAGTTTCCTCTATGTTGATATGAACTATGCTACGCTTATATCCTCTATGATGATTTTCTTGAAAGAAAGAGCTCTCCAACCACCCCTGGTCCAAGAGCCAGAGGAGTGGCCTGTGTGCTGCGTTCATCTGAAATAAATATGTTCAAAGTGCTAACTTGTCTCTGTGGTCGTTTTCTGTTTCTGGTTGGACTGCAGATTGTCCAAGCCAAGTCTCGCCAGTGCTTGGACATCATCGCCAATGTCAGCAGGTACATGTATACTAATTGCTGATTGTCTGACGTTGTACTGAACTCAGAAGTGTGTTATGCAAAGCATTGCGTCAAGAAATATGTCTGCTGTGAATTAAACCTTACAACATGTTCCAGCACATTTAAAAATCTAGATGCATGTACTGTATAACTGTGCTGTCAAAGGACAATACTAATGCAATGACATCATTATGACATCATTGCTACGCTTCATATGAGTGAAAAGCCGTTTCGTGTAATGCCGCTCCATACACAGCACGTCTTATAGTGGTGTGCTTCAATACATGGCTATCTTTAACCATGTGCATAGATACAGTGCTTGTCAATTCCTCTGGAACGGCCGTCCTGTACCTCAACCACTTCATGTCATGAAGAAGAAAGCTGCTCGGTTGATGCCCTTGGCAAAATTCACATCTGAGTGAGTATCTTGCCTGCTACAGCTGAAAGGAAGTTGCCAGTCATGTCAGAATGCCTAGGTACCTTTGCACCTCCCTCAAACGTATGAACATCTAGAATCCGATCACATTAAATATTGCAAAGTGAATACAATGCCAGAGTATGTGATCATACTCTACCTTCCAGGTATTCTGTGTGTCTGCCTGTCGGAGCATCCCAGTGAAGTTAGTTTCAGTGAAGCTGCTTCCTTGGTTAAGTTCATAGGCATTTCAACCACGAATTTTACTCTTGCGAACCATGTACCACAACCGAAGTATTAAACTGGTTTGTAGATATAAAGATGTGGATGTTTAGGGGTTTAGATTTGGAGGGACTAAACGGCTTGGCGTATCTGCCTCCCTTTCTTTACTTCGAACTTTCATGCGCCTCAGTCCCAGTTCTTTGTTCAGGGCGTGTCGCTCATTTGTTTGTTTGTTTGCTTGCTTACAGCCGTGGACCATATCCGCATTGCGTATCTCCGCCGACTGAGCTGTCGAAGCAATGCATCGCCATGTTCTGCTGTTTGCACAATGAACAGCTGTAAGTTGTGTGCACGGCTGTGTCAGATGACCACACACACGCACGCACGCGCGCACACACACACACACACACACACACACACACACACACACACACACACACACACACACACACACACCATTGGACCATTGGACGCCCATCGCCGGAGGCGATGATAGCGATGCTACAGCAGAAGCCATAGCAGCTTGTGCTGGGATTGCACCATTGAACAGCTTGCAAGGCTGAAGACTTGACCACCACTTTTCAGCCTGGTCTACACCACACAGCTATGAAGTGGCTTTTTCTGGCCAGTGAATCCCTACTTTTTGGTCTTTTTCATTTTTTTTCACGCACACACATCACACCACATACTCCGGCATGCACTGGTGGTTGGTAACCACCCAGGAGAATGAAAGAAAAGTGAGGATGAGTCTGAGAAAGAGAAGAAAGACGTGTGTGACCATAATCGTCGGGAATCGAACCCGCAACCTATCGATTGGAAATCGCTGCACATACCACTGCACCATATGGGACACACCTTTGACCTTGACCTTTGACGCCCATCGCCGGAGGCGATGATAGCAATGCTACGGCAGAAGCCATAGCAACTTGTGCTGGGATTACACCATTCAACAGCTTGCAAGGCTGAAGAATTGACCGTCACTATTCAACCTGGTCTACACCATACAGCTATTTGGAGTGACATTTTTCTGGCCAGTGAATCCCTATTTTTGGTCTTTTCATTTTTTTCCCGCACACATCACACCACATACTCCGGCATGCACTGGCTGTTGGTAACCACCCAGGAGAATGAAAGAAAAGTCAGGAAGAGTCTGAGAAAGAGAAGAAAAAAAATGGGACACCCACCCACACACACACACACACACACACTGTATGCACGGTGCATACACGGCTGAGACGTTTTTTCGTGTTGTGAATTATATGTTTGTGCACAGTAATATAACACACGGCGTATTATGCGAGATGACTTTGCTACAAAACGAGGCTTGCCAAGACGCAGCAGCAGCAGCGGCAGCAGCAGCTGAGCAGAGTCTTGCAGACAGCAGTGCTGACCAGGGCCGGACATCCATGCTGCTGTCCTCTTCGGCGTCGCTCAAAGCATCCTCCGCATCTCTCAAGAAATCTGCATCATCCATGTCCAGGACGTCTACAGCTGACATCAAGCCTAAGAGCAAGGTAGGCTGTACTCGTATGCTGCTGACATCAAGCCTAATAGCAAGGTAGACTGTACTCGTATGCTGCTGACCAACTCTGCATACGTAGTATTGAGTCATATCAAGAGTAGATAAACAAGAGTGTGCAACTCCGCGATGGGTTGGCCCACGGCGGAATTTTTTGTTGACGTAATCTTTTCGACGACGCACGCGCTGCGAGTCGTTTCGGAAAGTTTTCCCTCGTGCTCTTGGCCGGCTTTACACTACAAGGTCGGTGCCCAGCACGTGCGCTCACACTGCTCTGCGGCAAAATGCGCGTTCTTCTGAAAAAAGGTGACGTCAACAAAAAATTCCGCCGTGGGCGGGGGTATCTGCAGATTATGCAGGAGAGATCCGGAGTTGCACACTCTTGTTTATCTACTCTTGGTCATATGGTTCTCCTACTCCTTTGCATAATGATTGTGTACTCGTGTCGGCTTTGTGCGATGTACATAGCAAAGTATGTTAGCTACTCGGAATGATTTATTGTTGGCATGCAACCATGATCTGCAGCATATACACAATTAAGATAGATGCAACAGTTAGTCCCAATAACAAGCAAAAGATCAAAGCCACATGCCTAAGACGTTTTCCGTGCACTATCTCATATCGTTGCCACGTAGATTCAAGTTTCCCCAATACAGAATACTGTGCGGGTGAATAATGATGGAGGATTTCAGCAGTGTGTGTTCTGTCGTCCATTGTATCTAACCGTAGGCGGTTCGCAAGCCATCACCTACGCTGGATAGCGAGGCTCAGTTGGCATTCCTATCACTGTCCAGTCGCCTGGGTATCCTTCGGTCGGTCTGGTTCGTACAGCAGAGCGGGCCCCAAGCCCTGGAGCAGAGCAGTGTCTACAGTGCTGTCCAGTAAGAACAATATTATTGATATTTATATATTTTCAAGGATTCTCCACAGGCAAATGGATGCCTATCAAAGGGAGTCTCCTGGGTGAAGGTAGCAATACCGTCGTGATGATGTGGATTGCAGTTCTATTGATTGCTTCTTGATATTTTCTTGGTTACTGGGACTTGCTTGCTACCTTGTTAATCACCATTGTATTCGACTTGAAGAGTAATGGTACGAAAGGCCTAGTCGAAACTATATGGCTTCTGTGCTTCGTGTGCTGATTTCCTTTCCTCCAACCAAGAATCTATTTTTTTCTTGATATTGTGGGAGAACTGGATCTAAACTCTACTCTCAAACATCCTTTGCCCAACACAACACTAACACACCGCCAACACAACACCAACACAACACCAACACAACACCAACACAACGGCAACCTCTTGGTGAAAATGTGATAAGTAAAAATGCAAGTCAATACAGTGAAAAGAGAAGAGAAGAACAACCCAAAGACCCGAATCACCAGCACTTTGGCAGGAAAAACACGTCACACTACACGCATTGTCATTGTACTGTCCCAATGACAGATTGCTTGCTCTGATGAAGTCTAGTTGTTTCTGTTCAAACTGGCACTCTCACCATCCTGACATGACTTGTTGTCTTCAGACAGACAGATTGGTGTCAAGGTGTGAATAAGTGTGTGGCACACTAGCATGCTCCTTCAGGTGCAGGAAGTCCTGATCATTAACACCGAGCTGCATCGTGCAACCTCGACAGCAAATGTTACCTTGAATTTGACTTACAGGAAGAAAAGGACAAAGGAACTACACGTTACGCTATTGTCCATTAACACCACCAGCTACTTTACAATCAGCTCATGCGATAACATTGTACATTGCATAACTTGTAGTTCCTTGGTCCTTTTTCTTTCCTACAAATTTATGCTTGGCTCTCCATCCGAGTCTAACTTTGAATTTGTTTCCCTGTCCCTTTCCTTCTCTCGTGGATATCTCTCCATCTCTGTGCAGGAGATTGTATCAAACGTCCGTGTTTGAAAAGGCACTGAATGCAATCATTACCCAGCGCAAGCTAACCACCGCCGAGACCAGCCAGGTGAGAAAGAGCGTGGCGGTGTCAACAACCGGCATTGGGGACAGCGGTGTTGTCACGGAGATGGAGATGCGACAAGCGCTGGTAAGTGGAACGCCTGCATTCTTTGCCGCTGGGCACTGTAAGACCAGTAATGTTAACGAACATTTAATAATTCTAACGAGTTAACGAATTTGAAAGAATCCTTAACATTTGATGTTATGTGCAAAACGATATGTACATGTACAGTCATTTGTCGGTTTTGAGACCAAATTCGTTAAAATTTCACCTTGCTAACCCACAAAAATAGATCGTTAACTTTAGTTGACGTTAAAATCTCTGGTCGCACAGTACTGCACTATTCCCTGGGCAGGTGATACAGTACAGGTGTACCCTCCTTAGTATTACATAGGTTACAAGACAAACAAACCTCTTTAGGAGACAATCAAAAATCCCTGACACATGAAATGCGTACATTCACGTCTGGACAGTATATCATACTCATTTACGGGTATAAGACAAACAGTTTGAAACCCACGGGGTTATCTACTAACCAGGGTAGACCTGTACTGCTGCTGAGGTTTCAAAGCAGATGTTGCAAACTTACCACCTGCCTTATTTGTGCTCGACCTCAAAAGAAGAAGAATCTGTACTCTCCCGCAATGCAACTAGTGCTCCATGTAAGTGCACACATCCACATCTTCCACGATTGCCTTGACACACTGACAGAACCATAAGATAACGAAATACATGGGATTACCAGACGGCCCGTCGAAGCTACTACGACAATACACGTGGGTGCATAGGAGATATTCTTTGGTTCGGGAGGATTATTCGTATTCCCCTTTGTCTGCCTATATGTACAATGTTCATTTCGCTGTGCTGTCAGACTGGCACATGTGTATCAACTGAATGTAGAGTGCCTTATTACTTCATGAAATCTCGCAATGTTAAAGATACTCTATGCGTATGGTTGCAGGTGGAGGCTCTTGTGGACTCAATCGAGTGCCACATGCTGGTCGACCTTCAGAACCGTGTCACGCGTGATATGACTCAGGTGCAGACCGAGATGATTCGTAATGACGGCACACTGCCAACGGAAGTCTGGAAGAAACTGGTAAGAGCGCCAGCGGCAGATTTGTAATAATATCCTGCTTAACATCATTCTCCTGCAATGGTGATAAACATAGCACAGACAAAGCTCTGTGTCTGAATGGAACTGATGGAAATGCTCTACTGTGCAGTCATTCACAGCGGCACTGTGTTTGTTGAGGCTGATCACTTAGGTCCGGCAGCCATACCAGCCTTTGCTGTCCACTGGACCAGGATACAGTCGTATTATTAGTTCACTAGTTGTAACCAGACAGATTCAGCTCTGAGTAGAATCTTCAGTGTTGCTGTAAGTAGGACAGGTGTCTCAACGTCAGAGCGTGGGGGAGTAGTAGTACTGATAGTACTGAGTACTTGGTCCGCGTCAGCGATATTGTCGCTTATCTTTCAGCTTTGTTTATATGTCGCCAATGCTTATTTGGCAGCCCATTTCATCCCAGTTTTGGTTAGCAAGTTAGTTTGCTAGTACCTAAAAGGTCTAGCTAGAGTTCGAGTAGATTTCGAGAGCGACAGGTGGGTGATTCTGATTGATACAGTGCCGCATCAAAAAAGATTATCTTGTTACGCTGTGCAGGCAAGAGCAGCGCAAGCCACAAGAAAGTAATCGGCTACTCGGAATCAGCTCCATTTTGGTGAACGGCCGAGATCGTTCACCTCAGGGATCGCTCATCAAGCTGAGATCGCAGCTCCCTTACCTCCAGCTCCTCGCTCGGAGTATCCAGCGCGTCGTGGAGATTTGCAAGTACATGTACTGTACGCGTCGTCGTCGTTCAAAATAAAATCTTGCAAAGAACGGCGTCTGATTTGAACCACACAGGCTGTCGCGCTGCCCAGGCGAAGTCCTTTAGAGAAGGCGACCGTCACGATCGACTTCTCTTTAGAAAATAGCCAGGCAGAGGAGAGGAAGAGAGATGAGCTTGCAAAAGCAAGAGAGTCGATCCCGAGCAAAAATATTTGTCGCCAGAGCCAAGAGCAGCGATGAGGAGGACCGAAAAAAGTAGGAACCCTTCCTTGGATAATAAATTCCTCGCAGCTAGTTGTCATTCTATACCTTACCGTCCATCGTACCAGGTTTTATCACTTCAAGTGCACGCGTTCATGTCCAAAGTCTAAGTTCAAATTGTCGAAAGATAAGCGACAATATTGCTGACGCAGACCAAGTATGTGGGTTAGGGAAAAGGAGAAAAGGAGTATCGCTTAGCTGAAAACGTAAAAACCTGTATGGTTGCGGCAGATCCCTCGAGATTTCTAGCATGGATTTCTTCTAAAGGACTGTTCTTGTTTGCATGAGTGTTGATCTATGCTCATTGCTCAGTGCTCTGTAGTCTAGAGCTCCCCCATTCTCGACCAGTGTGGTGTATCACCGGGAAACACAGCTCACTACACTGCTCACTACACTGCTCACTACACTGCTTGTGCTGCGGCAAGGCCAAGTGGTTGAGTAAAATTCCATGAGCATCTACCAGTATTCATCATGGATATGAGTGTCCTGCTTATTCACACTCTCTGTGTTTCCACTCCTGAATCTGGATCTTTACCATGCTTGAGTCCTTTTCTGTTTTACACCATTATGTTCATGATGCTATTCTGTACCTATGTGTACAGTACACAAAGGTGTCGACCTCCGTACCGCAGTCGGCAGTTGTCACCGATCTCTCTGATGCCCTGATGGACAAGTCGACAGAGAGTGGTGATGATCTGGTCATTTCAAAGGTGTGTACGGTACGGCTTGTGATGATTGCCATTCTTCCACGCTATCGTGTTTCTGGTTGAGTGGGTGCATGTCTACAGACATGTTTGTGCATTGTAACATAGCTTCACCCCTACACACCCACACCACTATGGCCGGCTTGTCATGATGCTGTTGTGATTGTTCCATGCAGTCCTCTCCCCATGTAACACAATCCCACAGCAGTACTGAACTGCACTGTATTCTCACCTTCCTGTGCATTACAGAAAGACTTCGAAGCTTGCTTCCGGTCAGCTGATCAGGCATCCGTCATCAGAGATCGTCGACTATTTGATGGGTAAGTGCAATTATGGCTATTGCTCCTGCTACTGATACTGGTTGTGAATGTCCTGGAAACTTTTTGTCTTATTGCAATGGCCTTAGTTTTACTTTGTTGATGTCTGTATGTTCTCTTATCCTCAGCTTCACGGTCTACTACGAGAATATGGTGCAGAAGGCTCAGCATCAGCTACAGCTCAAAGATCGAGTAAGTTAAGGCTATTGATACCTGCACATTATCAGACTAGGCTTCGGGAGGAGATGGTAAGCGAGCTTCTAATAGTCTTCTTTCACTTCATGTACTTGCTCACTGTACCCTGTTGTCATCTAGTGCATGATGAGAATGCCGTATATAATTGTTATTTGCAGGAGATTGCTCACTGGAAAGAGCAGAGTCAGCAGCAGGATGATTCTGCCCACCAAGCCGCAGAGAGTCTACTGATGGAGCAGTGTAACCCACTGATTATGGGTGAGTTGTACACGGCAGCCCTTTGATCATTGGAGCATGGCACACATGCCTCAGTCATCTGTTGTTTACCATGTGCAGTTCATCCACCGACCGTAGAGGGCTCAATTTGCCGAAGGCAAAGAGCGGAATACACAGACAGAAGAACGAGCAGTTGCGGTTTCGTAACTCTGAGTTTGACGAACTGAATCGATCATCAGACGAAAATTGATCATATTGTTGGCTTTGTCATGGTGGGCTGGTAGGTGCATATCCCATGGTTCAGACTGGACAATGCCAATCACAGATGTCATGATATTCATTTGTGTGTTCCCACTTGGAAAAGACTTCACGGAGAGAATGTAACGTTACATCCGAATGGCTTGTGATTGTTGAAAGCAGAATGCATGACTGCATTGCAAAAGCATAATACTAGATGCAGTGGCTATGATACCATCTAATTTTCCTGTATAGTTACAGTAAAGGACACGCATAATGCATGGTGTTGCATGGTGTTGCATGGTGTTGCAGTCTACTTGCCTCTGTTTGGCTTCATGCTCCACATTGTTATCGACTTTGCACTTCTTCATTTTGGACTTGTGATGTATTGCATGTCTTTGCTGCCCTGGACCTTTGACCCCTGGACCCCTGACCCTTGACCCCTGACCCTTGACCTCTTGACCCCTGACCCTTGACCCCTGGATCCCTGACCCTTGCCCCCTGGACCTGTGGTTTGGTTTGGTTTTATTATTTCAGTTTCGTTGCCTCAACAGTAAGTAAAAGTAAGTAAATTATCGTGTCCGTTCCCGAAAGGAACTCACGACGGCCGCTAACACCCGGTAAACCCTAGCGGCAGATGCAGCGCCTAACGGTGGGGGTGAGTGGATAAGTCTCACAACCACTGACACAAGTGCTGAGAACGACCCCATTAGCTGCATCCATGTGCCCCTTGTGCCTGGCCACAAGTTCCCAGTTGACTGTGGGTAGCAACACGGCTGGAAGAACCGCTCCCAGGCAGGACTTGAACCAGGTACCTCTCGTATCTCAATCATGGTCTTTGACCAACCCACTGTGCCTGCCTGGTCCAACAGTATAAAGTACAAATATCAAGAGGGACGAACGAAAAGAGAAAGTAAAACAGAGCAGAAAGGACGATGCACCTAGAAGGAAAGAAAAGCGGAGAAGGGATGCGGACTGGGCGGATTCATGAACCATTCGGACCCCTGGAACCTTGTCAGGAGCGAAAACACAAGGTGTATTCTAAAGGCATACATCTACATGTACTTGTTGATGCTGTAATTGTTGTTGGTGTGCTGGTGTCCTTTCAGAAATCATCTCACTTCGGGTATGCCTTCAGAATGCAGAGAGTGTGCTGGACCTGAAGGTACTTGCACTCTGCACTTGTAACATCACCGCATTCTATACCATAGGAATATGGCCTTATTGCTGGGCGTATCTCTAACTCTTTAACGGCTGCGCCAATTGTTCCAAAACATTTACAGAACAATTTTACATGCCCAGACAAGTCTTTCTATTTTTTTATCCTCGGATTTCTTTTATCTTCAAGCATCTTCTTGACACACCTGTTTGCTTATTACGTTGAAATGGCCTATAAGAGGAGTCACCGCATCATTTCCACACGTGCCCAGTCTTTGCAAACACAGAGAATACCTTCACAATAGAGGACACGCTGGTAGATTGTGCACTATTGCTCTGTATTGAAAGATGTCATGCCCTGACGAAGTGTTTCGCTTCTCGATCCCCTAGGTGGAAGAGGCACGGGCTGAATTTCAGCGGCACTACCAAAGCCTAGCGGAGGACCTCTTCAATACGTCAAAGGCCGTTCAGAAACGAATGGAAGAATACAGGCAAGTTGATACCAGCAACCTGAGCTCAGTATTATCCATGTATTTGAATCTTTCTTAAAAGTTGCAGGCTCCATTACAGCCATTTCATATCGAAAACCTTACACCACCGCAAACACAAGTGGTCTCTGTAGGTGATAACCTGTACAATCTCAATCAAAGTTTCCGCCAGGAGCCGCAATAAAAGTTTGCTTTGCCGAATGTCGTACTTCCTGACCTTACAGTATCTTGGCAATAAACCGGTGGGCTTGCATGCGTGCATGAGTACATGTGTGTGGTTGTGCGGCAGATCCTGTGGCAGATTGAGCCAGTGTGCGGCTGCTGTTCATTCTATTCATGGAGTATAGTCTGACGCTGATATGACATAATTTGTTGCTAACACCACTTTTTGTATAATTTCCTTGCATTCGGCAGGTGTAACATGTTTGGTGACATTGCTACCAACATACGTGACTTGAAACAGTCAGCTCTGGCAGATCTACAGCAGATAAGAAGCAGTGCCCTCACGTCACTGGGTATGACGGAAGGTCAGTTTTACTCTGTTGTATGACTGCACTCTGCAAACACACCATATTATCGCATAAGCTTGTCGTCCATCCATTGGCCAGTCCTCCACCTCTCTAATGCATTCTTCAAATTCCCTGTTTTCTCTTTCCTGTATTCACCCAATGAGAAAGCTGTGAAAGCGGTTTGTAGCCAATGTTTTTGCTTTATGTTCTCAGATTCTGACAGCAGCACCGCGGTTTCTGATGCGGCTAATGAGCTCCAGACAACCCACAGTCTACAGCTGGATAATGCTGAGCTTGTCAAAGCGGTAAGATTGTGAGTGCTATTCTCACGTAAATATCTACATATCACATGGTAATTGATACGCTGGGCTTGCCACATTCATGGTGTACAGCAGTACTACTCTCAGGGCAGGGTCAGTATCAATTTTCGTCTGATGATCAATTCAGTTCGTGAAACTCAGCGTTACGAAACAGCAACTGCTCGTTCTTTTGTCTGTAGGTGTTATTCTCATACTGTCCGGAAAAGTAAAATTCTTTGTCCCAGCAAAAAGCTGTGTACAGAAGCCGAGCTCATTATGCACTGGTAGCGATTGGAATAATTTTGCGCCGTAGATGATTCCTGTGAGCTGCTGCAGGGTTACCTGGGTCGTCAGCTGACATTCCCACCGAGTGCCTAATCCTATACGTGCGCTGTCACAGGAATTCGGCGATCTTCTGGTAGAAGCCCTGGTTTTTCTTCAGTATCTTGATTGTGCTGTTCCGCAGGTTATATACTAGAGTTTGGTGCACCTTTTTCCTTGCCTCCCAGTTCACCGCACAGTTCACCCTCGCAATGTATGGACAAATCAGCAGTGTTGAAAAACTGAAACTCCCCCCGACCGTCGCAGTACACACTAGTGATTAGGTTTAGTGGCTCCCTCCTATTCGTCATCTGTTTTCAATCTGATTCGTGCATTGTTTACTCATAGTGTCATGAAGCTTCTGGTTCAACTTGTTTTCTGTTTGGTGCTCAGTTGAACCTGGAAAGGTCTTTGAACCAATGGCGAGTCACAACTGCTAAGCAGGCTCATATCAAGCAGGTAGTGTTGTCAATGTTATGTGAAGTGTGTGCCTTGAATGTATCCTTGTATATCTGTATGACTGTGTGTGTGTGTGTGTGTGTGTGTGTGTGTGTGCGTGCGTGTGTGCGTGCGTGTGTGCGCGTGCGCGTGTGCGTGCGTGTGTGTTGTGTGTGCGTGTACATGTGTTTGCATGCGTGTACGCGTATGAAATGGTGCGTGTGTTAATGTGTGTATGTGCATCTGTAGTTGAGCTTGTGTGTGCATGCATGCGTGCATCTGTATTTCACTTGCATGCGTCCTTCCACTTCAGCATTGGTCCAAATGGAAGGGTAGGTTGGTGACAACTCCAACTTCGCAACCCCAACTCCACCCCACTCTGCAACACACACACGCACACACACACACACACACACGCACACGCACACACATGCACACACACACACACACACACACACACACACACACACGCAAACACATCGGCCCTAACCATAAATAATTTGCGGTGCCCTCTTTTCTTCCGACTGCTTCTCAGCTGGCTGATGCACAACTGGAGTTGGAACGATTGCGTGTTGACAGTCTAAATACGGGAACCGCCACAGCTCAAGCTAGTCAAGCAGCTGATCAGCAAAAGGATGCCATGAAGAAGGTAATGTGCCAGTATACAGTAAATACGGCCATTGAACCAGGAGACCTTCTCTCTTTACTAGAGACCACCTCTCTTTACAGACCACCTGTCTTCACAGACCACCTGTCTTCACAGACCACCTGTCTTCACAGACCACCTGTCTTCACAGACCACCTGTCTTCACAGACCACCTGTCTTCACAGACCACCTGTCTATAGGGACCACTTGTCTTCACAGACCACTTGTCTTCACAGACCACTTGTCTTCACAGACCACCTGTCTTCACAGACCACCTGTCTATGGGGACCACCTGTCTTCACAGACCACCTGTCTATAGGGACCACCTGTTTTCACAGACCACCTGTCTTCACAGACCACCTGTCATCACAGACCACCTGTCTATAGGGACCACCTGTCTTCACAGACCACCTGTTTTCACAGACCACCTGTCTATAGGGACCACCTGTTTTCACAGACCACCTGTCTTCACAGACCACCTGTCATTACAGACCACCTGTCCATGGGGACCACCTGTCTTCACAGACCACCTGTCTATAGGGACCACCTGTCTTCACAGACCACCTGTATTAGGAAGTATAGTATTGTACCTGTTCTATGCATTCTCTATCTAGGTTCGTTCCGTTGCTCCAGGACTGTCGTTTTGCCACGTCGCATGACTCTCAAAATGCTACTTTGCGGTCTTGCAGCACATGCACCTCCATTACGGCAGTTTCTTACTTGTTTCCACCTGTGGTGGTGTGAGATGGTGTGCGGTACTTTCTCTATCCTATGTCAATTTTCCTTTGACAGCGTTTGGCTGAGCTGGAGGAGAAGCTAAGCGAAAGTGAACAGCAAATGGAAGCAGAAGTAAGGTGGTGTCAATGTGTTACTCAACGTCTGTGTGTGTACGTGTGCTTGTGTAACTCTGTCCTCATTGCCTCTTTGAGGCACTGCATCAGGCGGTTTCAAGGTGTGTACATGCACGTGTGTGTGTGGTTGGCAAGTGGGTTGTACCTGCAATCATGCACACATTCGCACATGTTCGTGTGTTCTTGCCCTAGATGTGTATGTGTCCATAACAGCGTAGTTTATAGGGCAATTCTTGCGCTGTGCAACTTACTTGGTACCACTCATATGAAGCGTTTCATTTTGTTTTGTTACTGCTTTTTTGGTTGTGCCTCACCTGTAGCTTGCCATGTTTTATCATACAAAGGTCTGTTGATATAATTTCTGTGTTTGCATACTGTAGCGCGTAGCTAATCAGAAGAGACGGCAGCGGGAGCAGGTAAGTCACAGCACTTTGTCTGTCAAACTCTTGCTCTAATGAATGTGTTCCAGCTCCACCACATGCACTCTCTCTCTCTCTCTCTCTCTCTCTCTCTCTCTCTCTCTCTCTCTCTCTCTCTCTCTCTCTCTCTCTCTCTCTTACTCGCCTCATGTAGACCAGCAACATGAGTCCCAGGGGCGGATCCAGGAGGGGTTCCAGGGGTTCCGCGGAACCCCCTAAATTTCGTAAATGTACTACTAGCAGCCACATGAGTGTCCATGTACATGTATCAGCTATTCAGTTTTGACTATTCTGGAACCCCCCTGTGGAGATCTCTGTATCCGCTCCTGTATTGACTCCAAGCCGCTTTAAAGGGGAAGTTAAGGCTAAAATCAAAATTTCACCAGTTGTAGTCTTCGGGGTGCTGAGTCGAATGGCCTTGGTCCGAGAAAGCTGAGACGCTCCCTTCCTACTTGAATCCCAATCGAACTCGCGCACTTCCACCGAAACTGGGTGACTGCGCCCTACTAGATGGGGATTTGTATGCAAAATGTCACTAAAAGCGCCATTTCGTTCTTATAAAAGCACGGATGACCGCGATTGGCCCATATGTTGTAGTCTTGTGGACGCTGAGTCGACTGGTTTTGGTCCGAAAAGGCTGCGATGCAGCGTTCCTCCTTTATTCCCAATCGAACATGGTTGAAGAAGCGGTCACGTGCTCCTGGGTGCCCAAATCACCTGGTCACCACGCCAGCAGGCGACAACTTTCACACCAAGGTTCAAATCGAGTTCAACCCGAGTGACAGGACTGCACCCAAAAAAGGTCCAACAGGCTAGTAAGTTGTACCCTGCAGGCACGGTGACCAGGTGACTGGTGTACGCAGGAGCACGTGACCGCTTGTTCAACCATGTTGGATTGGGAATAAAGGAGGAACGCTGCATCACAGCCTTTTCGGACCAAAACCAGTCGACTCAGCATCCAAAAGACTACAACATATGGGCCAATCGCGGTCATCCGTCTCGGACCACGACCATTCGACTCAGCACCCCGAAGACTACAACTGGTGAAATTTTGATTTTAGCCATAACTTCCCCTTTAAGCATGTGGTAGAGGTGGAACAGATTAAGTGATGAACAGGCCAAAAGCTGCTGCTTACTATCGTGTTAAACTCGTGCTCTGTTGTTTGATTTCTCTTTTAATACATCGTAGTGTTATGTTTCTCTTGTCACCTCGATCCATAGAGTGCAGTGTGCAGTGTGCAGTGTGCAGAAAGGGGTTGAATGTGTACCATGCGGATCTCATCCACTAGCACTGCCTGGATTTAAATGGCCAATGATTCAGACATGTGTGCACACATGTATACACATTTATACATGTCGCCTGATGATCGTGAATACGTGAAACTCGGAGTTGTAACACAGCTTCCAATCTCTCTCTAGTGTACATGTTCTCGTGTACTTGTGTTCGGCGTGCACATGTAACGTTTCAAAGTGCATTGCCTGAAACAAGTAGAGAAGTAGAGATGCTCTACAGTTCCCTGAGCTGTGCATGGCTCATACAAGCACTCGGACTCGTTAACTTTGTACTAAGCGAAGGTGCTTGGTTCGAGTCCTGTTGGTGACAGTCGAATGCTCTTCAGACCTTTCCCATTTTCAGCTCCCTCAACTTTATGCATAGGTTGTATTTTTCTTGTTTTGTATCCGTTGCACGGACGCGGAACCCTTCTCTCTTGATGTGTTCTATGCATACTATTTCAGGTGGTGAAGCCAATATTTGATATGTATCAACCCACGGTGGAAGACCTGAATAAGCTGGTAGGTCTCACCTTGCTGGCCACTACCGGCCAGCCAATGGCGGTGGTCACACACCATGACATGATAATGCACACATTGCACACTGCCAGCCAGTAGTGGTCGCATACCGATACGTGTACAATGAGAGTGCACACATTGCTATCCACTGCCAGCCAGTAGTGGTTACATACCGATACATGTACAATGAGAGTGCACACATTGCTATCCACTGCCAGCCAGTAGTGGTCACATGCCATCACAACATGATGAGAGTGCACACATTGCCCCATACAGTCCAGCATACAGATGAGTACACATACTGTTGTTTGTAAGCCTGCGAGCTAGAGTCCCTGGAATCACCCGCAAGAGTGCTAGGATAACCACCAAGAGTTTAAACATACCGGTAACCTAGTAGCTTTACTAGATAAGCCGTCACATTCCCGCTGGCCAACACAATGAGCAAGTAGTCAAGCCTGGATACACTCTCTACACACACACAAACCAGCATGACAGTAATACCTCTATTCTCTGCATTCTCTTTGTACTTTCTGTTGTGTCACAGAGACTGAGTCTCCAGGATGCTGAGCACAAGCTGGCTGTGGTGCAATGTGAGTTCACAAACGCCTGCGACCACTGCACACCATTGGTATTGAACACAGAGACTCTTGTGCGTAATTATTCTGTTCATTGCTAGTATAGAAGCCTGCCTACAGAGAGCAATACAGTTACTATTTTCATCAGAAGTGTCTGAAGTTGAGCCGTTATCTTTGCGGCCTAGACTCATCACTGCCTTCATGGGAAATGACGGAAGAAAGTCAAAAGGTTTATCTTGGTAGCATGGAAGGAAGCGTGATTGCTGCTGTGCTCTGCAATGTACATTCTTGGCAGTGGAAGTGTCGCAAGAAAGGCGTATGACAGCGGCAGCCTCAGCGCGCACCAAGAAGGCAAGTGTTCTCTATTAGCCCTGCCGACTTCTGACCAGTTGAAGTTGTGTGCACTTCTAGCATCTTCACATTAGTAGCATATTAGGACATACCACTCTGGGATGGTTCATATTTCGTGACTGATTCTAAACTTGTGAACGATATGAAATCAAATTGTGCTTGAAATTGCACGGTACATACAAGCATCCCTAAAGCTGCAATGATCAAAATAGGAATGAGGTGAAGTGGTGCAGATCTGTGCTGTACTCACTATAGATAAGGGCCAGTATTGCTTGTTTGCAGTATGCTGCCATTAGCTTCTGCGTTATCTATGGCGCGATTGTTCAGTGACCTGTTACTCAATGTGCTTGTGCAGAATGTTGCCAATAGTGTCTAGAACGGTCCCTTTGGCCAGTCACCTGTTACTCAATATTCATACTACTTTTCTTGTGCAGGATGTCAAGCAGCTACAAGGCAGGCTACAGCAGGAGCGAGCAAAGAAAGTGGAAGCCTATACCATGCTGGAGAAGTACATACCAGTAAGCAAACGGCACTCACCACGGGCATTGTCTTCTCTACAAGTGATATGTCCTTATTGACAAGATGAGCAGGCTTGTAGCGCGCATGGGGAACGGGGGCACGTGCGCCCCCCCCCCCCCCCAATTTTCGACCTAGGTTCAGCATGCACATAATGACTATGAATGACATGCACCAGCCGTCCTACACATATGCGGCGGTGCACCGCCATAAAAGGCGGACTAGCTACGCCCCTGATGAGAATAGAACAGGAATCAAATTGACCAAAAACAAGGACTGAAGATCTGACAGAACGCGGCATGGGGTTTGGTGCTTTGTCTTTGTGCAGTAGTCTTGGAATTTTGTAGTTGCTATACTTGAGTTACACCATGTCCCGGCTGTGTTTGTATAAAGTTGTGCTTTGGTTGTGGTTGGGAATTGCTATTCTGTTGTTTGATGTGTGGATGCTTGTGTTGTGCGTGTAACCATGTATTCTCCAGGATGATTCAGGAAAGAGGAATGCCTTTGCCGGTGTGGCACATCGTAAGTTTAAGAGTTTGTGGTGGCAAACCTCTGTGTAATAATTATAATTATGCCATTTTGCTGTACGCTGAAGATCCAGCCTCACAGTGGAAGTGTTTGCATTCAGACTGACAGACCAGAGCTTATTGCGGCTCCACACTGATCTATGTGTTGTGCGGTATCACGAGGGCCCAAATGTAGATGTGTCGTAACTATAGTTACGCCGTCTATGGCTGCTTACACTGATCATGCAAACAAGCGGATACATGTGATTGTCACCTTTATGTGTAATATCTCGAAGTCAAGGCATGGCATTGATTCACAACAGGATGCTCTGTGAATGCATCAAATGTACAGTGCTAGTCAATAAAATCCGACCGTGGGAATCAAGTTTACGCCCTGCACCAGTTCACCATCCCAGTCAGGGTCGTCGCACATGGTACGGTCACTACAGTATTGACCGTACCACTATTTGCCCCAAGTACCCCGTGAATCAATAGAATACACTGATCTGGGCTCTAAATTTCCGAAATGTTCGGCTCAGCCATCCCCCACAAGTAAATTGTGCTTCAGACGGCTGACCGTACCACACTAAAATGCCTTCCGACGTCCCTGCCACTGCCCGCATGTCTAGGGTTGCACAGAACCTAGCGTGGCATTCTCTTGGTCGATCGGATTTTGATTTAGCAGTACAGTCTGTGCATCTGCCATTCCAGGTCTGCATAGCTGTTTACATAGCTGGTGCAATGGCAGGGCTGAACTTCGTGTTTGAATGTTTCTTGTTGGGTCTGCTGTTTTCCTTTGTTGTTTTGTAGGTGGCTCTGGTATAGCAAGTCATTCCGCCACGGCATTGCTCTCTGCTGACTTTTCTCCGGATGTACCGGTGAAAGCTGCAGGTATGCGTGCATCTCAGTCATAAACACACCCACAGTGACGGAGTATATTGCGGTTTGCATTCGTGTATCAGTCTGTCCAACCTTGCCACCATTCCAAAGCAGGACACCTACTGTAAGAGCAGAAATTTTCGGTGGTGTTTTATTTTCGGTAACTTCGGTGCCGACAGGTTTTACCGAAAATAAAACGCACCGAAAATTTCGGTACAACCGACACTGTACACATGTAGTACTAGTACACTTACCTGGAGAACGGGTTTTACCGAAAATTTCCCTCTACCGAACCGCCGATTTTGGAGAATACCGAAAATATTACACCACCGAAAATTTCTGCTTTTACAGTATATAAAATGCATACAAAGGCAATTGTCTCCCATGTAAATGTACACAAATGTTTTCGTCCAAAGCAGGACTGTCCTGCTCAAAGCAGGACTGTTGGACAGTCTGGTGTATGATGTTGCCAAGTCCCCCCCCCCCCCCCCATACACACACCTTGAGCAAGGTCCTTCTTTCAGTATTGCTAGTAGTAGTGACTTCCCTGTCTGCGTAATATCCATGTTAAGTACATCATTCAAAACTCATCCCTGTGGCTCAAAGGTCGTAGGTTGTAGGTTCAGAGTACACTGCTCAAGTCCTGGGTCAAATGCTTGGTATTGGTTTCCTGTTTTCTGTGCTCATTAGCTAAGAAAACACGGACTAAATCTGCTGCGCCGCACACACTGGATGGAGAAAGCATGTTACCACACGGTAAGCGAATGCTTGTCAGTTCTTGATAATAGAGGATGAGCAGTTGAGCACCGATTTCACTGTTCCGCTTGGGCTCCCCGTGAATTCATGCCCTGTGCAAACTAGCAAGCGTCCCTATTTGCGAATTTTTTGTATTAGGCCTGAGCCCAAACTCACTCTGCTGGTTTTCCAACGATAGTGTTGTGGCCAGTGAGAACATGTGAGAACATGTGAGAACATGTGAGAACATGCATGTAAACCAATACTACAGTCAGACCTCACGTATCCGGTCCTCTTTCATCCGGATCCCTCGCCATCCGGAAGAAAATTGTTGGTTACTGATTTACAGCATAATTATGTCATGTACACATACATACAGTATGTGTGTTCGATTATCCGGTTCCCTCGCCTATCCGGATATTTTCGTGGAAAAAGGATGTGTGCGATTAAGTTCCGCAGTGGTATTGGTATGTTGACGCTATAATTAATCATAATAAACTGTGTGGACGTGTTTTCTGGCTATGTACAGGGTATGCTCGTTCCGTGACGTCTGCGTTTACACAGGATGCTGGCCTAGCTGCCACAGGTACTTGTGGGCATACATAGGATCTGTGCACACATGTACACATCATGTGCACACATTCGTTGCACAACAAAGCCTTGAAGTCACCGGTGCTGAGTCTGAAGCCTTTCTCTGAGCTTGTTATTTAGATATCAGCCCATGGTCCTAGTAGTCGCAATAAGGGTTTGGATAAGAGGTTGGTGCGACTTCAGCGAGGGATTTCTCGTGTGCTCTGGATGGCAGTCGTCAGTCAAGTGAGAATTCAAGTCGGCAGGAATAGCGCAAGCTCCCACGCAGGGAGCAACACACAATTCCCCAAGGGTTTGGATAAAGTGCTCAGTGCGCCAAGTACACGGCTATATGTGTGCACATACAGGTGACACATGGGCTGTTTGTTCTCTGACCTCGTGGTAGTAATGCCGTAAGCACAACAGCAAAAAGGCATCATCAGACCCAGTGGTCTCTTTGCCACGTCCCCGGACACGTCTTCCTCAAACCAACTCGCTTTTTACGTCCATTGTACCCAGCAAGAGAGAATAGGGTGCGACAAATTGTATCTCTGACGTCTGTACAAGCACTGGCTATACATGTGTGTGTGTGTGTGTGTGTGTGTGTGTGTGTGTGTGTGTGTGTGTGTGTGTGTGTGTGTGTGTGTGTGTGTGTGTATGTGTATCTGTCTTCAATTTCCAGTTCCTACAACGAACCCAGGAAAACAATTCTCGGTTAGTCACATAGTGTACTCACATGTGTGTGTGTGTGGGGGGGGGGGGGTCATCACTTGCACTGTGCACAAAAGGCAGGTGTATGAACCAAGAAGGCTGCAGTGTGCGGTTGTACTGCAGTATATGCATTGTTGGAACATATGCCGATTATTCACCAGACATTGATCGGTCTTGCTCTCGGGAACTTTAACTGCGACACGTCGCCATGGGAAATTTAAAAATATTGAAATATTCCAGTACCGTAGTCTACAGTCTACAGTAGAGTCGCATGATTTGCGTGTTTCTTTGGCTTTACAATTTGAACATAGTCGGAGTTCTGAACATCACTCACAACCAAGGTCGCGTATCTGACCTCAAGTCGATCAGCAGAGTCAGACTGTGTGCCATTTCGGTAGGAAAGGGACAGAAAAGAGTACTGAGATACAAGTCAACAGCCTGGTATTTGCAACAGCCTGGTATTTGCAACAGCCTGGTATTTGGCTCTGATTAGTACTAGTTATATTGCTGAATACTTTCGTGTTGTTCTGTACCGTCTTCTGTACCGTCTTCTGTACCGTCTTCTGTACCGTCTTGTTTCCATACAGTCGAGAACCTATCAAACTGGTCGACTGTCCAATATCCACTTCAAAAAGTAGGACCACATTAGCCGACCATCCTCCACGCACACAGGAGACAGTTCCCAATGATCATCGTCGAAGAATAGATTGGCTAATTGGAGCTCCCATTGTTGGATGGTGGCTGTTGGAATAATCTACCTGATGATGTCCGTCCCACTCGGCTTGAATACTATTGCATCATTTCCCCCAGATCCCTTTATATTGATTGTCCAAGTTGCCGTCATCAAGAGAGAAGTTAACGTATATGATTGCACATCTTATTAAACCATCTTTATAGTCATCTTGTCAAGAGAGTGTCAATAAGTTATGATAAATGTATTCCAATACTTTCAAGAAAAGAACTTCATCTCAACAGAACATTGCAAACTGTACATCAAGGTTAAAATGATATTATGTATAGCATTAGGATCTATGCCTGGTGTTTGGTTGATGGTAGATACAGTAGATAATAATAATGATAGGTAATGCTAGTGTCGTGTTGAAGCTATGATACCATATCATGCAAAAGCCAATTCTCATGTTGACTCGAAGTCGCGCTGGAATGCCTGGTATTTCTTGGCCATGTGATGCGCTGAAGGCTTAGTGTGCTCCAGTGCTGCTTCCACATCGGACATCTCAATAGGTCGCACTGTCAGCTGGGGAAATTCCCCTCCGCTAGCTGCATGAAACAAATCGGGAGAGAAGGTACCAAAAACGAGACTCTTTCAGCTGGGGATTTTACCCTGCGCTAGCTACATACATACCATGTGCCGTGCCGCTTACCAACCCAATTTACACCAAAGCATTCCCCATACACCTCACCTCACCTCACTCCCCCCCCCCCCATAATGGGAAAACTGCTAGTTATATGCTTGACTTAATCTGAGCTTGATCCGGTGGCCAAATTTACAGCTATGAACCTCACTCACCCTCATAGTTTTCGAGGCAGTCGAAAATACGCCTCACTGGCCGCATGGCTGCCTCTTTGCAGACAAGCTTGATGTCTGATCCAGAATAGTTCTCCGTCATCTGCACATAGACATAAACAATAGATGAATAGTTCTCCGTCATCTGCACATAGACATAAACAATAGATCCTTACAACGCCGTTTGGCTCATCTCTGCGAAAAGGCACACATTGACTGTCGCACGCCTGCGAGACTTACCAGCACCTCACTGTCACTGTGAGTGTGAGGTGCTGCTGCATTTGCCACCTGCAATGTAGTGACAACTAGGCATGTTGGCATGTTGGTGGCTTGGTACAAGCAACTCTTAGCTAGTTGTGCTGAGGCTAAACACAATGGTGTAGCCCGTGGTAATGCAAAATTCATTTTTTTAGTTAGTAACCTCTCAAGCTTTTATATAGGCAATGCACGAAACACACAACCACAAACAAACAGACACACACACACACGAGCACGCGCTCGCAGCATCTATCATACCTGAGCTAGTTTTCCATAGTCCAGCGAGGAAGAGATGGCAAGGCCGCCATTCTCAGCGGGTGTGTGTGGTGGCAAGTAATGCTCCATCATCGCTTTGCGTGCAGCCTCTACGGGTAGATCAACAATGATACGCTTTTCAAGACGCCGAAGCATAGCCGCGTCCAGTTCCCTGTGCACAAACATAAAACGCGGAGATACTAGTTCATAAAAGCCCCATTATCGAGACAAGTTGCCCCATTCTTGGCAGGTGCACCCATGGCAAAGAGTCCCCAGTCTTCAAAATTTGATCTTTACAAGCAGACACCAGATGTGGTCACCCCCGTGGCGCAATGGATTAGCGCATTGGACTTCTAATCGGGCTAGCTGCTTGACGGCATTCAAAGGTTGTGGGTTCGAATCCCACCGGGGGTGGTACTTCTTTTTAGTCTTTTTTGAAAAAAATAATATCATATCTTGCAATATCCGGGCGGTCCAGGACCGGGCAGGGTAATTGTTTTTAAATGTTTCGCCATGTATGTAAACACAACTTCACAAGTCTGCATGCAAATCGTGAGAAACTGGTAACCATGGTGACATAACATGATACAACAACCGTGCACAGACATCAATGTGTTTAAAAAAAGGTTAATCAAAATTTCACCAGTTGTAGTCTTCGGGGTGCTGAGTCGAATGGTCGTGGTCCGAGGAAGCTGAGACGCTCCCTTCCTACTTGAATCCCAATCGAACTCGCGCACTTCCACCGAAACTGGGTGACTGCGCCCTGCTAGATGGGGATTTGTATGCAAAATGTCACTAAAAGCGCCATTTTGTTCTTATAAAAGCATGGATGACCGCGATTGGCCCATATGTTGTAGTCTTTTGGACGCTGAGTCGATTGGTTTTGGTCCGAAAAGGCTGCGATGCAGCGTTCCTCCTTTATTCCCAATCGAACATGGTTGAACAAGCGGTCACGTACTCCTGCGTACACCAGTCACCTGGTCACCATGCCTGCAGGGTACAACTTACTAGCCTGTTTGACCTTTTTGGGGTGCAGTCCTGTCACTCGAGTTGAACCTTGATGTGAAAGTTGTCGCCTGCTGGCGCTGTGACCAGGTGATTTGGGCACCCAGGAGCACGTGACCGCTTGTTCAACCATGTTCGATTGGGAATAAAGGAGGAACGCTGCATCGCAGCCTTTTCGGACCAAAACCAGTCGACTCAGCGTCCAACAGAGTACAACATATGGGCCAATCGCGGTTATCCGTGCTTTTATAAGAACGAAATGGGGCTTTTAGTGACATTTTGCATACAAATCCCCATCTAGTAGGGCGCAGTCACCCAGTTTCGGTGGAAGTGCGCGAGTTCGATTGGGATTCAAGTAGGAAGGGAGCGTCTCAGCTTCCTCGGACCACGACCATTCGAGTCAGCACCCCGAAGACTAAAACTGGTGAAATTTTAATGTTTGCCTTAACTTCCCCTTTAATGTCTATCTTACCAGGGCAGATTGCTGGCAGCAAGTACAAAGACATTGTCAGATGACTTTGCCAGTCCGTCCATTTGCACAAGTAGCTCCGTTTTCAAACGCCGACTTCCCTCATGCTCACTGCATGAGGCAAAGGCCACAGAACATTCATAGCCACATGACTTGTGTATATTCTAATAGAGGCTCACAAGATCTTATGCTGCTGCTACTTAGCTTCATGTCATGACAAGTAAAATCCGGAAGTCCGGCGAGATTCCGTGGGTTGCCTTTTGTTCTAGAAAGCTTCCAATTTCACGTCATGAGCAAGTGCAGTGAGATCACAAACAACGAGATGGTTTAAGTACAGTAAAACCTGTAAAGGCGGCCACCCGTCCCAGCAGACCACTGCACCCAGGACCAAGAGATGCTATCTCCAGTCCAATGATACTGGACAAGGATACCACCTGGTAATAGAGACCACATTTGAAGGTCCCTTGAGCGGTCGTCTTAGACAGGCTTCACTGCAGTTACGTTTTGCACTATTGTGCTACGCTGCATGAGCAGTGTGAGTATACAGGCAGATGCCGTGTGGCCGGATCTTGCTAACCTCATTCCATCACCTGACCCTCGCTTGCTCATGACCGAGTCCAGCTCGTCGAGGAATATCGTTGACGGCGCATGATAGCGTGCCAGCTCAAAGAGAACCTAAGACATTCAGGTAGAAAGTTAGAAACCATTCTATTGTTAGTACTGCATCTAAACCAATCTACTGAAGTAATTGGTAGCATTGAAAGTGCATCGTAAGCACTGGATATTCTATCCACGTACTGGTACAAAATAGATCTACTGCTGATTTCGATAAGGTTTTTCATGACATTACTTATTATAATAGATACAGTCATGGCAATTTTGTGAACGTACAGTATAACTATATAGCTTTCTTGGTAGTGAAGCAGTGATTGGCATGAGTGGATTAAATGTGAACCAATATTTGCCAATATTTGCCTATGACTGCCCACTTGCCCTGAAAAGCGGCACTGGTATCACAACACTATCATCCACTTGCTTCACAGCAGCATGCCGGGATACTCCCTGTCATTTTGTTATTCCAGCATGTGCACCGGCACGACAACTGCCGCATTGATGTACTGGAATCTGTATACGTTGCTAGGTTTCAATTTTCAAACCAGAGCTAAATAGACAGAGGCGGGGGGGGGGGGGGGGGGGGGGGAGATACTTAACTGGTACTACCTTGATTTCTCATCTCTGTTCTCACTTGGGTAATGTCACACCTGGATGATGTTGGACTTTACGATGGTCCTCCAAAGTTTCGGCTCACTGGATACTATCATCTTAGAAGTTTTTCGTAGAGTTCACATCATCCGAGCTACTTTGTATGGACCAGCAACGCAACAGGATAACCGTTGTTTGCCAATCAAATCTCAATACCAACTAGCACAGTTTGCCTCTCCGTATACGACACAACGTTTGCTGCCCTGGTCCACACTCTATAGAAAACACACGCGGTGTGCTCATTCACACAACAGCTATAGGTAGAATTTTGTCATCAAGGGAGAAATAATTTCCTATTTTCAAAATTAAAACAGCGCCGAGTTGAAAATCTGCAGCTGACCTTCACAAGTTTCTCTGAATCTCCACGCCATTTGCTGACGATGGTGGACGCTGAGATATTGAAGAAGGTAGTGTGGCATTCGGTTGCAACAGCCTTTGCCATCAACGTCTTACCAGTACCTGAAGTGTAAAGGAGGACAATGCCATGGTAAAGATTTAATGCCATGAGATCTGATAAATCCACTGTGCTTAAAGGAACAACAGATTCTGCTTTCATTTCTGGTAAATTCAGCACAACTCTCCACAGTGGACTCGTATGGAGGGCCAAGGATAAATTTATAGAAAAGAAAAGGACCAAAGAACTACAAGTTACGCTGTGATGTCCACTAACACCACCAGTTACTTGACAATCAGCTCATGCGATGACATTGCACGACACTGACCAACAGTACTGAAATTCTTCAACTTACTGCCAGTCAGCTCTAGCACGTCTTGGACGCGCACTCCAACAGCCTTCCAACTAATACTTGAAAGGTTCTAAGTTATACCACAGTAACGGTCCTTCTCTCCATAGCAACGGTCCTTCTCTCCATAGCAACGGTCCTTCTCTCCATAGCAACGGTCCTTCTCTCCATAGCAACGGTCCTTCTCTCCATAGCAACGGTCCTTCTCTCCATAGCAACGGTCCTTCTCTCCATAGCAACGGTCCTTCTCTCCATAGCAACGGTACTGTGACTGTGATGGTGACAGCAAAGCCTACTGGTTACTGGGTGTGTACTGCACAGACCATCAGTCCTCTTTTCACAATTAAAATTAATAAACGGTGAATAAAACATCCGGGCCTGGCCAATTCCTAGCCATAGTCTCAGGGAAGAAAGCTGGCCAAACTGTCTAAGTTTTAAGTTTTAACCATACTAGGAACACTGGAGGCCAATACTCACTTGAGTTGACTGGTGTTCACACTCACCTGGAGGCCCGTAGAGTAGCAGCCCTTTCCATGGCGACAATATTCCAGTGAAGATCTGGGGGTACTGCACACAGAAAGGAGCAGATAACACCGCCGGTTCATTGTGGCCATTACCCGCAAATTACAAATTGCCAGTAGACTACTACGCCTGAAAGTAGACGTCTCACCAGATATGCAGCACTGCTGACCTTTCGATCGACACACCCTCACTTGACACCACAGTATATCTACTGACTACATCTTCTGATATGAGCCCGATCTATTCATACAACACCTGCAATTGTAGGTGTGTGCTTATATAAAAAGGCGTACATATCAATCACCTGCCAAAGAGCATCTGCTGCCATACAAATTGCGGCGGTTCAGACCTCAAATATTATTCTCGAATGACCGTGACTTCTCATGTCCTAGAGTTTGTGACAAACGAGGACCTAACTCAACACAACACATGTCACATCCTTGTGCTTTCCGAGAGTTGCTGAACCAAATGGAGACTGCCTATCCACCAACTCACACCACCGTCTGCTTACCTTTATGGGATAGACAACGGCTTCCTTGATAAGCCGTTTGGCTCCCTCAAGACCAATGATGTCCTTCCAGTGAACATCAGGGTCTTCTGAGTAGATTTCCTGCCATAGTTCAGGTTGCAAGATGTACAGACCACATGAAGTTTAGAACATCGGATATTATGCATGGAATAAAACCATTCGAAAGCTGTAGTGCACCAAATGCATGTGATATTTGTGCATCTACAACACGCAATTTAAAATTATATTTGCGAAAGGTCAGCATATATTGCCACATGCCTGAAAATAAGTGAAATTTTCCTCCTTTGATTTCGTTAGAAGGAGTACTCAGTTATGTACAGTTGCGCTCACTGAAATCCGACCCGAAGTGTAAAACTGGCGCCCTGGACCAGTTCACATTACGTCACTGTACTTGAACAGTGGGTGTCTAGCCGCATTCGTACCACGTCTAGGGTGTCAAAGGCCATGCGAGTTCCGGGCGCCAGATACGCACTTTGGGTCGGATTTCACCGAGCACGATTGGAAGTACCGTATTAGAAGGATAAGATGCGAATCAACCTGTCATTTTGCAGACGTTGGAAGGGGGGGGGGAGATTCCCAAATCCTTCAGACGTGGCAGATGGGAACAGCCAAATCATGTAGCAGTACTTGGACGTCGAAGTATCATCTTTGACTTACCCGACTTATGACTTCGGCTAGGTCTCTCATTTCCCCTGTGAATCCCGACATACCAGCTATAGGCTTGAGCAATCGATCCTAACACAAAGGCAAAGACACATCCATAGAGAGATGATGACATGGGATCCTACGCAATTCTTACCACGATTAAATGCTTTTAGAATGATTTGTTGTTACCCCTCTTGATCATTATTTTGTTGAAGACCCCAAAAAATCACGGTTCGTGTTCCCGCCGAGTTTTCCGCATTCGTAGGAACGCCACCACCCTCTAGGATCAAGGCGCAGATGCAGCTCCTAAGCGGTGAAGACCCAAGTGCAGCATCAAAAATAATAACAGTGGTGTTGATGTTGGAAACACACACCAGGTTCCTAGTGCAAACTGCTGCTGGCGGTGAGAGAGGGAGCCTCTTAGCCAGAATTTTTCAGTTTGGAGAGTGTACTGGACGTGGCGTGTATTTACCACCATTTCTCCTGGTGAGCTTTACCAGCATTACTCTAGTACAATAGGGTTTTGGTGGGGAATTTGGGTGAAGAAACCGGACATAAAGACGACACGCTGGTCTGGAACAGCTGTGATCACTCGTATCGCGTAAACTACAGTTTTTGTAACCTGAAATGCAGCAAACTAGAACACGAGGCACAGAAACCACTGTTAAATCGGACAAGGCATTTCGCATCATTACTTTTTAAGATCGGTGCATTGGTGATATGAGCAGCAGCAAACAAACACAAGTCCTCGCTATCCAACTCTCTAGGTGGTCAAAGCAGTGACACAATGGCACCAAAATGTTTAGAGGGCGCAGGTCCATTGCATCCTGTTTACGTCTGCTAATTTGCCTTCTTCCACCGATACCTCGAATTAGATGCACGGTAAAGTGCTACAAGCAGCAGGCCATGTGATAGAGAAATAGTTCTGACAAGGGGTACGGCCTTTACCTGCTGTGTTTCTGTGACTTGTGGAATGCCACCGATTGCATCTTTCAGCATGGACCGCATGTCAATCACCTAACAGAAAAAGAGAGAGGGGACAGATTGTAGCTTAACAACTAAACTGCACTAAAATGCACATCCTAGTCCTCGCTGGACCCTGTAAGTAGTTTTCTATCCTCACTGGGCAATGCATGTTTGTTACTAACAAGAGATACAGAATATAGCCATTGACAAGCTGCCTGCACCAAGCACTCACCTGTCTGCCACCTACTCCTGCTGCTGCTGCCGCTGGTTTCGGCTGACTGCCCTGTATGAAGAGAACCTCGTTCTGCGCTGACAGAGGTGACGGTGAGTTGCAGCGTTCCTGGAGTAACACAAGGCCATGTTCGGAATAACGTTATTGTACCTGAAATTCATCGGCTATGAAGGGGTTCTAGAGGTTGAGGTGAATAGACCTCCAGTGAGCAATACTTGTGCTGGCAGCAACACCCTGGACCATGCATGTTTACGCCAATCAAGTTAAGTACAGTTTTAGCAAGTGAAAGAAAGTATGTCTGTCTGTGCCCCTAACTTCTACAATGGACACCAGCATTGCAGCAGGGTACTGTGGCTATACCAGCACACAACAATGACCTATCATATTTCAACTGTAGCCGTTCGCAAAAGAAAGAAAAAACGACCTACAGCAGATCGCAGATTGGCTATGTCTACTTACCGGTGGTACAACTGCCACCCGATCTCCTCTCTCCCCGGGAAGTTTGTCGGAGTTTGTGTGTCGCTGCTTGCGACTAGGCTCGGTTCCATTGCCGTTGGAATGCAGTGTAAATGGTTTGTGGTTGTTTCGAAGCTGTGTTGCCAGGCTGGTCGACTTGCCTGATAAGTAAACATCAGAAGAAGTGTGCACTCTGATGACTGGATTAGCACCAGAAAACTCAAAGTAACTAATTAGATTTCCTATGTGCTGCTGTGCCTTCCCAGAATGGACCGTTTTCCTCCGCATATTGAGCACTCTGTGCTGTGCAGACTGTGTAACGATTCGAATTATAATTATGTCACACTTATGTGTGATCACACCTGATAATTATGCTTTAAACACAGTACCGTATTTACTATTAGCCTCAACATGAACACTGTGTACAATGCCAATAGACAACAGATCAGGAGAAGTACACAATGAGTGCAACACATAACACGATTGTTATCTTCAGTGAAGCATATTTCCCCAGCACCATGCCCATTCATGATGCATGACATACGTATAATAGTTTGTGCTTATGCACTAGATAAAAACTAATTGAACGTATCCAAAATACTTGAAGTAGGATCTCTTGTGAACTGTTTGCTGTGTAAGTTCAGGTTTTCGGTAAATAGGAGAGACAAAATCGTAAGTAGAATTGTTTTACCTTCACTTGGATTAGCTGTTATGCTAGCTGTGCTTGATGAGGAATTGCCGGCTCGGCGGGGCAACGGTGGTGTTGGGTGAAGCTTGGGCAGAGTGTGGTGTCCCCTGTAGATAGACAAGGAACAGTCATAGACTTGTGAGCTACTCTGACCATTGCTCTAGCAAACATGTGCAGCACTTTGGCTGCATACACAGCCATAAGGTGCCAAGCCTGCAGGCGCCGGTATTATTAAACCTGAGCTTTCTAGGAGTGGCAATGGTGGCCTTGGGTGGAGTTTGGGCAGAGTGTGATCGAATCCATGTGTTCAATGCATTCTAGGTTGCTAACATAACAAACCAGACCAGACACGGTATGGACTCATGATTGTATGTAGGTGTGAACAAGTTAGTTTCTGGAAATGTTGTGGTGTTTGGTTTCCGCCCAACATTGTCGATCTGCATGTTTGCATGTTTGCACTAGCGTGCAGCTGAACCAACGCAGCCGAACCAACGTGCCTTGCAATGCTTTGCTAGGCTATTCTTTCACTGTATCTTTTTGGTCACATATAATACCGTACACTTTTCTTACTCAACAGAATCTTAGAACGAAGAAGGAGCGGTCGGTTGTTGTCTTTGGCGGTGTGTCGGATCATAGTGCATGCTACTAGGCGCCATTCGGTTACAAGAGTGTGGTTCCCAATTGAGATTGGCAGAGCACAGTCAGAGACTAGTGCGTAACTTTAAAACCAGTTTTCTACTCTGAGTAGCCATGTATAAGAGAAAGCAATCAATGGAAGCTTACTTGATCTTGTGACCAGATCCAGGGTGTCCATCTCCTGGAAACATAAACGGGAAGGAAATGCAGTGGAACTCACTTACTTGAAGTAGTACTTGTATGTACTCTGATAAGAAATACTCTTGCTCATTACGGACATCGCCTGGAGCACGGGTGCATTGAATATTGATCAGTACTGAAGTATGTTGGGATACTACTGAAGCCCTCCTCCTATTCATTAAAATTTTAGTGCTCGCAGATATTTGCTGATAATACTGTGATCATTTTACTGAACTGGAGCAAGTACCTTGGGTGCAAAGTAAAATTCCCTGCTGCCCATTGGAGAACAACGTATCAGAGTTCTACTGTATCTTTCAAAGTTCATTGCAGTGGCTTCTATCCTGATCAAGTGCAGTGCGTGGATTACTGGTGATGGTCCTAGACTTGGCAACTGGGAGCCTGCCACGTTCAAGGCAAGGGCTGAAACTTGGCAGCTTACGATCTTGGGAAATCCGGTGTTGTTACTTTGGGATGAAGCAGCAGCAAGAGATTACATACCTGCAAGCTTCTTGCTGATCTTCGGAATGCGACGGAACTTCACATAGTGATACGATTCAAACTCCTATTGTCGTGTGCAAAGAGAAAACACACCGATAGCACGCGAAGCTAGCGCAACAACTACATCCAAGTGGCCCAAGAAATGAGCTACACAGGGGCCAATACCGTACGGGATTGTGTATAGTACCTACTGAGTGGCATGGAAGACTAGCCGCCTTCAGTCGGAGCCTTTTACAGTCAGTAGCATCAGCATTGTATTGCGCTGACTACAGGACAGTGGTTCTCACTCATGATATGCACAATAGAGATCGATTATAATGACTGCTTCAGGAGATGAGGAGGTCACTTTATTCAATCTGTTGCAAGTAGTCTTGCAAGTACGAACAACAGAAACTAGCCACAAGACCCAAGCTGTTGTTGTGCTTACTACGGAGTCTGGCGTCCTAAAGGCAGTGTAGCCCCAAACAATTTCACCAACATCCTGCTGCTCTACGCAGTAGAATGGTTTGATGTTTCCAATGCAACACTATGTATGTATGTATGTATGTATGTATGTATGTATGTATGTATGTATAGCAGAGCTATGGTGGTAAGAACACACACGGCATAATGATTCAATGATTCCTTGATACACCATCAGTTTCTCGCAAGGGCCACTGGATCGCTCAACACACACGGCATAACTGGCAAAGTAGCCCAGTGGTAAATACATGCCTGCCCAGACAATGCTCTCTAAGGTGCAATGTTCTGGTGGCGAACTCTGCAGGCTGGGGAGCGTTGACCACTATGTAGTAATCACCATTTCTCCCGGTGTTAATAACTCCACTACTCCAGCACTTCTGCAGATATTCAGCAGGGTAGTATTCCAGAGGTGTTCATCGACTGCAGTGCTGGCCGACACCTGCCGTTCTTATTGCTAAGCGCAAACATCCAAACACACCCACCCACCTAGCACCGTACCTGTAGGATCAAACACTCCCACCCACCTAGCACCGTACCTGTAGGATCAAGGGCAGATCAACATTGTCACACAGTCCGTATCGGTTCAAACTGAGTCCGCTCTCTCTTTCCAGCGTCTGGACACTTTGCAGGTAGCTGAAGACAGACAAGACATGGCGCATCAATACAAATCACATCAGATCAGTACTGCGGGAGCAGCTACAATTATATAACCTACTTGAAGTGGCTTCTATTGACCAAAACATAGAAACTGCGACGAACCCGGCTATTCGAAAATTTGAAATACTCCACCACTCCACACTGCGCTCTTGGCCCGCATTCACAACACCATACTGCATAGCGAGGAAGTTCGTTCTTGGATAGATGTTCCATATCCTCCAGACAGCTGTTTCGCTCAAGGGCACAATGTGGAGTGGTGGAGTGTTTCAACATTCTACTGACCACTCTCACTGTAGGTTACTTCTGCAAGACACCCACATTGATAGCCAGTTAGAGAATATGACTGTGCTGGCCCTATTTTGTCTTACCCTTCATCTCGCAGGTACTCCAGTGTGAGGATGAGCAGATCTTTGCGTGTTTGAGCTGTCTTCGCCTCTTCCTATAGCGTAGGGCAGAGCAATAAATACAGTGGCTACTTTGCCGGGCCTACCCAAATCCAATACATGCACATGTACTGGCTACTAGTAAGCAAAACTTTCTACTTCAATGTACAGTGAAACCTCGTTAGGAAGAGCACTGGTAAGACAAATGTTTACCTAAGAATAACTAGTAACCGAAACTGTTTTGGATAACACCCTGTGTATTCACTGGGTAAAACATATGGATAAGAAGAACTCCTGTTATTGCGAACAAATATCATCGGTCCCTTGATGTTCGTCCTAAAGAGGTTTGACTGTACATGCACTACAAATCATGTATGGTTACACAAGAGAGTGCACGAGTGGGATTTGTTTTCAACAACCCGCACAGCCATCGGGGTACCCGTCGTACCATTACTATATGCACGTTGGTGCACTGAGACTGGTGGTTCCTTATCATGCAGTCGCGCGACTCTACGTAGGTACTGCTGCATTGGTACTGCCACTGCACTGATCCAGCTAGCCAGTGCCGCATGCATGAGCGTCACGATGGCCAAACTTACACTGACTCTCGCCTCGTTGGCATGCTTCAGTTGCAGGTAGCTTAGGTCCTGACTCATCATCGAGTCTCTGCGATGTTAGTCACAGTTTCGCTGTACACCCTGCATGCAGACAACATTGACATGACTGGTGAAGATTGGACCCATATCTGTACAATATTGACTAATGAAATCATGGCCGAATTGGCCTTTTCTTGCGGAACAGGGATAAATTGCACCTTGCAAGAATTTACACTATGGTGAATATCTTCAATTCAAGAATGCAATGCTTGTGGCAAGTCTTCAAGGATGCAAATGACCCGCACTGCTTCGTTCATGACTCCAGATTTCTTTCCTTTGACTTAATCTTGGGTAGTAGTGTACTGTATGAACTGGTGGTATCGTGTGAGGTCCAAAGTCATGAACCCGGATAACAAACAGGCCCGCCGGAACTGGTGCGGTTGGTCAGGTTATCACCGGACCAACTGTGTACCCACCAAATCATGTCTACTGCTGAGGAGGGTATACTTTCTCTGCCGTATCATACACAAACTGTATGAACTTGGAAGGACTGTGGTATGACCGGACCCGGCAATTGATGAATGCTTCCGGCGGTCCTGACAAAAACGTCGGCATGGTGTGGTCCCAGCACTGTGCTCTCTCTCTCTTTTTATAGGGAAACCTGCCCATTAGAATTCGCCAAGTAAAACTAATTATACAGCAGCGGCGGCGGCGGCAGCAACAGCAACTGCAGGAATAGCCCTTTCACACGACGGGAGAATGTCACGGATTCTCGGCTGTGCGACAGGATCACCAGGGTGATCATAGATATATTTTGAAATCTGAGCCGTAGGCCCGTAGCCCGCAAGATCGTAGCCTGCAACACCTTGACCCCCTGGCTGTGCGTTTTCGATTTCGGTTTCGCGTTTCATGAACTGGCTTGTATGCGCTGGGTCTGCAATTCATGAACTGGCTTGTCACAATCGTGTCTTTGTTGTGTGCGCTGTGTCTGCAAAGCTAGTCGTCGTGTGAAGTGTCTTGCCGTGCATCGTAGAATCATAGTATCGTGCAATCGTGAGCACGAACCGCCGTGTGATAAGGCTATAACCGACAGACTCAGTGTATATTCTTGTTGTATGGGAGTGGAACTGCGAGAAACGACCATCCAAGCACAGCTCATTGAATACGTCATGCAGACAGAGCATTGATTGTTGATGTCAGCTGTGGACGGTAGCAGTAGCAAATGCTGGTGCATGTAATGGAATAGTCACATAGGGTGAGCATACATGGATATATATGTCACTACCGCATCATCATCCATGTCTACACACAGGGCCATAGTAGCTGTGCAGGTCCGGGTATGTCTTTCATGAAGAATGCGTGGAATATGAACCATGGCATGCTTACCGAAAAGGTCTGATTTCGGCCAGTTGAACTTTCAGCCAGGGCTGCTATCGATATCTTGTGCGCTACTGGCACAAGCAGTCCATGTCGCATGTAGCAGCTAGCTTCTTTCTCCTGCCCTTGATGAGGTGAGCTAGGGAAGGCTGCAAACGTCAGCAAAATCCTGCAGGTCTACTGCAACGTCGAGTTTCTCTTTCAATGGTTCATTCTGTCCTTGGCCCTTCACATTCGCTGCCAGGGAGAGTGCAGCGGCTCCCAAAATCAGGAAGGGATAAGACTGCTGAAGAGTGCCTCGGCAGTATCGCTGTCATGTCTGATTTTTCTCACTCTCACAGCTAGCTCATGTCATGAGCTCATGCAGCAGCATTTTCAAGCGTTGCTTCGCCATGACAACAACATAATAATGTCATCACGTGCCCGCACAGAATTTTTTTGTAAACAAGAGAAGAGCGCTTCCTTTTGCAAAACCTTTTCAAATATTGTACGGTGAGGAAGTCGGAATGAAGTCGGTGGGCATGGCACTGCATTGGTGAAAGCCGAGAAATGGCGTCAAAGGAAGAGCTAGGAGTGCCTGCTGAAGAGCGGCCTCTGTGCGGAAGCACAGCGGCTAATTCATCCGGCATGTCGTGTGGAAATCTGAAATATCGCTTTCTGATGACTGGCATTGCGTGTCTTGACATAGTAAATGTTTGTCCTCGCTTTCCCGAAGAGGATGAAGACATGCGAGCTGTGGGGCAGGAGTGGAGGCGAGGTGGCAACGCTTCGAACAGCTCGTGTGTTATGTGCCAGCTTCCTGGCGCACGCTGCTGGCTTCTGTCCACTCTAGCCAGCGACGGGTTCGAGACTGAGTTTGTGCAGCGAGACCTGGAGCAGAACGGTGTGAAGTTGGATTACTGCGTGCGCCATGATGACTGTCGCCTACCGACGTCCTACGTAGTGTTGAGTCAGGCCACCGGATCACGTACTATCGTGCACTATCGTAAGCTACCCAATCTGGACTTTGCTGATTTCGATCGCATCCCATTGGAGCATTTCAGCTGGGTGCACTTTGAGGCTCGTAACATGACCGAAGTCAGTAAGATGATTGAGAAACTGACCAGGCACCAGCAGTGTCAACCTGATCAACGCCTGACAATATCTGTTGAAGTGGAGAAGACACGGCGAGAGACGTATCCGCTCATGGGCATGGCTGACGTTGTATTCATCAGCAAGGAAGTAGCTCAGGATCTTGGCCGCAACGACGCTAAGTCGGCAGTAGTGCAGCTGCACTCGTTGCACTGTCGCAAGGATGCAAAGCTGATATGTGCATGGGGCAGCTGTGGAGCGGATGGGTTCAGTCAGAGCGAGGGCCATGTTCACTGCGATGCATTTCCACCCGAGTCTCTAGTGGACACGCTGGGAGCAGGTGACACGTTCAACGCCGGTGTACTGTACGGCCTGGAGAGTGGCGCGTCGTTATTCGAATCCATACGACTGGGATGCTGGCTAGCTGGCCGAAAGTGTGGTCGCCTGGGTGTAGGCAATCTGCTCGATGGCCTATCGGAATCAGACACAGTATACAGTCTGGTTTCAGGTCAGCAACACTGACTCAACGCCGGTGTACTGTACGGCCTGGAGAGTGGCGCGTCGTTATTCGAATCCATACGACTGGGATGCTGGCTAGCTGGCCGAAAGTGTGGTCGCCTGGGTGTAGGCAATCTGCTCGATGGCCTATCGGAATCAGACACAGTATACAGTCTGCTTTCAGGTCCAGCAACACTCACCGATCGTTACGCTATATCCAGTGCAGAGCGCTGGTGTGCTAAATTTCGAATAACATTTTCAAATTCGCTATAGTCTTGATACTCAACAATTGTTTTTTTCCCATATTTCCCCTCAGCGGTAACGTTAGTCTTTATCCTCGCAGCAACCTTGCTCAAACTATCAGACCGTTGATTTTAGATCCGACAATATTTGAAGGTTTGCGTATGGCAGAACTGTTGATTTCCATAATATTTTTTAAAGAGTGTAGCTTCGGTCTGTGTATTCCGCTTTTTGATTTCGGCAAATTGAGCCTTCTACGGACGTTGGATGAACTTCACAAGGTGAAAATAGTGTAAGTAGTGGTTTTGGAATACCTATAGTCATTATCAAAGTTTTATTTTCTATTGTTGCCAGGTTTGGCTTGGTTTCTGTGTACTACTCTGATGGGTGTGAAAATGACCAAACAGTACTGTCCACTATTGCTAGTCTATTTTATTTTCGGAACTATGCTTCGGCATGAATGTTGACAGGCGACAAGACATTGTCCAGCCCCTCACACACAGAGCCCGGCTTCAGCAGCAATGGCTACCATATTGGGGATGGATGTTCGGCTGAAAAACTGGGTACACATGCACACATTGGTTTCTTCAATGAATAATAACTGTGACACATGGTCAGAATATGCTCCCCTTGGGAGCCATGTTGCTACAAGAGAAAAAAACAGAAATCTAATACTGCAAGGGAGAACACATGAAATCAAGACGGTCCATTGATGGTTCGCGCAAACATATCCGGATTATGGATTCACGAATGTACATTCTAAGAATAATAGAGTTATTACATGCGTACGTCTGTACACTCCGTCCTATCAAGAAAAAAACTATCTACACGTACATGTATGCAAAATTCTGTCAAAACCTTATCATCTCATATTGTCGATTTCCCACACACTTCGTGATATTGAGAATAATTATACGTCCCTGCTAAAGATATTGTTTATGAAAGTAACATTGGTAAATATGTGAAGAATGCTTATTCCCTGGTAAAGCCTCTATTTTGTTATGTACAAGTACTGTCCGGCAGGCGAGTGCGTCCCGTACTGGATTCATTGGCTACTCCTCTTCCGCGTTCACATCCTGACTTCTTTTCAGGTCACCAGGCATGGTAGGGCTGAGCGGTGGGGCAAAGTCATTGGGAAAGTCCCAGCGCATGATGGCGCCATCCTGGCTGACGCTGACGATGAAGCGCGTGTTCGGGCAGATCTTGATGCGGCTGATAGTGGCACTGTGGCCCACACCGATGTGTGTCACCCGGCCCTCCATGTAGCGCCACAGCTGCATGCACATGCACACACGTAAACACAGGTACAAAATCTACATCTTTGAATTTTAAGTGTGCAGCGCATGCAAAGCTCATACATATAAATTCAAATATAAATACACACACACACACACACACACACACACACACACACACACCACACACACACACACATCTTGCATGTGCATGCAGAAAGACAAGCATAAAGTAAAACTGTAAAGGAGAGTAGGAATCCACTCTCAAATAGTCACCAATCCACCAAGACAACCATCTTTCTTTAACACGGACATTGTTTTAAAGTCAATACAGCTCTATTAGGGCGACCAATAACTTAACACGATGGCCAACCACCCCTCTACAACCATTGTGTTCCACACTGCAGGCATCAGGCATACATCTCTACATGTGTGCGAAGTCATGAGCCTATGTCTACATGTGTGCAAAGACCGAGTGCTCAAAATGCCAGGGAGGCAGAGCGTACTACTCAGAACAGTCAAACAGTGGACAGAGAGGCTCTGTGATTGTAACTCAGAGTTTCATGCACAGCCCTGCAATCATCAGACACGGTGTATGAAGTCAACGTGGCTACGTGTCCTTCATGCTTCATTTGGCTATGGAGAATACCTGGCCAAGGGAACCGGATAATACCTGGCCAAGGGAACCGGAGAATACCTGGCCAAGGGAACCAGAAAATACCTGGCTAAAGGAAACCACCTTTCTTGGTGGCTTGAATGGTACGTCGTCTTTGACTGCAATAGGCAACGCTTGGCGAGCTACCAAAGTCCAAGTAGTACTGACCTTGACAAGTCGGTCTTCTCCACCGGACACAAGGAACATGCCATCCAGCGAAATGTCCAGTGCATTCACGCTGCCTACGGATGCCTCGATCTCACGAATTGCACTGCCGTCGAACGTCTCCCAGTAACCAATCTGAGCAGGTATTACAAAAAGGAAATGCATGCCATGGTTTGAAGAATAGGTTCGGAGTGGCTAGCAGAGATACATGGATTCGGGTAAAGACAGCGGAATGTTCTCCGGTCTATCCACTTGGGTGGGGAAACTCTACGCGAGCAACGCAACTCAGAATTGCACTTTAACTAATAAATGACCATAACCCAAAGACAACTTGAAGCGCAAAATGATGTATTGGTATAAGGAAACTTGAAACGCGGAGTCACAGCGCAGCTTCCTCTCTCTCCATGGTGTATCGGCAATACGGATTGCTACAGTGGAGTCCGCACATTTTAGAAAGCCGCAACACGCACAGAAACTAGGATCAAAGGTACGCGCACATTGAAGCTGAAATGGTCATTGGCCGTCCTGAGTCATGTATTGTTCGGAACAAAAAAAAGAAAAAAAGTATGTGTATGTACCTACAGCACAAACATGCTGCAGGCCCGATAATAAAATAATAATCAGAGAAACATGATGAGATTGGGTTCTTTGCCAGTACTGTTTTCCGAGAACGGATACACCTTTCCTACAAGAATTTAGAGCTTTGTGAGTAATGACTCAATGAAATACTGACCTTCTTATCCGTGCCCGTGGCTATGATTTGACACTCAGTTGGATGGTAGCAGACATTTTGAAAGAGCGTCGAGGCAAAAATAACTTGGTTGCGGACAAAGCGTCTGAAACAGTCAGAACAGGAAAACCACGTCGACTAGCGTGCATTGCACATCCGATGCATTGGCCACTGGGCGGCACTTCTAAATACTAGTAAATAGTCATGTTTCTCGGCTCTCGCAATTCGGACTAGGGCAGTTCGGAAGACATTGGTAAAGGAGAATGATGGTAGAGAAAGGCACAGAAACGACCATGGGCAGATTAAGTGACAACATGATCCACACTGGGTGAGAGGGAACATGCTCAGTTGCCTTAGCAACATATGGGACCTATTAATCGCGTATGCATGAGCAGGACCTGTGGTGAAATGAAGGTAACTGGAGTGTTTTCATTGAGACAGAGAGTGTATATATCAGGGACCCTTCAATAGTTTGCATCGGCATGAACTTGTTAATCTCACCCTAAGTCCCAGATGATACACGATCCATCCACACTGGCGCTCACACACTCAGAACCGTCTTTGCGAACCTGAGGACCAACACAGAATAGCATTATCACGATAAGGAACTCTACAGAACTGCTGAATGAAATCCAGTCACGTCACTCAAGCACACGTCGGGTATGGCACAGCCATAGACCTGTGAATACTGGGCTGCGAAACGATGCAAGGCGCAAACTTGAGTGACACGGTTGGATTTCATTGTGCAGGACTGTACTTACAACACAAAGCGAACATACCTAGTTTGTAAAAAGAATCACAAATGGCCAGCTTGAATGAGGATCCCCATTAGCCATACCACTCTCCGGATTCCGAGACAATCCGCGTTGAGCATTTCCACTGATCTCGTCATGATTGGATTAGGTCGGCTGTTGCAAACTAAATACATGATTTGAAGATTAGGATCCATATGCCAGTGCAGTGCACCGTACTGGCATATCCACGCGCTGCCTACTACTAGTACTACTACTAGTACTAGTCTGACCTTTATCATGGTGATGGGTCCCTTGTGCTCCTTCATAGCATCGGCCATGCGCTGGTAGGTCTTGGTGATGTTCCAGACACGCACCTGGCCTTCACCTCCACCGCTGACAACACGTCTGCTATCCTTGGTGGCACAGAGCGCGGTGACACCCTGCACGAAAAAAACCAGAATTGGTTTTACAAAAATATGCGCTAAAAATGGAGAAAAATGTTGAAATTGTGACAGCCACCTCAGCCGGGGTGTTGCACCCCTTGCATTGGCATTCAGCTAGGATTCTCAGCCAACAAACTAAAGTAACTCATAATTATACAGATTACATGCCTAAAGGTCTGTGTTAGCTCAAGGACTCAGGGTGTTATTGGGCTGGAACATAATTTTACAACTGGAAAGCTACAACCATCCAAGAGCAATTTTAATGTCACTGGTATTTTCTCCCAGAGGCCATTATCAGGCTCAGGATGAAACCATGGAAACGGTCTCTTTTTATTGTGTAACCCAGACCGCTAACAACTAAAAAATAAAAAAATAAAAAAATATGTCACGGTTCGCGTGAGACTCGGCCAAAGGCCCAGTTTTCCGCATCCGCAGGAACGCCACCACCCTCTTGGATCAAGGCGCAGATGCAGCTCCTAAGCGGTGGGAGGTGAGTAGATCAGACCCACCACAAAGTGGTCAAAGACCGAAATCCCATTCACTGCATCCATGTTTCCCTCGTGCCAGGCCACGAGTTCCCAATTAACTGTGGGTCGCAGCACGGCTGGAAAAAATCCTTCCGCTTCCAAGCAGGACTTGAACCTGGTACCCTCTGTTTCTCAATCATGGTCTTAGACCATCCCACTATGCCTGCCTGTAACAACTAAATGGAACGCCTAAATATTCTTCAGTACTGGTGGTACTACGAAATGCATTCAAGCACCAGGCAGAACATCATAATTTCAGACCTTGTTATGGGCATCCTCGATTGTCCACATTGGCTTCCCACTCTCGGGAAAGAACGCCCGGATCTTTCCATCATTCCAGCCTATATGAATCACATAAGAATCCCAAAGAAGTATGCATCAATGAGACAAGAAGGAAGAAAAATTAGAAAGCATAGTTTTAATATCAAAACAACCACAGTCTGGTTGTCCCCCTCCTCCTCCCCTCTCTCCCCATCCCGGGCCCTCTTTTTCTTCCCCCCATGACAACACAATCAACCATATACAACAACAGAACTGTAGGGCTTGAAAGTGCTACATCACAGCTATGCAGCCCGGGGTCATGACGACACTGACGTTTGGATCCAGTGCTTGTATGGACTCCGGCATACACGCAGTGGATGATCTTCCTTCACAGCATAGTGATACACATCCACTGGTAGTGACTGAACTGGACTGGACCACCCCCCCCCCCCCCTCCCAGTCAGGCCAGACCCACTTCTGATACAGTCAGACCTCACTTAACCGCACACATCCGTTTTCCACAAAAAAATATCCGGATAGGCGAAGGAACTGGATAATCGAACACACACACTGTATGTACGCATGGCATATGATGTAAATCGGCAACCAGCGATGTTCTTCCGGATCGCGAGGATCCGGATAAAAGAGGACCGGATAAACGAGGAGTGACTGTACAGAAAATCACACCTGCATGCGACATGAGGGGTCCACCCACCACACCCTATAATTTGCCTTGGGCAGAGTGGATCCAGAAGTCGGTATTTGTTGCAATAGATTTAGAAAAAGCCTTCCGACGACTTCTGACGTCATCACTTTCAAGCCATATTCATCAAAGTTTGCTCACAGATCTGAACAAAGTCCCCATCACAGCGGCCCACACATTCTCTTGCAGCATTTTTCAAGTGCCTGTTCAAACACCTTTATCCAGTTCTCACCTGAAATGATGGCTTTGCCATCCTCTTGCACAGCAATGGAGTTACAGACCATGTTGGGCACTGAGATCCGAAGCAGCTCTTGTCCAGTGTACGTATTCCAAACACGGATGTCGTTCTTCGCACTCGTAACAAATAGGTCAGAGCAACCTCTGCAACGGGAAGCCAAAAGAGACCAGCAGTTGGATGTATTCTCTAGTTTTAGCTTCCGCTATATTTAAAAATTAAGTTGGTTGCTCCTGCATGTTCTACTATGAGTTCGTAAAAAGATTAAATGAAAAGTTCATGGTTCGTGTGACACCCAGTCAGTCAGTAATTGTTTACATCCACACAAAGAGATGATTTTGAAACTGTCCTAACTTTGATGTAACAACATGACCCTACATGTCCAAACAGACATTTCAGAACTTACGCTGCGAAAGAAACGTCAGTGATTGCGCTTGGCTGACACGTCCTGAGCAGCGTTGGCTTGAAATCGAGATAATCCGTGAAGTAGGTCTGGGAGTGGGTACTGCCAATGTACATCTGATGGCCAACACCGCGGATAGCTACAGCGTTTACGCCGCCCTCCGCAAGTTTCAACGTCCTGCAGTGTAGAGAGCAATCACGCAGCGCAACTCAAATCATAAGAATTACATCATCATACATGTATATGCTGGATCAGCCTGGATCATGGCTGGATGACACAGTATATGCTGATATTATCGTATGTGCTGGATGACATCATCATTCATGCATTGTGTATAGATTGACAAACAAATGCTTAAATTATGCCACTCATATACATACCGTATGTCAGCGCCTTTAAAGCCATCGTCTTATATTCAAAACACCGTTGCTTTCCTAGATGTTTTAGATGCAAAATTACTCACCCACTGCGCCATGCCATAAAAAGTCAAAGTCCACCCAGAAATTTCAATCTAAATCTACTTGTTCACCCTTCCTGCTGGGCTGTAAGTGTGTTAGCATAGTGCTTATTCCTTCATTTTTGCAAAACATACTTCAAATATCATTTCATTTATGAAGCCCATGGCTTTATAACTGAGACTGGCTTTATAATAGAATATACCACCATGGCTTTAAAGGTACGGACATACGGTAACACCGAAATGATGGAAAAACCTTTCCAGAAACACCAAAGTCAGTCAAAAGGCAAAGACGACAGTGAAAAATGGTAACCAATTCTAAGAAAAGTATTACAAGCAAACATAACAAAACTTTACTTGTTATTATTATCAGCGCATCACCCATGAGAACTTTCATTCGGACTTACTTGAGCCGCGCGAGCTTGTCAAACTGGAAGACACAAACAGTACCATCACCCGCACCTAGCAGAATGTCTCCTGATCTCAGTACTGACAGGCACTTTATACCCTGGCTGAAGCGGTTCTTTGTCGGGCCGTGCTTCGAAAGAAGTGCCGTCTCCAAGTTAATCTAGAGTCCAGAAAGCCGAGGAAAAGTATGCATAGTAAGTGAAGCAAAGAGATTAGTGAAATTGTGATAGAGTTTCATCAACTGCATAACCATGCTGACCATTGGCATGGGATAGAGAATAGCAACAAATGCAACGGATGGTCGCATTTTTATCGCACCGCAAATTAAAAAATACATTTTACGCCTCCAGGTATGCTGTTCGGTCAGACTGGGTTATCCGCATCCACAGGGACGCCACCACCCTCAAGGATCACGGCGCTGATGAGAAGACAAGACCCCGTTCAGTCCCGCTTTCACTTAGCAACACTTGACCCGCATAGTTCCCTCTGTTTCTCAAACATGGTCTTGGCAGGCTTGTAGACCATCCCACTATGCCTGCATGTTTACAGCAGGAGAGAGGGGATCAATCGTTACTCAGAGTTTACACTTTCACGACCATCAACCATAGAGAACTCTTTGGGAAGTAGTTCATGACATGTATGTGTGCAATTTAGATGGTAGCACACGTCAGAGATAGCTCACCTTCAGTATGTCACCTGTAGTGGTTCCACAAATTGCAAATTTGTCTCCTTCTAGCACCTTGTTGGGAATAAGGAAACACATCGCACTTACAAAAATGATGTTCATTGTTGGTACCATAACTACATGTCCAGGAGCCAAACTAACAACTGGTTGATCAGGTGCCGTTTCACTACACCACACTGTTCAATATGATCTTGCTACGTAGGATACGCAAGGCGTTCAGTTGTACTTCAAACAATGATTATCCCCAGACGTACAGAAACATCATGCCATGGAAGATCCTCTAAAAGGCGAACTAAAGGGTGACAACATTTGGTGGCTCACATCTGCAATGACTAGTACTAGGCTGTGCACATGATGAATGGTCTGGCTTGCAGTACAAGGTACAACAGGATACTCCATTTCACAGTTCCTTAAAAGAAGATGAGGTCAATAAGTGCAGCTTAGCTCACCTGTATGCACTCGACATTGCGCTTCATCTGTCCCATGTTGATGTCCTGAGGGTGTATCTTACGATTAGGCAGGTCAAGCTTCCACACACGCAGTGTACCACTGAACATGACAGACAACCAGATAGACATGAACCGAGTTGAAGGATCGTATACGACATAGCACTAAAGAGAGAGAGAGAGAGAGAGAGAGAGAGAGAGAGAGAGAGAGAGAGAGAGAGAGAGAGAGAGAGAGAGAGAGAGAGAGAGAGAGAGAGAGAGAGAGAGAGAGAGAGAGAGAGAGAGAGAGAGAGAGAGAGAGAGAGAGAGAGAGAGGGAGAGAGAGAGAGAGCCAGAGATGGACATTCCCACTTCAACGACTATGTGCCACTACGTTCGCATTGTCGGAGCAATTTTTTTATCCGGCTTCAAATGTGCCATAATCATACTGAGCGAGGACTATTCAAATGATGCTCTCAATAATGTTATGAAAACGTCTGAGAAAAGAAAACCTTAATGGATGACACGCACATGACCATCATCGACTTATTTCAACTCACTCTCCTCCAGTTAGGAACCGTTCATCGTCGTCACAACAGTACGCCACCACCCTTGCTTGGCCAGCGCTGCGCATTGCCGCAGGACTACCGCACACGGCGTCCTTCTTCTCCAAGTCCCATACCACAACACTAACAACACAGAAAAGCAAAACAAAACAAAAACCTTTATAAAGAGAACGGATGGAAGCGTTCCAATCAGAGAAGCGCACATGCATTGGCGCATGTGTGTGCCCCCCCCCCCCGGCCCTAAAAGAATTGATACTGGATGTCAAATCATCAGTCCAGATGCGGGTAAACTCTCCCTACTGCAACAGTACGCAGTGTCACACTCACTCCCTGATGCCCTGACTCCCGCTGACTCACCTGGCATCGTCTTTGCCACCGAGTGACGCAAGGTACTTGTCACTCGGCGAGAACGCCAGACTTTGGATGTGCACACGGTGCAACGTGAAAGTGGCGTATCGCGTCTTAGTAGGATAGTGCCATACAATGATGTCCGCCTGAGCAGGAAAAAGCAAAAAAAAAGTGAAATGGGTTATTGCCACGTTACCCAGCAATACTCTGATCATCCGTACCGAATCCTGAAGAGATTCTGAAGAGAGCTGAGGAAAAAATTAAACAGGCTCAAGAGGGGTTCGAACCCTCGATCTTCGGTTTACAAGACCGACGCCTTACCACTTGGCCATTGAGCCACATGGAGTGTTTCTAGGAACCCGTATGAACAAGAGCAAGCAAGTACCACTGCTAGAGTGAAAAAGGGGTGCGGATGGTCCTGCCGTTGAAAGTTTTGTATCATGGTCTTGAGTCTGGCAAGGTGAGTGAGATACATGCATGTTCCATGAATGGGTTGGGATAATGACACTGCAACATGCGTCAGTGCTTTCAACTTTTCACTTCAAACCCGACTTCAGTCTCGGTTATCAAACTTATCATGGATGCCGGGTTTGAATCCCAGCCAGTAGGGCAATGTCTCTACGAAACACACCTTGAATCCCATGTGTGTCATCTGTCCCGACGCAATCAACTCGCCGCTCTTCGACATGGTGACGGCCGTGATGAAGTTCGTGTGGCCGGCCAGGATGTTCTGCTCGTGTGTCTCCAGGTCCTCGATGATCAGGCTGCAGCCGACCGGGTAGATCATGTGGTCGGCGTCCGGGTGAACGTACAGGCCTCGTAGCACATCACCTACAGAGTATGCGCCCGGAGAGCAGAAGAGCACATTGTCTACACAATGAATGAACGTCAGCACATTGTGTATTCACTTGTGAGGGTGATGATAAAACACACCACAATAATCAATGCACTGTGATAGCAATTCAGGTCACTTAAACTAAATTATACGTCAGTATTTCTGAGGTGAAGCAGCACAAATCGTGACCGGATATTAATATACAAAAGAAAACGGACAATTATGAACAAAATGCAGACATCTACATGTACATCGTATAGAGTGCACCAATGTTGTCCACTGCCAGTTCATGTACTGTATATGTAGTCAATGTTATCCTTCTTGAATCTCCTGTCCTGTAACGCTAGGTCAGTAGTGCCTGTGTACTCCACGCCGGTACTGTACTACTATCAATGTACCATCAACTGCCTCCAGTACTCCCTACATTCCCTGCATTCTGCTGCTGGTAGGTACACTACCGGGCTGAAAACTAGGATTACGCGAAGTCAGGACTATCTTTCCAAAATTAATAACAGTCAGTCTACGTGTGTGTGTGTGGGGGGGGGGTGGTGGGGGTGGGGCATGTGCAAAAAGGCAAAGGAAGCACTGTTGCTACAGGCCGAGAGGTAGTGGACACATGGTCAGCTCCTGTGATGTAATGGTATGGACGGGGGGGGGGGGGGGGGGAAGTGGACGAGAGAGCTGGCCATGTTTATTTATATGCTGTATTGGAGCTGTAAATTTCTTCGGAGCAGTCTACCTGCATGGTATGTGAGCACATGGAATGTGTACTGTTTTATCATGGCAATTCTCTGCTTTGATGTTATTGATCAGCAGTCGAAAGTAGAAGCACGGGGCAACACTCCCATGGCTGTATTGTATACCAATGAAACTACTTTTTTTTTAAAGACGGTCAACCGAGTATCACTAGCAACAATTGGCCCACTCTATACCTGGGGGGTCAGACAGAGAATATTTTCATAACTGGCAAGGAGAATGACAAACAAAGATCTACCTTGCAAAGCAGAGTAAAAAACACAAAAGGAAAGCATGTAAAAACAACCCCTCGCGCTCCAAATCACTAATGCAATATTTATGTGAATCACTGACCGCTATATCCGACCACATTGGTGAGTTGTAGTCGCCGGACATCGTCGTTGACCAGGTCACCATCACGTGTTCCACCGGCCGAGACCAGCGGTGCACTGGTATCCTGCACCTCGGCTGTCGCCATGGCTACGATGACGCGGCTGCTGCCGCGATCCAACCGCTTGTACAGCTAAACAAAACACTCCCCAGTGGAGCCTTCTGCTGTTTGGTGTGCTTGACTTCACAAACTGCAGCAGTGCACACACGAGCAATGGGTGTACAGCATTTTAGTCATAGTCAGTCGTCATATGATTCTACTAACCCACTGGACACTACTGCATCATGGCAAGTGAATAGAGAGAGAGATTAGACGAGATGAAACCCTCTGCTCTCTCTGCGACCGTAGGCTATGGTAGAATCTCATGATGTTTCAGCGTCATCCACACTCATATTATTTCAATACTGGTATGCTTTGAATGTGTTACAAGAACATGGACATGCAGGGGCGTCGGAAGGAGTTTGACATTGGTGCGGCGAAAGTGTGAGAGGGGGGTCCGGGGGTTCTCCCCCGGGAAAAATGTTTAAAATTCGGCCTAAAAGGCCATATTTTAACGCTACAAAATAATATGAGAAATAAGAATATGCATGCTGATGATACACCGCATTGTCGATGTAAAACATGGTACCTGTACAAGAGTCGACAAGCCAACAACAAGGTTGAAATGTAAAAAAAACTTCGAAAATTATTGGTGCGGCTTTGGCCGCACCTGCCGCACCAGTTCCGACGCCCCTGACATGTGATTGCGACGGAAGGCAATTACGTAATTACATGTATTTGACTGAAACCCTAATTCTGTAAGGGATCAGTAGCAGTTCAATTTTGTAGTCATGATTGTGTACATTAGCCCGTGTTTGAGAATGTGCGAATACCCGATTGAACAGGACATTTGTCTTGCCCATCATACGTTGCCTGTAGTTGTGTAGAATCCGGGCTATCACTGAGCATTTGAGCGACATTCATCATTGTGAGACAATTCATTATTAGAAATTACCTGATGAAGATTTCTTCTAGATTGACAGTATCCGCCACAGCGTGCTCAGAGCTGCGTTGAGGAGTGGTCGTGAACAGGTGCTCCGTCTCGGTGAACGGGTCGACTCACCGTCCTGTCCAAGCGAGAAATTTCGTTACCGGATGAAGGCCTATTTCTTCATCTGCAGGAACTGATATTGAACAACTAGTATTCAGCTTTCTACTTCAACCCTTCAACGGTGAAGTCGCAGCGATGACTGGACACACCATGGACTGCTGGACATCGACGCTCCGTCCTGCCATGTCGAGAAAAGGAAACGCTTTGAACTGAAGTGGAGCGCAAGCCAACCAATAGCTGCCATGGCTACGAATCGCCAATGGCAACACGAAAATGACATGTCACTTGTCAAGTGTCACTGTCACTTGTCAGTGACCATGGTGACCTGGGACTGGGGACATGTCGACAGCTTCTGAATCTGAAGTAATACTAATAGTAATAACTACAGACAGTAGTTCTGTCAGTGTCACAACTAACTTCACTTGAACTGTGTGCGTCACACAGCGACGACTGACACAAATCACGCAATAGTCAATACCATGAACACCCAGGCCAGGGATTATGATAATTATGGTGGCCTACTGGCTAGCCTGCTCACACAGTACCAGTACAGTTGTACTGCAAACGGCCCAGTGGAGAGTTGTGCAATGAAGGATACGTATGCCGCACGTCCATATACAGAGATAAGCACACATACCATGATACGGGTAACTAACACAACTACTTGCGGACCCTGCAGAAGCAATATGCTCCACTGTGCAATAGAAACCATCAAAGACTGAAAAACAAACGTACTGACTGAAGTAATCCACAGTACCCACTGCACATGTCACAAAACCCACAGTACACACCACAATACCCTCTGCACACATCAGGCTCAGCAAATAACCCATTGCCCCCGGACCATAGTACACACAAACATAACCCAAGTCCAGTAATTTTGCGAGTCCTGATGATTGCTTCACAAAGCATGAAACTCGAGTAGAGACTGAAGTTATAATTCACTGGATTTCCTGTAGTGTCTTGTATAATAGCGTGTCTCATATAGAAGCCTGATTTTGAAGATACACTGTCAGCACATATGCCTGGTTTTGGTATTGACATACATGTACATAGAGATACGTGGTTCGAATAGAAGCCTGACTTGAATAGAAGCCTAGCACTGATATCGGCTTCACAGAAATAAGCACAGCTTTTATGCGCGACATTACAGTAGTATTATCAGTGCTTGGTATTACGCTCTGCCATAGGCATTGAACACTGTGACCTGTCATCACGATTCCTTTGGGCACACAAACATAGATTGTCCAGAAAATTCAAGATTTCATCATTCAGGCGTGACCAAAATTTATAATACTAGCGTGGATACAGAGTAAAACTCAAGCATAAGCAAGCATACACGAACGCACACGAGACGCAATCTCCGCCATACACTACGGAGCAAGCGCAAACAACACAGAGCCATCTGACCGGCAGGGCAGGGCAGTACAGGGGAGGGCAGTACTAGTGGTGCAACATGATGGAGCCAGCCACCACGTTGCACTTAGAGAGAAAAATAAAATCCGTGCACTAACAAAAAGAGACGCTACACTAAACAACAAGTCAAAGCCAAGCATAAAATACAACCATCTCAAAACTGTCCAGATCAACAGACAACTTGATGAGTTCAATTACAACCGATCTAAAAAAAAGAAAAAAAGAAAAAAGAGCGTGCTCCCAGCAGGGCTCGAACCTGCGACATTCGCGTTATTAGCACGACGCTCTAACCGACTGAGCTATGGGAGCTCATGCAGACTGTTCATCAATTCGCCACCTACCACCAAGTGGATTGAATCGCTCGAAAGACTCAATGAACTGCAAACAAAAACAGAAAACTCAAGCTGCTGCAGCAAGTCTCACATATCTTCCACAGACCATTGGTATGCCTCCGTTGCCGTTGCTTTCTGCCTAGCCTTCATCTCAAAGCACTTCTTCTCAAAGCCATTGGAGCGATCAACACCATCCCAGCGATGTCCAGGACGTATGTTGTAGCGGTTCGGAGGGAACGGGCCCTGCCACACCGGTCGAACTGCAGGTACACGGAACATCAAGACGAAAAGAGGAAAATAAATATGATCAGTAAACTATAAAATAATACTTGAAATAGGGGTGAAAAGTGTGATCCGGGTACATCCAATTTTGGGGTGCTCGTTACTCCACAATATCGATGGTGACCGACTACTTTGTTGGCTATTTCATCTCTACATGTACATGACACACTGAAGACACTGCATACTTCACATCCCAGACATTTCGGGCCAATTTGAAAATCTGATATAGTTTCCAGCTACCTTAAAGGGTAGCCACTTCACCCCTAAATACAACACTAGCCAAAAGCGACAGTAATGCTCATTGAAAAATTAACCTTTTCAACAGGGCCAGAGATGGTTTGGCCAGTGCAAGCATCAGCTGATGCTGCTCCAGAAGGGGCCAAACGTCCAGTTCTGGTCTCTGCCCCTGAAATATTTCAGCTATCCGAGTTTCAGAGATGAAAAAAACCCAGATGACCAGTACGTGAACTGTACATGCAAAATTTCGATTGGCGCGGAAAACTCAAGCGAAAACACTCCCTTTGCTAAAATATCACCGGCGCTAAAATTAGCCGTTTTGCAGTAAGTGGAGGACTGTTGGCCAAGGTGTTCCCGACTAGGAAGCAGACAAGCCTGCTGCACTGCCTGAGTGGGTAGTGGCAGCGCGCAAGAAGCTGTCAAGCGTTTCGTACATGAATACCCCCCGCTGATCCGTGTCTAATCTGGGACTAAAAATTAAGGTCGATTCACAATACAACTTTCTGCGACGCAACACGCGATTTGCGACAGTTGCGACAAGAAACTGCCTGTCGCGAGCTGTCGCGTGCAGTCGCAAGGCACCTGTCGCGGAAGTTGAAGGAAGTTCAACTTTTGCACGTGCATAGTACTACTAGTGCATAAGGATGTCGCAAACATGAAAACGATTGTGAACCGTGTGTTAACCGATGTCCGAGTGTTATTTTATGCCCTGTAGTAGCTTTCCAGGAAGCTAAAGACCTTGAAAGTTAGAGAACGCATGCCAGGTCTGATCTTTTACATGTGGTGTGTTTTCAGTAAATATACAGTGCTGCCAAACGAGAGAGCTTGGAAGCTCAGGGCCCTACGCTTTGCTTTTTTGCCTTGATGACCTAGACAAAAAAAGCATAGGGATGTTATAAATTCTTATAAGTTTCTATTTTTTGTTTTTAGACATAACCTGGGATTCGAACCCGCACTATCGCCCTGCATGCATCCCCCGATACACTTCGCATACATACTAATTCTTCCAAGTTGCTTCACGTTATGGTCTTGTATTTGAATGCCCCATTTGAATATGCATTGTGGCCAGCCATCTTTGAATGTACGGTACGGTACGGGATAGGTACGGGACAGGTACGGGACAGGTGCGGTCGAGGGTAATACGACACCGTCTACTGCCTTGATGACGGCAAAAAAAGAAAAGGGATGTTATAAAATTTTCAATTCTCCTATTTTTTTAGGCATTACCTGGGATTCGAACCCGTACTATCGCCCCACATGCATTCCCCCATACACTTCGCATTCATACTCATTCTTCCCAGTTGCTTCACGTTATGATTTAGCGTTTGAAAGCCCTATTTGAATATTGCGGCCAGCTGTATGTGGCCAGCTGTGTTTGATGGTACGGTACGGGACAGATAAGGGATAGCGCCAGGCGTGACACAAACACACAAACACACAAACAAACACCAAATTAAAGCTGTGTGGACCCTGGCTAGCGCCAGACGTTACTGAAGTAACGTCTTCTGCATAGCTACGGGAATAATTAAATTTTATTTTCGCCCCAAATCGGACACCCTTCACCACCACGTACGAATTATTTTCCTCGGCAATTTTTTTACAGAGAATTCAAAATATCGCCTAAAACACCATGAAAATTCGCTTCGTTGCCATGGTAACCCCAGAGTTGTCATGAATTTTGTAATGATGAGTGTGGTCGCACACTGACTCTGTAGACTGTAGCTGTACAGACTTTCAGTGTATATGCCATCCAGCCTGATCCAGGCATGTTACTTTGCACTTCCACAGCCAAGCGCTAGCCTTTTTAGAAGCAAATGTACAGTGATTTGTGCCTTCAGTTTTATTATTTATTATTTATTCTTCTTTTACTAGGGAATTCCCAACAGGCGTCAGCGCCTTTTTTCAGGGAACCCTAGGTATAATTTGATGGATGAGCAAAATTCAGCTGGTGAACTAGACATGCGGCAAGCCGGTGGAAGTGTATTCCACCTGGCAGCGCCCAAAAAAGAAATTGCACTGAAGCCATACCGGGTGTTAGCGGGGGGGGGGGGGGGGGGGGGGGCAGAACAAGAGCAGCAGAGACTTGGCCACGGGTGAGCTGAAAAGTGAAAGTACAGGACTTCTGCATAGGAAAGTAATGATCTCCGACATTTTGGCTGCTTTTCGGACCCCTCCCTTTTCGGACCGGTTTTCGGAAGAGCCTTCAAAAATCGGACGGTTTGGCAGCACTGAATATACGACCCGCTTTGCTGGTCCTTAGGGCCCTGGTGCACCTCCCAGCAGCAGTCAAAGGGTTAATTAAGGAGCCCGGAATAATTACGTGTACAGTGTCTGCTCTAGGATTGTAGGACAGCCGGGTACACGTGTACCTGGCGCTGTCTCACCAGCCGAGTCACATACCTTAACTGGTTGGCTGGTTTATTTTAATTCAGACAACGAGAGAGCTTGGAAGCTCAGGGCCCTACGCTATGCTTTTTTTTGCCTTGATGACTTAGACAAAAAAAGCATAGGGATGTTATAAATAATGCAATGAATATAACTAAATGCGCATTCATATCACAACCATGGGGACGAATAATGTATTCCAGAACGTTTTCTTGTCACAATTATCAATGAGTGCGCATTTAGTTATATTCATTGCATTATTAAGATTATTGTCTCCACGTCGCCTTTTTGATGTTATAAATTCTTATAAATTTCTACTTTTTGTTTTTAGACATAACCTGGGATTCGAACCCGCACTATCACCCTGCATGCATCCCCCGATACACTTCGCAAACATACTAATTCTTCCAAGTTGCTTCACGTTATGATCTTGTATTTGAAAGCCCGATTTGAATATGCATTGTGGCCAGCCGTCTTTGATTGTACGGTATGGTACGGGACAGTTACGGGACAGGTACGCGACAGGTACGGTAGAGGGTAGTACGACACCATCTACCGCCTTGATGACGGCAAAAAAAGAATAGGGATGTTATAAATTTTTCAATTCTCCTATTTTTCAGGCACTACCTGGGATTCGAACCCGCACTATCGCCCTACATGCATTCCCCAATACACTTCGCATTCATACTCATTCTTCCAAGTTGCTTCACGTTATTATCTTGCGTTTGAAAGCCCTATTTGAATAGTGCGGCCAGCTGTATGTGGCAAGCTGTGTTTGATGGTACGGTACGGTACGGGACAGATACGGGAAAGCGCCAGGCGTGACACAAACACACAAACACCAAATTAAAGCTGTGTGGACCCTGGCTAGCGCCAGACGTTACTAAAGTAACGTCTTCTGCATAGCTACGGGAATAAACGGGAACTAGGCCCAATGATATAAAGGCGAATGGATAAGCCGCATTTAGAAAAGAGAGGACAGGAATTAGAAAATTACGAAAGAAGAAGAAGTATCTGAGTCCTAGGGGTGAAACAATTAAACCGAATATTCGAATACTCGTGTTGCAAACCACCAGTTCTCAATTGGGAAAGGCCTTCGCGCTTATGGCGTTGTATTCGTCGCAATGTTGTCTTTCGACTCCGCCGTACCGCTGATGTTGCTGCATGGCATACGCTATATGCGCTGTGTGTGTTTTTTTGCTGTATACGCTGTTATGTCCAGTTTTATATGCTTATGTTTTGCATGTACGCTGTTTTGCATGCTATAAATAGTTGTCCTCGTGCCGTGTGGGGTCGTTCGTTCCTGATACTTTAGAGAACCAGAGGGTTCACAACATTTGGCGACCACGCCAGGATACGAAGCGAGCATGGCACAGGAACTATGGATCATTGAAGCCAGCTTTATCGCCAACGGAATTCGGTATGGATTTGAAGGCGATAGGTTGAGAGAATACGTGGAGAAGAGGCTCCGACAGAGCGAGGAGTTTGAAGAGCGCAGTGCTAGACGGCAAGAGTGTGCGCTCCGCGCAGAGTTTAACGAAAAGCTCAAGAAGATGGCTGAGCGCATCGCCGTCAGTACATATTATGAGGAAGCAAAGCGAGATTTGCTTGCCTCGCCCGGAAGGACGCCGGACAAGGCGTGTAAGACTTTGCTTACAGACAAGCAGCGGTCAGAAGAGTGCTTGAAGCCAGTGGGAGGATCAGATCCAAGGCCCACTGCGTCGGTACAGAGCGTGGCAACATCGGTCGGAGACGCTCAGAAGCAGCTGGAGTCTCGGCCGAACGACGTAGAAGCGCAAGACGTAGAAGCGCAAGACGTAGAAGCGCAAGACGTAGAGGCGCAAGACGTAGAGGCGCAAGACGTAGAGGCGCAAGACGTAGAGGCGCAAGACGTAGAGGCGCAAGACGTAGAGGCGCAAGACGTAGAGGCGCAAGACGTAGAGGCGCAAGACGTAGAGGCGCAAGACGTAGAGGCGCAAGACGTAGAGGCGCAAGAGTTAGAGGCGCGAGACTTAGAAGCCCAAGGCGTAGAAGCCGAGAAAATGAGAAGGGCGATACTGGTTAGCACGGAAGAAGTAAGCGGCGAGACTGTGTGGAACACGGAGATCGAATGTAGGTTATCTGGTCCAGCGTCCGCCCCACGAGGCAGTGGCCCAGTGACTGTATTGTGTGTGACAGCCCAGAAAGCCACACGTTGGGGTTGAAAATGTAGAGGTGAAGCCGTTCGGCGCGGAACCAACCCAACAGCGCATGGATAAGTACGCCATCACGATCCAGGGTAGCTCCGCTAGCATTCGGGTACGCGCGTTCGTGAAACCAACGCTTGAGCTGGACCTGAAGTGCGCAAGTCCGCAGA